GATTTTATGTGGGTTGAGGTCGTGCGCTGTTCAATTTGAAAAATGGATTGCAGCAGTTTTGAGCTGACAAGCACAGGTGTGTGAAAGTGGGGTGGAAGCAAAGTGCGTGAAACGGGGGGAAGAAGGTGGCATAGGCAATAGGTGAGTGAAATGGATGCGCAGGGACGTTTTTGGGGCTGTTTGCGGGGATTAAGGAAAACGGCGGAAGGGCTTTTGTGGAGCGGGTGTGGGAGTGTGCGCGGTTGTGCGGGCAGCGGCTGCGAAAAGTGGGACAGGATCTGGCAAAAAATGGCCAAAAATACAATTTGCCAAACAAGGCTTGCATTTTGTTATCAGGAGTTCAGTTCTCTTTAAGGATGCTTTCATATGAGTTGATTGAATCACGTAAAGTGTAGCTGTAATCAGTACTTATATGTCATTGATAATTACACAATATTAGTTAGCTGATCTATAAGGTGGGATCTACGTTTCAAGTAGCGCGATTTTGAGGTGATAATCAGTTCGAAAAAGGTCTCTCATTGTGGGCGCTGGGGAATAAGGATGCCATTTTTTCCGCATAAACTTCACATGACTAGGTATATTTACTCGGGTCATTCTGGACGTCTTTTCAATTGGCTGTTGACTAATTATGCAACCTAAGCTTGTACTTGATACTATCACTACTAGTAATTGTTAGTGTACTTGTCTGAGTGAGTTAGTTCCATCCAGCTATGGATATAAACATCCTTTAACGTCTGACATCTATTAGTGTACAGACTCGATCTCGTGTGTCGTCTCTTGACCTCTAATTAGCGCTGTTAATATTCATTAGAGTAGCAAACGTCCTTTTGATAGCATGTGTCCTGTTTGTTTTAGTATTCCGCATTGTATGAGCCATGTGATCTTGTCATCAGTTCTTCAGATTCAGCATTTTTACATATGATATTATCATCTCAGCACTATCCCGGAAAGTTCGTATCTCGCCGTTGCCTATGCATTGTATCGTGGTTCACTTACCATCAGGGGGTACTAAATCATCCTGCATCGATTAAGAGTGGCTGCGAAAAATTACGTGCGATATGCAACACTTCTTGTAATCACTGTGGCTGAATCCACAGTTTCTCGCAGAAATGAGAATGGTCTCCAAGGAGTAAGAAAAGCTTGGCTTTCGTTTAGGGTGTTCTGCACTGCACACATAATCTTGAAGTCGGTCACTTACACCCAAGGTCGACCTATATACCGCTCAAAAAATTGAACAAAAGATAGTGTAGCCGCAGTTCTACAGATGACATTCACTGATCTAAAGTTGCGGCGATAGTCACTGCGGCTTTTTGACGAATCTTCAGGTGACTGAGATGATGGGTACGACGACATATTTAAGAGAGTAACTGGAAGGTCAAAATGTCTTTAAGATACATACTGAATTACAATGAAAGGGGCGACTTCAGAAAAGGAAGCACAAGTACCTAGTAGTGGCAGTAGCTCGAATGTCTCCCTCGCAAAAACGTTCCAGGGTCAGATCGAGGTAAAAGAACTAGACAATGATAATGACAGCCATATATTCCAAGATCCGGTTGTAGCTGAGCACTATCGTGAAATTTACGAAAAGGTGGATTACGAATGTAAGGATCACTTTGATCCTAATCTTACTTGGACTAAGGAGGAAGAAAAAAAGATTCTTCGTAAAACCGATTGGTACGTTTGCTTTTGGGCGTTCGTAATGTTCACTGCCCTTGACATCGACAGATACAATATCAGTCAGGCATTGTCGGATAATTTGTTGGACGACTTAGGAATCACTACGAATGATATGAATTTGGGAAACACCATTAATTTGGTGTGTTTCTTATCTGCCGAATTACCCTCTCAGTTGCTTTCCAAGTGGATTGGTCCCGATATTTGGATTCCGCTGCAGATGGTTCTCTGGAGTGTGGTTTCCATGTCTCAAGCCGCCATGAAATCAAGATCAGGATACTTAGCAACCAGAGCTTTGATAGGAGCTCTTCAAGGTGGCTTTATTCCTGATGTGTGTTTATGGATGTCTTATTTCTATACTTCAAGCGAGTTTCCTTCCAGAATGTCTTTGTTCTACATTGCTAATCCATTGTCACAAGTATGGTCCTCATTGCTTGCCTTTGCAGTATTGAAGATCCTGACTGGAAGTTTACAAGAAGGATGGAGATGGCTTTTTCTTCTTGAGGGTTTGGTGACTTTGATTATTGGATTCCTTTCGTTTTTTAAAATGCCAGCCTCGGTGGTCCAAACTAAGGCATGGTATCGCAAAAAAGGCTGGTATACCGACCGTGAAGAAAAGATTCTCGTGAACAAAGTTTTGCGTGATGATCCACAAAAGGGAGATATGCACAACAGAGAGCCAGTGGGACCACGAGAGTTGTTGAAGACATTATTGGACTATGACCTTTGGCCAGTCTATTTCATTCGAATCTTGGGAGATATTGGTACGGCACCTGTCCAGACTTATTTAACCTTGACATTGAGAAAACTTGGCTTCTCAACATTCAAAACTAATGCTCTTACGATTCCTTACAGTTTGATATCTATTATAACAATGGTGGCTACTGGATACTTATCGGAGATATTTAACCAACGGGCACTAGCGTTAGCGATTACGCCTTTATGGACCATAGCGTGCCTTATTCCTTTGCGATGGTGGAGCGGGGCCCAGAAAGACATTTGGGGTACATATGCTCTCTTGACAGTTTTACTTGGCCATTCTCCAATCTGGCCCATCTCTATTACCTGGTGTTCCCACAATTCAAATTCTGTTCGCAGCAGAGCTGTCAGTGCTGCCTTAGTGAACATGTTTTCTCAATCGGGAGCTATCATAGCAGCCAACATATATCGATAAGGATGATGCACCTTTGTACAAGAGAGGTAATACGCAATTGATTGGAATTGCCTTTGGTGCTCTTGGAATGTGCTTGACAGCGAAGTTGTATTACATTTTGAGGAACAGATACAGAGACAAGAAGTGGAATGCCATGTCGATTGAGGAACAAGAAGACTACATCAAGAATAGTAAGGACGAAGGCAACAAGCGCTTGAACTTCAGGTTTGTTCATTAGCACTGCAGAAGTTTATTGTTATAGAAATTAAAAAGATTGCGTTCTCATAATGGGTCATATATTTAATGAGTAAATCTAAAGTTCAAGTGTTTCATCCCCTTGTCGGGCGGATTTGACAAATATACGGTTTTCTCTTCCACGGACATCTGCTCCCACTTCTTCTCCTTCTGTTTGTTGCGTAAAATATAATAGGCTTTGGTTGCGAAAGCAAAGAAGATGTTGAAAATACAAATGCCCAAAATTGTTTTATTTCCACGGTCATAATAGGGCTTGTCATCATTACGGTATATTTGCGTTGCTATGATGCTACCAACTTGATAGCTCATATTGTAAAGTGAGGTTCCGACGGCTCTGGCTCTCACTGAGTTTGCAGACTGAGATACCCACGCTGCAAGGATTGCATGGGCATATGGCTGCGATAAGATACCCGTTAACAAGACATACTTCACCCAATTATTGGTGTTATTGGGAAGAACAACTAACGCAATGATGAATGGTAGAATGAAGATATTGGAAATGGCCACACAGATACTCTTCTCTTTAGTATATCGACTCAAGAGAACTAAAAGGGGAAGATTGACAAGAAACCACGCTTGTCCAGGAATTGCCAAGATGTTGGACATGAAAGTTGAATATCCCATCTCTCTGAGTATTAAAGTAATATAGTTTGTAACAGGCTGGAAGGGAATGAACGCCAATATACCTTGAATAAGAATTGGCCAAATGTCATAATCAGATAAAGTAAGCCAAATCTCTTTGAGACTCACAGGCTGTCTATTGTTCATGTCACCTTTGGAAGGGTCATCTCGAAGAATTCTATTGACCAAGATTTTTGTTTGTCTCTCGTTAAACCACGACTTCCTCTTGAATAGCTTGTTACCTGTTTCGGTAGGACCCTGTCTCATGAAATAGAAGCTTGAAAACGCAATAGCCAAACTAAGTGCACCCTCAACAATGAAAAGGTACCTCCACCCAGCTAAGCCATGAATGCCTCGCATTTCTAGTAAGCCTGATGCGAGAAGAGAACCAAGAATTTGAAACAAAGGGATTGCGGTCCAGAAAATTGCTAGACGGAGCGGCAATTCTCTCGAGTTGTAAAAGTATGTCAAATAAAGAATAGTATCGGGAATAAAGCCTCCTTGACTCAATCCTATTAAGACTCGTAAGACCAAAAATCCCGCCTTATTAACCATGCATGCTTGGAAAATGCATAGAACAGACCATGTCACCATCTGAAATGGGATCACAACCTCACATCCAAACCTTTTGGACAAGAGATTCCCTGGTAGTTCAGCACAAAGAAACGATACAAGGTATAACGTTTGACCCAAATTATAGTCATTGGTTCCTAGGCCAAGGTCTTGAAGAAAGTTATCGGCTGTTACTCGATTAATGTTTCGCCTGATGAGATCCAAAGAGCAAAACAGTATGAAAACCCAGCCAAATATTCTAAAATCTAGAACGCGGACCAACTTATTTTCTTCTTCGGCGCTCCATTCCAAGTCGGCGTCCAAGAAGGGTAATCCCTCGTAGTCGCACAACTGATAAACGTGACGCCATTTTTCAAGCTCGAAAGGGTCTTTGAAGGGATTTTCTTTCTCAGTCACACTTTCACTGTCCACTTTAATATCAGCAAGCTTACTCATTTGTCTGATTCAAAAATAGGTTTTAAACTTTCTTTTAAATACCCTCTTCCTCTATCACATTTTGCAACTAGAACGGTGCATATGAGCCGCACGCCACAATTTGCAGCCGCTCGCAATTGGTAAGAAAAACGCTTATTTCAGCAAACCGAACCGAACCGAAAATATGGATGAGGCTTGTGAACGTGACGGGACTTAATTGTATTTCGTTTTTTTTTTCTTATCTCTGCTCAATCAAACATGGACATCGAAGCTCGAGAAGTCGACCCACTCATTCCGAATTCAGATACTCATCGTAGAACTGGCAAATTCTCCTCGGCTCCGAATTTTACATGTATTGAGATTGCCCTTCTTTTAAATGTATTTCTCTCGGGGTTTGATGCCACCGTGACAGCGTCGACCTATACCACTATTGGAAACGAGTTTGGAACTGCTAGGTTTGCTTCGTGGATAACCACCTCTTATCTCATAACTTCGACAGCGTTTCAGCCTCTCTATGGCTCACTCTCTGATGTTGTTGGAAGAAGGGTGTGTGTTTTCTTTGCCTTGTCTTTTTTTTTGGTGGGCTGTTTTGGATGTTCTGTAGCCCCAACGTTTTTATTTTTAAACATAATGAGAGGAATAACAGGTATTGGAGGAGGGGGGCTTCTAACCCTTGCAACAATTATTCATTCAGATATTATTTACCCTGAGAAAAGAGGATTGTTTCAGGCGTTTCAGAATTTGACTCTTGGATTTGGCTCTATTTGTGGTGCCTCATTGGGAGGTTACATATCCAGCATAGTGGGGTGGAGGTTTTGCTTCCTCTTGCAATGTCCACTTACTGCGTTCAGTATTTTAGTTGCCTATTCTTATGTTAATAACCAACGAGGGTTCCAGGAGCTTCATATCAGCAAGCTTCTCACCAAAGTCGATTTGAAGGGAGCTGTCTTGATATTCCTTGCAATCTCGTCGCAGCTTCTTGTTCTCACGTTGGGAGGCAATGAATTAGCATGGACCGACTACAGATTGATTGGACTTGGTTTTTTGAGCTTGCTTTTGACATTGGTGTTTATTGATGCCGAAAACAAAACCACTGCTGTTCCAATCATCAAGTTACTGGACTACAAAGATCTTTTCAGCATCCTGCAACTTGCAATCAATTTCTTAATAGGATTGGCCGCCTTTGCCTATCTTTTCACGCTTCCATTGTTGTTCCAGCTTGAATTTGGAGACACAGCATCTGCGGCAGGCTTTCGCTTAATGCTACCAGCACTTTCAACACCTATTGGAGGATTGTTAGCTGGTTTGTTAATGGAGCGATATAAGCTACTCAGGAGCCTTGCAATTTCTGGCATTTTCACAATGTTAGTCGGGAACCTGCTTATTCTTACGGTTACTAACTCTACGAGAAAGTGGGTTTTGAATTTTCTTCTCATGCCTGCAAACTTAGGACAGGGACTTGCATATCCCAGTAGTCTCTTCACATTCATTTTTGCTCATGGAATTGAACATCAAGCATCCTCAACGGCTACAGTCTACGTGTTGAGAAGTATAGGTGGAGTGTGGGGAGTTACTGGTTCGTCTCTCATTATACTGAAACTCACCCGTGCGAGAATTTCAAGGCATTTGAAAGATTATGGATTGAAGCATCGTGAAGTCAAGACCATAGTGAAACGCATCAGTCAATCAATTGCCTCTATTCAGGATCTACCTCCAGATATCAAGTCGCTAGTGTTGAAAGATTACGTTTCTGCAATCAAAGTGTCGTTTCTTAGCCTGTGTTCTCTTTTGCTTGGCACAGTTCGGCAAGAGAAAGCCACAGATGCCACACGCCTAAACTATGGCATCGGTTCGTGCATGCGAGCCGTTACATATCTTAATTAGAATAATAGTACAATGCAATCGCTAACCGAACCGAACCGAACCGGCTGCAAAATCGAATACTTAAGTTGAAGTCCGTCCCAATTGAGCTCCCACAGCGCAAATGAAGCTTCTCAGCATTGCCTCTACAATTATTTGTACTTTTCAGTTGGCTTCTGCCGACTGGCAGTATCGTTCCCGGTCGGACTTGGCACCGCCAAGACTCAACATCACTATTTCAGCTGAAGGGACTTCCCCAGGTTACCTTTTTGTTGCTCCTTTCAGTGGATTTCCCGATGTGGGTAATCTGCATGGTCCCAGGCAAGCAGCACCATACATTTTCACTGATAAAGGAGAACTTGTTTGGTCTGGCTTCAGCTACTTTTCCATCTGGGCCACCAACTTTCAAGCAGGGCGCGTAAATGGTGAGAATGTGCTATTCTCTTTTGAAGGCTCGCACAACCCGGGTTACGGACATGGACATGGCCACATAACATTTCTTGATGAAAACTACGAAACAGTAAAGGAGTTAAGAGCTGGAAACCACAAGATAATTGACAAGCACGAGTTTCACATCATAGATGAGAAGACTGGTTTGGTTCAAATTTATCAGCCCGTTCCATACGACCTTAGTCCATATGGAGCCAGCAAGAAGCAGCAATGGGTAGTCAATGCCATATTTCAGGAATTGGATATTGAGACGGGAAAGGTGTTGTTTGAGTGGTCTTCATTGGATCATGTCTCACCTTACGAATCGGTTTTGCCTATTAACGAAGGACAGGCGGGAGCAGGATTCAACTCCAGCGATGCATGGGATTATTTCCATATAAATTCTGTTGACAAGGATAAGGAGGGAAACTATCTATTGTCCGCGAGAGACGCTGCTGCTCTTTATAAGATTGACGGTAAAACTGGAGAAGTGATTTGGAAATTGGGCGGCCTTCCGGGTATCACTACATCAGATTTCAAATCTGAGAAGAACTTGACGTTTTCGTTTCAGCACCATGCTCGCTATTTGCGCACATCAGAGGATGGTAGCAAGCAGATTATTTCGTTTTTTGATAATTCCGCCCATGGAACCGAGAATAAGAACGGAAAACAGGTTCTGTATAACAGTGCATCGAGCGGGAAGATTGTCGAAGTCGATACAAAAAACAAGAAAGCGACCCTTTTGTTCAATGGTGTTGCGCCCTATGGCTTGTTGGCAAAGTCACAAGGTTCAACTCAGGTTTTGCCCAACGGTCATGTGCTCGTTAACTGGGGCTCAGAAGGAGCTATTACTGAATTTGACTCTGAAGAGAACCCTATCTTTCATGCATTTGTTGATTCAGGCTCTTTGGGTGAACACGCTGAAAACTATAGGGCATTCAAGTTCAATTGGACTGGAACTCCTCATGAGAGCATTGCCGTGGCTTCATATGTTACCGATGGAGGTTCGAATATCTATGTGAGTTGGAACGGCGATACTAGAACAGAAGAATGGGAAGTGTTTAGCGTGGATTCCAACGGTGACAAAAATAAGGTGTCTACGGCAAAGAGAAGTGGATTTGAAACTAAAATTCACTTACCGGGAGAGATTTATGAGACAGTTGTGGTTCAAGCATTTGACAAAAACCGCAAATTCTTAGGAGAGAGTGCACAAGTGAAAATTCAAGATGAAATCCTTCCGTACCGCGAAGCAGAAGTAGAGACTTTTGTTGACGATTTGCAGCCAGTTCTTCTGTGGAAACAAACTTACTTTGATTGGAGAAAATTGAGTTTTTAGTCAAAGCAAGTAGTAGAAAAGTACAGTTCTAGCTAAATTACTTACCGCCCATACTCTCCGTAACCATAAAGCGCAAATAGAGACGACCCTAGCTCGTTGAACCGGTTGCAAATACTGCAGGTTCCGCGGCGCAATAGAAACTTGAGATGGTCTATTGTCATAAAAGATGGGCTCCGGCCATTAGTGAATACTCAATCGATACTAATCCCAATTTCACCGAACTGTCAAATCTATGCTGGTCAATCTGCTAAGCGGTTAATTCTACCATTTGTGGACCCTTGATTTCCCGAAACGGACAGGCTGCAATTTTAAACCGCACTGACAAGCCGCACGCACACCTGCACAAGCCGCGCCACAGCTACATCAACCACACGGAGATTGCCGACGTGAGAACGGCTGCAATAACGCAATACATAGTAGAAATATAGACGAAATGCCATCTTTTGCCCACAATCATGAATTTTTTGCTTCATGTTGTCTCTTTCCTCTGTAGCCTTCTGGTGGTCGTTGCTGATTGGCAATTTCGTTCCCGGCCAGATTTGGCTCCTCCACGATTGAACATCACGGTACCTGCCGAAGGGACATTACCGGGTTACTTGTTTGTAGCTCCTTTCAGTGGGTATTCTGATGTTGGAAACCTGCACGGACCCCGGCAAGCAGCTCCGTATATTTTCACCGATAAGGGTGAGCTTGTATGGTCGGGATACACTTACTTTTCCATCTGGAATGCCAATTTTCAGGCTGCGAAACTTCATGGCGAAGATGTCTTATTCTCATTTGAAGGCGACCACAATCCTTCCTATGGCCATGGCCATGGTCATGTCACCTTCCTAAACAACAAGTACGAAACCATAAGGGAGATTGGTGCTGGGAACCATAAATTGTCTGACAAGCACGAGTTCCAGGTTCTCAACGAGAAGACTGCGGTGATTCAAATTCACCATCCAATTCCCTATGACCTTGGTCCATTTGGTGGTACGAAGAAGCAGCAGTGGATCGTGAACTCCATTTTTCAGGAATTGGATATCGAAACCGGAAAAGTCTTGTTTGAGTGGTCTTCCTTAGACCATGTATCTCCCCATGAAACTGTGTTTTCTATTAAAGACGGACTGGTTGGGTTTGGCCACAACTCGAGTGATGCTTGGAAATATTTTCATATAAATTCTATTGATAAGGATAGCGACGGTAACTATCTTTTATCTGCCAGAATTTGGACCTCGATTTATAAGATCAATGGTAAGACGGGTGAGGTTATGTGGAAGTTGGGAGGTCTCCCTGGTATTACTTCTTCCAGCTTTACATCTGTCGACAATTTTACTTTTTCGTTTCAGCACCATGCTCGTTACTTGGAGACCTCGGCCGACAAGTCTAAGCAGGTTATTTCCTTGTTTGACAATTCGGCCCATGGCTCAGAGAACAAAGATGGAAAAGTAAAACTCAATGGTATTTCGAGTGGAAAGATTATTGAAGTTGACACGAAATCGTGGGAAGCTACTCTTCTCTACAACGCAAAAGCACCATACAATCTTTCTGTCAAGTCGCAAGGCTCTGCGCAAGTTTTGCCCAACAAGAATGTATTGGTAAATTGGGGCTCTGAGGGTGCTGTGACAGAGTATGATGCAAACGAAAAAATCATTTTCCATGCCTTCCTTGACTCTGGGGCTATCGCAGACAAGGTGGAAAATTATAGAGCTTTCAAATATAATTGGACTGGAATTCCTAACGAAGCGATTGCCGTTGCTGCTGAGTATACTCCTACTGGATCTACCAATGTCTACGTCAGTTGGAACGGAGATACCAGAACAACTCATTGGAAAGTATGGTCACTTGACAACTCCGATAATTGGACCCTTATCGATACAGTTGAAAAGAAGGGCTTCGAAACGAAAATCAAGGTTCCGGAAGTTCACGAAAAAGTTCTCGTTCAAGCGTTGAACGAGTATAAGGAAGTTCTTGGAAAATCAGAGATTGTCAAAACAACGAAGGAAGTACTCCCTTATATAGAAGAAGCTGAACCAGAATCAGGCTCCATCTTTGAAGTCGATAAGTTACAATCGTACTTTGAATGGAGAAAGAACGAAGACAGCTCTGTTTAATTCTAAGTATTCATAGTCTATCAATATTCTCCCATTCAGTGTCAAACCGTTGCATGAATCCCGGGCTGGCTGAACTGCTGAAAATATCAAGCACTGGAGAAGGAATCAATTTGATGTAAAAGTCGTCTCCATGGCGGAAGTCTTGCACATTCAGTGTAGAATCACTTCCGCTCTTTTCAGGCAGGTATTCAGATCCACTGTTAGAAGCTAGTAAGTTTTGTATACTCACTCGCCGGGTTTTCACTGTAGTATGAATTTCTCCAACCGTTCCATCTCCGTAATCTTGTATTTCGTGTCGAATAGATTCATTTTCCAACAAGGAAGTATTCTCAGAAAGACAGGATTCAAATACTTGTCCTAGCTTGTTGATAGAATGGTACCATCTTTTCGCCAACTCCCACGAATTGGCCCAATCGACTAGCATGTCCATGTTGCTGTATGCTACAGATCTGAAGCCCTCTTTGATTTCCTGGATTTCAGCATTTATAACCTCGTCATCTTTCCCTCGATCCTCAAGTAAAAACTGCTTCTTTAAAATTTGGTTAGGATAGGCATAAAAGAATAACCCTGATATAGAAGCAGTGAAAACTTCAAAGGCCGTGAACGGTGCAATAACCATCATATTTTTGCGTTTCAAGGTACTGATCAATAGTGTGAGGTCTTTTAGCAAGTTCAACATTTGCAACAATGACAGTTTCCAGCAACCCGAAGGTAATGCTGTCTGGCCACAGAAAAAGGTTTCTCTGAGCAAGAAAATATCACACAAGAGGAGCAAAGCATGAAAGTAGCCAAAGTGGGCTCCGTCAAAATGAGAAATATGTGCCTGTAAGTTATGCTCATTGAATTTTAAGTGGTTAGGTAGACTTTCCTGAAGATGCTTAAGTTCTGCCGTCAATTGAGAGTATGTCTCATCGCTATTAAGGTTTCTTGACCGGTTCAGTTTTCCATCCATTTCTCCAACCCATCTTGCAACCTTGGACCATATTTCAAATACGACAATGGTAAAGTTGCACACTGGCATTTGCTGCATCGAAACTATATCTTTGCTTTTTATTCGGACAATGATATCATTGTATCGTAACGTTTTGCCTGGAATTCCAAATAAAAATTCTCTTTCTTCACAAGGTAGGTTTACCTCTATGTCACTCACTTTGATGGCTGAGGATCTATTTCTGCCACTCGAATTGCATCTGTCCATCATGTAAATAGACCAGATAGTCCGTCGCCTGCTCTCTATGTAGATGAGTTGCTCATTCTCATCAAGCACTCCTCCTTCATCAGGTAGGTTGACCTCAGCTCCAAGGCCAAGAATCAATGCCATTCTAGCAGCAATTCCCAACGTAGACAAAGCTTCGAGCACTGTTTCCTTCGCCCCATTCGTGACTGCTAAGTAAGACCAATGCCTGGATTCTTTGAACAGTGGGCTCGTCGAATACTTCTTTGAGTAAATATCTAGCCTGTTCGCCGTAATATTTGGATGCTTCTGTGGGAATCATACCCAAAGATCTCTGGAAGTATTCTGTATGGGTCAGTGTGTTTGAAGTGGAAGAACTGCATTCAGTCGACTGTGCAAGCAGTGGATAGAATCGACAGCAGAGAGCGAGTATGGACACTAATAAAATAGGATCCGGAAACTTCATTCGTTTTATGGACTCCTTGTCCTCAATAATTGCATTGTAGTCGTCAAAGTATGTTTCGGGCGAAAATCGATTAGAATTTAAGAATGCTAGAAACGAAGGTTTATGAATGAAAGGAAAGATCCCTTTATACTGGTTCTCAAAGAAGATTTCCACAAGTTCAAGAACAACCTCTTTGGATGGAAATTTGACATCTTCTACAAATTCGCTTCTTTTCCAAACAACTTGAGCTGGAGGTGTCCGTTGGACTTTATCATGATGTTCAGGTTTATTTGGTTTCTGTCTCTGTTGAGCCAGGGTTGGTGAGTAGGAACATGAAAGTTTTAGTTTCAGGCATCGAACACAAGCATTGTGATCTCCAAAATTCACACACCGGATCTTGCTGTCCCTACACCTGTTGCAAGCCACTCTAGAGCGATTCTTCTTCTCCAATGGGGCCATAACTTGGATCCACAACCATTACCCGTTATGCTGCAACAAGGTTCACGTGCACATTGCTAATATTGTAAATTTCCACAGTTTTGCAATCACCGATTACTATTGAAATGAAGAGCAGAATCGTATGAAGATAGCGAGGTGGAATGCCAACTTCTAGCAAAATAATATCATCCTGACAATCTAAAGCACCGCTATAAGCCCTGACGAAAAAATATATTTGAGCGGTACGGGAATCGAACCCGTGACACCTGCTTGGAAGGCAGATATGTTAACCACTACACCAACCGCCCTTGGATTGAAAGAACAAGTACAGTTAGCGCACTTGAATGCATGCGTAGTGGAAAAGTAGTCCACTTCTGTATATTCTACTAGCTACTTACCTTTTGCCTCTTGTATGCCTCTGCGAAAGATTTTGTATCCTCCGCACTTTCCACGTGACTAGCATGTACGTCCTTGAATCCAGCAATTGGTACATTTTGAATTTCCCTCATCACCTTCGTCGTCCTCTTTTTCCCTCCTTTCTGTTCAACCTTGATTTCTTCTTTTAAATCCAATTTCATGTCGCTGGTCTCCTTCACCTCTTGCTTCACAGACACAGTAGTTTCGTTGATGCCATTATTGAGATCGGACAAGTCAGAAGTGAACAACACAGACTGGGCCCAGCCGGCGTACGGTCCAAAAATGTTCTTGAAAAATGTCCTTATATCTTCATATACCTTCTTGTTCATAGTCTTGAGGTCACGCTTACCCTTGTACTTGTAGTCACGGATTGCAATCTGGTACACATGAGTGTCCACAGGCACAACGTCATGCTTGTCTAGAGCCATAAGACAGATACAATCAGCCACTTTTGGACCCACGCCAGAGAGTTGTATGAGAAACTCCGAGCAGGCCTCGTAGCTTTCAAGACGTAAGTCGTACAACTTGGCAAGAGACAAATCTGGGTTGTCGGGGTCAGTCAACATCAATGCTGTTTGGTAGATGTACTTTGCACGATAACCAAACCCCAATTCTCGAAGCTTTGTCTCCACGGAAGGCAGAGAACTAAGCGCTTGGGCCGTGGGAAAGGAGTAGTAGTCGACACCTCCATGAGTAGCGATGTAGGTTCCAAATTCAGTGCATAAGCTGTCGCACATTTTGGATATGCGTTTAACGTTATTGTTGGAAGAGCAGATAAATGAGACCAAAGTCTCCCAGGGATCCTGGCGAAGAATTCGGATTCCTGTAAACCTCTGGAATGCCGAGCCATGAGTAGCAGCCTTCACTAGCGAACTACGATGTGACCAATCTTGATAAAGCAGCTCAAGGTTCACATTCAAGTTGAAGTAATCACGAACAAATCCCAAAACATCGCTGGATGTATCAAAGCGGTCCTTGCTAGATACACCCTCCTTCATGATCCACGAATAATGGATACTGTACTCATCTTGCTTCAAAAAGATCACTTTATCATCGAGACTAAATGACCATACATTGTTAATATTTTTCCACCTGAACGTCTGTCCGCATCTGAGAACCTTAGCCAAGCTAAGTTCCACTTCCTTAATTGGAAACTTGTTCCACGAAAGCATGGGATCAAGAAAAGCAAATTGAAAATTAGTGATGGGAAAATTTGTGAAGTGGAAAATTTCCTAATAAGCCTTTCGCAGAAATCAACGCGCAGCTAATTACGCACGCCATTAACGCGTTTTGGGAAAGGACTGGATTAGGTAAGGAATTTTAATGAGAACTAAAGCCAACGAAAAATTAGTGATAAGTTTGTTTTACCCGCTCATTCTCTGACCCCATTCATTCACCTTGGTTCTCTTCTCTTCCATTTGGTGATTTCGACTCTCATAATCCTTCTGATTTTAATAAACCTACATATAACCACGATAAGCTCAAAATTTCGTGAATACTGAGTAAAGGTTGATGGATGAAGAGTGTCCCATATGCAACAAGAAATTTCCCCAATCGCTCATTGAGCGGCACGTGAACTCGTGTCTTGACTCGAGGGAAGCAGAGAATACTTCCAAGAGGCGAAAGCGGTCTCCTGATACTGAAAAAAATCAAGAAGTTCCCGATGCGTTTGCCGCTTTGGGACTAGCACGGAACTCACTGCTGCTAAAAAGGACTAAAAGTGGCTCCCAACCGAAGATCAAGACCGAGCCATCTATGACGTCGATTAGGATTGCTGAGAGACGGCTAGAAATGCTTAAACGAGCAGAAGAAAGAAAACTAAAATCAGAAAACCAAGCCGTAGACAAGGATGACGAGACTACTGGAATCCAAGAATCAGAAACTACACAGGAGGAGCAAGTCATAAGTGAAAAAAACGATAATGTTTCGGCGGAAACGAAAACTGACGTTATAGATCTTGAGAATGCCAGTGATCCGTCTCCGGTACCTACCCAAGAACCGCTTCGACAGTCCCAAGCACTCACAAACAGGCAAGAGCGAATGAAACTTGAGCAACAGGCTTCAATTCCGCTAGCTCAAAGACTTCGTCCAACGAGTTTAAAGGGACTTTTTCGGCCAGGAAAAACTCGTGGGTCCAAATGGACTTCTAACAAATCTCATTAATAGCGACCAGATACCCTCGTTCATATTATGGGGCGTTCCAGGGGTAGGAAAGACGTCATTGGCACGAATAATAGCCAACGTAACGTCGTCTCGTTTTGTAGAAGTATCGGGTGCTTCAACTAGCACGACGAGACTTCGCGAGGTGTTCGATCAGGCAAAGAACGAAAAGGCCTTGAGTGGCCGTCGCACGATTCTCTTTCTCGATGAGATACACCGATTCAATAAGGCAGTACAGGACTTGTTATTGCCTGTGATAGAAAGGGGCTTAGTTACTGCCATCGGAGCCACCACGGAAAACCCATCATTCACCTTGAACAATGCGCTTTTATCACGCATGCATACTTTTGTGATGGAGCCACTAACACATAGCGCTCTTGTGAAGATTATCGACCGTGGATTGCTAGAAGTGAACAGGACAAGAAAACATGTCTACAATTTGCATCTTGTGGCTCTTTCACGAGATGCCATTGATTACGTCGCAAACATCAGCTCGGGAGATTCAAGAGTAGCGCTCAATATCTTGGAAACAATCAATGCATACCTTTCAGGAGTCAGCTACTCGGCGTTCTCGAACTATGAGGAACCAGAAAAGGCGATAAAAGTGCCCGAAAAATTCGGTGTCATCAAGATTAGCATGAAAGAACTCAAGCCCTTGTTGAGTACACGCAATTATCACCAGATGTATGACAGAGTCGGGGAAAACCACTATGATATTATCAGTGCATTCCACAAATCAGTTCGTGGCTCTGATGCTGATGCAGCAGTATTCTACTTGGCCAAGATGTTATCTGGAGGAGAAGACCCCATGTTCATTGTACGTCGCATGATTGTTATCGCCAGCGAGGACATTGGTTTGAGAGATAGTTCGTGCCTCCCATTCGTTGTTGCCGTGAAAGATGCCCTTGAGTTTGTGGGCATGCCAGAAGGAGAGATAATACTTGCCCATTGTGCGGTGAAACTTGCCCGTGCATTAAAGTCTACAAAGTCCTACCGAGCTTTGCGTACTGCCCAGTCTCTTCTCAAGGAGCAGCCCGAACTCACATCCATTCCTGTTCCATTGCATTTGCGAAACGCTCCTACAAAGTTGATGAAAGAGATGGGATACGGTGATACATATAGATACAATCCGAGCTTTGAAAATGGAGTTGTACGGCAACAGTATACGCCAGAGGCCCTCAAAGACCAAAAATTTGTCGAAGATACTCATTTGGGTACGGCAAGAGACCCGCTTGTTCCCGATGAGGAATATCTGTCTATTACTGAAGCTGATAAAGAATACGAAGAATTCAAAAAACAGAGACGAAAAGAAATGGAACAGGAAACTCTAGAAAGCGAAGAACGTCACACCTATGACGAATTTCTTGCAAAAGATGATCAGCCAGAATACTTTGATGGAGAGGAAAGAGACGCTTACTCTGATGATCCGGATTGCACCCATAACTTTGACCAGAGTTACGACGAGAATTTGAGCCAAGATCAACAGCCTCAGTACTACCGCCAGTTTAGTGAGCGGTAATGTCGGTAATACCCCATTTGGACAACCCTTGAAGACTAGATTGTTGCATAGAATGTGTCCATCGTTGTGGTACTGCATAATAATCAAGTTTACATTTCACGACGCACTGAAGCAACTTCTACTGATCAAGCCATACTCCACGATGTGTGGCCGGTTTGCTTTGGGAATTGTAAGTTGTTGCAGCTTGTATTAGGAGACCAGTACTAATTCAGGATATGAATGACATGCCTCAATACTTTAATGAGGCTGTTAATGTTGCTACTAATCAGGCTGATAATGGAGGTCAAGATGCTCCAGCTAATCATACCGAGGTCGAAATTAACCAGCTCCATAGGTCATTTTCCCCTTCCTACAATATCCCTCCTACCAGAACATCGCTAATCATCTACAAGTCCAACGAGAATCCAACCAAATATGTTTTGGAGCCGCTGACATTTGGTCTTCTTCCATTCTGGGCCAAACCAAACGACGCCAGCGCTGTCTCGAGACAAAACGAGAAAGGGCCCAAGTACTCTAAAGAAATACAGGGGCTCGCAGCCAGGTATTTCAATTGCCGAAAGGAGAGTCTCGACATGTCGGTGTGGAAATCTGTGCGGCACAGTCGCTGTGTGGTACCCATTGAAGGATATTTTGAATGGCAGAAGTCTAAGGCTGACAAAATACCGTATTTCGTCTACTCCAAGAAGCGACCTTTGGTCTTTTTGGCTGGATTTTATTCACATAACACCAACTACAGGGGAAAGGACCCCGAGTATCAAGACAGCTATTTGTCGACATTCACAATTCTTACCGGCACGGCTCAGAAAACAGACAGTAAAGATCTATCTTGGCTCCATCCTCGCAAGCCGTTGATGCTTCTTCCAGGAACAAGAGCATGGGATGACTGGCTCAACCCAGAGAAGGAATGGTCAAATAGCTTGGTCGAAACGTGCTTAGAAACCCACAAGAGCATTGCCTACCTCGACCTCACATGGCACACGGTGAATAAGTCGGTGGGAAATCCTGGCTTTAATAGCGAAGAAGCCATCAAGGAAGTGAAGAATTCGCCTCAGAAAACAATATCACTGTTCTTTCAGTCAGCTAAACGGCCCATCTCAGATGGCTCACCACAGAAAAGGATCAAGAGGGATGAAGCAAATGTAAAGGAAGAAGCTTCAGTAAAGAAGGAAGACAATTCAGTAAAGAGAGAAAATTCAGTAGAAAATGAAGTATCAGTAAAGAAGGAAGATTCAGTGGAGAAAGAAGAAAATGGGATAGAAAGCGAAAAAGAAGACATTAAGAAGGGGCAACAGTAATATTCTTAGTTCAATATACCAGCAGGCTGGAATTCATAGCTATCAGTATCAACTATCTCCATTCTCTATATCTTTGGTCGTGTCGATGCCAACTTTCATTCTAAAAAATCTGCGAATCTTAAATACTCACCAACGATCATGAACGGAGCCACGGCACTTCGCTGCAGTCGGCGATTATACTCGACACAGAAGAACGCTCCCCTCTATTTGAATCCCCATGCTTGGAAGAATTTACCTGCTGATCGGATTTTCGAACTTCACAAAATCCGCCAGGAAGCGTTAGGTGAGAAATACAATCCAAATGATGCTGAAAGAAATGCAATTTTGTCCACTATCGAGTCTTTAGGCCCTGGAAAGTCTGCACTTGAATACGCTTACGAAATAGACAACTTCAAGGAGCGCCACATGAACAATACTCCAGTAAACTTGCGTGGTCTTCCTCCCAGAAAAAGCAACATAAACGTCATTGCTAAGGGTTCTACTCCCCACGAGATTCGGAAAAGAGAGCAGATCATGCGTACGTGTGCGTACGAGATGCCACTTTTGGCCAAATACCGTCAAGAATACAAACCTAGACCCAACTCAGAAACACCTTTGTCGTTGCGTTTCCACTCAGACTTCACCGACGAGTCCAATGCCAACAACAGAAAGGTCACATTGAGGTGTAAAATAGAGGACCTCAATTTGAACGAAAAACAGCAAAAAAAATTCATGATTTTGTCGGGAAACAGATTCAACCACAGAGACGGCGCTGTCAAGTTTGCCTGCGCTCAGTACCCCGAAGCTACCCAGAACGCACGCTGGCTAGTCGACACCTTCAACCGCTTGCTCGAGCAGGCCAAAGATTTGACTGACGACTTTGCTGATGTTCCAATTGACACTCGTCATATGCAAGTGAAGAAATCCAAACCTCAGTTTCCTGAACACTGGAAAAGGCCCCAAGATGCTCCAGTAGAGAGACATGCCATAGTGGCTCGACTTGTGGACCGTGTTAAGTCATACAAGGACCAACTGTACATAGAAAAGTTTACCCCATAATCTCCATAGTTTACATATACGGACTGCATCCAACCCATTCTCATTACATTTTCGTTTCCAACACAAGAGTAACCACTCACCACCCACACTTCCCTGGCACCGTACACAACTTAATACATCAAACCGGTGCTTTCTGTATACTACCACAACATCCAAAAACCGAATCCTCGTTTGTCAGCTCATGAAAGTTCCAACATGGCCCATTCTGCCTCGACAATTCTAGACGATATTATCGATGAGCTCAAACTTAGCTACGACTCGTCCATTGGAGTGCTAGAGGGGCCCTCCATCGGAAAGGTTCCCAGCAGAAACATACTATTGAATTTGGAGAAACTTCTAACAAAACTTTCCAACGAACTAGATGTGGTTTCGGATGCCGATTCCATGGCAATTATAGCCATCAACAAAGCTCTTAATATCGACGGCCCAGAGCCCGAACCAGAAGCTGAAGGTACCAGCGGTGTCAAGCACGACTTATCCGACGACAGTGAAAACGAACCCCTCGCAAAACGTAGACAACTTCCTCGCGACGAACCAGAGAAAGTGGACGGAGATCAGAACCTCAACTCCAAAGACGACGACGTTCCGCCGGTCCAGAACGGCTCTTATACACAAGAGAATGACACACGATTAAAAAACCCCAAATCCGAGTTCATATCACTGCAGACTCTCCCAGCGAAAGCCATCAATGAGCTTGGTCTTTTCTCTGAAGAGTCAAACGGCTTGGAAACCCAAGGAAAGGAATACCTCAAGAAAAAGTATGGTGTGAGCTCTTACCCCGAAAAGGATCTTCTTGACTTGCTTCCTGGAGAAATACCGGACATAGACTTTTCGAAGAACAAACCTCCGTCAAATCAAGTACAATTCACCACCTTCCAATCATATATCGAGTCTTTTTTCCGTCAGTTTGTACCCGAGGATATCAACTTTCTTAACCAGAAGCATATAATGCCTCCTGACTTTGACTTTTCCAACTACGATCCGGAAGTCACCCCATTTTTAATTCCTCGCTTAGGCGACTTCTATGCTGATGTATGGGCAGAGGAAGATGCTACGTTGGGCGCGAAGCTTAATTCACCAGCACTTCAGCACAGTCAACATCCCGACGTGTTCAAACCTCGTGGAAGTATCGAAAATTTGAACGATGACAAGCTATACACGGAGGAGATTTCGTGCGGTCCTCTTTCAAACCGTTTGCTATCAGCGCTCTTGAGTATACCAGAAGGTAGAGCACATCTAGATGATGATACTGAAGCAATGCTTTCTGACGAGGAAGTGGCAACGCAACTCGATACAGGCGATGACTACAAACTCACTACTGAAGCACCTGACTTTTATTCTGTCGAAGAACGTCTCAAGAAAGAGTTGAAATATATTGGTATTTTCATGAACCTTCCTACCACGCGTGAAGAAACCAAACTTAAGATCAATGGACGCACACTCAAAGGTAGTAACACCGGAAGTATTTTGGATACTGACGAGTGGATACTAAGCAAAGAAGATGACGAAGTATGTGCTGAATTGAGAACATTACAAAAAGACTTGAAAGAAGCCTCCACTCGAAATAAAAGTAACAAGAAGAAGCTTATCCCCATCATAGAGGAACAATTAGCATGGCAGGAGTACTGTACGATTTTGGAGGATTTGGACAAGCAGGTAGACCAAGCTTATATGAAGAGGCTTAAAGCTAAAAACAAAAAGAAGAAAACAGAGGTGACTACTACTCCGCAACAACAAGCCGTCAATAGCGGATTGAAGGCTTTGCTATCCAAGCGTAAGAGATGGATAGAGAACATTGGAAGATTGTTCAAGTCTCCAGAATTAATGATGAGGGTTCCAAGTGAATCTGTGTTGAACGGCGGTGTTGTGGATGAAGGAGATGAGGAAGATGAGGAAGAAGAAGAGGAGTGATTTGTTTGAGACTGTCATTAATCTATGTACACTATTATTTTTATGTCGTGGACCTATTTCATACCTTCTATTATATAGCTATGCGAAGGGAGAGTCTTCACATTACCCATTGCAGATATAGCAATAGGCTTATCTTTCAATCTATAGTTGGCCCAATCCACGACATCTTTCACTGTAATGGCTTCAACCCGCTCGAATACTTCTTCGGGAGATAAACGGTAGCCAGTGTTAACGAGCTGTCTGCCGATATCTTCTGCAATGGCAGTAGAGTCGTCCAAGGCAAGAACGAGCGAAGCCTTTAACTGGGCTTTGGAGCGCTCGACTTCTTCCTCCGTAATAGCACCAGTACGAAGACGGGCCCATTCTTTCAAAACTGCATCGGTGAATAATTTGAGGTCAACATCTTTATCAGCAGTAAAGTACACTCCCATGAGCCCAGTATCAGCATAAGAGGTGGTGTAAGCCATGTAGGAATTGGCAATAGGAGTTTGGCCCTTTCCACCGGTAGCAGCAGTCAATGCGAGCGGCGATGGAGAATTCGAACCAATGCCTACCGATCTGTCCCAGGTGCCAACAATTCCGTTTGCAACCGAGGCAGTGAAGAAGTCTGGGGCCGACCAACTCACTCCTTCCACCGCGAAAGCAACGTGTGTGTTGGGTAATGAGTCGTCTTGAATCCGTATTTCGTTGCCATAGAATACAGGCAAGTCTCCTCCACCCTGGGTGAAAGGAATCTCACTCTTCTTTATATGGCCAAATTGCTTTTCGGCTTGTGCTACCAAAGCATCATGGTCGACGCAGCCTACACCTATGAGAGCCATACGGTCTCCTTTGTAGTTTGCAGTGATGTAGTTGACCAAATCTTCTCTGCTTATGGTGTTGATTATCTCTCGGGGACCCAAGATGGTGCGACCCAAGTCCTGGTTCTTGTATGCAACATCGTGCAAGTGGTCAAACACCACTTCGTCGTACATCTTGTCGACTTCGTCACTTTCTTGCAAAATTACATGACGCTCGTTCTCGATGGCTCGAGGCTCGAGTTTGGATCTGGTGAGCAAATCACTCAAAATGTCGATATTCTGGTTGATGTCGGACTCGAGACACCTTGTGTAATACACAGTGTTCTCTCTTGAGGTGTAGGCGTTGATTTGAGCTCCCAAATTTTCGATTTCAAGTTCAAGATTCAACTGGGTGCGCTTGTTGGTTCCTTTAAATGCAAGGTGCTCGAGAAAATGAGCGGTTCCGCTGTTCTTTGGGTTGTCAGCTCGCGAGCCAGCGTTGATCCATACTCCCACAGTAGCTGTTTTCGTCCCTGGCATCACTTCGGACGCCACAGTCAAACCATTGGGAAGCGTACTAGTTTTGAAGGTAGGAACTGGAGACGAAGCTGTGTTCAAGAATCGCCTGAGCAGCACTCGGTTCTTGCGTGCTAATGATCTGAGCATTATGCTATTTTGTCACTGTTACCAATTTACAATCTTTGAAGTACAACTGAGAAGTTTCCAAATTATTTGTCAGTGCGAAATTTCTAGACTTGCATTTTGCACCCGCTACATCATGGATCACTAATTCTATCAATTGTTGTCTATGTACTCGTGGTGGTGCTGGGGCTGCTCTTCGTGTTCATACTGAAACAATGGTTTCCGCAAAGGCAGCGTCATTTTCATATTTTTGTTCACAAATTCAATGTATTTTTTCTTTTCTTCCTCTTTCATAGTTTTGTCAATTACAGCCAACGGCCTCTTGAAATTTCGAGGCTCGTTTGGATCGGCTTCTTCAAAGAGGAACTTCTTCTCCTCTGCGTGCATCGAAGTGAGGTTCCTGGTCGCATAGTACTCGGACAAGATGGCTTCATTGTGCTTCAAAAGCATATACACCTCTTCGTCTGACATTTCCAAAACGAGATTGGTGAGCCTAGTACGCAATGCCACGACACTACCGCCAACTTTGTAGTCGTTTGCATCGAAAGCAGCCTTGACGTCGTCGGCAGAAACCCACAAATTGAGTTTGGGCACAAAATGCCAGTCTTTGAACTCGGTACTGACCATACCGTTGATGTACTCGAAAGTCAACCGCTCGGAAATTTGGTTGGGAACGTAGAGAGGAACCCCAGACATTTGGGTGAATCTGAGTGGGGACAACTGGTCTAAAGTGTAAAAATGCTTGCGTCTGTCGTTGTAAATGAGCTCGTTCAGATCTTTTTCAAACGTTCCTAATTGATAGTACTCCTCTGGAACCTCAGCTTTGCTCGAACTCAAGCCAGTAATATCAATGTAGATTCCAGTGTCAACATCTATGAAGCGGGCATCGATGTGGTTCTCCCGCCTTGAAATGTCTCTATTGTGTATGAAGGTGCCCACATCAATTAGGTACTTGCCAAACCCTTCCTCGATATCTTCAATAACTAGAGTCTGGTTATGTTTCTCTCCCAAGCGTACGAGTTCCAGAACAGGCATTTGAATATCGATATCATTGTCAAACGGGAACATGAAACCGTTCCAGTACCATGAAAGTAACGGACCGTGCATAATCCAGGTCACGATACCCTTCTCTTGTGCAAACCGGAACCAGTTTCTCAAGAGTCTGTGAAGAATAATTGTGGTTCTGGTGGTTCTTTCCTGTGGAGTCCATCCTTCTTCCTGATATGTCAATCCACCGTTGAAAAATCTCCAGTCATAATGCCAGCCTCTATCGCCGTCTCTGTTTCCGGGATCGTTTCTAAATTCAAGAGTTGCTTGGCGGAAATACGGCCATTCGTTGAAAGTGTGATGGTTCATGCTTTCCTGAATCGATTCTAAGTAGATCTATTCTCGTTTCGTGAGGTCTTTCTGGCCTGCTAATCTCTGTAAAAGAATGCGTTGACGACTAAGGTTTGCTGCGGTATAGTCAAAGGCCTCGGCAGGAAGCGGGAGTGCTTTCGAGGTGCCCTTCTTGTGAGTAGTCTTATACATGCCTAGCACATCGTCTTCTGGAGCTAGGATATGAGGCTTTACTGCCTTTTTCAATGCCTTGAATTCTGTCACTGGATCAAATGTCCATTTATCGGGCACAGTCTTGGAGTCTTTCGGAAGATTTCGGTGCACGAACTCGTTCATCATACCGGTGTTGACAATTCTGCCGTTCGTTTCCTCGTTTCCATCGACCAGTACTTCGTATGTGCCCCCATCTTTGTTCAAGAACAAGATCAGATATGGGTTGGGCATATGGGTCAATGCATACGACTTGGCCTGGGCCAAACGCACTTTCTGGAAAGCTCTCTTCACGGAGTGTCCGTATGTTATGAATCCAGGGAGTTGCTCGTGGCGCTGGAACCCAAACTGCTCTAGCATTCTTGGAGTAATGTCTTTGTTATCGCAGCACTGCAACACCTCATCAGGTACGCTACTCTCGATGATGGAAAACTCCCGTACCCATTTACAATTGTTTCTTTGGTCCAATGGTTTCTCCAAGTCGGCGTTCAAACCGGTCAAATCTATCCAATCTGACCATGCAAAAGGAACCAGAATCTGGTTTTGGTTCGATTCGGGGAGCTCAAATTGGTGACGAATATGATTGAGATATAATGCCAATGTCACCCGCGGGTCGAAAAATAGGGTGTTTTTGTTGCGCCAGGCAGACTTACTGGTCGTATCGTTGAGGAAATCTTGCGGGTTTATGTCGATGGATGTATGAATTAATTGGGTATTATGGAGCCAATGCTTATTGTCCTTATTCTCTGCAACTTCATCTAGAAGTTTCTGTATCTCTTGCTCGTAGTCGTGGCCATCATGTTGAGGATCTGTTTGTTGTTCAAGATCAACATTCAAGTTTTCGGGCTCAGTATTTATTAGTCCGTCCCAGCTACCAGTCTGCGATTTTAGAAGATATACCGTAAAGTAAATCACATTCAAAAGCCCTAGCAAAAGAAAACACTTTTTTATGTGGTTGCTGACCTGCAACATGGCTCATTGAAAAGAAATAAGATATTCTATGTCCAATTCTCAGCCTCCTGCGGCATTCTAGTAATCTCCGCGAAACCGGAAACCGGAGTACAATGGGGCTGTACGTCCCGTTTAGGCAAGCGTTCACGCGCGTTCCTGCGTTGCGATCTCGGGCCGATTGTGCGGTGACGTTTTAGTTTTAGTTTGTGGTGCAGTTGGTGCATGGGTGTCTCCCACTTTCCGAGCCTTTTCGCTGCGAAAAAGTGCACCAAAACAACTGATATGAGCCACGACAATACAGGTCGTCAGGCCAGTCTATTGGAAAAATTGGAGGTGCTCGACTATCATGATTACCAGACCACAAAACATCCGGCCCACAAGCAGTCTGATACTTGCAAACACTTTTTGGAAGAGGGCAGAATTCCTGTTTCAAGATCGGCTCTCTCGCGATGGATCCAGCAAGAACGGCAAATCAGGTATGAGGCTCATTGTCTCACGGAAAGGACCAAGAAACGTAGCAGAGGCCCTCGTGGAGGCAGGAAAGAGTTACTGCTGGTGAAGCAATTTTTACAAGATAACGAACACATTCTTCTGTGCATGGAACAATTCTATATCCAGAACTTATTGGCCAATGGAGATGACGAGATTCCACTCGATAGAGAAGTCTTGGAGAAGTTCAATGAGTTCAAAATTTTGTACGGAGAACTGGATCTGGTGCTGAAAGGGTTTTTGATAGATAACAAATCGTGGCCCAAGGCATTCTTCAAATCACTCGAATCGAAATTGGAACCTCTCCGGTTCACTTTACGACAACAACGCCTGTACAATAGCAGGTGCAAGACTTTAAGTATGGAAAGAGAGCGCCTTCAGAGTGCACTTAGTGGCTACGATTTTGATTCTATCTATCAATTAAGCGAGATGTTGATAGATGTCTCCAGCGTTTTGAGCCTCACAGACTTCGACATGAAATACTTGGAAAACCTCGAGTACCCTGAGGCGTCTCCGAGAGACGTGACGATGGTTACTCTTGGTATAGCCGCAAACTTGGCAGGCAACGACTTTCCTGAACCGTTAATTCTTTCAAATGCGCCCAATTCTACCAACGAATTCAATCAGTCGCCGTTGGACCCGTTCTACTTCTATGAACCAAACGGCCTTAACACACGCGAGATCTTTATCCAGTACCTTTCCGCGTGGAATACGCAGCTCCGTGTCAATGGAAAGTCCATTGCATTGATGCTTGATACTTACTGGTGCCACTATGGGCTCGGAAAATCAACGCTCAATCGATTTTCCAACATTAAACTTGTATTTGTGTCTTCAAGATACGACAAGACGGCGTCTTTGCATCACCGTATACTGCTCCGGCTTCCACTCTCAATTGGTTTCGAGCGTCTAGTAAAGACACATATCAAGCAAAATCTTTACAGAAAACTCCTAAGTGAAAGGAAAGCACTTGGAAAACTCAAGCTCCTCGAGGATGGACATGGTATCACCGGTTGTATCCGCTACTCGTATAAAGAAGTAGTGGGTCTTATCAAAAAAGATTACGCTTACTTGGTGCATTTTAAGCTTGGAGTAGTTGGGAGTCGTATCTTCGAGGAAGGAAAACCGACAATTGAACACTCCTCAGACGAATACACTGACAGCGAGGATCTTCCTCCAGATTTCTATCTGCGAATGGGTCCGTTTATGCGAGACAATATTCCTATTGAGTTCAGTGAGGAAATTTATTACTCCCAAAAACGTAATGTATTGATACTTCGCAAGGACCAGCAAATATTTCGACGATTTGTTGAAGAAATAGCTGCTGCTTTCCAAGCTAAAAACTCATATCCACCGCCATTACAGACTATACAAAGTATCATCGGTCGAGATCTCGCCCAAGGGAATAATGAAATAAAGTTTAACAAGCACTATTCAATGACCGCAATCGTCGAAAGGGTGAAACTACAGATTGAGCATAAAAACACATTACAAATTGAACCTGAAAGACCCACACTTAAAAACGCCGAAGCTATTAGGTTCCTCAGCCGCAGATTGCAACCGCTCCTCTATATGCAAGACCAATACCTCAAGCAGCCGCTGGATACTCTCGAGCTCTTTCACAAGTTTTACATGTCGTACCTACGCGACAACACGGAAATATTGGTTATGCCATCAAGATACAGGCTAAAGCGGCCACGACTCGCCACCGCCACAGTTGATCCCGATTCTTCCCAGGACCCTGACCTGTCCACCCAAACATCTTCGGTGTCTGGGTCTGATACCGAGGTGAGTTCGGACGAGGAAGAGGAGCCCCAATTCAAGCGCAAGTCATTTTATGAGCCCGAAAAAGACGGATCTTCGTCTCCCATACGCACTAAGCGTTCCCTGCGCTCGGTCACCCCCAGCTCGCCCACGTATCGTACAACATTTAGTGACTCGGACTGAATCGGGCTGCTTACGTCATCCCATAAGCCCGGGGCGTTTCTTTTTTGTGCGACTCAAAGTCACAAGATATGAAAAAAGATAAAAGTGGATAATATCCGCGAGCCTGTGCAAAATCTGTACAATATGAAACTTTTCGAAAGTAACCATCATTTTGATTATTCGTGGGAGCAGGTGACTGCGGCCAATTGGCAAAAGTACCCCAATGAGCTTTCGACTCACGTGGTTTCGGTCGACATTTTGGACCGGTCCATCGATACCGAAAAGAAGATTTTACGCACAGAACGACTTATAGGTTGCAAACAGGCAATTCCAAGATGGCTCTCATGCATAATTGGTGGACAGGACTTGTCGTATGTGCGGGAAGTCAGTGAAGTGGACTTGCAGAACAAAACGTTGGTGATGAAGTCCCACAATATGACGATGAGCCATTTATTATTGGTTAATGAAACTGTAACGTACCGTCCCGACCCCGAATGTCCCGACAGCCGAACCACCTTCACCCAGGCTGCGGAGATCACAGCATATGCATCGATCCGCCGATTATGTGAACGCATAGAAGATTGGTCGGTGGAAAGATTCGGACAGAATGCCAAGCGAGGGAAAGCAGGGTTCGAGAGTGTTCTCAAGTTGTTGCTGGAGAAATTGGACGAGTCTGAAGTATTCGTTTCTGACGTGAGTCAAACATTGATGAAGGATATCAATAACGTTGGGGAGAAGACCAGCGGGGTGTTGAACGAGGTGAGAAAGTTGAAATTGTTTCTGGAAGAAACCAAATAGACATGCGGCAGAGCCGTCAGTATAGATCATACCAGCATTGAATAGCATATAGTAACGACTAAAGAGTATCTTTATCCTAAGGACTGTATGCACTGGAGTATGTACCTGTATGCATGCAGACGTCAAAATGCACGTTTAACGCAAACTTCAGATCTTTTGTGCATATCATGAGTGTAGAGGACCGTATCGACGATGCGGTGGAAAAGTATCAGCAATCCAAAATAAATCAACACAATGGCTTAAGCGAGTCAGATGACAGCGACGCAGAGTTTCTCGATTTGCTTGACGACAACGAAATGGCGCGTATACGTGATGATCGCATGCTGCAACTTAAGCGTGAATTTCGGGAAATAGATCGAGCAGCGTCACGCCAAGGTTTTGGAACCGTCAATTTTGTTTCAGATGAAAAAGCAGTTATGGAAATTGTCACCAAAAACAAGGATGTGTTGGTACACTTTTACCAGCCAGATTTCCCAAAATGCACCATCATGAACGAGCGCCTTAATGTAAGTACTTGCCACATGATTTTTTCATAGCACAATATATGGGCTCACTTGCTCCTCTACTAACTCAGATCCTTGCAGAAAAGCAGTTAACTCTTCAAATTGTTGCAATTAAAGCCGTTGATGCACAGTTTCTCGTTCAGAAATTGAACGTCAAAGTGCTCCCTTTTGTGGTCGCCTACAAAAATGGCTTGGAAGTGACTCGTATAGTGGGATTCGAGCGTTTAGCGGACGAAGGAGGCTCTGATTTTAGCGTTGCATCGTTAGAAGCATTATTGTACAAGCATGGAGTTCTTCAAAGAACGAGCAAAAATCATAAATCGGGACGAATTGGCGTTCCAGACGCGGAGGAATCCGATTTGGATCTTGATGACTAGCTGAAATTGGAATTTTAAGGCATTTTTCTATTATTTGCAGCATATCATCTTTTTCAACTTGAGCCAAATGCTGCTTAAAACCGCTAAGAATTTGCGTTTGCGATACAAAGAGGATTTATCGCTGATAAGACTGTGTGCATAAAGCTGCCGCCTGTTGGCTATCACTGCATCGCCAAGCATTGTATGAGTTTAGTGTGAGTTTAATGTATGCCACAGAACGGCTGCAAATGTGGTCACGTGACTTGGATCGAAGACAGATACAATTAAAGACAAGTGAAGATTTTTTGGAATGTCTTCTATATAGATGAGTCAGGATAGTGGTGTTCATTTAGATATAACGAAATTTACCCTCAATTGGTAAGAATAGAAAAGTATTGAATACGAGCAAAAATGCAACAGCTTAATATACTGATTACAACCTTTGGAAGAACAATATATTCCTACAGGGGAGCAATCGAAGTGGCCAAAACCACACTCGGCTTCATTATCGTTTCCATTGCTTTGAAATTACCTACTTCTACCTACTATTTCTAGAGTGTCGTAGGGCTCCAGCCCTGGCCTGCATCTCGTTTTTGTGTCACCAAAATTTTCTACATCTCCAACCTGCGAATTTTTTGTCATCCACCATTTGGTAAGAAAGAAGCAGACTTTGCCGACAAGCCAATATGCAAATTTTCGTCAAGACCTTAACCGGTAAGACCATCACCCTCGAGGTGGAGTCTTCCGATACCATCGACAACGTCAAGTCCAAGATCCAGGACAAGGAAGGAATTCCTCCAGACCAACAACGTTTGATTTTTGCTGGTAAGCAGTTGGAAGATGGTAGAACCCTTTCTGACTACAACATCCAGAAGGAATCGACTTTGCACTTGGTGTTGAGATTGAGAGGTGGTGGTAAGAAGAGAAAGAAGAAGGTCTACACCACCCCAAAGAAGATCAAGCACAAGCACAGAAAGCACAAGTTGGCTGTGTTGACCTACTACAAGGTTGACAACGACGGAAAGGTCGAGAGATTGAGAAGAGAGTGTCCATCTATCACCTGTGGTGCTGGTATCTTCATGGCTGACATGAAGGACAGACAATACTGTGGTAAGTGTCACACCACCTTCAAGTCCGCTTAAGTTTGCTGCAGCTCATCTCTGGGTGTAGTGATCTAGTGGACTGTTGTAGCGACATGATTGCACGGTGATGGTACAAATTGCTGTGTCATTGCGTTGTTGTAACTGATCTGGTACTTAATACATGTCTTTCAAAGTAATTCTGTAGATGGTTCTGTAAGCAGTTTATTATGACGAGTACAACCATGTACATAAACTGATCAAAACAAATCATTAACCAGTTACTGATTGTCTCAAATCTCTTCTCTTCACTCTCTTCTCTTTACACGCTCCGCTCCGCTCACTCTCATTATTCCTGCACATCTTACCTGGATTTCATAACACCTTCCACCCCATTATGGCGTTCTCCATCTACGAGCTTGATGACGATATAAGGCGTCTTCTCAACCTCGACAACTTCCTAGAAGGGTTATCGATCCCTGAGTTTGTCGAAGAATTGAGCAAAGACCACATTTTGAAGGGTGCTGAGGTCAACAAGCTCGAATACCTCGATCCGAAACCCTATATCAGAACATTTGAAAGCACATTAAAGGAGCTTGACGAGCTCCGCAAGCACGCAAACCGCCGTCGGGAAGACGCTGAGAAAAAAGTGGACGATTTTGAGCTTAAACACAGCGAGAATGTGTTGGAACTCTCGTCCAAAGTTGATTCGGTCACCAAGAAATTTGATTCGCTCGATGTGAAGATTAGTGGCGTGTCGCTGAAGATCGACCCGTTGGGCCAGCTGCTCAACAAAATCACCAACTCGCGTGATAGGTCGACAGAAACTATTTTTCTCATCAGAGCCTACCATGGATTCTACACCAAAGACAAATATGATCCGTTGGAATACCTCCGTACGAGCAACGACTACGACGACAGGGTTAAGTGTGCGAAAACAGTGAACAATTTGCTTACTTTGGCCAAGAAAATAGAGGCACCTGAGTTTGCCAAAACCGCAAAGTGTGTCAAGACTATCGAGAAATTTGCCGAGACCATGGAGCTTGATCTCTTGGAGAGCTTCAGAACCGCATCCAAGGATGATGACTACGCCAAAATGCGCGAGGTTACCAACATTTTGTTCCAGTTCAATGGAGGAGCTACCGTGGTCCAAGTATTCGTTAATGAACATGAAGTGCTTTTGGACGACGGTCTGAGCGAGGAAAACCCACTTTTGGACGACGAGGCTTTCTGGACGAAGCTTTCAGACCCGAATTATGGTGATACTGTCCAAGATGAAGCCACTAAAACCAGCTTGGAAGCATTGCGAGTCTCGATCAAGGGCCAAGCTCGTATCATTCGTGAGGTCTTTGAAGATACCACACCTGTACTCAAGATTCTCTTTCAGCGTATCTACGCCCAGATAATCCAAAACCGGATCGGCACGCTGCTTCAATACTCCTTGTCTGTCCTGACGTTAGCTCACATTCGAATCTTGCATGCATTATACGTATTGGTGAGCGACTTCACCAATGACATTAAAGAGTTTCTCAGCGCCAACGACCTCGACAAAAACAACGAGTTGGCACTGATTTTAGATCAAAGTAATTTTGACCTTTTCATCGAGTACTTGTCGGACGATACCTACTTAAGCAGGGAGAAGAAAACCTTAGAGGAAACAGTTTACAATTTTGCCCATGGCTATAACGTTTATCATGAAGCTGCCCTTAATAACAAATATTTGACCACAAGACTTGAAAATTTGGACAATCTTGAGTTAAAGAACAAAACTCAATCACAAGACAATCGGTTCAGTTTCCATTTTCTTGAGAAAAAGCGAATCAACCAGTTTACTACTTACATGAAAACTCATATAGCTGATAGGGTACCCCGAAAATCAGTGGATAACGACGAACCTGACTACTCCGAAGATGCACAATTAGATGTTGCGAAGGTGGGAATTGTCGTAAAATCGGCTATAGAATCAATCGCCAGAATTTTGGAGCTTGCCCAGCAAAAAACCCCAGAGTATTCTCTCGAAATATTGGAGATTCTCTTATTTGACTTTGGTAAACTCTACATTGGAGCCGGTCTCGAAGTGGCGTATGACACATTGAAACATGAAAGTGCAAGCCTGAAAGCTGGAAACTTTCCAAACCTTTCATTTTTGGCTGCGGTTGGCCTGACAAGTGAATTTCTCTTTTTATTATCATCTTGCATCAAGAAAATCATTCTTCCTTGTGCTGTGAATGTCCCCAATATCAAAAACAGAATGACAGGGCTTACGAATACCTACATTTCTCGTTGTGAGATTTCCATCAACATTATTGTTAATGAGACTATAGAATTCATTTGCCAACGAGTTGCAAACGCATTGGCAAAGCAAAAGAAACGAGATTTTGTCAGAGACAATATCAGTGAAGACGATACTGAATCATGTGAAGAAGTTGCAGCTTTCTTAACGTACTGCTATGAAGAGCTTCTGAAATACTTGAACAGTACCAACTTGCATAATGTCTTGGTCAAAATTGGCCTGAATGTCCTCAATCAGCTTTTGGAACATTACAAAAAGTTTTCTGTGAATTCCACCGGTGGTATAATTCTCACAAAGGATGTCATTACGTATCAATCCGTCATTGACCACTGGCAGATTCCTGAGCTATCGGAGAACTTCCAGCTCTTGAAGGAGATTGCAAACTTATTCACAGTCCATCCAAACTTGATCAATTCGTTGGTAACCGAAGGACAGCTTGCAAACTTGAAACCATACACTATCAGACAGTACATTTCAAAACGTTCAGACTTTAACCCTAGTTATCTCGAGCGGTTTTTTAGTTTCAAGTAATGTCTTAGATGCCGGCAAAATAAGTAGCGAACAATGCATATATCATGACAAATATCAATCCGAAGTGGAGTAGAAACAGCGACATGCTTCTGTTGTCATCTTTTTTAGGGAGCCAAGCGTACAGAGGAAGCACATTCGATCTTAAATTGAGGTTACCGACCAGGGGAAAGAAGACTATCGCCAAGTAACCGATGGTGAAAAGAAGCAAAAGAATATATGAGTAAATTGCATAGTAAGGGCTGGGCATGTAGCACATTGATGTTTGGTATGTTTCTTTTGGTTCCCGGTGAGGATTAGGGTCGTAGGGATTATGAAGCGAAAGGAGCTGAATAGCAGGATATTTGATACCTGACGTCATAGCCGCAGATTTAACTGCAATCTCGCGGGCAACCCGTTCTACGCCATTAGCTGTATATGGCTGTCTTATGTCACAGTAATCGTGGTCATCGCCTGCAAAAACGATGTCTGGATGAATGACTTCAAGAACAGTTTGAGAAATATCGTACTCTATAACTGTCTGATATTGCTTTCCCTTTTGCACAGGGAAGAGTTTCTTGGATTCACGCAACGGACCACACAACTGTTGTTCGTTTCTGCGGTAGAGAGGAACATGGGTCAAAAGAATTCGAGGAAACTGAGGATTCAACTGCGAGTTCACAGTATTCAAAAATTGTGTGGCCTCGAAATTTATTGAGTCGTCAGATGAAGAAAGGGATATGGTGTCCAAAATCACTATGGAGTGGTTCCCTATGACAATATAGTCATTTGGCTCACCGAAAAACGTGGAGAATCGAGTCACCACGTCTTTATGGATAGTGTCAAAGCCTATATCGTGATTTCCAGGAAGCGACTGGACGGTTCTGCGGTTGAGTTTCTTGGGGTATATCTTGTTAAACCGCTGGTATTCCTCAAACCAAACGTCGTTTTTCCATTCACGGCCACCATCAAACAAATCGCCAAGAAAGATGGTGGTATCCGGGTCGAGGTAAGCTTGAACAAACTTGTTATTTCTGTACAAGTAATTGTCGCTGATTTTTTTGACAAAATAGGTTATGAATCGCCCGTTGGTGTATGAATACGCGTCCACTATCTGGGGATCAGCAACCAATGCTGCTCTATGAGGAGGTGAGCCGGTTGGCCATTGCTCCCATTTGTTCCATTGGCACTTTTTGATAGTATTATAAACATGAACCCTTTCATGGTAATGTATTGTGACGGCCCAGATGGCCATTAGGAGCACAAGAAGTCTCCATTTTATTTTTGAAGAGCCTGACCAGGTAAATGCTTTTTGGTACTTGGAGCTATCGATTCTGAACGGTTTGAATTTTCTGGATTCTGGGGCTCCAATGGGTGCTGGTAAGCTTTCTCCGCCTTTCCTGCGATACATGGCCTCTGGTGGCCACCAATGGGTTGTTGTTAAATGTCTCGTGGAGATTAGACGAGATAAATCGATATTTAATATCGATATTAAAATCGCGAAATTCACTTCTTTCTTCTACACACTCATCGACCTCTTTTCAGTGTGGAGAGTGATGGAGGGTGGTCGTGGTTCAAGTTCCCGAGCCTCCAGAAGAAAGCCGTCTCTGACCACCACTTTGTTCAACTTTGAGCGTGTCAATGGCCTTATATATCGTGATGAAGAAATCACCATTTCCCCAGCAGTTTCCTCCGACAAGCTATACACCGATCTCCTTCCAGATGATGCCTTTGTGCTTCCCAAACGCCCCTCAACGGCCATAGTGGTCCATGAAACAGTACGACCTCGAAGGACCCGCAATAATCTTCCAGAGCCTCTTCCTGATGATCTTTATATCGGGTTTCACCGACGACTAAAACGAGAAGAAACCGTCATGACAAACGCAGATATTCTGAGATTGCTGCTGGAAATCGACAGATTGAAGGACCATTTGCGGATCCTTCGAAGCTTGGACTGGGCACGGCACCTTCCAACAATTACCGTCGTGAATAATAGAAGTGATTCCAACGAAATGAATTATAAACGTAAACTAACAATTGGAGAAATTGAACGACTTATAGCCAATTACGATCTGTGGTGCCGGCGCCAGGATCGGTTGCGTGCTGAAAATCGGCGTCTGGATACACACGAAGACCCATCTGATGACGAAGATGTGTTCTCCATTTCTATCGAACAACTTCGAGAACGCCGTGGGAAACAAAAAACCTCCAAACTTCCCCACTTAATACTAAATCTTAGGAATGGGTATGCCATCATTAGCGAGCCGTCGAAGTTTCCCAGGATAGCGCCCATCAACGACGATATACATCTTTCGTACGACAAGGAACACAATATTGCATTTGGATCACCGATCCCTTCTATACGCCAACGGGACTACTCTCTTGCACGAAAATTGAGGTCAAGATAGAACTATTTACTTTAGCTGAAAGTATCCATTTCCTCAATAAACCGCGTAAACACCTTGGCCATTTCAGCACGGCTAGTTTTGTCCATATGCCACTCGTAGAGCAATGGTCCAACTTTTGCAGCTTCTGGCTCCCTCCGAAACTCTGAATCAACTCTCCGAGGATTAAAAGCCTCGATTTGTGACCGAGAAATGCCAAACTTTTCACACAAGAAGTTTCTGAAGTGTAGCATTCCACTGAGTCCCTCGGTGGCATAGAATAAGCCGTACACCTGTTTTTTAGGTAAATCTTGAGTACCGTCCTCAAGCTGCTCTGCAAGATCCATTCCCTCCCGTGAGAGTTCTCGCTCGATAGCCACTACTAAGCTCAAGACTTCTTCTAGCGTCAGAAATCTCACCTCCGCTGCATTGGAAACCACAAACTTAACTAGTTTGAGTTGCGCAAGAGATTCTTCTGTCCCGATACGTAATTGAACTTTGAGGCACTTCACAAGAGCAGCTACCAACTTTTTCTTGGAGCTAGCTGTTTGAGATGCGATTTCGTAAAGCAGCTGCAAAAATAGCTTGGAGTGTTTGTTAACCTTCTGCGCAAGCCGAATACTCTCAGGGTAGTTGGAACTTACTAAAGACTCGTGGTGTTCAATCATATGCAAATGCAATTTTTTGGCCTCGTCTGAAACCCAACTATTTGGGGATGCCTCAAGCGCAATGACAGTTGGAATGCATACTTTAGGGTTGGCCAAACCTGACTCCACGATTTCTCTGAGAAGAGTGAAGGCAGACTGTGCTGTCTCATCTCCATTGAGGCATAATTTCAAAATCAGAGGCGTGTACCTTTGAGAAATACTGCCACTAACGCCCTCTAGTGCACTGGTAGCTCCAAATTTCAGTCCCTTCTTCTTTCCCTTTATCTGTCCTTCTTTTACGTTTTTCACGTTGTGCTCTAGCTTCAAGAAGTCGTATAATCCCTCCACAACTACCGCTTGTATGGAACTTTTCTTTTCAAAAGATTTGTCCAATATATCCAAGATCAGATTTGACGTGAAGAGTTGAGGGTTTCTTGACGAAACAAGAATAAGAGCACGAATGGAAACAAGTGCCAATTCGTCGCCATGCCCTTCGCAAAAAAACAATAGATACTTCGAAACCAAACTAGTAACTGTTTCATTCTCACGAAGTCCCACCGCCGCCATTGTCAAGGTCTCACGATGCTCTTCAAAATTGCAGTAAGCGCCAAAAGAACCTAGAAGATCAATGAGTTTTGCAGCCTTGCCGCTCTCAAGTATATCCTTGGAAGAACCGCTGAGGTCTTTCAATTGTTTCATCAATGGTTTTAGCATTCTAATGCATGATATAAGAGCGTTCACAACCTTCTGAGAGCTCTCAGTTCGGGAACATAAGGACCATAGACATGGAACGGCTTCCTGTAGTGCCTTGAAGCCATATTTTGTAAGTTTGCTCAACAATAATGATTCCACAGAAGATGCAAAAGTTGGAGACATTGCAACAAAAGCCGGAATGACATGCCGATAAATCATTAAGATGCGAAGATATGACGCTTGAGGTGTAGTGTCATCTTGCAAGAAGGGTAAGAACGACAGTAGTTGACTTTGGTTGATCATCTTTCCATTATACAGCACAAAAATTGAAATCAAGTAAAGTGCTTTGTCGACATCCTTCTGATATCTGGTATTCATGCCGTCAATTACAAACCCAATCAAAGAGTCAATTATTGGGTACAAGCCAGTCTGAAAGTCTGTGCCTAAAATTTTGTTTTCGAGCCAGTAACGAAAGGTTTCTTCCCTTTTCAAGGCAACATCCATCATAACTTCGGCCACTTCTAGAATGGGTATTGTGTCGTGCTTTTTAATCCACAAATCGATGTAGTCAGCATTCAATTGCTCAACAATGAAATCATCTTCATCGTGCAACCGGTCAAGCATTCTTACCGCAATATACACTTTGATCCTCCTCTCTTTGGTATTTTCATACATGACACGAGCAAACTTCACAACTCTACGTCTCACTTGTACGCTGTCATCATTGAACATTTCACAAATCACTTTGTAAAAGCCTCGAATAACCTCTGGTTTTGAAGTCAAGTATTTCGTAACCAAGTCGATGGAAGCGTCCCGTACCAGAGCGGAAGAATCAAATAACGTTTCTGATATAACTTCTTGTACTTTAGGTTGAAGAAGCACGGTATCATTTTTTTCAACCAAAACGGAGAGAATCTTGATTGCTCGAGACTTAAGTTTGATCTTGTTACTTCCCAATGCTTCCACAACAATTGCAACAAAACTTTCATGGAGTTGACTTAAGGTGCCGTGGGACCGAAACTTTATATGAGCAGCATTGTCAAACATCTGCGTCGCACCACTACGGAGTGTCACAGACCCTTCTGCCAAGGCGTCGAGTAGATATTCGACTACCTCGGTACTATTGGTTTCAGGTGAAATAGGCTCTGAACTGAGTGCTTGGAGTTGACTTTCATTGACAGGATTATCGACAAACGGTTCCATGAAAGAAATGAACTGCAATGTGAGAAAGTTGAAAGCATCTTGTATTTCTGGGTTCTTATTCTTGAGTCCTTGCATTCGGCACAACGTACTTTCCATACTAGAGCGCATTTCTGAAATCTCTTCGGTACTTACTGGTGCTAATGCAGTGCCGCCGAATGAGTTCTTGTCCTGACCCAAATCTAAAAGCTTTTCCCCGATAACACCAATCATGTCGAGTGCAAAGCTTTCTTGTTGAGATGTTGATTGAGTAGCTTTCTTGAAACCCTCTCGAAGAATCTTTACAAATGTTGAGAATAGACACTCGATATAGACCATAGCAGCAGGGCATTCGGGATTGGCAACAATTCCAATGAGATCATCTACCAAGGACTGAAGCACCTGCTTGCTGGTCATGTTACCTCCTGGGATAGATGAAAGAAGTCCTTCTACAGCCTTGACCGCGATTTCTCTAGTTTCTGACGTTATGGCGGTTGCCGATGTAACCACTTCTTTCAAAGATCTTGTGTTATGCTTTTTCCTCGGGCCATAGGATTGAATAAGTTGTTCAAGCTGATAGCTATCAACCGATTGTAGCAAATTCACGAGCAAAGCAGTATGCAATTGAACTCCGACGCCCCTTCCAATTTTGACGGTTTTGACTTTTGACAAAGTGAGCTTGTCGATGCTGTTGAATATTTCGTTTAGAATGAAAAGCCGCTGATCCGCGTAACGCTTAAATATAGTAAGAATCAAGGAAGAGAGATCCATTTTTATGCTTTCCACTAATTCCATCGGAACTGCTGTTTCTGCATTTTTCGGGGGAGTGTCGCAGAATATCAAGGACACACAAAGGTTTTCCAATTTCGTGACCAAATTGTCATCAAGGTCGTTCGTGCTAATGTATCGAATGAGGGTGGTGATTACTGATGAAAGCGACGAAATACATCGACCGAGAGAACTTTTGTACTTGGTGGTTTTCGAAGATATAAGCAGCCTGAGTGCGTCCACGAATTGCAGCACAAAGTCCACAACAGCAATTAAGGGCTCTTCCACATGTAGCTGCTTGATATCTTTCCTGCTCCCGTTTAAAATCAGAAGAATTATTTTTGATGCTATTATGCTTCTCAATGCTGTTTCGATGAGGTTTTTAATTCTCTGTGATGACTCTGCTTCAATATTTCTCTTCAAGGTGTCCCAGTCTATTGAGCATCCAAAGATGACAGATGTGTTGCACCATCGCTGAATTTGAAGGAGGCAATCTGTATCACAAGTACTTAGCGCTGAAAAAGCACGAGTGATATGGTCATTTAAAGTAGTAAGACTGGCGATCGATAAAAGAATTATTTCGCCACTAGGCTGCCAGTTCGAATTGGCAGAACCTTCTGTAGATGCAAGTTGGTGAACGAATTGTTCGAGCTGGAGCCTATCGTCTTCGATCAGGCTCTTGTGTAGTCGTTTCGAGCCTTCGACTATGTCTAAATCAAATGTCCTTTTGAGAGCTGAAGGCTTGTTCTGACTAACGACGCGATTGTAATGCTCCATAAACTCCTCTTTGGGCATCTCTTCAAGTTCAGAAGGGGTATATATATGAGGTCTGGCCGCTCTTTCTTGTCTATGTTTGGGACTGTAGCTAAAGGTGTTGCCTTTAAGGATGGCTGCTTCAAAAGGAGATAGTTTTTCGTCATTAGTGGTATCGTGGGCGTTCTTGGTGGCCGTTTTCTCAAAGATTTCCAAAACGAGGGGACTTTCAAATTTGTCCAATTCTTCGATCAAGAGTAATTCGTCGTCTGTAAGAGCATTTTGAACACGGTTTTCTGGACCAGCACTGTTTTTCTCGGTTTGATCTGTTTTTTCGTCTCCATTCGTGTCCAAGACGCGTCCTTCTTCTGCTAGAGGAACCACCGGAGTCAAATTTAACGTTGCAATCATCGGGAACATATCTTGCTTTGGAATCAAATGGGTAAGCGGCGTGACGCTGAGCGCCTGTCGCAAGGTTATGGGTTCTTCCAAGGACATAATTGGAAGGAATTATTTGGGTAAGGTATAGTTGAAGAGTTACTCGCGACGCATTCTTTGATCTGGAGAGAAGTGTGAGTGGTCCTGCAGACAACCGATGGCTGCAACTAAGGTGTTTAATAGAGAGATGCAAATGTATTAAAATTATTAGGCTGGATGAGTTTTGAGCAGCCCGGAGCCGATGTATGCTATTTAGTGATGGAATTGAGCACTTTGGTCACTTTTCGCTTTCAAATGAACGCAATTGCTGAACTGCCTTTTGGCGGATATCGGACGGTGCATAGTGTTCTCTTATTCCTTGAATTGACCACATCCGAGGACGAGCCACCCAATTCAAGAACATATTGCGTAGTAAACCTCCATTGTAGCTGTAAATAAAATTTTCGCTGTGTTTGAGCAGCAGACCACGAACATAATTCAAGAATTCTCTCGTAGTGATATTCCACATGGAAATATATGTGTGGAAACAAAGTAGCAAAAGTGGATATAATACACCCAATCCGCAATATATCACGAGAACAACACTCAAGGGAGTTTTTCTGTAAGAAGTACTCAACAAATGGTGGAGCGAGGTGTACAATATAAGAGCACTGGCGATGACCGCACTTAATAAAAACCACAAAAAGTACCGATAATTGCGTAGCCCGACGCAATTGTTCAAGTAGAGGCAATGGTGGTCATGGTGTAGCACGCAAGAGTTGCAGACAGAGCAGTGGCTGCATCTAGGTGGCCTCCATATATGGCAGGTGCTGCAGTAGCGCACCTTTACTCCAGCAGATGAGGTTTTGTGGGGAAGTGAAATCACATTGAAGTACTCACTGGGAGCAAACGACGGTTCCAATCTTGGGCCTGTTTCCAGAACCTCGATTTTTGTTAAGCTGGACGGAATATGAATATTTCGGGGAACCACTCCGGGGTCCGAAGTGGCTGCTTTGATAAAGCACAGACCACAAAGACCCCAGAAATACGCAAACACGATGACCACGGCACGATGGTGGTTATGCCACATCCAGTTGGCTTCAAAGACAAAGAAGAGAATTCCAGGTATGAATATTAAGATTCCACATATCGCTGCAATCGGAGCCTGTTTGACAGTTCTGGCTCTTCCTCCAAAGAAATAAATAAACTTGAGCCCAGCGTGCTTCAGGATTTGATAGTTGCGGCGCACATCGTCATCCTCCACCATTATGGAGGGGTCCATGACGAGCCATGATCGTAGCACACGATAGTACCATGGAGCCATGGCGATGCTTTGTGCAGCTGTACCGATGACAGGTTTGTGCAGGGTGCGTGCGTGTGCGTGGCGCGGGCCTCGATGCAGTTGCATGCAAGAAGGAGAGATAAGAAGAAGAGGTTGATGTTAAATGAGAAGAATAGACGGAACTGATTCAAAACAGAAGCTCATCAATTGGGTTTCACTCGTTATGATAATATTATTCATATTGTCAATTTTTTCATATTTGTCAATTTTTCTAATTTTGCAATATTTTGCACCCACTCATGACATGCAAAAATCGATAACGAAACTCAAGTCACCATTTCACCTCCCACCATTCATAGTGCTTTCCAATCAGTTTCTCCTGCATCCTTCCAAAATGTGTGGTCGCCTCGAATTAATTCTTCAATTCGTCTTTTCATCGCTTTCGCACCCATTCACCAGATCTCTTCTTCTTCAACCATGTTTCGGGGCCTCTCGAGATTGGCAACTTCGGCACCTTCCAGGCTGTTTAGAGGTCTGAAAGTGATACCAAAATATAGCCGTGGACTCACACTATCACCAGGGCAATTTACAGCGGTGAAGAGATGGGGTACGGTCATCAACATCATCGCTGGAGCTTACATTGGAGGCTTGATTGTATGCGGAGGGCTGTTATATTTCATGTATCATGATGCAGACACCCGTCAAAACATTCCTTTCGAATTGAGCTTCCAGAACCAAGTCACAGCAGTTAAGGCAATCAATAAAGACGATGTACTCAAAAGTCCTCGTTATGCGGTGAAACATTATCGGCGACTTTTGATCGAGTTGGCAAAAAATGAAGATCATCTGCTTCAATTTGATGACGATATACAGGGACTGGAACGGTACATGGTTCCTATTATAGACCCCCACACACTTGTGTACAAAAAAAGCCACAAATTTTCAAACTTTTATATCGATATTGTGTTGCGTTATGCTCGTGCTTTATTTGCAAAAGGTGAACTTGCACCGGCTGTCGATATACTTCTGAGAATTATCGACAATGACGACATTTTCTATAAACTTGGAGACGCAGAAAGACTCTCGCAATGCTGTCGTTTACTCAGCAAAATGTGTCCGGATATTACCGACAAAGTTTCGTACCTTCAGCGAAGTTTGGACATGCTTCGAGCAACATTTCCTGGCATTCAGCTTGGTCCCGAGTATACGCTAGAACAGGGGTCTCTTTTTACAGACGAGACCGTCAATTGTCTTCTGCGCTTGGCTTTCACTATGGCTCGTGCTTCTACTCAAGCAAAGGGAAAGGACGAATTACTCAACCAATCGCTTTCAATATACTTGTCATTGCTCCGGTCCTTATCTCTGGCGAATACCCTTCTTGAATCCGGCACTCGTACTCAAGCTTCGTATCCACTTTTCAACTGTGACCCTCTTAATCTTCGGATGACTATGGCGGAAATTAAAGCACAAATCAGCGAAATCATGTGGGCAAAAGGCTACAAGAAGAATGCTGTTTCCTGGGGTGAAGATGCAGTGGAGGGAATTTTTCAGGACCAAGCTAGCACTGCCAGAGCAGGACCAATCTTGGTGAATACGCTCGGCAATTTGCAAAAGATGTACGATCGAATGGGTGATATAAAACGACGCAACCACTGCCAGAAGTTAAAGGACCAGTTGGTCGTTTACGAAGGTGAGGAAGTATCGTGGTATGACAGCGTGATTGCCAGATTTAGTAAGATTATTTACAGATCAGGACCACTTGCAATCATCGAAAAGTCTCTCAGCGAGCGGTTTGGAAGCCCCAAACGAGTTCTCGAGTTGGAAGAGTTCGAGGACGAAGACGTGGAGTAGCATGTATATACGATTCAAATAGGACAGTAGCTGGTTAGCCTACAGTTAGCTCTCAGCAATTTGCAGCAAGCAGTTCTGCGCCCTGCAATGCAGCCGCCCGGGCCCGGAGTCCTTAATTATGGGTGTGTGGGTGTGTCCAAGCAGCGTGCATATGCACCAGCCAATCAAAACGCACTCAAGTGTAAGATCCGGGGAAGTGCGACTTGGATTCATTTTCATATCTACCATGTTGACCAGAATTGGATTAGCTAGCGTGAGATCGCCCGTGACCTCGTCATTGATCAAGCCTGCCTTGGTACGTGGCTTGAAGACCATTCCTCAACCTCCCGGTTTCGTCGTTGGAACTGTCAATGAAGCATATGTTCATCCCAAACCAAACAAAATGCATGGTTCTTTGCATTGGACCCTTGAGCGTGGTGTTGCCCTTGGTTTAGTTCCATTGGCTGCTGCTCCTTTATTTACTGGTGTTTCCACCGTCGTAGACTCGACCCTTTCAGCCTTTTTGTTGTACCACTGTTACGTTGGATTCCAATCATGTATCATTGATTATATCCCATCACGTGTGTATGGATCTTACCATAACTATGCCATGTACTTGTTGACTTTTGGCACCGGAGTTGCTGGTTACGGAATCTACCAGCTCGAGCAGAAGGAAGGAGGAGTCACCACCCTCGTTTCCAAGATTTGGCATGCATAATTTATAGTGAATACGATAACAGGAAAATCGTGTAGGAAGTGGAGCTTCCACCTCATGAAGTGGTGAGCTTTTTTGACCATTGGCGAATCTTTTCCGTGGCTAATTGCACATCCTTATCGACCACATCGTCACGATGAAGCACTCGTAGTTCCTCTCCAGAGTAGGCGTCTCGCAAGGCAATGACATTTTCCACTCTGACGCTTTTCAGGGCATCATTCAACTTCAATTCTACCCATCCTTGGTCCACCAATTCAATAAAAAGTTGATCTACATGCATAGCTCGATTTGTCTTTTCCTGAAAAATTGCCAATGCCGGGGTGATTTCTCTACAAAACTCCTCCTGCAGAACCGTCGTGCCCTCGTACTTGCTAGCGTTCGTTAACGCTGTCAATTTGATGAGTTTTAGCCACGATTCAGGGTCTAGATCGATATAGTTTTCTCGGTATTTTTGGTAATGGCAATAGTCGCCAAACGCAAATAGCTCAATTGTGTTTTTTTCTTGCTCAGAACCATCACAGGCCAAGTAGGGCTTGTAGTTGACCCGATCTGGATCCCCTAGAAGTGTGTTGACACTCATGGTTGGAGGAACGATAATTGCGGATACAGATGCGGAGGACAGTCGGTGGTTGGATGTTGGATGTTGGAGTGGGTCAGAAAGAACTGTGATGAATAATGGCCAAAACCAGACTAAAATCACAATTCGGGATAAATGTGGCCTATCAATGCGTCTAGAATCCGTATCAAGAGCAACTTGTTGGTTTCCCGGTATTTGAAAAGCTCAATAAATGCAACCACATTTTCATAGATTTCTTCATCAGACTCATTCGAATATGCCAAGATCCTTGCAATTGGTATTTTGCGAGCCGGCTCGCTGGAGGTCACCGCAGAAGCAATGTCGTACTTGGAGAACTCGGGAGTGACACTTTCAGACGGTTTCTGGTCCTCGTCGTCAATAATGCGTCGAAGATTTTGCACCCACGAACATATACTTGGTTCCAGAAAAACACCCAGCTCCTGCAATTTGCTGCGAACAAGGAACTCGCAACAAGAATCAGCTAGCTGACTTATAGCCGGAATTGAGGCGAGTTTTCGTAAAATTTGAAAAGCGGCTGCAAGTAATGGCTTGCGATCTGAAATACCTGTTATGGTATTTGCTAGCGACCACAATGGACTGCCAACAATATCGTACTTTGTGTCTTTGCTAGTGTACACCAGGTACCACTTAGAAAGCTGTGAAGTGTTAGAGTCACTTTCTTTTGTCTTTGCAGCATTTTCTTCTCGCAAGAGAATTTTGGCAAGTATTTGCGAGAGAAATTCTGGCTGGGAAAACTTGTCGAGTAGGTTCTTGAGTATAGTGTCAGATACCAAGACAGTGCAAAAAGTGCTTGTCAATTGAGACGAAGTAGGATGAATATCACACTCAGATAGCGAGAGTTCGAGAACTCGAGAAGTCAAAGCTTGTAAATATTCATCTTGATCTGTGAAAATTTGATGCTTTTGTCGAAGAAATTCACTCACTATATCCTCCTCTAGTCGTTCCTCAACATTGAGACTTTGTTGGCGTCGTATATCTGTTCGAAGCTGGTACATTTGTTGTACATGCTCATCAAGAATTAGCATTATTTCGTCCATAAACCCATAGAGACGATCTGACCCGCAAGAGCTATAACACCTACTTGTCAAGTCAGAACAAAGATCACTCAAACACTTGTATACCAATTGCAAAAATTCAAGATTATCAGTTTTCAATTTGCCGAGATACCAGCTCGCGACAAATTTGTTGACAATTGAAGCCAATAGAAGATGCAATTGAAAGTTAAGATCACTATGGCGCAGCACTATAGTTGGGAGGTATGTGGATAGCTGTTTGGATGTAAGTTTATCGGTTTTTTTAAAGTATTTTGTAGGAACGAAGAGCTTACAGAGAAGCTGGAATGATGCCGATGAAGCTAAAGGGTCCAGTTTTTTCGGTTTATTGCGAAGCGCAGCATGCCGCGAGGTCATACGCGACGTGGGCTTCTTTTCATGGGCTGGTGGCATTGGTGTGGGATAGGTAAAACAAACAAACGGTATCTGGGGTATGCACCTGACGGACATCGCCTGCATGGACGCGCGCTGCAGTGCACCTGCTTACTTACTGCAGTGGAAATATGTCAATCTGCAACTAAGTTTTCCAATGCGGTGGGGACGATTTTACAGCAGCTGCACCAAGTTCACACCGCTAAGCGATACCTACAAGACATTGAGACACATTCACTTTCCAAACATAACTACATTCGAGGAGGGCCAGCGGATCCAAGACACCATCGTACGAGCCAATTTGGATTTCAAGCTGATGGATGCCAAGATCAAGCGACAGCAGAAACAGCTTGCGGCCGCCGGACACGAAATGTCGGATTATGAAAAAGCGCTTGTTGGAAAAATCCTCGATATGAAGCCGCATCCCACGGTGTTGACATTTGAGTTCGAAAATGTTTACACTGGTGGAAAGAAACTCAAACAAGATCCCGACTTGCCTGAAAAAATCGCAGCTTTTGAACAGATGGGGTGCTCATACCACCAGCTAGAACGCGGAGGAGACATAACCTGGCATGGCCGAGGCCAAATGGTGGCATACACCATTCTTGATTTAAAGCAATTTCTGAATTTGCTGGTGAAATGTTACGTAGATGCAGTTCTTCTCCGAGCCACTCAAGACTTGTTGAAAAATTATGGTCTTGAGTCTTTCACAAACGAGAATCCTGGAGTGTGGATGTCGCCTCACGATGACAAGATTGCGTCAGTAGGCTGTAATATTCAGCGAGCCATTACATCGTATGGCATTGGTCTCAATGTGAATCCCAAGATGAAGTATTTGAACACATTCACCATGTGTGGACTTCCAGGAAAAAAAGCAGTATCTCTCCAGTCGCTTGTACAAAAGGAGGTTCTGGTGGAGCAGATTGCAAATGAATATGCTCAGCAACTTGCCAAGGCATTGAATATTGGAAGCGTAGAGCATATGAATGGAGAGGAGCTTCGAAAAAGCCTTGAATGAGCTAATGAGAATGAAGCATTGACGACCTTTAAATGAGATTCAGTGAGCTTCAATTGAGCTGATTGGGCTGAAATAGCTCTAATTGAGCCTGAAAGTTCCATGCTTGACCTGTGCTCACGAGCTACCTGTTTGGAAACATCTTGGAGGAGAGGTTTATACCTTAAAGGATTGAGCTCAACCGCATGGAGCAGCATAATTGACAACACGAAAATCTTTGTAAATGCGAAAATGTAGATCAACCCTTTCGTTCTCTCACCGACTGCCGATTCTGTTCCGCCGCTCCTGCAATTGGAGCCGCGACAAGCTTTGGCGCAACCGGTCCTTTTTATCCTGCAAGAGCCGCAACCGCGCAAGCTTCTCTGCATCCTGATGCAACACCCGCATGGGTTCTCGATCTCGTGCAGCTACGCCATCAACGTCACGCAACCGCATTTGCTGCAATGCAGCCTTTTTAGCCAAATTCAGATGCTCTCGCCGCGCCTCCTCCAATCTTTTACCAGCCAATTCCACCATCGCCTGCACCCGCGGCTTGATCTCGGTGTGGATATCGCGCTTGGCGTTCTCCAAATCAATACTGGGAACCAAACCAAACACCTTGTTTGTTGTCATTACCGTTTTTATTCTGGGAACATCATGCGTGGCTTCGTCTAGCGCCAGGAGCGCGTCTTCTAGAAGCTCTACCGATGCGCTGAGCGAGTTCACACAGCTTTCAAGGCTGTTGTAATGGGGCATACGAAATCGAAATCAAATCAAAGTTTATTTCGAAATCGAAATCAAAATCGAAAACAATCTGGGGCTGCGCGCACCCGTGCACCAGGGTGTTGATCTGGCCTGCATGGTGTTTGAAGCTGTACCATCTACATGTCTGATATAGCGCTTCAGCTTGACGTTCTGGAGCCCCGCAAGCGGCTGAGACCGCGCTCCGACTCACAGTCGCACCACCTGGTCGTTGTAGAGGCGCCAAAACGAAATCCGGCTGTATATTTTGTCACTTTGTCCTCGTTGAATGACACCTTCGTCAAGAAACATCTTCTGGTTCCGTATTATCCCGAGACGCGCAAGCTCGGCCGGCCCGCTGGTGCGAAGATAAAGCCGGACTCCACCAACGGGTACTTTGATCTGCGGGTTTTGAGTCGAAGCCATGCGGCTATGTACATGGATGCTACCGGCAAGTTGATGCTCAAGGATTTGGGGCTGTCCAACGGCACTTATGTTAATGATGAGCGGATAGGAAGCGAGCCCGTGGAGATTCATATCGGGGACAGCATCTACCTTGGTTTTAACATCCAAGCGGACACAAATCACAAACAAATTAGTGCTCGTGTGGACAACATTTCTGTGATGTCCAACTTTTTGAGCTCCAGTGTTCCGGAAGTGGGTCAGTATAACTACGTGCAGAATGTGCTCGATAAACTTCGTGGAAAGGAGCCGCTGGAGGCGGTTTCTGTGGATCTGCCGCTCTTCGCAGACATGGGAATGGTGGAAGGAGCCGCCAAAATTGGCACTGAAAATGTCGGCATGTACAAGAATTCCAACCTAGTGACGGCTCCGGCGGTGCTGGCAGCCGCGAGGACGCTTGCTGTCGCGGTGGCTACACTCAAACAGCACAACAACACACTCCTTTCTGTGGAGCAGTTTCTCACCAAGTACAAGGAAAACGTCGATATCATTACGGCCAAGCAGGTTGAGTACAAGGTGGCCAAGGAGGTAGCACTGGTTGTGTCCGACAAGCTCAAGCGCGCGGAACAAAAAGCCCAGAAAGAACGGGTCCGGGAACAGCAATTGTACGAAAACTTGATTGGTGAATTCGAGCTTTACCGCGATGAAAAAGAAGCCAAAATCCGCCAGTTGGAACACGATATAGTCGATCTAAAATCAACCCCCGCTTCCGCCGACAAGCTGGACTTGGTTCGAGAGCTAACCCCGGAATCAGACCCCGATCCAGACGCTGAAAACTTGAACGACGTCAACATCCAGAGCATCCTAGCATCGCAGACCCACGAAAATAACTCTTCTCTCGAAGAAAAAACTCTAGTGGAAACCCACCGCAAACTGCAAGCTTCTGTGAACGTCACGTTCGCCATAGTCGCTTTGCTCTTGGGCATGGCCCTCCAACGTGCCATCCACTAGTAGCCTCCATATCTGCCCACCCAGACACCAGGCCGTCTGTCCATCGCAATTTTGGCCAAATTCATGGTACGATTCCATGTTCTCCATCGTTTCGAGCCGTCCAAAATCGTTAGTACGGCCCAATTCGAGGTCTATAGTGCTACCTGCACTTGTAGCGTTGACCTCGATAATTTTTTCCAAGGATAACCGCTTGGCAGATAAAATGGAAAGTGGAAAACTTCACTACAAAGATGTCAATTCAACGTTCAACGTCGACAAGCCCTACAAGTCTCGGTCCAAGCCCAACTACCCTGGCCACGTGCCGTTGAATGCATTCGAAAAGCTTCTAATGATGGCTGGCTCATCTATAGGGTCATATTTGCACCCGGAACGAAACGAATTTATTGTTGGCCTCGGAGAGTCCACGGCTTTTACACCCGTCTTGCGACGTCTCCAGCGCCAGATGTTGTCGGACCCCGTTGGTCGACAAATTTTGAGAGAAAGACCAAGAATCACTTCCGAATCTCTTGATTTGGACTACCTTCGTCTGCTTCCAAAAAACACAATTGGAAGTGCTTATATCCAGTGGCTCGATCGCGAGGGAGTGAGTCCCGACACCAGAGTCCCCGTTCGTTACATTGACGATGAAGAGCTTGCTTACATTTACCAACGGTACAGAGAGTGCCATGATTTCTACCATGCTATAACTGGGCTTCCTATTATAATAGAAGGCGAAATCGCCGTAAAAGTCCTTGAATTCACTAACATCGGTATCCCCATGCTGGGTCTCGGAGGTCTCTTTGCGCCTCTTCGTCTTCGTCCCAAACAGCGCGAGAGACTCTATGGAATTTACTATCCATGGGCATTCAAATCAGGACTCAATTCTAAGCCATTGATCAATGTGTACTGGGAAAAAATCTTGGAGCAAGACATCAACGAGTTTCGCCGCGATATGGGCATAGAACAACCTCCTGATTTGCGGGAATTGAGACGCAAACAAAAGAAGTTGCCTGAGCCGGAACGTGAAAATGCGAATTGAGAACAAGCAGAATAAGCAGAATAAGCAGACCAAGAATCCCAAATGCACAAGGAATTACTTTGGCAGCTTGGTGCTGAACGAGCATACCGTCTACGCCAATAATAGGTATTCATATTTCCATAGTGAGCAATGCTGAATCTGATGGAACATGGTTCGGACTGAAATCACGATCGCTGTGAATTAAAGACTTGTGATCACTAGATTCTTCTCACAGTCTTTTCAAGTCAAGTCTTCAACCATTAGTGACTGACCTATACATGTATGTTAGAAGAGAGTAATGTTGTAGATGTGGTTTATGTCATTAAGTGAGAGACCACTGCAGTGTAACTTTTCGATTGCATTCAAACCATTATTCTATTAGAAATTACCAATCGAGAAACATTCATAAAGCTTCAGTGACCTCAATTACTATATATAGAGCCTCGCTTATCTTTGTAAACTTTCGTCGCTTTACTCCATCATCTCACCGAAAATCTCAACGGCTGCAACTGAACTAAAACAGATTTAATTTCCCAAAAATCTCACTCAAAGTCTCCAAAACTCGAATTAGCGACGAATACAAAAAATATCTACTATCAAAAAGCTGGGATTGAACAACAAACTTCTAACTAATCCAAGTACTTTCAGCTAATCTACGTACCACCTCCATCGCTGCAGATTCATGCACCGAACCGAGTACTGCATACACATTCGTCACTTGCAGCCTCAGACAGTTGCTCAGCCTTTCGTCTTCTTTTGCTACCATGTCCAACATCCTCTACAAGTACTTTCTCAAAAAGGTAAGTACAGACAAGTGCTCTGTCGCTTTCTCGGCAACATATAAAACCACAACTAACTTTAGACAGCTCTAGACCATCTTGCAAGTATGGGTCCTACTGAGGACCCTTATTTTGAAGAAGTTCCACCCGATGAATTGCATTTTTACCAGAGAAAAGGAGCACGTAGAAAGAAACGCATGCCCGACTTTATCCCCAAGAAAGATCTCAAAATCTTGAATTCCGTCAAACGTAAAGCTTACCGTTTGGATCTTCAGTTGAGTCTTTGCGGACTTCGACTCGGCTGGGCTGGAGTAATTGGCCTTCTTCCTTGGGTAGGCGACATCATTGCTTGCTGCTTTGCGGTAATGTTGGTGAAAAAAGCGAATAGTATCGACGGCGGACTTCCGGCTGATCTTCATAGTCGAATGATGATGAACGTTGCGTTTGACTTTGGAATTGGATTGATTCCTTTGGTCGGAGATTTCGTCAATATCTTGTACAAGTGTAACTCACGCAATTTCATTTTGTTGGAAAAGTATTTGGTGGAAAAATACGGAAAAGAAGCCATGGGAAAGACGGGACCAACAGACCCTCGAACGCAAGCCGAAGAGACAATAAAAGCTAATGCTCAAGCGCAGGCTCAAGCACGCATGGACAAGAATAAACCTTCGCCGGCGCATGTTACTGTATAGGAGATAAAAGGTCATTCTTCAGCTTCATCCTCTTCTTCATCATCTCTTTTATGTTACTTTCTTCATTTTCACTTTCTTCATTTTCACTGACTTCATTTCGGTAACTCACTTCCGGTAATTCATCTGTCCTATTTCATCTCATTCTGTTCCTACCTCCCTTCACTTTTTACCATCGCCTCAATATTGGCAAGCCGCCGATTAAAGTCTTCTACAAACATTTCCAACTGTTCCAAACGCATGAATTGGTTCTCTACTGCATCGCATGCACGCAAGATGCCGTCTATCTCCTCCATTTGACCGGAAATGTTCAATTGCTTGTCGAGGTAATCGGCATTGATCCATTTATTTTTAGCACTCACAGCTTCATAGGTAGTTTCGCAAAGCGTGCTCACGCGATCCTTAATCTTGAACATCAAGTAATCAAAGGAAACCGCAAGCTTCTTGATCTCGAGCGGATCATCTCCTTCCATATTGGCACGGCTGCAAGATTTGAAGCAGCAGCTAGTTGACCCCGAAACTAGCGTCCGAGATACCGGCGCGGTGTACTGGATGTGCATACGAGCGGATTCCGCCAAACCCCCGGTTCGACCTGGAGAAGCAGGTATCGTTTACGGAGAAAAATAAATATGTCGTCCAGCGGGTCGTTATCGCTTTCAAAGATCAATCCCAAGTTGTTGCGGCGGATCTGTAAGTATTAAGGAAGGAAATCGACCAATAGACTTTAGGGTAATGCCATGCAATGCTCCATGCATCACCGTCACCCCTCGGATTTCCAAGTTGCCAGCAGAACAAATCCCATGGGAAGACGCATGCATCGGATGCGTCTTGATAGATACATGCATACTTGACGTGGATTTACGAATCATGCCCAATCGCTTTCGGTCGCCCTCCAATGACTTCTTGCTCCCTACTAACTCAGACCGGGCTTGCAGACCCACTCTTAACGAACCCAATCTTGCTCTTAACCTCGAGATTTGTGACTATGTCAATGCCAAGCAAGGCTCTACTCCACGAGAAGCGGCAATTGCTGTTGTGAAGCTCATCAGTCAAAAGGATCCACAAACGTCCGAGTTGGCACTTGCTTTGCTTGATAACTTGGTGAAAAATTGCGGTTATCCGTTCCAGCTTCAGATCTCTCGCAAGGAATTTTTGAACGAATTGGTACGTCGGTTTCCAGAGCGTCCTCCGCTTCGGTATACTCGAGTGCAACGAATGATCTTGGCACAAATTGAAGAATGGTACCAGACAATTTGCTGCACCTCGAAATATAGAAGTGACTTTGGCTACATCCGAGACATGCACCGATTGCTCGCCAACAAAGGGTATGTGTTTCCAGAATTGAACCTTGACGATGCTGCAGTCTTGAATCCATCCGACAATCTCAAGTCGTTGGAAGAGCTTCAAAATGAGGAGTCGGTTGTCAATAGCGCCAAACTCCAGGAGTTCATTCGTCGGGGAAGACCCCAGGATTTGCAGGAAGCAAATAAACTTATGAAAATTATGGCTGGGTTCAAGGAAGACAATGTCGAAGCCAACAAGAAACAAGTGACGAATGATGTTGCCCGCTTGAAGCGCAAGACGGAAATTTTGGCAGAAATGATGAATACTATGGAGGTCAATGGAGGAAACATCGACAGTTCTGACGAAACTCTTTCGGATTTGTATGGGTCGGTGAAAAGTTCGCAGCCAATTGTCACCAAGATTATTGAAGAGGGTAATGGTGACGAAGAATATGTCCAAGAACTTCTTCAATTAAACGACGTTATCAATTCTTTGGTGAACAAATTCCAGCTTTTGAAAGGCGGGAAAACCGACGAGGCATCCAAGATCAAGGTCTCTGGAGTGAGCACCGGGTCCAACGACCTCAATTTGATTGATTTTGACGACGATGCTCCTATCAGCAACGACCAGACTGGAAAAGATAACCAGGGGTACCAGGACCTCCTCAGCGACTTATCCAACTTGGCATTCACCGATACTGGCAACTCTCAAAATATTTTTGGTACCGGGGGCTCCATCACTTTGGGCATGAATTCGCAGCCAACTCCACCACTGCAACTGAACTCTATCCAGCACCCCACCCCTGTTTCAAACTTCGATTTGCTTTCGGATTTGAACTCGCCTTCTCCCCAGCTCCAATCCAATACCAGCGCAAAATTGGATCCTTTCAATTTTGACACTTCTTCATTGTCGTTTGCCAATTCGCAGTCGTCTCAATTGAAGCAGTTGCATGTCTCTCCTACTCTCAAAAGTGAGGTCCAGATGGCCGTAAATGGTACCACTCACTCGGGAAAATTTCTCTTCAGCAATCCCCAAGCGGCTGCAATCACCAATTTCAAGTTTCTCGTTGCGGTTCCAAAATCTTGCAAGTTGACGTTGCAACCTCAAACCGGTGACGTTATCTATCCATTTACAACCCACAGTGTTCTGCAAGAATTCTCCATCGAGAATCCCATGAGTAAGCAGTTAAGGGTGAAGTGGAAAGTGGAATACAGAGTGAACAATGAGCACAAGGAGGAAACCGGAGTGACGATACTAGACTAGGATTGAATAAAAGTTGAGAATGGAAGAGTAGTGAGAAAAAGATGTAATTGATTAATTGCCTTGAGATATTGAGTAAAAATTTCATTTAGTATCAATTGCATAAGTTGTGTATCGATATAGCAAACAACCCGAGAAGAATTAAACCGAGTGTCTCGACTCGTGTAGAAATAAACTAGGTTAACGTGAATCATGTCAAACGAACTCGATAAAAGATTGACTGGGGCGCAAACAAGATCTCATCAATAACGAATACAAATCCGTTATCTACGTGCTTCACGGAATCAACCAGTATCCACTCGCCGTCCATCTCGGCCACAAAGAAGTTACCCAAAGACGATTGCTTGATCTTGATTTTGTCCCCACTAAGGAGCTTGGTGACAATCACAACCTCGTCACTCTCCTCAGAAGAAAGCTGCTTCTCAAAGTTGGAAACAATGTGACTCTTCAAAAAGTGTTGCAAGTTGCCTTGTATTATACCATCGTCCTTTCTCTCATCTCCCGTCAATGCGGTGGGGAACTCCCATGGCTTTTTTCCGTCCAACTTGGTCATGATGGCATTGTCGCTTGGAGCAATGATCACCATGGATTCGTCAGAAGATGACGTCTTGCTCTCAATTTTTGGGTCGTCACGAATATAGCCAGCAAAAATCGAGATTTCAGACATTTGTGGAAGCACAGATTGCAAAAGACTGGAGTTCTCATCAGCGAGAACTTGCTGCTCACGCTTAGAGATCACTTCGGCATGAATATCTTCACTGAGCTCTTGCAAAGAAACAACATTCTTAGCTTCACGTTTGGAGATCATTTCGTCGTGAATGTCTTCACTGAGTTCTTGCAAAGACACAACATTCTTGGGTTCACGTTTGGACTTGGCATTCTTGAGCGTATCGGGAAAATCGCCAAGCATTTCCATGTCTTTGAAAGAGAAAACATTCTTTGGTTCTCTCTTCTGGATCAACAAGGTGGTAGGGTAAGATTCTTCTTTCTTGTAAAGAATAGCTGTTTCGGTGGTGGTAGGGTGAGATTCTTCTTTCTTGTAAAGGATGGCTGTTTCGGTGGTGGTGGGTGCTTCTTCCCTTTTAGCAACGAATCCGGCTTCCCTCGCTTCGTCTCGTTTATGTTCCTCAGCCTTGACAGCAGCAGCTAAAGCCTCTATATCAACAACGTACTTTGCGTGTATGCTGGGTACAAGCAACACACTCAAAAGGGCCAAACTAATTTTCATTTTAGTTAGGTTGATGTGGGATGATGATTATAAGTAAATTCCGCATCACGAAAAACAGGTGGAATTAGATCACGTGATATCGCCCAGAGTTGGCCGTTTTGGCGTCGAGGTGCATGGAGGAAACCAGCTAGTTTCAGAAAACGTTAATTTTAGGTTCGTGCCAAGATGAGTAAAAAATAATGAACACGAAGACGAATTGTGAACTAAAAGCTAACGAAGTTACAATTGATGTTGCAAATGAAATTGAAATTTCGCGCAACGAAAAATGCATTTAACAAGACCAATTTGCACCCATTTTCAATTCCATATTAAAGCTGTAACTACTGTAATTAAGCTCTACAAGCTTTGTTAACGCAGTATATTTACCGAAGAAAAACACGAATAAGAAGTAATAAGGCCCGATGGTCCGTATTAGATGACAGTGTCTACCACACAGATTATTAGTTCACCAACTAGGCATTTTAAAATAAGGTGGCACCAAGGGCAACGAAGCCGGCAAGAATGGAAGCCAAGTTAAGACCAGCAGAGTTGGCATCACTCTTCTTGGAGCTCGAAGAAGAAGAACCAGAACCACCGGAGCTGCTGGTCTCAGAAGAAGAGTCATCGCTGGTGGCAGTACCGTTGGAGTTGCCCTTCTTTGAAGACGAAGAAGATGACGACTCGTCAGCAGCCTTACACACAAACTTGTCACCCTTGATGTCTCCGTCCTTGTTCAACTTGTTGAATTCCAGACAAGTCAAGTCTCCAGTGGAGTCCAAGTTGAAACCACCAGCAACTCTTTGCAAAGACTCGAAAGTACCATTGTCAAACTTACCCTTGAGGTTGACGGAACCGCCGATGGTTTCCAACTTTGGCAAGCCATCAAAAGATTTCAATTCGTCGTTCAGTTGGATCACCAAAGCACCACCAATCGACTTCAACTTGGGGAAGTCAATTTCCTCCAAGTTGTCGTTCTTTTGAATGGTCAAAGACTTGCCGATCGAGCTCAATTGCTTGAACTCGATCTTGTCCAACGAGTTGGAGTCGAACGACAAAGAGTCGCCGATCTTGGTCAAGTTGGCAACAGACAAAGAGTTGATGGACTGGAACGAAACGGTGTTGGCAGAAGTCAATTCGTCCAAAGCAACGTCCACCTTTTCAGAGTTGTAAGCAATGGACAAGAGTTCAGTGACAGATTGCAAACCAGAGTCAATGGTCTCGATATCCTTGTTGTTGTTAACGTCGAAAGTTTGCAACTTGAACACATTGATTCCGTCCAATGAAGTCAAACCAGTGTCGGAAATAATCACCTCGTCAGCAGAAGTGATACCAGCAGACAAACCGGTTTTTTCCAAAGCTGGCAAAGCGTTGAAGTGCAAGGTTCCCACAGTGGTCAATTGAGCCAAGTTCAAGGTAGACAAGATGGTGTTACCGGACAACGCCAATTGACCAGAAACCAATTGCAAGGTAGGAGCGTTCAAGCTGGTGGCTTGAGTAGCATTGTTCACCTGAAGAGAACCGTAAAGTTGTTCGAGACCGGTCAATTCGATGGTGCCGAAAGAGTCACCTTCGATGGTGATGTCACCAACGGCAGTGGCACATGCAGCGACAGACTGCACGTCGGCAGACTTGGTAGCAGTAAAGTCCTTGAAGGAACAAGACTTGCCAACGGATGGAGTGGCAGTGGTCAAGGTTGAATCTGGGTTAGTAGAAGTCAAGAAGAAAAAAAGGCAAAAGAAGAATTCAAAAGCCAAAGCCAAAGCCAATTAGACGAGAAGTGTAATTTTGCAAAATCTTGCAAAACGACATAGTTTCTCGAGGAACGCAAGGGTCCCTCGGGATTCCAACTCAAAACGTCGTCAGGCTTCGGGAATGCCGTCAATTCGTATTGCTCAAAGCGTATTGGTCAAGCAGAATCCCCGGAATTATTCGGAATCATCAGTGAAAAATACTTACTATTGGATGAATCAGCCAAAGCTACACCCGCAATGGCAGCAGCGCCAATGGCCCACTTCATGTACATGTTTGGTTTTCGTAAAAAAAGTTAGCGAGGGAAAACGACGGAAACCAACGAGAAATCACAAGAGTTTCCTTTAGTGCCGAGCCTCCCTTTTTATATCGGATCAAATTTTGCGCCCGCCCCACGTCACGAGCAACTGCCATGCACGACTTTCGCCAGCCCACTGTTGACTTTCTATAAATGGCAAGTGTGGACAAGACAATGGGGGTGAGCCAATGGATGTTCAAACCGAGTTGTGGGGTGGAATTGGGCTGGAAACAAGTGAAACCGAGTGAATTTTGGCTACTTTTAACTATTTTTCATCGCCTTATTCTTCCACTCCATATGCGGGTCTCAGCTGTGCTCCGGCACACAACGCCATAGCCACTGTTGCCCCTTCCCGATCTGGCAATGTAAGCCATTTTTACGATCGTGCTCTAGGTGACAGGTGCGGGTAACCGACCATGTGTGTTTCACATATTGCTGCCTAAAATTACCACAATTCTTTTAGCTGGTGTGCTCGAACCGCCTCGAACTTTTTTTTTTCAGGGTCTCGAGACGCACATTTCCTCGTATTGCGGACAGTAGCCCAGCGTCTGCAGGCAATAAGCGGTCCTGCTTGGGCTAATTATAGACAAGCGTAGATTTGACATTTTCAAAACTTGTAAATTTTTATTGAACAAACTTTGGAAATGACCGTAAATTAGCATTAAAAATAAGAATTAGTATTATTTTGAGCGCCACTTTCACAGAAAATACCATTAAGCCTAATTTGAAATCCACCAAAACTAGCATTTCAAAAGTGAACAAGATAATTAAGCGACCTTAAGCACAGATCGCTATTTAAGTCTATGTGAATAATTTTGTCCCAAATTATACTTTTGTAAATTTCAATAAGAATTTAAGCTGAAAAATCCAATTGACAATTCTCACAAATTTGAAGTAGACACTTTAAAAGTGTAGAACTGTTAGATTTCTTCGCTTACAATTAGTCTTCATCATAATACAATTTAACATATACTAGACCTTCTCGGCATACTCCTCCAATAACTTGTAGTTTCTCTGCTCGATCGATCCATTTCCTGGCAATCTGGTCGATCCCATCAAGTAGTTATCCACCTCACGGGCACATTGTCTACCTTCTTGGATACCCCACACCACCAACGATTGTCCTCTTCTACAATCTCCAGCTGCAAACACATTGTCGTTGGCACCAACTTTGTAGCCGTTAGGGTCCAACGTTCCAATGGTTCCTCTCTTGGTCTTGTTCACCTCCAACTTGTCGGCATCTGGGCCCACGAAACCCATCGACAACAAAACCACATCGGCTGGGAAAAACTCCTCCGAACCAGGAACCTCGGCCATTTGCCAAGCTCCGCTGTCTGAACGTTTCCATTCAACTCTAACAGTCTTGATACCCTTGACATTACCTTCGCCGTCATCAACAAATTCCTTCGACAAAATCGAGTACTCTCTGGGGTCCTTTCCGTAATGGGTAGCCACCTCGGTGTGTCCATAGTCCACACGGAAAATTCTGGGCCATTGTGGCCATGGGTTGTCCTTGGGTCTTGTGGCTGGAGGAGTTGGTAACAACTCAAAGTTGGTAACCGACTTGGCTCCGTGTCTGGTGGATGTTCCCAAACAATCGTTACCTGTGTCTCCACCTCCAATCACAACCACATGCTTACCAGCAAGGGTCTTTCTAATCTCCTCCAAGTTGTCGTCCAACAATGCCTTGGTGTTGGAGTGAAGCAATTCCATGGCAAACTTAATGTTGGTGAGTTCACGGCCAGGAATTTTCAAGTCTCTTGGAATGGTGGATCCCACAGCAAACACAACCGCATCGTAAGTGGACTTCAACTCTTCCATGGAAATGTCTTCTCCAACAGTAGTGTTGCATCTGTACTCAACACCCTCAGCAGCCATCAAGTCGGTTCTACGCTTGACGAGTCTCTTGTCCAACTTCATGTTTGGAATACCGTACATCATCAAACCACCGGCTCTGTCGCTTCTTTCGAAAACTGTCACCAAGTGTCCGGCCTTGTTCAATTGATCAGCAGCAGCCAAACCAGCAGGTCCAGAACCAATCACGGCAACCGTCTTACCAGTTCTCTGAGCTGGTGGCTCGGGCTTGACCCATCCTTGTTCGAAAGCATGGTCAATAATAGCACACTCAATCGACTTGATGTTGACAGGGACCTCATTAATTCCCAAAACACACGCTCCGTTACATGGAGCTGGACAGATTCTACCAGTAAACTCAGGGAAGTTGTTGGTCATCATTAACCGTTGCCAAGCATCATACCATCTGTCCTGGAAAACCAACTCGTTCCACTTTGGAATAACGTTGGAAATAGGACATCCGGTATCGGAAGTACAGAAGGGCACACCACAGTCCATACATCTGGCGGTTTCATGCTTCAATTCGTCCTTGGTGAGTCTTGACGACATCTCCTTCCAGTCCTTGCTACGCTCGGTGGCTGGTCTGTACTTTTCGTTACGACGCTTGTACTTCATGAATCCACGAACCTTGTCCAACTTGACGACTGGTTTCTTGGCAGCAGCAGAGTCGGTCACAGTGTCTTCAACATCCAAAACTGGAGGTTCAGAAGCCTTGCTTGGTCTGTGAACATGTCCCTTCTTGATCTTGGCAGCTTCACCATTGGTGACATCTGCTTCTGGGTCCTCCTTGATGGACTTCAAGAATGTACTCAACTCGTTCTTCTTGGCTTCTTCGGCCTTTTGCTTTTCCTTCTCCAAAACCTTCTTGTAGTCGAAAGGCAAGACCTTGACGAAACGAGGAAGGATTCTGTTAAAGTCGTTCAAAATGCGGTCGGCCACCTCAGATTCAGTGTAGTGTCTGTGGTCTTCAATCAAGCCTCTCAAGAAGGCAATTTCAGCAGGATCAGTAACCAGCGACAATTCCACAGTTTGGGTGTTGACCTTGTCACCAAAGTCCTGAGCCATGTCCAAAACATAAGCAATACCACCACACATACCAGCAGCAAAGTTACGACCAGTACTTCCCAAAACAACCACACGACCTCCAGACATGTACTCACATCCATGGTCACCGGTACCTTCAGTAACAATATTAGCACCAGAGTTTCTGACCGCAAAACGCTCAGCAGCAATACCTCTAATAAAAGCAGTACCAGAAGTAGCACCAAAGAAAGCAGTGTTACCTGCAATAATTTGGTCTTCAGCATTAAACTTGGACTCTCTTGGAGGGTACACAATGATACGACCTCCACTTAATCCCTTTCCAATGTAATCGTTGGCATCACCTTCTAATTCCAAAGTGATACCAGAGGCCAAAAAGGCGCCGAAAGATTGACCAGCAGAACCCTTGGCGTTGACATGAATGGTGTCGTGAGGCAAACCTTGCTCACCAAATGTCTTTGATACTCTGTAAGACAAAGTCGTTCCCAAAGTTCTATCGGTATTGACAACGTCACAGTCAATAGTGACAGGAAGTCCCTTTGCCAAAGTCATTTCAGACTCGTCAATCAACTTGTTATCAATTCTGACATGAAGCTTGTGGTCTTGCTTTCTAACACAGTGAGTAGCAACTCCAGGTCTAATGGTGTGAGCTGGGGTCAAAATAGGAGACAAGTCAATGTTGGCATTCTTGGTGTTACGCAAGTCTTCTCTGACCTTCAACTTCTCTGCACGCCCAACCATCTCGTTGATAGTGCGGAAACCAAGTTGCGCCATAATATTCCGCAATTCGTTTGCGAGATAGTAGAAAAAGTTGATAACATGTTCTGGAGTACCTTCAAACTTCTTTCTAAGGTCAGGATCCTGAGTAGCAATGCCCACAGGGCAAGTGTTTAGGTGACAATTGGCGATTTGTAAGCCGTTATCAAGCTGGAACTTGCCTCCACTGACCTCAATTGCTCTAAATTCACCATTTGCAACATCTTGAACTTTGAATGGAGTTGATTCTTGTATGCAGGATTCGATGCGAACCATTTTTTTGCGGGGGAGCAAAAGCAGTTGTTGCAACTTCTCCGATCCGCTTCCCAAGTAGACAACATAAGCTGAGGTGGTTTCAGAGCTACCCAAGTACAATCTGCTCTCAGAAACGTCAATGTCAGTGGTCTCAATTCCACAAGAAGTGGCCATCTCCTTCAAGTCGTATACAATCTTCTTGTGCAATTCAGACTTTTGCATGAATCTGTAAGAGTTGTAGGACTCAACGTAGCATCCATCACTGTCAACTAAACCAGCGAGAAGGGCCAAACGAGATTGCAAATCAGCAGCTTTGTATGCTTCTGGAATTCCGTTGCTCTTGTTACTGAGCAATCCCATCAGCTTGAGGCTGTTGTAGACTGGGTTCCAGTTTCCACCTGTAAAGGATTCGCCAGAGGTGATGGTATAAGTGGGCACAGTAACCTTTTGGACGAAACCGTTGGCCATCTGTTGACCTGGCTTGAAGCCGTTGATCTTGGTCAATCTCAAAGGAGACGCTTCAGCAGGCTTATCTTTGTTGAGTCTTTCAACGTACTGTTGCAACCAAACAACAACTTCACGGTCAGTGGTCAGGATGGTGGCAGAATCAGAGCTGCCCTCACCGAGCCATAATCCCAAGAAGTATGGATCAACAGGAAGCGAAGAAGAGTGAGTCAATGGCTCAACTTGTTCAGCAGGAGCACGGTACATGTGCAAGTGGTTGTGCAAAATGTCCTTGGAGCACATTTGCTCAAGAGCCTCAACGCTAGCTTGGAACTTGTAACCGTTCGAAACAAACGATGGGTCCACTCTGTCATAGACATCGCTGAGGAGAAGAGAGTAGGCCATTTCGGCTTCCTCAATGGTCTCGAATTGGTGAACAATCTTACGAACTCCACCACAAGCACAAGAGGATTTGCAGACTGACTGAGACTCAACAGAGGTGGTTTCCACAGAAACACTGGTCACGGCAAAGTTCTTAGGTGCATCTTCAACCATGAACTTCTCGGCAGCTTCATGGAGAGCGTTTCTGACAAACTCAGGATTGCTTTTGAGTTCTTCGTTGGCAATTTGAGTGATGAATCCATTGAACTTTTCAGAGTAACGATCGCTTCCACCACGGTGGTAGTGCTCGTCCAAAGCAACGTCAATGGCTTCACATACATTGTCAAAAGTGATAATGTCGTCAGAGTCCACAAGGTCGTTGTAAAAGGAGCTGACAATGCTTTCCAAGTCAAAGGTTGAATCTTGCTTTTTGTGTTCACCAGTGCAGCTAGAGAACCAAGTAACAGTTGAACCAGACAACTCAGGAGCAGCATTAGCCAAAACAAGTTCGAGGTGGTGATCTGGGGTACACTTGAACGAGACGAGTTTCTTCGAGTCAAAGTCCTCGTAAACGATCTCCTTCAACGATCCAGTTTCAGGTGCGTTAGCGCCGATACAAAGAACTGGAGTATTGTCGGCACCGTAAAGGTATTCGCCAACAGAAACGTCCTTGACTTTCTTCAAGCCTTGGGTGGTTCTCACCAAAGTATCTGAAGCAAGACATTTTCTCATCATGATACATCCCATAGCGATCAAAGGAGTGGTAGCGAAACCCCATTCTTCAGCACCCAACAAAGCAGCCACGGCAATGTCTCTTCCAGTACGGATTTGACCATCGGTTTGCAACACAACTCTTCCTCTCAAATCGTTCAACACCAAAGTTTGGTGAGATTCAGCCAATCCCAATTCCCATGGCAATCCAGCGTACTTGATGGATGTCAATTTGGCGGCACCAGTACCTCCATCACCTCCAGAAACCAAGATGTTTTCAGAACCAGCCTTGGCTACACCAGCAGCAACGATACCAACACCGACCTCAGAAACCAACTTCACGGAAGTTCTGGCTCTTGGGTTGGAACACTTCAAGTCGTATAACAACTGTTTTAAGTCCTCAATCGAGTAAATATCGTGATGTGGAGGAGGAGAGATCAAACCAACACCAGGAGTCGAATGTCTAGTTTTACCAATCTCAGCAGACACTTTGTGACCAGGCAATTCACCACCCTCACCAGGTTTAGCACCTTGAGCCATCTTAATTTGAAGCTCGTCGGCATCAGCCAAATAGTAAGAAGTAACACCGAAACGACCAGAAGCAATTTGCTTGATGGCGGATCTCATGGTGTCTCCATTGGCATTGATTTGCGATCTGGCAGCGTCTTCACCACCCTCACCAGTATTGGACTTACCTCCCAATCTGTTCATGGCAACGGCAATGGTAGAATGGGCTTCCATGGAAATAGAACCATAGGACATTGCACCGGTGAAAAATCTACGCACAATCTCGGTCCAGGGTTCGACTTGGTCGATAGGAACTGCCTTGGAATTCTCAAAGTCAAAGTCCAATAAACCTCTCAATGTACAGTTCTTGATGGCCTCATACTCCTTCTTGGAGTAGGTTTCGTATGCTTTTTCATTCTTGTTTCTGACAGCATCTTGCATGGACGCAATAGCGACAGGCTCATTGATGTGTGCATCTCCACCGTCTCTCCAGTGGTACTCACCAGTTTCTGGCAAACCCTTTGGCTTGACAGTGTCTCTGTTGGGGTAACCTCTCTCGTGCATCGAGAAAGCATCCTGAGCAATATACTCGAAAGTTACACCTTTAATTCTCGAAGCGGTTCCGGCAAAACATCTGTCAATGACAGAGTTATCAACACCCAAAGCCTCGAAAATTTGGGCACCCTTATAAGAAGCCAAGGTGGAGATACCCATCTTGGACATGACTTTCAAGATACCAGCGTCAACCGAGTTCTTGTAGTTTTTGATGATTTCCTCATCACTCATCTCCTTCTTAAGCAATCCCTCCTTGTTCATTCTGATCAAGGTTTCAATAGCCAAGTAAGGGTTGATGGCATCGGCACCGTAACCAACCAAACAACAAGCGTGATGAACTTCTCTGGCTTCAGCGGTCTCGATGATCAATGCTACCTTAGAACGCTGTTTTTGTCTGACCAAATGGTGGTGCACAGCACCAGTAGCAATTAACGACGAGATTGGAACTCTGGTAGCACTTGTGCTACGGTCGCTCAAAATGATGATTTGATTGTTGTCAGCAATAGCCTTGGATGCCGCTTGACACACGAGATCAATGGTGTTGAGGTATCCCTGGATACCATCGGCCTTTTCGAAAGTAGTGTCAATGATGGCCACAGACCATTTGGGGTAGATCTTTTCGATATGTTTGATGTTGATGAGTTCAGCAGTGGATAAGATTGGAGATTTGAGTAACAAACGGTTACATTGGTCGGGCTTCATTTCCAACAAGTTACCTTGAGGTCCAACGTAACAGTCCAACGACATGACAATTTTCTCACGAATGGGGTCAATTGGAGGGTTTGTCACTTGGGCGAACAATTGACGGAAGTAGTCAAACAACAATTTTGGTTGTTCAGAAATACATGCCAATGCATTGTCGTTACCCATAGAGCCCAATGCTTCGTTTCCCTCAGCCATAGGTGCCAAAACAAACGTGATTTGTTCGTGCGAGTAGCCGAAAGCCACCAATCTGGGGTCCGATTGAACAGTAATATCGGTAGACAATTCGACTTCCTTTGACACCTCGATTTCACGAGAAACAAGCTTTTCAGTCAAATCGTTCATGGTGATCATATTGGCGAGCACCCATGACTTGAAGTCGAAACGAGAAGCCACGCTCTTTTTAAGCTCGCGATCATCCACAATTCTACCCTCTTTGGTGTCGACCAACAACATTCTTCCTGGTTGCAATCTGCCCTTTTGAAGAATTTTTTCTGGCTCGATTTCGATAACACCAACCTCAGAAGCACAGATCATTCTGTCGTCATCGGTGACATAGTATCTACAAGGTCTCAAACCGTTACGGTCAAGATTGGCACCACAGTAACGACCGTCTGCAAAAGTGAACAAGGCAGGACCATCCCAAGGTTCCATAAGACAAGCAGCCCACTCGTAGAAAGCCTTCTTTTTGGGGTCAATATGGGTGTCGTTTTGCCAGGCTTCAGGAATCATTACCATGACAGCTTCTGGAAGAGACAAAACCCCATTGATCACCAACAATTCTAAAACATTATCAAAGGCAGCCGAGTCGGAACCACCCTCTTCAATAATGGGGTATAATTTGTCCAACTCGTCCCCGAACAATTCTGAAGCCATGACACCCTCCTTGGCCCGCATCCAGTTTTTGTTACCACGCAAAGTGTTGATTTCACCATTGTGAGCAGCCCATCGCAAAGGCTGGGCTCTGTCCCAAGATGGAAAAGTGTTGGTGGAAAAACGAGAGTGGACCAACGCAAAATGAGCCTCGAAATCGGCGTTCACCAAGTCATGGTAGTAGGCATAGACTTGATTTGGGGCCAATTGACCCTTGTAAACGATGGTGCGGTTGGACAACGAGCAGATGTAGAACCAGTTGTGCAACCCAATGGTGTGGGACGACTGTTTTCTCAAGATGAACAAGTTTTTTTCAAACGATCTTTGGTATTTTTTCTCGAAATCGTCGGTGGAAATGTCCTCTTGGGGTGCTGAACCGGGACCAAAAGCTTCGGCCAACACAATCAATGGCTGTAATATGAGAGGTTCTCTCGAAAGCGACGCAGGGCCCAAAATGGACGAGTCGTGAGGAACGGCACGCCATCCCAAAACCCTTAAACCCAACGAAGCGGCGATATTTTCAAATGTTTTTTTCGATTTTTCAAACACAACGTCGTCCTTTTTGAAGAACACGTTACCGGTACCATATTGTCCCAAAGGCGGCAACGTCACGTTGCAGTGGTATTGGAACTCTCTCACGAGAAATTTATGAGGCAAAGACGATAATAATCCAGCACCATCGCCGTCTTTTGGGTTCAATTCACCGCCTCGGTGGGTCATGTTACACAACAAATTCCGGCAATCCGACACGATTTTGTGTGACGCCTGTCCTTTAATATGACAAGTAAACCCTACTCCACAAGCATCCTTTTCGTATTCAGGATTGTACAAACCTTTGGCAGTTGGAAGTGTCGATGCCCATGATTTATTTTCAGGAACTTCATCGTAAGAATACACATTTGTTTCGAACTCGTCGTGAGGCAAGTAGGACATGATAGAGGTGCCTTCTACGAGAAAACAAATCCAGAACCAAGTTTATAAAGAGAAAAAAAAAACTTTTCGTATCGATCCCACGCCCCACACTTAGACAGGGTAAGACTCGAACTAGTTTAGCCGCAGCCAGCCAATAAAATCGCGCCGCATTCGTTATCAGGGTGGGGAAGCCGGCGTGCGCGCACCGGCCCTCGGTAGTGCTGCAGGCGAATGCGCCTCGACCACCGGTACCGGCGACTAGGTATAGGGGCCAGATGAATAGGAGACTTGAAATAGAGGTGGTTGCGTGAAAATTTGACTCAGACACCAATTGTATACAAACATATGAATGCTGGACTTTTTTGCCGTTTTCAGTACCTTATCGCATTTAATCGCTAGCCAATCACAGCCGTGCCAATGTCCCTGACCGGCCCGCCGGCGACTACCGGATCTAGGACCACCGGATCTCGCACCACCGGCGATACCCGACGTGAGAAGCCATGTGATCCGGCGATAAGTGGCACGCGAGTACACACGTGATCCATATATGAACGAGCACGTGAACGCACACGTGACCACCACCTCATCTTCGCGGTTTTCCTCACATCGCTATGCTGCAACTATCGTTTCTGCCCGATGTTTTGGCCCGGGTTGCGCCAGACATCTCACTTGATCGTCATATTGCCGAGGGCTTGCGGCCTTGCTTGCGAGAATTTGACGAGTTTAAACCTCTAAAAACAACTTTGGGAGCACTAAACACCTCCGACGGCATCCCGGTCGTCGGTTCCAGCATCGTGAAAAGTGGATCTACCACCGTTTTTTGTGGCATTTCCGTAGGAACCGTCGAGAGAGACACCACAAATACATCCAAATATGCCTCTATATACCCCGTGGTGGAAGTTTCTCGAGGTAGAAGTGGCGCCCCAACTGACGAAGAAATGATCTTGTCGGAGTCACTCTACGAGCTGGTGTTGCATTCGAGAATTATCCCCAGAGAATCACTTAGGGTGACCCCTGGAGTGGCGGTGATCAATGACCGTGGCACTGGTCATCAGTCGGTGCTGATTTACTACCCAGATATCAACCCAGACGAATATGAGATTCTCGACAAACAGCGAATGGTGAATCACGAAATGGTTTTGACAGCCCATCTCAAGGTGTTGTCGCGAGACGGACCGCTTTTCGACATTTGTCACAAGGCTTTGGTGGAAGCGTTGCTTAACGTTCGTCTTCCTCGGATGTACATTAATGATACCGTAGATATTCGTGTGCCTGTTCGTTCTCGAGGTAACTTTGGACATTTAAATTCACAGCAACAGCTCAACATCGATGCAAATGCTGAGATACTGAAACCTTTGGAGCTCGAAACTGCAAATATCGGCTTATCGTCGTCGTTTGGTGTGGTGAACCAGTCGGTGCTTTTGGCTCAGCTTGAAGGTGACGCTGAAGAAACGGCAGCTACCTCCAGAATGAACATCATCACTACCAAAGATAAACTCCAGGGCTTCAGTCTCTCGGGAAACATCGACCGAAATATGATAAAAAAGGCAATCGAGTTGTCGCAATTACGAGCCGAATTGGCACCATAGCTCATTAGATTCGTACATACTACTAATACCATCTCCTAAGCACTTTTCTCAGCTGCTCTCCAGCTCCGAGTCCTCTCGTTCCAGCTCGGGATCCTTGGAAATGAGACGTTGTTTCCGCTTGTTAAAAAGACTGTCGTCGTCGCCTTTAAAATATGGGTCGTTTTCTGCCGCTGGTGATCTCGATTTTTTATTCGAACTGGGGACTTCCTCGTCCTCTTTGCCAGTCTGTGCTTCCTCCTCGTCGTATTTTTCAACTTGTTGCTGAAGATCCACAACCGTCAGCTCAAACTGCGTAAAAGTACGATTATATTCCTGCGACCCTTCGCTGAACAAACTCTCCAATTTCGGCCCACCCAAAGGTGCACTACTTCGCTTGCGATAAAACAACAAGTAGGCCGCACCAGTTATACATTGCGTGGGATCTTCAATGGGAGAAACATGGCTATCATTGAAATAGTACCATTTTCCATCTCTGAAATTTTTCACCGACGCAGTATAATGGCCCCCTCCAAGCCCACCGTAGTGGTTATCAACCGCAATTAAGTCGTATATCAACGACTCGTCTCCACCAGCTACAAAGTTAGACATGTCAAGACCCTCAATGGGGAAATCCACAGTCAAATCAATCTTGTCACTGAACGAGCGAGCACTCTGAAATCGCTTGAGATGAATGGTCAAAATGTCTCCTGTAGACCAAATTTGAATCGTCTTGGTAGCTCTCTTATGATCCTTGCAGCGAGGACAGTACCACAAGTCAAACTCACCAAGAACCTCCGGGGTGCTGAAACTTTGCAAGCAGTCCACCAACAGCACGGTGGTTCTTCTTTGCTTCTCTGCCTTGAGTCTACTTGCTTCCACAGCTTCATTTCGAATGGATAGTTTGTTCTTCCACGCCTTGGCTTCGTCTTTGTCGAAAACTTGAGCGTAGGCAGCATTTCTCCATTGACACACCAACACCATATGCTTGGTAACCAACATGTCCTCTGAAGGACTTGGCTGAGAGCTATTTGCAATATCTCCTAGCGAGCCTGTTTCTGACTCACTAACCTCGCACGGTGTGGGCAATGTGGTGGTGGAGTCAAATAACAGCCCAAGATTGACAAACCCATCTCCATCGGTTTCATCGTCCAGCAACTTGACGGGAGATTTACTAGCTGGTGACTTGGAATTTTCGACGAGAACATAGTCGGATGCTTCAGTGGTTTCCTCGTCTTTTTCGTTTTCAATAGGAGAATCGGCCTCTTTTTCAATTGGAGAATCAGACTGCGATTTAATGTAGAACTTTTGTTCGTCCGCAGAGGCTCGTTCAAGTAAATCTGGAAGACGGTTAAAGTTGAGACGAGTGACTGGTGCCTGTAAGCTACTATCAGTGTCGGGACGAGGTCTCATTCTAAAGGTGTGTCTCATTTTGATCTCATCAATATATTTCACCGAATAGAAGGGTCTCGATTCTTTGGTCGAATCCTCATCCATTTTGTCGTCTTCTGGCGAGCTCTCGAAACTGTCAACTTCTAAATAGCGAGTCAACTCCTCGATCTTGCTTTGAACAACAGCATAATCCAATCTCTCGTTCTCATCCAAAACAAGAAATAGCGGTATCCCGAAAGCATGCACCATTTTATATGAAGGGTCTGAGTCCTCCAACGTACTAAATACCGGCACGATAATATCACGGGACGGATCATGAGGTATAATGTAAACGTAGTGGTCGTCATCTTCAGCCAAGAGTTCATTAATAGGGAAGAATTTGAGCTGCTGGTATTCTTCCTGGAAGTTTTTTATGATTGCGTCGTTGTATAGTTCAAAGACAAAGAAGTAATGGCGAGGCAAATGGAAGAATTCTGACAAGTACAGAACGAGCGAATCAAATGTGGAGGATTTTGGTAGCGATATTTCCAAGGTTTTGATTTTGTTCAGGCTCAGCTTATCTGACATATCCACAACCGTAATTGTATGAAACCATTTCTTTTCTATAGGCAAAGGAAGGGTCAAATCACTGAAGGGATCAAAGGTTATTGAGGTCTTTCCACAATCGGGGCACACCAATGTAGATTGATAGAGCCCAGTGAACAAGTCCACGATAACAGAATCATTTCGTTGCTTATGTTGCATCCAGCACTTTTCTGCTAGTTCCATGATGGCCCGTTGGTTGCCTATATCATCATCACTGAGTTCTGGCTTTTCGCTGTAGGGTTTATTAAGGATACGGTTCAAGTCTTCGTGAAGCGCATCAAGTAGCCAGCTTAGAAATTCCTGAGAATCTTGTTGCTGGTAGCCCAGAAACATCGAGGAATAATGACCGATGGTGTACTTGAAATCTCTGGGAGAGACGCTAGAGACCAGAGATGTTGGGTCGAACGCTTTGTGCAAAAGTGAGGCAAAGGCCATGGCAACTTCACCTTTGAATCCCAAGGCATTGGTGGTGTTGAGCTCTTTGTTGTGGATATCCAAGAAGAAATAGTTGTTGACTTCGGGTACGTGAAGCAAGCATTGAAGCGCTGAGTTCATGTAGCAAGTATTGCCTAAGTTGGAGAAGCCCACGGTTCCTCCCGAGCCACCAGTTGTACTTCTGCCAGTGACAGCATCGAGTCTTTGTGCCTCCAACTTGATGGACAGTAGGTAGGTATCCAAGGGAAAGGATAACAGCGAGTTACGGTTGGGTTTCTCAGCAGTTTCGACCAAAAGATGGAATTTCTGGTTGGCCAAACCTTGACTCGAAAGCGTCGCCTCGAATAGTCCAGGAAGAATCAACGACTTTCGAGGAATAGAACGAACAAAGTATGGAATAGTGATACTAGGAGAAATGGTCTCTCCGACATCATTAAGTGGAGCAATTACCCAGACTCTAAACTTCTTCTCAAGCTTAATCTGAGACCGAACAGTTTCGAGCAACTCACCTATGGTTCTTATTCTTGAAAGAAAGAAAGATGTTGGATGGTGGTTGTAGTTGTGATGAGAGCTCTGGTACCGACCATGGCGCTGTGGTGTGTTTTTCACGAGCTGGTGCAACGCAAACAACGTGGGATGCCTCTCTACTTCGATCGAACCAGTTTCTGGATTTTTCACAAGTGTGCGTACAACCGGGTCTCCTTTTACTTCAAACCACTCAGTAAGCTTTATAAAAACTTGTGGGGGCACGTTGTATGTGGGCACAGGCTCGTCCTTTTCAGGGTATAGGTTACCCATAGGATCCACAATCAGATTCATATCCAATGGTCCAAGCTCATTAGCAAGTTGCGACCATGAATCCACTTGTAGGTATAGGAAAGTCTTGAGAAAGACATGTGAAATGATGTACCAGAGATCCCCCTCTGCTCCGTATGAGGTTTTGAGAAGATCTTCGATTTCCTGGCGTCTTTCAGTCAATATTTGACTTTCTTTGTCGTCAGCAGGAACCGAAGAAGTCGATGTCACCGAGCTAAGAGAAAGTGCTTCTTTGCCAAAACCAGCATGCTGTTCAGAATCGTTGGAAGATTCCCCATTCTGAGGTAGGGGGCTTAAAATAGGCAGCGGTTCTTCGCCAGAGACAGAATTGTTATCGGTGATGTCCTGCACCATTTTTGATCTCAATATGCTAAGATGGTTGCTTGTCTCCAATGGTACACAGAGACTTTTTAGGATACGCTTGGACGATATATACGAGTTTCACGCCGTCAAATTGTTTTTGAATTGGTTATTTGTGGCGTAAGTAGTCTAACAATCTTCTGAAGGAATCGATCGCCATTTGTGAGAGTCCTGCAGACAGCGCGAGATGGGCGTTGAAACCACAATTGCAAAAGAAGAAAAGTTGTCGAAGAAATAGAAGTAAACTCTACTTTTGATCAGTTTGGTTCCTGTACGTAGCTCAACTGCTTGCACTTCTTTGATAGTTATCGTGCCCTCGATTGCTTTTAACAATTTCTATCATCCTGCATATAACTACCATGTCAAACCCCAGACTCTAATTTATTCTCCAGAACCACTTAACTTAATCACCACAACACACGAAAACGACAGTTCAGCTCGCAATACTTGATCAGCACACTCTCTGGAGCTAGGAAAGCACAATGGTGGACTCGGAAATTGTCCAAGATGACCTGTCGATTCCAATTATCAATTTTCTATGCGATAAGGTTCTCCGTAATTACACCATTAATAGGGAGCTCTTGGACAATTGGCGGGCAGAATTACTGGATGTAGCCAGAAATCAGAATGAGTTATCGGATATTGTTTCCGAAGAAGTTTTACTAGCACCACCACCTCGAAATACTGCTCCCTTTATTGACAAGGATGACTTGAAAGGGTTTCTTGATATGCTAGATTCTCCTCAAGGTATCGAATATCCTATACTTCGTATCGTATTGTTTGAAATACTAGTATGTGCAAGTACTGTATCATTCACTGTCAAAATTGAGCTTTTTAGAAGCGGGTTTCATGAGCTATTTGCTGCAAGTTTGTTCAAATTGGATCTTGCAAATGACAAAGTTCACCCAGAAGAAGTCCACTGTCTCATATCTCAGCATGTGAGAGTATTGGTGGCGTACGCTGAACTTGGAGGCGACTTTACTTATTTAAAGCAACTTATGGCCCCATTGGTTGGAAAAGTTGACTCGGCCAACCATTCCTCATCAACTTTCCATATAACTCTTTTGAAAAAAATCCTCTCAAATTCAACTTCCAACATACCTACATTGGTATTTAACGATTATGAAAAACAGCCCATAACAATCCCGTTTGCTTCAACGAGCGAAATTCTGCATTGCTTCACAATTCAATTCTGGTTCAAACTCGACAGCTTTTGCAATAATGAAAAGTCTGATGATACTAGAAGCATAGTCTTGTTTCAACTAGCGCCCTCGTCCGCAGAGGATGCCGGACACACAGTAATGATAAAGTTACTTTTGGACAGTGAAATTTGTTCTTATCAGCTAGTGGTTGACCTATATAACAACGGTAATCAATCTGTGATACTGTTCCCATTCAACCAAAAATTCACCAGCAACGGAGCTGATAACGACTTTAACCATATTGCCATAACCTACGATCCTTCACAGCGACTCAGTCTTTTCATAGATGGCGACTGCAGCGAGTACATTCCCTGTCCTATACTTCAGAGCGCTGCTGGCGGATGGAAAAAACTATACATTGGCTCGACCCAAAATGAATATTGTCATCCTATAGGACAAAGTGAGCTCATAGTACGCAATCTAGCTGTGTTGAACATAGCATTGAACCACCAATGGATCGCATTTTTACATGCAATTGGATTTAATTATGACTGGAGTTACAAGGATTTGTCGCTGAACAATGTTTTAAGTCTCATGAATGAAATTCAAGGTCAAAGATTCGTGGATTTTGCTTCTAAGGTAGCAGAATTGAGAGTTAAAGAGCACTATCGAGACAACTCAGGAAAGCAAAGAGCTCACAAACAGGTCCAAGATGGCTCTATCGACAGCCGTATACGACACACACGCCATTTAATGCAGCAAACATTCCGAAACGAGAATGTACTTCTTGACTTTAATGGCAGTCGCTTGAGTGATTTGGAAGCTCCTAAGTATTCAAAGATCGTTGTCCACAAAGCAAAAAGTCTCACAAGTTCTTTCTACAGTGTGGGAGGTACGTATTTCCTCCTCAGGTTAATTGAGAAAGAGTCTCGGAAGCCTGAAGCTGATTTAGCAGCTGAGGAAAGTGCGTTTTTCGCAGCCATTGAATTGCTCTTTTCCATCATCAACAGAAACTGGCGTATAGCGAGAGAGTTCGAAAACATCAGCGGCTACGGTATTTTAAGCATCCTTCTCTCCAACGGAATCGATAACAGAAGCGAAAAAGTGAAAGAAAAACTAATTCTGTGTATCCTTAAACACTGTGGATATTCCAACGCTGGCTCACCGCTTTTAACGAACCCCCAAATCTACCGCCATTTGATACTCAATGCCGATCATATCTTTGCAGGAAGCGGGACTTCGTTGCAAGTTTTTTTAAAGCACCTCAATTCCATGATTAGTGGGGGAGAGTATTGTCGGTGGAACTTGATTGAACTACAGAAACTTAAATTACTCCGCAAGTTGGTGCACATCTTGAAAGCTTCGATCAACTCGGATGGCTGTGCTGAGTTATCATCTGAGACCATGGCTGAGTTGACAAGAGTGGTCAAGAATATCGTTATAGTGGACTCCTCCATTGAGAGCATACGAGCACTTTCATTATTTGTTGTATACTTGTTGATTCCTTCTGAACCTATAACTCCCAGAAACATGGCACAAGAAGACGAAGAGAGCTACATTGATATTTCAAGAACTGCGCAGCATCAGATTGGCCTAGAAATTCTCAATCTGATGACATCTGTGTTATGTGAAAGGACAAGACTGCCAAAGAAAGTCAAAAGATTTTCTCGTGCTATTACTTTGCACTGGATTCTTTTACTTCTTGGCTGCAACAATACATCCCAGACTAACGAGGGGGTGGTTAAGTGTGCTATGAAACTTTTCGCTAAACTTCTCCGTGCTCTTGGGCCCAATGTTCAAAAGAGATTCTTTCAAGGAAGTCACGGCAAAGAGGTGTTGACTTACTATTTGAAAGATTGGTGGTCTAATGACGATATTGTGAGATTGCTCTTCAAGTTGTCTTTCAGTGAAGAAGCTTTACTGAAAGATTCTGATTATGAAAATGAGTCTATCAATCTGATAATTGAAGCAATTGCTTCGAAAGACCAGCCTGATGGAGTCTTAGCCCTACCGCAGCTTCTTCTAGTACTCAACAACGTGATGCTCAATTCCATGAACGTTCTCAGCAAAGCCAGTGGAAAGTTATTGAGCGCTCCCAATTCACCAAGGAAGTCAATAGTCAACACTTGTAATAATGTTGAAGTTTCTTTGAATGTTTTGCACTTGTTAAACCAAATGCCAGACGCTATAAGAAACGGTTTCAGAAGAATACCAGCTCTTGCGCAAGTGTTCACTAGCGCAGAGTACTTGGAGGGTGCCTTTGAGCTTCTTGCACACTTGAGGCTTTCACTAACTTGGATTAACAAGGATATCAGATCGAGTTTCGAATCTTGTTACAAAGCATGGGTGGAAGTGTTGACGGAAATCTTCTTTTCCAAAATCAATGATTCAAAGAATTTGCTTGCAACTTTGCGGTCGCTCAATGACATAACTAGGCAAATAGCATTGGACACTATATTCCCCAGCATCATTGGCCACATTGAACAGTTTGTGAACAGCATAGACAAAAACAGTTTTGATGCCAGTGTCATTGATTTTGTTGAAGGATCACTGACTTGTTTGTGCTACTACTTCAACAACTTCATTGGAAGAAATTACTACGTCAGTGGAGAGACAACTGATTTGTTCACTAAATGTCTCGTATCGGTGGTAGAGCTCGTTGATTCTGCTCCTCATCAATTGCACAAACTTTCGCTTTTGAGCAAGTTAAAATCGTATCTTGGCCAAATTATTGTCATGAGAGTTCTAGAGATCGCAGAGTGTACAGTTGGTAACGAAAGACAAGACGAAGACGAGTATCTGGCTAACAAAGATTTGGAAGAAGAATTGAACTCTGTGTTGAAGTTTCTTCTTTATCGACAAACCACCGTCTTTCAACAAGAAGTGTTGAACGATGTTCAGTTGAGCAGAATTATCACGCTAATATGGGGGACCTACTTCAAGTTTCCGAAAAGTGAACAGAGTGCGGTAATGGAATATACCATCAGTTTTATGCGCACCTCATACATGCTTACCATGGATAGATTTGACCGGATTGTTCGTGAGGCTACCGTGGAGGGCCAGCAAGATCGCCAGCTGATCGTGATAGAATTTTACCGAGCTTTGATGTCTCAAAATGACTCCGAGTCAATGAAGAGTATAAATCTTCCCAAGGTTAAAAGATTCTTCATGTCAAAATTTTCGTTAATTGTCAGCCCTGAAGACCAAAGGTCTGGTGCCAGCCGGCTCAAAGTCATGGATATGATGAGCGTTATGCTTCACAACGGAAGCTCCTTGGGACTAAACGACAGTGGATACTTGGACATTTTTGTCCGTGATTGTGAGAGACTCAAGAGCCTGATAATCCATACCGAGACATTAAAGTACAACCGAACCATTCAGGACAAAGAAGAGAATTCTCAGTTTTTCATAACCTCCTACAATAGTTACAAGACAGAGTTTACAAGGCTCTTGGGTGACAGTCGACGCCAAGTTTCAAGTTACTCGTTGGACTATATTGAGAACAACGATAGTATGCGCAAGAGAACTATACTCGAAGAGCACCTTTCTGAGTCGGAAAGACTTTCTTATAATCTCAGCGTGCCCACGAAAGAACTCCCTCTTAAAGACCAAGCACTCACCTATGAGCAAGCAGTCTCTGGACTCAGCTCCATGGCTCTTTCAACAGAGGTGGATGATACCAACGACGCCGACGACTACGAGATAATCAATGATGAGGATACCGATGAAAACACTGACTTTGATGATCGCAATCGAAGAGTCTTACGAAGCCTCTACATGGGAGATCAAATTGTTGCGCTCTGGAATGTGAGCCAGATTAACGGTTTGGCACCTATCGAGAGCTTGATGATTCTAGGCAACACCCATATATACTTGATCGAAAACTACTTGCATTGCGCCGATGGAACGGTTGTCAATGCCTCGAATGCTCCACCAGAGCTCAGAGATCCATATTTGCAGCTCATCAACTCACAATCGTCTTCCGCCAAGATGGAGCACAAACTTCACCGAAACAAGAATTGGAGCTTGGAGAAACTAAGTTGCGTTTCCAAGCGACAATTTTTGCTTCGGGACGTGGCCATGGAGATGTTTTTCAGCGACGGAGCCAGTGTCTTGGTTACTTGTCTTTCCAAGAAAGATCGTGATAGTATCTATTCCAAGCTACTGTCGTTGGCTACTGGGGTTGGTTTAGATTCTGATCTCACCAAGGCGCTCAATTCCAGTATCTTGCACCACAGCACCAGCAACTCCAATACTGGCTCTTTCTTTGCGTCCAAATTCACCCTGGCTTTCGCCAATATGAATGTCCTTGAAGCTACGAAAAAATGGAAGATGGGAGAGATATCCAACTTCTACTATCTCATGATAATCAATACGATCGCTGGAAGAACCTACAATGATTTGACCCAGTACCCCGTGTTTCCTTGGGTAATTTCCGACTATACCAGCGAAACATTGGATCTTCTGAATCCTGCCTCGTTCAGAGATTTATCCAAGCCAATGGGCGCTCAAACCCAGCCACGAGCAAACCAGTTCAAAGAGCGGTACGAGGCTTTAGAAAGCTTGAATGACAAGCATGCTCCACCGTTCCATTACGGAACCCATTATTCTTCGGCTATGGTGGTGACATCGTATCTCATTCGACTTCGACCTCATGTTCAGTCGTATTTGCTTTTGCAAGGTGGAAAATTCGACCATGCCGATAGACTATTCTACTCAGTTGAAAAGGCTTGGAACCTGGCTGCTCGCGATAACACCACAGATGTCAAAGAGCTCACGCCCGAGTTCTTCTACCTTCCTGAGTTCTTAGTCAACTCCAATAATTTTGCGTTGGGAAACCTTCAAAATGGAACCTCGGTCAACGATGTGCTACTACCTCCATGGGCCCATGGTGACCCGAAAATATTTATTGCAAAGAACAGAGAGGCTCTAGAGAGCTCCTATGTGTCTGCAAACCTCCATCTTTGGATCGACCTCATCTTTGGCGTCAAGCAAAGTGGACCTGAAGCCGTGAAAAGTCTCAATGTATTTCACCACCTCTCATATAATGGAGCTATTAACATCGACAATATTGACGACGAAACCGAAAAAAGGGCAGTTATCGGAGCCATCAACAATTTCGGCCAAACTCCAATGAAACTATTCAGCCGTCCTCACCTTGCCAAAGAGGTACTCAACGTTCCAAGCTTGTACATGGTGATAAGCTGCGTAAATGGACCTCCCAAGCTTCTGTTTGAGTCTAAACTCAGCTTGCCAATAAAGAAGCTAGAGTGGAGCACCAAGGGCAACAAATGGGTGGGGAGACCGGCTTGTATCAGTGCCGAGGACGATCTTTTGATACGCAAGGTGAACCATTTTAAAGACGAAAGTGGTTCGTTGATAATCAATTCTACTGTTTTTCTTGGCCTTCACGACTTCAACATCACTGCCCTCACCCAGATGGGATACAAGCAGTTTCTCACCGGCTCCGAGGATGGGGTTATAAATGTGTGGAAGTACCATTCAGCAAAGAGTCTTAATTTTCAATGTGTTCTTCGGGGCCACAATACGGAAATCAAGGCCATCAAGTACAACCGAAGCCACCGGTTTGGCGTAAGTATCGATGCTTCTGGTCTTGCCATCTGCTGGGATTTGGTTCGGAACAAGTTTATTCGGAAGGTGAAAGCAGAAAATGTGGAGCTCATTGCTTTGTCTGAAGACAATGGAAACATCGCTGCTATTTGTTCTACAAACGATAAACAGGTTTTGAATATCTACACCATCAACGGCGAGGAGGTGATCTCGTACCTGCTTTCACAGAAAGTCACAGCTTTGGCTTTTGCAAGTTCTAATGGAACAGTGGTTCCGTCGGATCGTCGGTCGGTGGTGAATAATCACAGCTACTGGAATAACGAAATTCTAGCTTTAACCCTCACCACCGGACTGTCAACAAGCATCCAGGTGTTGGAATTGGTTCCGAAAATCAACAATTGGTGCCTCCAAGAGTTGAACCATGTCGATATTTCAGCTACAGATATCCAAACCGTGAGTTGCATAGAACTTCTCAAAAAAACCGAAGTTGATCCCGACGACCGTCTTTGCCGAGGAATTCTCCAATTCGTTATTGGTGATGTCTCTGGAAGAGTATATGTATGGTAATAGTAGCTATGAACTTGCCCATCTCCAGTATATATTCCTGCACACAGCCTCTCCATATCTCGGCTGCGGAGTATGTTAAGCTGGACCAGCCACTGTTATGGTGTCTTTCCTACCTCCTATTCAGGTAAAAACCACACTGGCGTGCCTAGCATGGTATTTAGTGTCGTCGATAACATCGCAATTAACCAAAGTAATCCTTGTTCGATTTAACTATCCGCTATTTTTAAGCCAGGCTCAATTCTTATTCGGAGCACTTCTTTCTGCAGCATTTATATACTTTTCAAAGTCATTTCCCGATACCACCAGTCATTTCCCACTGGGAAGCGTGCCCACAGATCCCGCAAAACCACTTTTTCATAAACTTTCATTTCTCAAAGTCAGTCCTTTGGGACTTTTTCAGTTCAGTGGAAAGTATGCTTCGCTCAAAGCGACGTCTATGATACCCCTTTCTACCGTATCGAGCCTCAAGGCGCTCTCGCCACTCCTAATTGTGGCTGGATACCGCATAGTGTACAATGTTCATGTACCAGTATCAACCGTCTTGTCATTAACACCTTTGGTTTTTGGGGTTGTTCTCATGATTATATCCGAGTCTGGCACTCAATTCTTTCATGGTGGCTTCACCTCCACCCAGATTACGGGTGTCACTTTCTGCTTGCTCAGCATGTTCATTTTTGCAGCGCAAAATATATATGGAAAAGAGTTGATAACTTGGGACACACCCAGCCAACCGGCTTCAATGATGCTCAATACCGAGCCCAGCCGACCAACGACACCTCTACCAGAATACCAAGTCCCAGAGTTGAGCTCTTCGTATGGAGAACATAAACCCAATGGTTTCAGACAGAGGACAAACTCTATTCGATTACCATTTTCAACTTCTGATCTCAGAGTCAACGAAAAACAGGCAGAATCGGACCACCAGCTGCTCCCATACATCCAGGTGACCCAGGATAACAATATGTTTGTTTCTACATCGCAGGCATCCAAACCTGACCGCATGACTACAATCTTCTACTGCTCAAGCATTGGCTTTGTTTGTCTGTCTGTGGTGTTCCTATTCAAGGAATCTGGCCTGTTGATGCTGCGGATTACGGCGACAAACACCGATATCGATGCCTCTTCAGAATTTTTGTTTGTGGTGGTTCTAATCATTCTCGACTCGTTGTCACATTTCATCCAGACGCTTTTGGCATTCCATCTTTTGGGTCTGATTCCAGCTCTTTCGTACTCCATTGCCTCGATGATGAAGCGAATAGTTCTCATTACCGTGAGCCTAGTATTGGCCATTGGAAAACCCGAAATTCAAGATAACAGCGACAAGTGGTTCGGAGCAATTTCTACACTACAACTCTGCGGTCTTGCCATGATCTCCCTTGGAATGTACAGCTATGACCGGTGGGGATCGCGAGCAATGAAAAAGAGACGGTAACTACAAAAAAATATTTGGAAGGCTAGAATGCCCAGCTGCAATCGGTGACAAAATGTCACAACAGCCACGCCCGCAATTTCCGTGACTACCCTTACCCAGACGAGTCCAGGTACGACTAGTTTACTCTAGTGCCGGTTGTAGAGAGTTTCAATTCTGGGAGAGACGAATGTCTGAATTAAAGCCCTACAATAATACCGACACATGTACAATAGAGAAAAAATTCCGCGATGGTGCTTTTTATACCCGCGAACCACACCCGCACACCACTTTACTGGTCTCTCGAAATTCCCTGAGGGAATCTACCGATTCCATGTTGTCGTTTACGGTGCTCTTGTACCTTCTATCGGTGGCTGTTGCTGGATCTGTGTACGGGAGGTTCACAGGACTTCCAGAAACTTCGAGAGGAATTGCCCCGGGTAGAAACGGGCTTAATTTTCAGTCCAGAATACTCATTCAGTTGGAAGGTTCAACCAAGTCTGAGGCTATACCGGTAGACAAGAAGTTTAAATTTCGTGCATTGGGGTTGGATCCTGGCTTGTACCAGCTCTCAATTGATAGCTATGACTTTGAACTCAAAAATTCAAAGTGGCAGATTGAAGTTTCCAACGAGGACGAAACCGCCGCAGTTGAACATGCCACAGGAAAACCACTCAATGTAACATCACGCGCAATTATTAGTGCTGAAAACCCATTAGAAGTGAAGGTTGTTGGCACGACGCAATACTATGAGGACCTGGAAGGTGGTCTTTCCAAAATGCTCCAGGACAGTCCATTTGGTTTCATATTTCGCAACAGAACCTACACCACGATTTTCGTCGTGTGCTTGATAACCATGGCACTTCCGTATGTGCTACTGTTTGTCAACCCAGAGCTTGCAGAGCAGATCAACCAAAAGCAACCACCGGCAAAGTATGTTGTGAAAGAAGAAGTCGAAGTGTTGAGCAAGCCTCAACCTCAACAGAGACCACCCAGTCAAGTTTCGCAAAGGGGAGCAAGTCAGTCCAGTCTGCCAGTGCCCAGGGTACCAGCGCAGGGTAGTAAAAGAAGGGCATAAGAGATCCCAAGATTGTATGACAATGCAAAATATTATGTAGTCTATTCACACTCGAACATTTAGTTTGAGTCCCACAATATAGTAACGACTTATAAACCAACACACAGCGCCCATGAAACTCAAAAGTCCACAGAAGAGAACAAACATGCGATAATTTTTTTCACTTTCGTCCCCAATAATTGCTGCACTCATGGGAATACCAAAAAGGTTTCCCACACTCACAATGATGTAAAGAAGTCCATATCGCTGTCCAAACTCGTTGGTTGGAGTGATTTCTCCAAGGCAGACTGGAGTCATCGTGAGAATAGATGCACTGGTAAATCCACCAGCCACTGCAAATGCATAGATAGCTCCATGGTATTGGCCAAAAGGAAGCCATATAACCAAGATGGACAAAGCAAATCCAATCAACATCACCACCATGACATTGAAGCGTCCGTAGAAGTCAGAAATGTAGCCTGGAATCCATCGACCCAACACTCCACTGGCATTGAAAATGGTCAATAAAAGGTAGGAAGAGGACTGGGAGATTCCTTGCTTGATAGCGTATGAGGCAAAGTAGGTGGTTGCCGACATGAGCGCCAATTCCACTACAAAAGTGCCTGCTATCAAGAAAGACAACTTGCGATCTAAGAGGTGACGAAAGTCGATGAATTTTTGCTTTTTTCCGTCATTATCGACGGAATGGTAAATGGCGTCTCTGGATGTAGCCAATAAAGCAGCACATAGTTGGCACCCCAAGCAAAAAAATGCCAAGACACGAATGGCCCAAGTGAATCCCACCAGGGTGTACAACGACCGAAGCATTAAAGGTATAGCAATTCCTCCCACAGAACCTCCAGTAGTTGCCATTCCAATTGCCACGCCTCGCTTACGACAGAACCACTGACCGATAACGCCCACCAAAGGGGTGACCATGAGGGCGTTTCCCAATCCAACACAGATCGATAGCGCCAAGATAAATTGCCAAACTTGGGTACAACTTGCTGTTGACATTAGACCAGCAAATGACAAACAAGAACCTCCTAAAAGTAGCAAGCGGGACCCGATTCGGTCAAAAACCGGTCCTACGACCACACCCACTGCAAACGAAAGCGCCAAGTAGATGGAGAATATCCACGAAATGGTTGAGGTCGAAACATGCGATAATTGGTGTATAGAAACATAAGCCTGGATGGCACCCATGGAATTGAGCAAACCAAAGGTAGATACGAGTCCCATGAACGACCCAAACACTACACTGTAAGCCTTCGTTCCTCCGTCAGGAAAGTCATGATCTTCGTGATTTTCATTCTGCGAAATAGTGCTTGTTTCCTGACTCAATTCTGGCTCCGAGCCGCGATAGACACTATTGCTCACGCCTCCAGGCGGCTGCAATTCAAAGCTCTCGAGCGGCTGTTCTCCGACACTTTGTATGGGCATAAAAAATGGGAAAGAGGAGATTTAGTCAGTCGATTTAAATTATGCATTTAATTTCCATCTCTGCACGGCACCTGCAGTCTTCGGCGCTAGTTACTACTTTGGGACTACTTTGGGCATCATATAATTTGCAGCTACACTGGCTAAGGCTAATCGTTGGGGTGTGTAAGTTCCTTCTTGGCCTCCTCGGAGTAGTTCTTGCTCTTGTCATAAGCGGGACTGGGGTTTGTCCAGCCATTGACATAGTCAAAGTCGGTTTCCACAAAGTGCGCAAATGGATATGTGGGGAGAGTCTTGAGTGGAGTTTCTGGAGTAATTATTCCCAACTCTAGTTGACGATTGATCAACTCATCGAGGTATCCACTGATATGGTCTCTGAAACTCTCGAAATTTTTGTACTTGATAATCTGTTCAGGACCTTCGTACAAGATTTTCTTCAAGAGCGAGGGAACAAGTGGTTCATCTTTCATCTCCTCAATTGAATAAAAAACCGGGTGATTGGTGAAGATGATTGCTTGGGTCTTGGGTAACCTTCTAAGGGTTTGTCTTTCGACTCGAACATTAAATTGTCTTGGTTCGGTGGACTTCAAGTCAGCCGCCAAATTGGGTTGGTACTTGGGCAATTGGTACACATTATTCAACTTGAGCTTGTGGTCCCACGTAATATACCACGACGCTCTTTCCACTGGCTCACCAACCTTCATTCTATGAAACCATCTTTCCATCGACTTTTGCAACTTTTCTTTGTAGTAGGGAACATCTTCGTGAATAGTGTCGATATGATGGCCGATTTTCGAATCGATACCAAAAGATCCACCGGGAAATGGAACCGCAGCAGCCACCAAGTAGTGCTTTCCGTCCTCCGGGTTCTTTTTGACAACATAAAAGTCTTCTTTGGCCAACTTTGTCACATATAAAAGTGGTGATTCCTTTAAAGGTAATCTCATATCCAACACTTCTTTGGTCAATTCGTTTCTAATCACCCGTCCGTTCTCCTTCTTGTCTTCTAACACAGTGAACAAAAGAGGATACCTCTTCAAGAGGTGATCCACCACGGTCTCCATGAGTTCCATGCTTGCATCTTCTCCTTCTGGAAGACAATCGATATTTTCCTTTCCGTACTTGAACCATATTCTTCTTTTTTCCTCAATATAGTGCCAGTAGTATTTATCCATGTCGAGCCAATGGTTGATATCCAACTTGAAAATTGACATCGTTTGGTGATAAGGCCATCTGAACGGCCTCCAGGGCCGATCATCGTAGTTTTTTACCTGCTCTGGAGTTATCATAAGAGGTGTGGGTTCAGGCACTTGATCAAGAGTCCCATATCCACTTTTCTCCTTGGCTTGAGGTTTCTGACAAGGTAACGCTTTTTTGTAGAATGCAACCAATTGCTTGTGTCCCAATAATACAGACACAGCAACGGCTGCAAATAGGAACACCATATATCCCGGAACTGGCATTATTTACGTGGAGCTCCTATCGACGGACTCCACCTGTATTTATCCAGGAACCCGAAACAAGCGCCGTCCGTACAGGGTTAAGATCTGCGAGTAGTTGCGGTTCCTCGAACTAAATCAGGTAATATGTTGCGGCTGCGATAACAGCGCCGCACCTGCGCCGGAGTGTGCATATGTACATGGTGCGGCGCGGAATTGCAGCCATTAATCAGATGCAATCATTTCGAAGCGCTGTTCGATGAAATGAGTCAAATGTCTAATCTTTGTATCGACGTCTCCCTCGTGGTTGTACAAGCTCGTGACGATTTTCTCGACCCATGAGTCAACCAAACTAGGATTCTGGTGGCTTATCAGTCCGATGTATTGTCGAAAGCTTTGAGAACTGTACCGCAAATTATAGTAGTTGTTGGTTACATGCTGTTCCATTGAACTTGTGTAGTGGTCCAGCTCGATCGGGTGGTATAGTAATTCTGAGAAGGAACAAATTATAGCCATAAACTGTCGATCTTGGAGCAAGGCAATTATGGAATCGGCGGACTCGCCTTGGAAATAGTGTTCCACATGTTTCACCACCAAATAGTTGTAATAGTCACCACCCATGGTACCAAACTTCGTACAGATGTCAGGATATGTATGGACATTTTTTGACCGGATTCCCATGGACTTGAAGAACTCTCGCGATAAAAAGTAGTTCACTAGCAATAGTTTATGAAGCAGGGTGGATTCGGCACGAGGCAAGCATAGCTCTTGGTTCCAACAATATAGCCCTGGTCCAGATTTGAGTTCTGATACCTCATAGTTGAGATGTGGTATTTTTGCATCAAATGGTCGGTAGCTACCTCCCCAAGCTTGCTCTAAAACTTGTCTGAATGCACTCATATTTCCAATGGACTGGAGCATGGCATAGTTGAAATTGGGAGCGGAAACACTATCTTCAAGAAATCTCAACATATCGTGCCTTTTTTCAATGAACGAAGGAAGTCTCTCGTTGAGAAGGAACAGATCAACGACATATTTTTGGTACGCATGCAATTGTCGAAGTTGAGCTGGTTCATGTACTGGTTCTTGAACTGGTTGACCTTTTCCGAAATGAAGCTCAAGTTCCTCAAATCGTTTCTTGTTCCTTGCTTCAGTCAACGAAAACCGGTGGCTATGAACTTGTCTATCAAGCTCACGAATGAAAGGATTTATGTCTTCCACTCGAAGAGTGTCGAATAATTGGGCAAAAAGCCTGGAAATATTGTCCGTCCATCGGGGTATAATTTCGCTGTCTTGTAAATCAAGTGCAGATACGTACTGGCCAAATTGACTCATCGCCAAGCCTTTGTCAGAACTTTGGATCAAGTATTCAATGTAGCTATTATCTTGTATGATTCCATTGAAGACATCGGCTGAATCTAGAGCCACTTTTGCAAAGGAAGTTGAGGTTAATATCTTGAAAAGATCCTCGAGGTTCTCTAAATGATCACGATGTAAATGCTCGTACAAAGATTTGCGCAAATGATACTCAAAAAGAGCTTGGCCATGGAGCTTCAAAGCGACCAAATGAATCTTGAGAATCCCATCATATTTCCATGAATTTGTTCCATGGTTATGTTTCTTTCTCTGGATGATTGAATCGTTGACCATTAAAAGTCTTGAGATTCTGGATCTGTCGTTTAATTTTGGAAATGTGAAGGTATCCTTGTGATCAAATTGTGATTCATTCATAGTAATTGATGGAGTTGCTCGCGTGGAAAGCAAATGTTTCAAATTGAAGACGCTGGTATCTGGGGAAACTTCCTTCAATATTGAGCTAAAGTTTTCAGGCGAAATAGTTGAGGTGAACTTTCCTATCAATGGTAAATGGTCAGAAGAAACCCCGAAGCTTTTTCTGAATATATTTTCAACTTGTGAGTGGATTCGGTCCGTATTTTCGTAGATATGAACCACATCAGAAGAAAGAGCCAACTTGGAAGCAATATAATCCAAAAAGCTCTTTCCAAGAAGACCTAAATGGTGAATTTGTAAAGAATTTGAATTTGAAACATCTGGCTTCTCTAATGACAATTGAACATTGTTAACCGAAGAGTATCTCTTTTTAAAAAGTTGGTCCTGAAGCCCATGCAGAGAGCTATCCACAAGATTTTGTATCCACGAACGTACCAGCTGTGAGTTTTCAATCTCCAAAAAGTCCCAAGAAACGAAAGAAAAAGTCTGTTGAAGGTAAATTTTCACGGCGTAAAATCGTCAAACTTTCCGGTGAAGCAACGACGTTTCTGATGCCTGAGAGCTTTATAAACGTCATAGCGGAGTCGACAATTGTGTCAATTGCACGGTAAAGTTCGCTTGTGTCTGAGTGACGTCTAAGGACGCTAAGTGTTGTATAGTAGGTGAATGCAAGTTTTCCAAACGAGTATAATTGTTCATGTTTGTTAAGAATTAGCTGTTTGTCGCCATGAACTAGCTTTCCAAGGAATTTCTTGAGAACACTGGTGGAAAACAAGTATGATAAATTGAATGCATTAAACTTTTCAAGCTTTGGTAGTTCAAAGTCCACATTAGGAATAGATGTGTTCCAAATTAAATTGTAGTCAATTTCAATATCAGAAGACACTATCAGGTTTAAGTACGTGCCGAACAGTCTACTCAATGCCTTCGTTCGAGCATCTTCTCCTAATAATGAAATTAGATATTTTTCACATTCTGCTTCATCTTCGTAGCAAAAGTAGCCAATTGTACGAGAAAATGACAGCGAATTGGTATCCAAATTTTCACACACAGACTTGTAGAGCTCCTTTATATAGTTCTGGATCTCTTTGTCATTTTTCTGAGGCCTGGTCTGAAGAATATACTTTGTAAGCGTATGTTCGATGCAAATAGATCCAAGGTTTTGCGCCAGTTCTTCTGATATTTTGCCATTGGCAGGTACCAGAGGTAGTTTGTGCACCTTGAATACCTTGGGAAGATCTAGAGGATAAAATAATGCTTGGGATAGTGGTAAATGTGTTGAAGTTGGCAGCGATGGATTTCGTTGATGAGATGGACTTGGATTTATTCTGGTCAAAACTTCACGTACGATGTCTGCAATTTCATAGGAAGATTCCTTATGAGCGGTTCTTGTTTGAAGTCGTCTTAGAAACCGCACAGACGTCCTTAAAAGGCTCATTCGAGCCGTGGACATTGATGGTAACATAACATGATTTCAATATGAATGCGAAAAATTAAGAAAAAATTACGACACCACGAAAATAATATCAGTACATGACAATTTATTGACTATAGAACCATGCAGAGTGTCGAGTTTATAGTTCACAATCTCATTAACAACACCCAAAAGTTGCGCAATCACAATCTTCTACCTCTTCTACCACCCTTTCTTCTGGTAGAGTCCGATGGAACTGGGGTAACATCTTCAATTCTGCCAATTCTCAAGCCGGATCTGGCCAAGGCTCTCAAAGCAGATTGACCTCCTGGACCAGGAGTCTTGGTACCAGTACCTCCAGTAGCTCTCAACTTAACGTGGACAGCGGTGATACCAACTTCCTTACACTTGACGGCAACGTCTTGAGCAGCCAACATGGCAGCGTATGGAGAGGACTCATCCTTGTCAGCCTTGACCTTCATACCACCAGTGACTCTGGAGATGGTTTCCTTACCGGACAAATCGGTAACATGGACGAAAGTATCGTTGAAGGAAGCAAAGATACGGGCAACACCGAACACCTGAGTGTTATCTCTAACTTGAGCTGAGGTTAGTAGGGAACGTTGGTAACCAAGAGAAAGCGGAACAATGCAAAAACGCACATCGAAATCACGAACATGGTGAAGAATTAAAAATCACTTTAGGCATGTTTCAACAAGTGACTAAATCCTGGTGGAGACTCGTTTATATGAATTCTGCGTATTGTATTTGCACGTATCACCGCTTTCCTGACGAACATCGTCAGATTTTACATACCAGAAGACATGGTTAGTTTCTTTGAATGTAGAGTTGAGATGTTCAAATTTTTCAACGGTGGGTGCGAATTGCGCACGTGCGGAGAGAAAGGGCTAGCCCTGGAGAACGAGCCAGGTTGATATGCAGGAAATTGAAGCCGCCTATGAAGGTACTACCAATGCTACTACCAATTGAAACCACATAACTAGCTATAGCAATTGATTCTATTATCGAAATCAGCCCACTCATTGAGCCTACAACGTTTAATTAATTGTTTATTTCTAAACTTCTCGTATAGCTTTCCAGCCATTTTTCACCTCTTACTTCGTCACGACTTCTCCCTATTTATTCACCTTTTTCTCTAGTAAACGAAACCCAAGATCTTACCGGAAACGTGCTTTCTTCTGGCTTCTTCGTGGTCCATAATACCAGCAGAAGTGGTCAAAATAACCAAACCGAACTGTCTAGCAGGCAACAAGTTGTCGGTCCATCTCTCGATATCTCCGATTTTGACGTTGAATCTTGGGGAAATGACACCACACTTGTTCAATCTACCGGTAAGTTGAACGACAATCTTTCCGGATCTGTGGTCGTCGATGTATTCGAACTCACCGATGTAACCGTGCTTTTGCATCACACTCAAAAATTTGATGATGACCTTGGAGGATGGTCTGATCAAGACTTGACGCTTACCGGTCTTTTCGGCGTTGTTAATGGCGTTCAAAGCATCTGCTAACACGGAAGTTCTGGTCATGGTGTTGTAGTGGTGAAAACTTGGAGTTGAAAAATTTCGCGACCATTGGATTTTGCGGGCGCAGCCCTCGGTGCGCGCACGTGTATGGTTTTTGGGAGGTTTGTCTGCAGTATCCACCTCTGTAGTGCGAACAAACTTTTCGCAAAACTTTTCCACGAGTCAGTCAAGATGCCAGTAAGTACAGACGATAATATGCTACGAAAAGACGACAGAAAGACTTGGTGAGATTATGTGGCTACTTGTGTCACAGAGAGTAAAGAGAGACTTCCATGAGATATAAGCAAATAATACTAGAATGTTGAATTATGGCGGATAAAATAGACTACACTTTATTGAAGCCTTTAAAGTCATTCGGTCATATTGGAGCCAATAGGGACATTACGAAGCTCAGCTCATAGTTGGTCATGTACATTTCCGCCACCAAGACTACTTCAACTTTCGTCAATTTTCGACTTTCTTCTTCCTTTACTAACTCAGTCTCAAAAATCTTTCAGGACCAAGCAAAAGTTGGCCAAGGCCCAGAAGCAAAACAGACCATTGCCTCAGTGGATCAGATTGAGAAGTGGTAACACTATCAGATACAACGCCAAGAGAAGACACTGGAGAAGAACTAAGTTGCACATCTAAGAGATTTGTAGCATGTTAATATAAGTCAATGGACAGAAGATGTAGAACTAGACGAGGTGTCGTAGATGAGATATAAAATTGCAGTTTTGGTTCGATAATTACAAGAGAGATAAGATTATTCTATTACAATATGACACCACTGCTCTCGTTCAGTCCAGCTCAGTGTAGTCTTATACACCTCATTTCTGTCATCTCTTCTGTTCAGTCCACCTCACTTCTTTCATCCTTTTCTTCATCCTTTTCTCTTCAAACCTCCTCCTCCTCGAACACAGTCTCGATCGGCTTCTCCATCAACGTGGCATGGCTTCCCACCGTCACCATCGAAGAACCAATGAGCCACATCATGGTGGAGATCGGACTGGCCAAAAACGTCAATGGGATCGCCACGATCATGAGACCAGTGTACAACTGCGATGAGTTGAACCGTCCAAACGGCAACACCAAGTCATTGCCGCCCAATCGGCTAATTCCAAATACTCCACCGGCTACAAGGAGGATCACAAACATCAAAAGAAAGTTTGTCACGAGAGCATAGACACTCAAAATCGCCACTATCGCCACATAGTTGGCAGAATAGTAGCCTAGATTGTAGGAAATACGGCCCTGGGCCTCGCCAAAGTTTGCTGGCTTCGAAACACGGCGAAAATCAAAGAATTCTTGCGGCGGGCGAAGTTGCAGAAGCGTGGACAGGATGTTGTTGACGTCGTCACGAAGCCTTTCGATGCCCAAACGGTCTCTAAACAGACTGAGCTGGGTTAGCAGATGGGGAATATGTCAAAAAAATGGGGGGTTACCTACCGGAATATTTGAAAACGAAAAGTTCATTATATTTGTACGCTGTTTACGTGTCTGATTTCGCGGTGAAGTTTGTACGCGCTGGTGCACGGGTGCCTGCCCGATAAGCAAAAAGAGATCTGAAGAGACGATTAAACAGTTAACTTATATTATGTATATGTGAAAGTAAGACAGGAGACATATATTCTGGGATCTATTGTGATTTATTGTGGTTCTTGCGATTCGTGTAGTTATGTTGTTATTTAGTCTTTATCAAGTCCCAATCTCTCCTCACCATACTCTTGCAAATGGCATGGTAGCGGTTGTGGAATTTTTCAAAGTAATGAAGAGCCATTGAGCGGTCTACCTTGTTCAAAAGCACGTATCCGGGGCGAACAAACTTCATACGACCAACGGTTCCGAGCCATTCTCCAAGCCGGGAGTAATATTCTTGGTTGTGGCCGGTGACTTGAAGAACATACCATCGGAACAAAACTTCGGCATTGGTTGATTTGGAGTATTCCTGGTAAACCGAGGCCATGGTATTTAATGCATCGAGGTGGTGTTTCCATTTGAAGTCGAGTTTGTCGAAAGCTATAAGAGTATCCAAGAAAACCACCGACTGGTTGGCGGTGAAAGATTTAATATCTTCACTTGAAAATTTATGGAATTTGTTTTTGAGGGAGTGATGGTACCACTTGTCTGCCAACTGGTAACACTGGTCCACCATGGAGGTGTCGAAATCAGGTTTTACCGGCGGCATTCCTGGTTTGTACAACCAAGATTCCCAGTCAATGGTATCCAATACCGACTTGAAGTCGGCAAAAAAGCTGTAGAGACAGTCGATAAACTGGTACGTATCGAGCGATTTGTACCTAAATGTGTGGAAGTAGTGGGGAATGAACTTATCGAACTTTTCCTGGCCAATTAATGTCTCGATATGGTAGAGCAAAGTCGAGCCTTTTTCATAAGGAACCGTTGAAAATGCATCGTCCGGATCAGACCCATCCTTAAGATTGTGCACAAGCATCGACCATCTTTCTGCAGAAGGTCCCATTGCTGCAATTGAGTTTTCTAGGTCGGTCCATCCTATGATGGCACTGAAATCTCTGGTGGCATTGCCGTGAAGTTTGCCGAGAATTCTTCTTTCCAAGTAAACTGTCCAACCTTCATTGAGCCAAAAATGTTCCCACGAGCAGTTTGTCACCAAGTTTCCCGACCAAGAATGAGCCAATTCGTGAGCAATGACATCGACGTTTTCCCGGTCGCCAGAGATCAAAGTTGGAGTCACAAACGTGATATTGGGATTCTCCATTCCTCCGTAGGGAAAACTCAGCGGAAGCACCAAAGCATCGTAACGCTCCCATTCATATTTGAAAACGAGCGACTCTGCCGCTTGCAAAAAATGTTCCATATCTGCCTGGAACTCGTGCTGGCAAACCTCAAGTTTCAATGGCTCGCAATACACCAGCGATCTAGGTCCAATTGGGGCACTTTTAATGTCTCCAGAAGCTACGGCGACGAGATACGACGGAATGGGAACCGGCTGAGAAAACCGGTACATATTTCCAGAAACACCCAATGGTCTTCCAGACATCACAGAAGGGTACGGAGACGTTACCAGCATCTCGTAGGGACATTTGACTGCGGGAGTGTCGAAGCATGGAAACAAACTTCGTGCGTGAATGGCTTGACATTGCGAAAACAAGTATGGACCCACACCACCATCTGTGGCTTCAGCGGGAAGAAACTGGAGTGCCGTGCACTCGTATGTGGTCTCTGACTCTATGGTGATGGTCAATTCTGAAATTTTCATTTCTGGCGGAATTTTTATGGTGACTTTGGAACCGAGGGTCTGACGCTCAGCAACATCAAACGGAGTGCTTATGCCATTTATGGAAGCCGAATGAATAACGAGATACGAGCTATCGAGCACAACTTGATGGGTATTGGTTCTGTTAGTCACATTTAAAGAAACGCAACTGGAAACCCGGTTTTTGTCAAAGTCAACTGCCAAGTCCAACTGGGTCTTGTGTACGATGAAATCACCATAGTTGGATAACGTGGACGGATCAAGCTCCGGGGACACTTTGGGACGTCTGAGCATAGAAATTGGAATAGATTTAATAATTTGAAAGTTTAAAGTAGAAATAAATTGTGGAACGGCACCAAACCTGCAAGATTGAGCGGCGCGATTGAACCGATTTTGGGGCCGCACCGGTAAATGTCATCGCAACGCCGTAGGAAACTGGGTGTTAGGAACTAGTGCTATTGTTGCGGGTGGGTGTGAGTCATTTGGAGGTGGGTGCAAATTACTGACGATGGGTTGCAAATATGCATAATTCCTGATTTTGAAGGTGTTAAAGCAAGTTTGGCACATTTGAGCGTCGCATTGCATAAGCACCCCGGAAGTCTTATGTAACTGCTAAAAATACTGTGCAACATAACTACTTGTAACAGACACAAGTATTCTCATAAACACACGTATTCTCATGATATGAACCCTCAAGCCCACCAAATCAACGACTCCCAAACCACCTCTCCACTCAAACGGCTCCAGGCTCAACTCACAACTTCGAGAGACCGTCGTCAACCAAATCACGAAACTCAAGCAGATCTACATAAACTACCATTGAACAACCAGCAAGACGATTATGGTGCTGAAGATGCCTCTACTTACCTGTACGAGTCGTCAGAATGGTCTGAATTTGACTTGGCTAAGCGCGATAGCATGGTTTCGGTGAAAAGTACTGGACGTCTTCTTGATAAGCTTGGACTAGATGATGACGATTTCGTTAGTGGAAAGTTCTCTCAGCCAGAAAGAAGGCGGTCCAAGCCGCTCAGCAGGGGTATCTCGTTGCTGCGAGCTCCAATTCCCTTTCAAAGTGGACTGCAAGATTCGAAACCGGTGCGCCAACCTTCGGTCAAAGATGTTCAACTCAAAGCAATATTCAACAAAAATCGTTCTGTCGACAGTTTCGTGGCCGATGTTCAGACAAACCCTGATGCTGAATTGAATCGTGGACTTTCTCAGACATCTTTGACTTCTCAGTCTTCACAAAAGAGCAAACGACTGGAACCAGCCGTCAAAAGTGTTCAACGAAAAGCTGTCTTTAACACTAATGAGCGGTCCCACGATAGTTTTGTGGCTAATGTGGGCGAGAACCAAGCCATTGAACCCAAAAAAGAACCCGTTACACCCAAACTGAATCATATCCAAGCGTTTTCCAGTCCGTATTCTACCTCATCTCCACACAATAGGTCCATAAGTGAAAGCGTACCTCGAAACTCTCCTTCTACTCCCACCAGAAGGATCATCTCAGACTCGGGCATCGTCAACACCTCTCCTTCCAATCGAGATTTGGATCCAGAAACTCGAACTGCTACGGCTTTAAAGCTTCGTGCGATGGGCCGTGATCGCGAAGGTCTGTATCAATTGCAAATTGCAGCGAATGCTCCTTTTTTCTACCCTAGGGCCATGTACTTGTATGCCATTGCCTTGCACCTTGGCCAGGGTGTGAAACAGAACGATAGTGGTGCTGCAAAATGGCTCTGCAAACTGATTCTTTTGACGGGACAAACCGAGGTTTCTGAGTCGGTAGCCGTTCAATATAACGAACAACCGCTTGAAGCTCTCGTGGCACTCGTGGTTTCTTTGGTGAAGCGAGAACCTCCTATACAACCATTGGCGCTTTACCGTTATTTTTCGGAACTTCCTTCGCATAAACTTTCCAAAATGAGTACCAAAGATTCTATAACTGCTTCCTACCATGAACTTGGAATTTTTTTGGTTCATGGATATGGTGTGAAAAAGGATGAGTCTACTGGTATGCTCCTCTTGGCAAAAGCTGGCTCCATGGGCCATGTTCTGTCGATGGTGGAGTTGGGAGAATTGTGGTCGGTGAAGACCAAACATCATAGAAAAGATTACCACCAGGCAGCGGCATGGTTTCGACTAGGAGAGCTCTTTGGACACAAGTCCATTGGCAATAGCTGGATCTACAAGGACAAGTATATGTGAGAAAAGAAATCAGAGTACATAGCATGAAGTATAATACAGATTACCAGATTTGTAAAGAGTGATATGAAAACTTTAATAAGATGCGATTTTTGGTCAAGTATATTACAAGTGTAGAAGAATAGCGTAGATAGCTTTTCTCTGTTGCCATTTGTTGCACATTTGCACATTTGCACATTTCCTTTCTTCTATATCTCCACTTTCACTCCTTCAACCCTCCATTTATGCTGTTTGATTTCGGAAACCGCTTGGTACAATAGCCCACATGCTTCACCAATTCCTGAAAAGGAACCTAGAGGAAGCATATATGGTTCTTGTGACGGCTCCATGACTTTTCGTGAACTTGGTGGTGTGTTGAGCAGCTTATGAAAAGTGGTCGGCAATTCAGATGCCATTTTGCTTGAGTATTGAGCTGCTCTTCTTAGATTTTGCTCAATTTCACCATACTTCCTAATAATCTTCTTCTGAATGTCTATGGTCTTCTCCTGAGTCGATATCTTTTCTAGTGCCTTTTGAAGGGCAATTATTTCCTGGCGTAAAATCACAGCGTGAACCATATAGATGACTCCTTTCAACGACATGCCCTTGGTATGGCCTGCCAATGCTCCAGATAACCTCTTACATAGCTCACTGGCTCTTTTCCACGATTCGCTGGATTTTTCTTGGGTGGAAAGTGCGATTTGAAGTAGAAGATAATCAGCCAAAGCCACCACCAATTGCTCGTTGGAAGCCCTATCGCACTCTCCTTTTGCTTCCTTGAGCAAGCGATGCAACCTGGCAACGAGCGTGGATATCGAAGGGCCGATGGTAGACACCGGAACATCGCCAGAAGAGATTCCGAGACCGGTGACTTTGAAGGCTTGTTGGTACTTTTCTCGATCAAAATTCATCCGCAACATAAACCGTGGATGCGGCTGGTTGAGTTTGTTGATCCAGCGGACTTTGACCTTTTGCGACGGCAGGGCAACTTCGTGTTGCAAAGGAGGCTTGGCTCGTTTCGGGGCTGGATGCTCGAGGGTGAATTGTGTAGGAAGAGTGGGAGAAAGCATGGATAATGGCACATCTTCGGGATGGTCTTCCTTCTGGGGTATTGTGGGCGAAAGTATAGGAGGAAGAAGGCCGTATTCTTGGTAGGATGTCAACATTTCGTGTAAGTTCCATGACGGAAGTGGTTTTTCTTTCTTGTTTATGTGTCCAATTGATGGACTGGACGATTGAGCTCGACGAGTGTTGCTCCAGGGAGTTGGTGCTGTTCTCATAAGCGGTTTCCGCCTCGGTTCGTTGTCAAAAATGGCAGACTTCATCGATGGAGGCGAAGGTGTGGGACTGAAAAGTTGGATAAATTGAGTCGCGGAAAAAAGTTGAGTGGATGATTGGGTTCAGGTGTGGATTTTGGTTGTTCTTGGTGTGAGAAAATCGGTTTAATGGAAACAATTATGGGTTGAAGCTGAGCAGTAGTCGTGATCGCTGTTGCTGTATTTGTGACAGAAGGAAGATAAGTGGTGTTTGGGTGCCGCGATTAGAAAAAGAGAGATGGTGTCGGCGAGAGCGAACTATTATAAAACATCCGGACATTTAGTTCAACAATCCGTGTATTGTGCTGTAGTGACTACAATATGATGTACTTGAGCAGCCTTTAGTTTGTTTTGAGGGTGAATTTTCAAAAATGCAAAATCGGAAAATTGCGAAATCACACATTTCCTCAATTCACAGAAACAGAAACTAACTCACACTCTCCAATCAACCGCCAACTGAACTCCAGTCAAACCTCCATTTCTATTCCTGTTCACTACCCCATATATTTTTCAGTTTCTCTCAGCTCTTTTCCTGCACACACCACCTCAAATCGCACCTCACCTCTTCTCTCTATGCCCCCATACAACGAAGTCAATCTGTCGCTACGGCTCGGGAAAAGCCGAAAGGCGCTGCCACAGCCTCCAGCGCCTCAGCCGGCCCAGCAGAATCTACAATGGCCAGATTCGCTCAAGGAATTCGTAAATACCAGTTTTGTGCGAGCAGCGCATCTTTCATCGACTCAGAACTTTGAGTTCCAGTCACAAATGGAAAAGCTTGTGGAGCAGGCGATCAGCTTAAATAAACTCTGGGAAAATGACTGGCTGGCTCAGAAAATTCCGGCTCTTGACGGTGGAAATTTGGAGCTTGAGTGTCTTCAGAAGAAACGGTACATGGAAAATAACGACGATAACTCGTTTGATTCGGATGAAAGAAAACGACAGCGGCAGTCGAGGTTCAGCCAGGACCGCCCCAGGTCGCCAAGTTCTTTTTCTCAGCAATCTTTTAACGAATTTTCGGGAAACTCTGCCTCGATACAAGTCTCGAAAAAAGCCTCAAAAAGAGCCTTGCAGTCCTTTGTAGGCTGTAGCCTGGCACTCGAAAAAAACTATCTTCGACTCACCACCGAGCCCGACCCGCTCATGGTTCGTCCGCAAAAGGTGCTAGAGAAGAGCATGGAGTACGTTTTGCGCCGGTTCCGCACAGAAAAAAAAGACTATTCATACATTAATAACCAGTTCAAATCTATCCGCCAGGACTTGACCGTACAACATATCAAAAATGACTTTGCCGTGGCCGTGTACGAGACCCATGCACGAATAGCACTTGAAAACAACGATTTGGGTGAATTCAATCAGTGCCAGTCGCAGCTCAGTTATCTCATTCGCGACCAAAAACGGAGCGGTGGTTTGCTGGCCAAGAGCCACCAATTGGAACTCGAGTTCACCTGCTACAGAATCATCTATATGGTGATGACGGGCAACCACTCGGACATCAACAAGTTGAGGTGTGAATGGGGCAACGAAGACGCCTTTATCCAGCATGCTTTTGACCTTCAACAGTGTCAATTGATTGGCAATTACCACCAGTTTTTTGTGATTTACGATATATTTTGCTCGCAAATGCCATTGGCCAGAAAATTGATCCAGCAGCACCTACTTGCAAAAGAACGTATACGAGCCCTCAACACAATGAGCAGGGCCTATAGACGCTTGCCCATGAACTTTTTGAATGAAGAGCTCAAATTCGGATCCACAGAAGATACGCTAAATGAGTTTTTGACCACATACAAATTGACGGACTTTGTCACTGGCGGCGACTTGGACATGGCTCTTGCTCGGGACAGGATCAACGGCATTGTGGTGACCACCGGGTTCCGCAAAATAGACATTAAGGGACAAATTTAGCTGACCACGCTTACTCAGTTGACGGACCTATGGCCATCATGGCAAAGTTGTGCTTGTTTTGCTCATCGGCGTTTTCCATGTAAAATTGAATTTTTTCAACCACTTTGGGTTCTTCGACAATATTGTCGCCATTGGCTTGACCGAGGTCCACGGGCCCGTTTCTACGGCCATCGAGCTCGTACAAGTGTCCGTCGCGTCCTTTAATGAACGACATAAAGTGAAAATTGACCGAGTCGTTTGCGTCGGGAGCGGTGGTTTGGCCCTGGTTTCCATAGTTGGCATCCAATTGAATCGCCAGTTCCAACGCCTCCACCATGGTAGCCACTTCTTTCACCGAAGACTCGGGGGAGATCTGAGTCAACAAGAGCTTATTGAGCATCAGGTTCTCGATAATCAAATCGTGGGGTAAATTGGCCAAAAGGTGCAAAAGTCCATACAAGCCACAACCATTGCCAATTGTTTGTTTGAGCCAGGTAACCGACTCAGCCTTCACGTTGGCGTATTCTACACCTCCAGCATCAGTTTCCGTGCGATATTTCTCGTAATTGGCTGTTATCGGAAAAAGCAAAATTATGCCAAAAACTGGCTGCGGAAGAAGCCCAAGCAAATCTTTGTCTGTAAGCGAATACACATCATGGAACTGAACCACCGGAGTAAGCCCGATCTTGTGCGCTAACTGGTTGAAAATTTCCGGATTGGATTCAAGTGGGATGACTCGGGGTGACATTGGTGGAGTAAAGGAGCGAGTAGATCAGTCATCGAATATCTATTTGTGCACCCAGACACCAAAATACACATTTCCTGCATCGCGCTAATTTTACCAACTCAATTAGTACTCCCCACTCGCCACAACAAACTTGTTTCCCACCTCTCAGCCTTTTTCTAAATGGCTGCTAGGATGGATCCTGAATCGGGGCAGCTTCCAGTGGAAGGATCGGATACCCGTCTGCTTCGAAGGTGGAAAACTGTCACTTTTCTCGGACTACTGTGGATCTTTTTTTTGTTAATTGTGGTTTTAATTTGTGACTTTTTGGCCATTGGAAGCATTGCAACCTATGGAAGTTTTGCGGATTACTTTCTTGTTGTTGGATTTGGTGTTTTTACGCTGATATGTGGTAAATCATGGCAGATCGCATCGACTTCAAGACCAATCTTGAAACTTGGAATGTCACAGATTTTGCATATAATGGCGGTTTATCTTGTGACAGAGCTCTATAAGCAAAAACACGAAACCCAAAACTACCAGGGGCTCTTTCACGTGGGCTTATTTGCGTTTTTTCACTGCCTTTATTCGCATGTTGTGTTTGTGACTTCGTGCTTTCCATCCCACTATGGCTCAATTTACAGTAAATTTATCGACACATACCACCAATGGAAGCAGCAGGGTCTGGTGGTGCCGCCTGTGTACCTGGACGTGATTTCCTATGGTGCCACTGACGACTTTAAGTTTGAAGAACGAAGAGATTCGGCTCTTTCTCACGATACTCTCTTGTTCAATGGATACATGGGACCCGTGCCAATTCAGCACGGATGTCTGTCGAGTCTTGTGGACAAGTTGTACTCGGTTTCACCGAAAAATACCTTTCATATGGACCAGGCCACTGCTGATGCTTTGGGCTCTGATCTCCACAGCTTCCACAATACTGCCCTAAATACAGTCCAAGAAGACCCAGAAAGCCGTGAAATTGGCGGGGGTGGAGGCTTTCAATATGAGGGTCCAGACGGAACTAGAATTCTGTTTGGCGGAGGTGGCCATATTGGACCCCCAGAGACGAGCAACAAGAAATTGCGTTTGAGTCGTTCAATAAAGACTCTTTCCTCCTACGTTGGTGCCTCCGAAGAGAAGCAGCCTTTGAGGCATAAGCTTTCGCAGTATACTTTTGGCAAGAACTCCATTTGCTCCGAAGCTACACTCAAGGATGTAGAACCCAGGTCAATATTAGACTCTGAGTTCCATCTGTATGAAGCGTTCATAGACAGGTGCTGTGATAATGTTAATTTCAAGCTTGATCCTGCTTTTCAATGCTTTGGAATTCCCGGCTTCGAATTGAGTCCGTGGTGGGTTCTCGCATATATTTCCAATGCGTCGCTAGAATGTTTTTCTGCCTCCATAATGTGGTATCTTCTAATTGCAACTGGAGAAACCCCAAAAATATTCTTGGTGGCCGGCTGCACTCAATTCTGTGTCAAAGTGTTGAGCTTCATTGTTGCATCAAGATACCCCAAATCCTTATACTACACACTACTTGCCAACGTCAGCTGGTTCATAACGATAATTTATGTCATATTTAGCATATTATAGTACAGTCTATGATCTATATTTTTCAAGGTAGCTTTCGTTGGCAAACGTAAAGCCCTTGACATGTAGTATATCTGACGCCAGGTCGAAATGCTTTTGAGGAGTGAATGGTAAATCTGTGAATTCGGGATCGAAATTTTCCGCAAGGACGGGATTCGTTATCACCGGTAGTATAGGAGGGAGTACATCGCTCTGGTTTCCAGATTCAAGTTGTTTCCAATCGACATATCGAAAAAATCGGTGGTTTTTCAACATGTCAAAGTTGCCGTCTATATCCATGCGTTTGTCTGGGTTTGCTTGTAATAATTTTCTGAGAAGGTCCTTTGCGTCCTGTGAAAGATAGAAGGGAAATTTGAGGTTTTTCTTGGAAGATATGATTTTGTCCATGATTTTCTTATTATTGTTGCCAGTAAATGGCGGAGATCCAGTGAGTAAATCGAAGGCTACGCATCCAAGCGACCACCAGTCTACTGCAAATCCGTAATTTTCTCCCTTGAGTATCTCTGGCGCCATATACTGGGCCGTACCTGTGAGCGAGTGAGAAGGGTCGTCTTCGGAAGAAACTTTGGAGAGACCAAAGTCGGTGAGCACCAAGTTTCCAAGCGAGTTGAGCATGCAATTTTCCGGTTTTAAGTCCCTGTAGATGACACCTAGCTTGGTGTGCAAGTAGCGCAAAGCCAACACCATCTGGGCTATGTAGTACGAGGCATTTTTTTCACTCATGAATCGTTCTTGAGCCAAGTGGTGAAACAACTCACCGCCGTCAAGATACTCGAGGATTAGGTAGAGCTTGTTGTGGTCTTGGAAAGCGTAGTAGAGCAGGACGATGTTGGGGTGGTCGACCATTTCCAAAATGGACTTTTCATTAACAGTTCGTTGGTAATTGACGGTGTTGATTTCATCGTCACTGATGATTAAAGTTGCCTTTTTGAGTTGTTTCAGGGCAAACAACCTGCCTGTGGAGATCTCTCGTACGAGGAGAACCTTCCCGAAAGACCCCTTTCCCAACACTTTGATTGGTTCGAAATCCAGAAGCTTGGGTTTATACGGGCCCAATGAGCCAGCACTCGAATAAGATTTGTTGATTGAAGAAACGAAATTTTCGTTCACGTCGATAGCATGGGAGGAGTTTCGTCTGTTTTGTTTGATGGGAACTGGTTTGCGGAGCTCGGAAACCACGTCTTTTTGTTCGTAATTAGAGCTGGAGATGGAGTCCGGTTCTTGGTCCGGAAGAATGCGGTAGTTGAGATCGTCAATATTTAGGTTTTCAGTTTGCTGGGACAAGTCCTCGTCATCGAAAGAGAATACTTCCGTCATTCGGTGATTTTGTGGGATTATTGGCTATTCTGTAGTGGACCTCATGAGAAGAGTGTTTCGCAGCATTTCCACGTGGAGTGCTGAGGCAACTGCAGGAGGACTGCAGATAAGCGAATGGGTGCAAATCAAGAACTTTCAGTCCAACCAACTTAATCCAAATGAATTTCATATTTCAGTAATTTCAATTCTTGAATTTCTTGTATTCTAGTTTACATCTACACACGCATTGACATAGAGCTTGTCCTTGGCAATAATATAGTCCATGAGCAAGTTGGAGTCGAGAGAGCGACCAGCGCTGTCACTTTGCAGCAACGGTATGGGCTTGAGTTTTGGGTTTTTGAAAAAAATCGAGAGCTTGATATCGGAGGTTTCCACCGCGGCGAGCCGAAACCCAACTTTGAACTGGATCACCTGGATCAACTCGTGGATGTTCTGGAGTTTTTGTTTTTTGAGTTTGAGTGCGATCACGTCGCTGGTGGAGCTGGAGGACGAGGTGACAAAGATCTTGATTTTTAAAATCTGGTCTTTTTTAACAGGAAGCTCGAACGTCAGCAGCTGGGGCCGGGCGTGGAAAAAAGTGGGTATTTGGGTTTTTTGGCGGGGCTCAATTATATGGGTGATAGAAGGCTGGTTTTCCAAAACGTAAGGAAGCTTTGGCGAAACGTCCAGACCTACAAGGGTGGAAGGAGACAGCGAAAATCTTTCTGGTGACTCTGGGTCTCTGGGAGGTGATTTGGGAGCTGTCAGTTGGCGGTGGGTGTTATAAGTGTTTGAAGTTGGAGACGACTCAAAAAGAGTCGATTTGGGCCTGGATTCCTTCAAATGGGACCCTGATAGGCGAGACACTTTCTGTGCTAGCAACAAACCGAAGGACTTTCGGCGTTCGAGTCTGGAGGAGGAGGAAGAATTTTGAGGTGAACGTTGTGAAGGTTGCGGTTGATTCTGTGAAGCTTTTTGTTGTGAACTTTTTGAAGGTTGAGGAGGATCTTTCGAATATTGTTGACGTTTGTGCTGTGAATATTGTTCTGTTTTGTCCTCTACCTTTTCTAAACACAATGTTTCCTCCAGAAGCGGCCGAGTTGTATAGCAGCTGGTTGGCTTTGATGTTTTGTTTAAGTCTTCTTCGGTGATGGTGGGAATACTGAGGGTTGTCGGAGCCGAGTCAAACACAGAAGACTCGTCGGAGCTGGCGTAAGAAGCCCGTTTTGAAGACCACAAGAATTTGAACCCCATATTGCAACAAAAGGAGATTTCGCTAGTTAATATGGTATCGTGGGAAGCTACGGGTTTGAATTGGTGCTTAGTGGGTATCTGTAGGAAGAAGTGGCGTGATGTATAAATCTGCAAATGTCTAGTGGATTAAATTTACCATCGGAGGCAGTGAATTCTATGTTATCGCAATGGTGAGGCTGGCGGCCTAATTAGGAAAGGTGATGTGTCGCTAGAAGTAGCCCTCCGAAACAGGCATGCGTCGCGCTGAAATAGGAAATGACATATTGTGGGGGTATTGTTGATTAGGCTAAATAAGGGGAAATCATACACAGCCGTAGCACTGTAATAATACTACATAGCAACAGACTTGAAAGAATCCTTGCAAGTTACATCAGCCTTGTTCAGACCACCGGGGCCATCGAACAATCCTTCGTCGGATTTGTGCACCGTTGGTGGGCGCATGCATGGTGCATGGTTTTATTTTTTAACACAACGCACCATTCGACGCAAAAGAAACATGGAACTCCACGTGAAAATGAATACCTGAAAAACTCATTTGGTAGTGGAACTTTGACGCACCCGACGTAACGTCAAGTGCACCTTGCTTTGCAGTTTCATGTAGTCAAGAAGCGCTTCATCATCCATATCTTTTTCTCCCTCTGCAACCAATTTATAGTGGTGGATCAAATTAAAGTCTTTGTAGATTCTATGTGAGAGAAGCTTTTTGAGGTAGACAACCGACATAAGGTTTGTTCTCTTGATGCGGAGCGCAACTATATCACCCTGGGCATTGTTGAGTGACACTTTGATTTTTATGAGGTCTCCTGCGGCTGGACCAGAAGCGGATTGTGTTCTGGGTTTTTCCACCGGTAATTCCTCGTGGAATTCCACCGGCGTAGATGGTGAAACCTGGTCTGTGTAGTAATTGAAGGTGGGGGTTGAAGGAGCAGATTTGTGGATGGCGGAAAAAATCGACTCGGCACTGGACGACGAAGGGTGCCTAACCCGGGTATCTATGTTTGCAACATTTGGTTGCGGCTTTGCAGTTTTTTCGCAATTGCTCTCGTCGGCACTGGTGTCGGCAGTACTGTTTCCGGCGGAGTTTAATTCCCATGTAGAGTTTTCTGAGTCTTGGGATGAGTCTGGTGGCTCGACAAAATCGGAATTTATGTGAGAATCGGGTTCAGATTCAGAATGGTTGGGATCAGATTGTTCTGGGTGGTCTGCCTCGTAGGTGTCGAGGAGAGACGATAAGCTGTTGAGACTTGTGCTGTTAGTGGTTTGGTTAGTGGTGGTGGTTGGTGAGAAAGTTGCAACATTAGTCAGTTTCGGCAGAAGAACAGCCATGACATTTGTAGAATTTGGATAGAGTTTCTTGTTGATATCTTCGCTGAACATGTTCACAGCAGCCTCATTAACAAAAATGAGCCGGGGATCGCTAGTAGTCATGATCCAGTTGTAGATCTCCATACCATTTACACTGGTGGTTTTGATGAGCTGGTTGACGTAATAGTTGAGTTCGTTGCATCGTACAAGCAAGCTTTCAAGGTAAACTCTGTCGGTACGAGGCTTGGACATTACACCAATCATATTTGTTCGAATTGGTTGAGGAAGACGAGGAAGTGATGAAATCGCTTTGGTGGTTTGCAGCAACGCAACATGAAGATTGTAGAAATCTTGGTATCTTTTGGCCACATAAACCATACTTTGGTCCGACATACGGACATCGACCCGGTACCACACTCCACCAACAGAAGACTGCAAAACGTTGGAAATGGTTATAGATTTGGGAGTAGCTGGAGCTTGAAAAGTTGACGACGGAGCGAGTGCTGGGGTTGAGGGTTCAAGGGTTTCTGAGACTCCGAAACTGAACAGGTTGTGGCTGGAACTTTCGGAAATTTGGGAAATTTCGCCAGAAATTTCTTTGGTGGAGTGGTCACTTTTGCTGGAAATTTCGCCAGATTTTTCCTTCGTAATCTTGTCGCTTTTCTCTGTGATCTGGTCACTATTTGACTTGTTCTTCTCGCCTTTTGTCCCGTAGTTCTGTGGTTCCATCTCATTCAACCACTCCATCGAAATCGGGTTCTTGTTATCATTCACCTCGATGTCAACATACGAAGCAGGAATGAGCCCCCGGGCCTGGTAGCTGTCGAGATATTGCACAAACAACCACCCGTTACGTGGCCTGTTCAAAAGCTTGACAAAGTCACTTTTTTTAACCGAAAGCTCAGCATCCAGTTCTGCGGTGAATGAATATTTGGCCACCAAAATCACACTTGGAAAAGTTTTCGTTGAAGCTTTTGTATTGGAAACGGGTGCCGATTCTCGAACGTCCGCAAGCATCGGCGCAGAAATGTTCAACGACTTCAAGTTGCGCCTTGACTTTATTTGCTTGGATTTGAAAAGGCTGTTGGACATGACTAAAGAAGTTTTAGGAGGAGATTCTCGATGTTTATATCTGCAACTATATTACCGGTTTCGATGTTTATTGTGTTTTCAGGAAAAAGATTCGGTGGTAATTGGATTTTTTCTGTTCTTGTGAAGAAACCAACTTAAACAATGTTATTGTAAGTACCGGTAATTGGTGTATCGACCTGCATCATGTGCGGCGTGCGGCGTGTGGGCGGCTGCCCGGGGGCGCGCGCCGCATAGGCTACTAAGTAATGCCCCTCGGCTGCATGCATTGCCTCACATGATGGGCAGTTCTTTACCTAATTTCAGACACTCAAAACCGCCCATCATGCCGACGGCGGGGTGAAATTGGGGCTGTATTAGTTAAATGAACGAACCTAATAGAAGCTCAGGCTCATCGGCAGAAAATCGATGCATATCAACACCATCTGCGTGCAGGCGCGCCCGCAGACATATGCACGGACCGCTATCTCTTTCGGTGCGTTGATGTCAAACAATATAAGGCTGCAGTGGACCTGGCACCAATTGTGCCGTTTTGGGCCAAAAGGTTTCGTGGTGTTTTGAAAAACAATACTGGGTCGATGATACGACCTATTGTTGATGATATCTTACGCGTAATCATCTCCATTGTTATTTCCCATTGTTACAATAATCGTCCAGATCGGGTAAATGTCTATATGTCCGATATAGGAGTAAAGATACGAAGTTGAGTACATGTGTTTTGGTTTAACCTTCTCTACCATATCCTTTCGCTCTGAAATGAACATGAAGTAGAATTACCGATTTAGTCCGTGCAGCCGCCCAATTGGGCGCATCTCCGAACACGATTACAGCATGTCAATATGCACAGTCTAAATTGCGCATCGGATTTATAACGCCATACTAAACGAAACAGGCTCTGCTTCAGTAGTTCAAATGTTTCGGTTACTCGTAGGTTTTGATACTCGTAGAGCTTGCTTGATTTGTAACATTTGTTGTTTTTCTGCTACGTTGCAAAATTTCCAAATTTTGCAACCTTGAATGTAAACACTCTACAGCTCCACAACTCCGATCCTGGGCACCCCACATATGCAGCTTGTGCATTTGTTTATCTTCCATTTTCTTCCGCTTACTTCGTTCTTTCTGTTTATCTTTGTTCTTCGTTCTTTCGTCTTTGTTTATTAAATCTTACATTAATGCTAAGAAGAATTGAAGGCTGCTCCGCAGTGTGCTTATCACTTTCTCTTGGAGAAACTAAAATCCAGGTCCGGCCAATTGGCCGCTGGTGATTTGCGCTCCGTCGCGGAAAATACCGATACCAGCGTAGAGTTATAGGACTCTTGTGTAGACCGGTTTTCTTTGGTAAATTCTTTGGGGCTCGACTTGGAAATGCCATTGGCTACCGAGGTGTTGACACGCAACACTGGCGAGCTCTGGGGTAATTTGGGGTGCTCAATGAAAGTGATTTGCTGGTAATGATTGTAGATGTTTTTCGATTTGGTTCGTTGGGGCAAGTCAGACCCGCGAGAACTTTTGCTATTACGGTCGAGTTCTGGTGTATTATTAACCTCCACTTTGTTGTCCTTGAAAAGATTGAGGGACTCAGGAAGCACCTTTTCGTTGATTTCGTCGTTGGTGAGATCCACTGGCCCATCGACGGAAAACCCGCCCAAATTTCGGTAGTCCAAATCCAACCAATTCATAAAAGTTTCACAGGTTTGATAGTTTTTGTTTAAAATTAGTTTGTTGATGTATACGTGCAAGTCGTTGCAACGTTTCAAGAGAAGAGACATTAATTGGTGCTTGTCGTCGATACAAGTGGAGGGAATTGGTTCGGGGAGCTTGGGAAGTTGGATTGTTTCTTTGGGGTCGGAAATGCTTGTAGCAGCAAGCAGGTTTTTACATTGGACGAGAGCAATGTGCAATTCATAGAAGTCCTGGTAATACCGACAAATGTAGCTTTGAGAATGGTCGGAATACGTAACATCGAGTCGATACCAGTACCGGTTATCAAATGAAAGACAATTGGAAATTGAACAATTCACTGGATACGCGCGATTGTTGATGGTTAAAGGACTATTGGAGCGCAAGAGTTGTTTAACTTGAAGATCCAAATAATTTGACTCGTTCCAACCTTTTTCGTGACCACTACCCGTGGCATGAAGCCAACTTAAAGTGATGGGATGAATGGTATCATTGATAGCAATGTCCACATAAGTTGATGGAACCAACCCTGGAGAAGCCACCTTGTCCACAAAATTTACGAGAATCCACCCGTTTCCTGGACGGTCCAAAAGTTTCAAAACATCGCCTTTTTTGATGGAAAGTTCTTTTGGATTTTCGGCTGCAAAAGCATATTTGGAAATCAATATAATACTGGCTCTAATAGATGGCGTGAGCTCATTGATGGGTGACGGATTGGAGATAACGAGGCGTTTCTTCATACCAGAAAAACCAAAACAAAACTAAAAGTTCGACGATGTTTTTTTTTGTTGTGTTGACGGAAGAAGACGCGCTGCATAATAGCCATCTGCACGACGCCAAGATTATACGATGGCGCCGCGCTGCACCAACCAAATCTAGTCGAAAAGACGAAAAGCTACACCACGTGATCGAAAGCACGTGACTACGAAGATATTCCCACCAGCGAACCAGGGTTCCTACGGCTGCAATGTGCAGAGGAGACTGGATTAGAGGAGGGTTCATTTTATCTACTTCCGGCCATTTGTGCTCTGCTGAATCGAGTGTATCAGGGTTGCTGGTAATCCAGAAGATGAAAAGTTTCGCGGAAAATTTTTTGCTTTAGTAGCATACCGCGGTGCACCACCACAATGTGCAGGGGGATTGATGTCCTATTTCGGTTGGTACTATGCATGCACCGCGGAAAAAGGTGCAGAAATCCATGCAGAGATTTTGCAGCAGGGACAGTTCCGCGATGCAAGACTTTGGTTTCAAATGCGATTCCAGACCGGAATGATGGCGACGTGTCCGCATTGCCTGACATATGATAACGGCCTATGGCCCGGAGCCCAAACCCATACACCGCATCGGAGCGCGTGCGGCGGCGCCATATAATGGACATTGACAAGGCATGAAAACGGAATGAAAAAGGAGCGAGAATGGATAATGACAGTTGGATGCGCCGTTATTCTATGGTTAGTAAAATAATGGTACCGGTTTTTTGCGAGATCGTCGGTATCTGAGACAAAATAATTTGGATAAATCAATTTAGGATAAATCTTTAGGCTAAATCACTTTAAGACAAATCACATTTGGATTTATCTTCGATTGTCCAATTGGGAATCTTATGCTAGTTGTTCAATTCATGCATTATAATGCCAATTCGGACACCGCACATGTCTAAGATAACGCGATGTGATTGGCTCTCGCTTCCCCGCGTTGCATTGCTACGATCGCTCATCGTCTCCATTGACATCGGAGCACCTGCACGTATAACGGTATAACGTCTCACCACCATCATAAACCAACGGCTATTAAGCAAGTTGAGCCGGAAACAATAGAGTGCATGCATTACACTGACGAGTATGCCAGCCGATCAAATACCGTATAATAGTGGACCCATTGTGGCATATGTAACAACATGCGTCAGGCAACCTGCAGAGGTATTAAGAATAGTGCGTCGACAATTTACTGAATGACGTTGTGAAAGGGAGTATTATTTGGTTACCAAAGTATGATCGCACTTGCACATCTAGACGGTACGATGCCATACCAATAACGAGTAAAAAAGCAAGTTTAAGCACTTCCTGGCGAGGTTTGAGGCTGCAACTCACATCTCAGGGGAACTTCATGCATTATGCACCTTATTACGTGCAGTTTTTTTTATTTTTGTTTATTTTTGTTTTAATGCACAAGGTTTGCGTGCGCATCTACGTTTGTGCTACAACCTACAATAGATTACGAAATTGTCCCAGAAGCGACATAACAATCAATGTGGCGGTGCCGCCGCCTTATAACTATTGATGTGGGCTGCATACGTGGACCTACACGCAAATAATCAATTGTTTGGTATCTAAATTGGGATCTTGGTTAGCCATCATTTTTCATTCCACAGAATTATCTCTTGAAAGTTGCGGATTGGAAACACGTAGCTTGACCTAACGTTTGTCCGCTTCCGGTATATTCCCGCATTCAAGCGATAAATCGCCTTGGTTGCCTGCGGCGTTTGGTGGTTGGCCAATCTTGGTCAATTGGCATGATACTTTTCAGTACATTATTGTTATTCATTGCATAGAAAAAACCACTGGTTTTAGTTCTTCAGACCAGCATTACCGGTACTAGTCATTAGACTTTTCAGCTCCGGTTACAGTCATTAAGCTAATAATTTTTCAGCTTGACCAGCCTAGTCATTCAACAGGCTACCATACCATTAACCATTACCATTCATTCCTTCACAATTTTCACATTTTCACCATTCAACACTTCAACCTCGTCTTCTGGCCACGCCATAGCTTATGCCCAACTACGGAGTCTCCCACCACCAAGACCATAAATTGCAACCTTATTCCCCTAAACAAAACCATCCTTACCAATATACCGATAGAGCCGGTCCTCATATCCACGACTTCAATGCCGGTTACTCACCGCCGTTCATGCCCATAAGTCCCACCTCCAATCTTCCGGTGGACTTTTTTATTCCAAATCAAAATCCAATCAACCATAATCAAAATCACCAAGATCCTCTTAATCACCACCTCCCAGATCACCAAAACCTGCCGCTTGGTGTCCGCCACGCCATGATTTCCCATGGATTACCGGACCCCACGCCACAATGGGACCCGTCAGACTCGTTTTTTCCTGACGTTCCCGACACCCACGATTTCTATTCTTTGGCAGATTTGCCAAATCCTTCATTGGAATCGATCAACGAGCTCTCGCCGTCTTATGACCAGTTCTTTCCTCCTCCACCCATAAGAACCGATTTCATTGCTCCGTTCACACCCTCGTTCAGCGACGGAGTCAGCGACTACTCAGACACTTCCGAGAGCTCTCGCTACGGCCAGCGAACCAAGTCGTCGTCCAGTATCAGCGTCTCTCCTTCAACGTCGAAAATCACCAAAAAACCTTCATTTTCCAAAAAGCCGTCGTTGCAAAGACTTCCAAAATCTGCTGACTCCATGATGTCTCCCTTGATCAACAACTATGTCAACCTCGACCTCAATGCGAGTGTTAGGTCCGACTCTCTGGTATCGTCGAGATCAGAAGACCATTCGATTTCTCGGAAATCGTCCAAATTGTCACTCAACGAAGCAGCAGCTGCCGCGGTGAAAACTCCTAAGAAACATACCCGAAGAAAACTAAATCCTCGGTCAAGAAATGGATGCTGGATCTGCCGAATAAAGCACGTCAAGTGCGACGAAGAACGACCTGTTTGCAATGGGTGCAAAAAATATAATCTCGAGTGTGACTATTCTCCTGATAAACCTGCCTATGTGACCGACAAGAACTTACGGCAAGAAAAACTCCAGCAAATAGCTCGTCCCCGAAACAAATCGGGGTCCGATAAGGGCAGAAGAGTTAGTTAGACCTATATATTAATTACTGCTATTCCCACTCACTGAGCCGTAGCTTGCGTCGAACCACCATTTCTTCTTCTCGTGTAGAAATCACTGAAGTGTCTCCATTTTCCAAATCTTCCGCTCCACTATACTCCACCATGGATATATATTCTCCTTCAAACCCTACCCACGGGCCATGTAGCGGGTCAAGAAGATACGGAGCTGTATAATCGGTAAATTGCTCCCGATCTTCATCAACAGTCGACTTTCGTCTTCGCAATTGTCTCGGCAACAATTGAGTGGTTTCCCCCTCGGGAACAGATTCTTGCAGCAGTCCGACGCTCTGCTTCGACAGTCCAGTGCTCTCAGATGTGTCGTCTCCAAACATCTTGTCGAAATCGTACGGATTTTGAATGGCACCTAGGGCAATAAAGTTGCTGAGTGGACGGTAAAACCGCTCGAAATTCCAAGACAAAATAAGTGTCACAATGATCAATGGAGCACATAAAACTGCTAGCAACACCGCACCTTCTAACGCCAAAGTACCACACATGAACAATTGGAAGAGTATAAGCCCAAGGACAATGCGCCTGAAAATCATGGGCCAAACTTTGCCGGTGGAGTGTGGAGGATGGACAAAGTTGTATACCAATTGGTACTTGTAGACAAAGTAACCCAATGTAAAATATACCAAGCCAGAAACCACGATTTTGGTCGAAACCACAGAATAAGTTAGTATAATGATAAACGCAAATATGTGCTGTGGTAACTGGATTCCAAAGTCGAAAATCGGTGGAGTATAATAGTAAAATCGGTAGTCTCTGGAAGTCTTTAAGATGATTCCTCTAAGCAAAAATATGCGTCCCAACACATTGGAGACAACCACATCTCCAAGCTGAAGAAGACGTACAGGGAACATAGCCAAACCTTGAAGCAAGATCAAATCGACATAGAACAAGGAAACTTCTTTGAATTTCTCAGCCAATTGGTATGCCAATTTGGTGGTATCTTTCATGTATGACAAGTAATCCCAGAACGTACCCGTGACGTTGAAAATCAAGAACAAGTTGAAAAACACGAAAAAGAAGTTTTTCAGAAGCGTCGAGAGTTCAATGTCGCTATTGGAAGCGAACCCTTGATGGGTCGACAAGTACTTGTAAAAATAAGGAAGCAGCACATTTAACAACGAAACCAAAAGAGGAGGCAAGATTCCCGTCACAAAAGTGGTTGCCCAGTCGGATTTTGATATGAGGTCCCCCAAAGCAGGCCAAAATTTGGTTATCGTTTTCACGTTCAACAAGGCGGTGATGGGCGTAACCAAAAAGAAGATGAATACGTAACTCAAAACGATGACAAAAGTCACCACATACGACCGGAGGAGCTTGCGGTAGTAGCTCAACGCAAAATAGCTCCAATTGATATCTTTTGGAGCCGGGGCCAACGTCACCATGAGCTTATACTGACGAGGATCTAGCACCGCCTGAGCAGCCATTTGAGCAGAAGCGACGGAGTCCATGGTAATAAATGCACTTGTGGTCTGGAGGAAGGTTTTTGAGGAGATTCCAGGACGAAATGTGCAAGTTTCAGAATCAAAGAGAAATTGCATTTCCCGGATTTGGGAGTTCAAGCTGGTCAATTCGGCCGCTAGTTTCAGAATCTTGCCACGAGCTTCACCTTCCAGAGGCAGCGGAAGCACAGAGTCAATAGGAAGCTTTGGGAGGACTTTGGGGGTGACATCCGGGCGATAAATGTCGATAACGAGACCATAATGGTGCGCATATAATTCTTCAAGTTTATGGAGCACAACGTTCCTTTTTTCAAAAAGCTGCTGGAATGGCGACCAGTCGTAGATCATCTTTATATCGGTCACAGTACCAATTCCAAGATTTTCAATGAAGCGACGCAATCTTTCTGGACCACCGTGCGGGTCCAAAAGTTTTTTGGGAATGCCTTCAAGGCGAATTGTACGGTCTGTGATGGAGTCCTGAGCTGCCAAGTACTTCTGGCGGGTGCGGAGCACCACCCGGGATGTGTCGTACAAGACAATGTAGACGGTGATGGAAAAAACGTAGACGAAAATGGAATATACCCAAAGGTAGTTTGGAAAATCATCGGATAAATCTGGATTTTTCTTGGGAGATTTAAGAACGGCGGTAAGATGCGTGTTTTTTGTCCACGAAACATCATCTTTATCGTAATTTCCTGTAAAATAGTAGCGAATTGGGCTCAATATAAACACCGCAAGCACCGCTAAAAATGAAAAGATTCGAATTCCCATTCTGAAAAATGCCAAAAACACATACGCGTCTAGCCCCGACCACTGGAGCACCTCGTCGTCAGTAATAGACCACGTTATACTCAACCAACCAAAGATTTTCTTGGGAAGTGGCCGGATTCCACTACCGATTCCGGAACCGGCGTGTTTTCGAAATGTCCTCACAGCATATATATGTGGCCATTTATAGCGCAAAAAGCAAAATAGAACAAACGACGACACCCCGATCCATAGACATAGTGCTAGCTGGGCCCCGAATACCCGCTGGGGGCCCATTCGATCGGCTGGTGTATCATTCATAACGTGCGCAAAACGATAAGAATTAAAAAAGATTAGGAAGAAAAATAGAAAGAAGAATTGTCAAAACTAAATAAATTTCAGGTAATGTCAAAGAAAATGGTTCAGAATGAACACAGGAACTCAATTGATGACGATGAACACAACTGAGGCTAAAATAGTATTATCAACCGGTATCTCCAGAATCTGACTTATCGTCGCACGTGACTCCATATCACAAATTTTCATCAGTCTCAAAACCCACCATGAGCGACGTTTATGTCGTGGTAAATACCGCCACCACCTGTGACGAAACAAACTCATATGTCACTCCCGACTCCACAGAGCTCATCCTGATCTCCTGGTGTATCGTGGACGCGTCAACACTACAAGAACTTACTCGAAACCAAACTTTCGTTCGGCCCACAAACACTCCCATCACTCCATGGTGCACCCAGATCCACGGAATTTCCTGGGAACATGTTCGGAACGCAGGCACGTTTCGGGACGCTATCGACAAGTTGGAGGCGGCGGTGAAGGAATATGTGGGAGAAAAGGAATTTTCGTTCGTTTCCTACGATGCGTTTCCACTTCGGGTCCATATTCCCAGAGAAGCTCGGGACAAGTCGGTGGAGCTTCCGGGGTATTTGAAACAGCCGCGGGTGTTTGAGTTGCGGAGCGAGTATGCGCGGTGGAAGGGGAGAGAAGGAACTAGTTTGAGGGATATGGTGGAGGCAGTGAAGAGAGAGGAAGGGAAAGAAGGAAAAGAAGAAAAGGAGGAGAAGGAAGAGAAAAAAGAAAAAGAAGAAAAGAAGGTTCAGCCGGAAAAGGTCAATGAAAGAGACTCCCTCTCCTCGTTCACTACAATTCTCATCGAGCTCGCCAAGGTGCCCACTCTCTTTACGACTCCGTACGACGTTGCGGAGGATTTCCGTGTGTTCAAGAAAGAACAGTCTAAAATCCTCAATCTCAAAAACCTTCCGGTGGACACCACCCAGTCGGAATTGGAGTCTTGGTTCACCCAATTTGGTGGCCGTCCCATAGCATTTTGGACCATTAAAGGCGACAACCAGAACATGGGGTTTGCCGTGTTTGCAACCCACGAAGAAGCAGCCGAGGCATTGCCGATCAATGGCCGTGTTCTTGGCGACCGCGCCATTGAGGTCCAACCATCTTCCACCACGGTGCTCGACCGGGCGGCGCAATTGCTCACACCGTTTCCAGTGTCCAAAAATAGACCCCGTCCAGGAGACTGGACATGTCCTTCGTGTGGGTTTTCGAATTTTCAGCGTAGAACAGCATGTTTTAGGTGCTCATTCCCTGCTACCAGTGCGGTTACCATGGTGGAAAATTACCGAAACAACACTCAAGCAAGTCCTGGAACCAAACCTTCTTTAAATCCAACCAACCCATACAAGTACAATGTTCCATTTCGTGCCGGTGACTGGAAATGTACCAACGATGCCTGTCAATACCACAACTTTGCCAAGAACATCACCTGTCTCAAATGTGGTGGTAACAAGCCTTCAAACTTGACCAATAATCATATGATGAACCAGTACTCGTCGGTGAATTCCACCGCAGCAGCCATAGCCGCAGCCACGGCCAGTGGACAGCCACTCAATTTCAGTAACAATATGGTGGGACAGATGCCAATTGTTTCCATGCAGCAGCAATTGCAGCAGTTGCAAAATCAGCAGAATCAGAATCAGCAAAATAATCAAAATCAGCATCGACTTTCGCATTATCCGCATCGCTTCCAGAAATCCTCGTCGTACGACTATTACCGTTCCCCGGTTGACGGACAGTTTAGTACACTTGCGGAACAGGTCAACGGCATGAGTCTACAATGAACGGATGTACGATAGAGTAATATGTAACATAGGTAATAGTAAGAGGTACACAGAGAGGATTAAATGAGAGAGTAGTCAAATCTTGAAATCAACTTGTTCTCTATTTAGTTCCAGATCGATTTCTCTCAAAACTGCAAGTCTTGTTGCTTGCGATAAGCGACTCCCAACGGATGCACAACTACGCTGTCGATGTCCCAAATTCCACTTTTGCCAAAAATGTCATTTTTGAGAAATTCAATCACCTCCTCCTTGGAATTGGCAATAAGATTAAACGCACTTCCAGCAAATTTTGTTCTTTCTTCGTCTTCAAAAATAGGTCCGGCATTAGTGACAATTCCAGCCTTGATGTAACCGGGAACTGCAGCTTTGTGTTGCTCTATCACTGGGGCTCTGTCTGCTCCCGGCTTGTCGTATACGATTGCGATCCACTCCATATTAAAGAATTGGTCAATTACCGATAAATGAAACCTATAAATTGGTTGCAAAATAAGGCCTGAGCACCTTTATATCGAGCTGCTTAGTAATGTGTCAGATAAATCCGATTGGATCAAGAGATCAACTACTACCACATCTGGTCAATTATTAATACGGACTTATCGGATAATAGGGCATAAGAATATTCAAGATGTCTAATTAGTCTCTGATCTCCAGGTTTATTCAATTACCGTGAACGTTGATTATGTCAGAATCATCAAGATTTCAACTGCGAATACAGTCTCCAGATAAACTTTCTATTCTGTAATGTAGTCTCTAGGTTCTCTCTTAGATTTGCAGCACAACATAAACAAAACCAAAACCAGAACCAGAACCAAAACCAGAATCATTTCAGAAATCAGAAACAAAAATATCTTCACCGTCACTTATCCGCATCAGCGTTTCCATAAACCTCACCGGAGACTACTACCGTTCACCACAATACAGTGGACATTTTACTTGGGGCAGCTAAAGTCATGAGTCTACAATAAGAGATGAGATATGATAAGTAACAAAGGAAATAATGGTAAGTTTGGTAAAATGGTAAACTGGTAAAATGGTAATGGTGACAGACTGCAATTGAGAAATTTCCCATTCAATTTTCATCAAAACTCTAAACCTTCTTTCTAGTCCCCCATTCTCACTAGTCTAGTTCTTTCTAGTCTAAAATTTCACTCCAGGCATGTCTTTTTGCTTGCGAACTGCGACTCCCATGGGATGAGCTACTACGCTGTCAATGTCCCAAATACCCTTTTCATAGTAAATGTCCTTCTTGAGAAACTCAATGATTTCCTCCTTGGAGTTGGCAATAAGATGGAAAGTACTTCCAGCAAATTTTGTCTTTTCAATATCGTGATAAATGGGTCCAGCACTAGTGACTATTCCAGCATTAACAGTAGCAGGAATCGCAGCAAGATGCTGTGCTCTCACTGGGGTTCTGTCTGCACCCGGCTTGTCGTATACAATGACGTTCCACTCCATTTTAACTTAAAATCAATTGACTCAACTGACTCAATTGAATCTCAATGAAAATCAATGAGTGACAATTGACGAAAATTCGCACTACTGTCTACAGCACTACTAAACCTCATCTTATTCAATAATGTACTTCTAGTCCACACTCTTTCACACACACTCTCTCTTTCAGTTTCTCTCTCAGTTTCTCTCTCTTTCTCTTCAGTTTCTCTCCTTCCTCTCCCTCATGCAATGCTACTTGTTCTCCAATGGAGCATAGAGCCGAATGCGCTCCTTACGAGGCCCCAACTCGGCGGTCTTTATACCTGCGCCAAACTGGTTTCCGTATGGCGAATGGGCGGGAATCAACGTCGAAGGAACCGCGCCGTCACTTTGTCTTCTATATTGTCTTTGGCCTATTCCACCTTTGTCTCTCATATATGACTTGATGAACGAAGCCTTGTATCTTTCGAGGTAGTTTTCGTCCCGCAAATGCGTACGGTCCTCCACCTCCTTATACAAAGCGGTCTTGACGATGGGTTCGTCCCGTTCGTCCATTCCTCTGTAAACATAAACTCCGCCAGCCAAAGCAGCGACTCCGAAAATCTTGGTGATGCTAACTTCGAATTCCTTTTTGGGAGCACTGTGGCTTTCTGAGCTAGAGGCGTATGTTCTGCGAACGGTCCTCAAGCGCTGAGCACGCACGGTGGCGGCAAATTCGTTTTTTACACACCGTGCCAACATCGTGATAAATGAAAGACACAGAAATTATGATTGGAGGAAACCGCGGGGCGTGTGCAGGACAGCCACCAGCTGGTGCACCGGTGCACTGGTTGTTGTACCGCGGCCCTGTCTAATCTACAACAAAAGTCACTACTAGTATCACATCTTCTCTTTAATAGTTAACACTAATCAAGTAGTCCGCCAACTTCTCTACTACAGTCGTGGCCGACCCAGGCTCCACACCACGAGGATAATGTGCAAGCAAAATCGCCTGTTTGGTTCTGACGGCCACCACACCTTCTTCCTGGAGTTTTCCGTAAATCGACCGTTCGTCCGCCCTCAACAAAAAGTACTTTTGTTTCTGGAGGTGCAACCCCGAAGTTTGTAATGAAGAAGGGTCATCAAAAGCACCAGCGATCTCGGCAATTTCGTTTGCCTCGAGCTGGAAACCGCCCGATTGCGCCCACAACGAGTCTCCTGCCCTCGAGTATAACGCTGCCTTATCAATCTTGCCAGTAGCTGTGAGATTGTCTGTGTATGCTTGCCAGGACATGATAGTTGGGGATGATTCGCAACGAACGTTTAAATAGTCGGCGCACACCGGTGCACCACCACATGCAGGCGCCCATAGTTGCAAAATTACAACTAGAACTCAAATGCAATGAAAGCTAGTCATGATTTTGTCTTTCCCTAGTCTGTTTTTCTTTCTTTCAGTCAATGATGTCCAGGATTTTCTGTCTTTTTGTTGGTGGTTCTTCCACTTCATCGTCGATAATTTCCACCGGTTCAAGTGCTCCATTGTTCAGTTCTCCAGTTCCATTTTCTTCGTTTTCTTTCACTTTCTCCTTCTCTTTAACCTTTTGGCGAAGAACCAACTCGGGCAACTCATTTTTATCACCCAAACTAATATAAAACTCCAAGTTTTCCAACTCATCGTTGTCGTCTTGGACTTGCAATAATTCACCAGAAACAAAACCCGCCACTTCAAGCACGCTACGGTCCACATTATCGTCGAAATCTACGTCGTAGATCAACTTGGCTTTGCCCAAAATCAAAGCAATGTCTTCATATCCATACTTTTTCTTGATGATCTCCACCAATTGTCCCAACGTTGGAGCGTCTTTTTGGCTAACGTGCAAAATCCCACGAGCTGACAATGAACAGGCAGGACACAGCGGACTGGGTTGTGAAAGCGCCGCGGCCGTAACGTACTTGTTAGGACGTATACTGGTGAAAACAGTGGATGAAGTTTGCGGAACCGGTCCAAAATCACCTCGAGACCGAGGTTCTTGGTCGTAAAATGGAAGAGAAGCGAGTACCAGGAATCCGGAGATGATAGCATTTGTGGTGGCTATAGCCGGAATGATGTTTCCTGCAATCTGCTTGATATCAAACTTGGTTTTCGGATCAATGTGGAATACCACAGATCGCAAATTTGCAGCCGCAACTACAAAGTTGAGCGAATCTTCATCATCCTTGTCGAACGGCACACACGACTCCTCCCCGCTACTGATCCGTTTTTGAAGCGACTCCAGTGCCCGAATAAGCACATAGAGGTTTTCGAGCAATGTCCATGTACTGGTGTCTTTGACAAGTATGGTCTGCGACCGAGGTTCTTGAAGAAGTGCATCCAATTCGTGTTGTAGTTCCAGCAAATCGAGCGGTTCTGGAACCTTTCTGGTCCTCCACAACGACTCAATATTAACAAGGCGTTCAATATCCACCTGGAAAATTTTGTGGATCAATTCCTGAGCAAACTGCGATCCAGGCTCCAGCACCATCCGCCTCAATTCCGCAAGCTCGTTGCTTTCCCGAAGCAAGTTGTCGATTTCCTGGCGGTCCAGCGTTTCGGATTCCAACTGGCGTCGTTGGTCCTGAGTTTTGTCTTCCAGTTCATCGAAAAGTTGATGGTACAAAAACTCTTTTGCCCAGGTAATACAGTGGATTGGCTGCGAAGGTGTAGACCGGATCGTGCACACGGGATATGTCTTGGGTGTGACCTTGGGCTGGCACTCAAAGCATTCGGTGACATATGGAAAAATAGGTTGAATTTGTCCATCGAATCCAGTGGTTCCACTTTCCATGAGTGGTTTTCGGAGAAAAAGCGCCATTTTGTTCACATACCTCCGGGCCTCGAGATTGTCAAGAGCATTGAATATATAAGAAAACTGGTCCCACCATTCGATGGGAAACTTTTCAGTGTCCATGATATTGCCATGATGACCCTCGAGTTTGCAATCGTTGTAGTTGAAATTCTGCACAGCTTTCACCACAGTGAGCGACTTGGACTGGTCGATGTCCTTCTGGCGAAATAGAAACTGTCGGTTCAAATTGGAGAGGGTAATAGTGTCGAGATCCACTGCGTGAATGGTTCCAAATCCACAAAGAATAAGGTTTTTAAGAAGCTCACACCCAATTCCTCCAGCCCCAACCATCAACACCGACGTGTTGCGTATGCGCAGATATCGCTCTGGGCCCAAAACCCGCTCGAGACTCTTCATGATGAGAGAAGAGAAGATTGAGTAAACTGATATACCTGGTGCACGGGTGCAACTACAACATAAATTCAATCAGAATATTCAATCAGATATTCACCACATTACATTTCTCTCTATACTCCCACAAACAACGCCCACACCCCCTTCAAGTACCCCACAATCTCATCGCCGCCTAATTTGGACTCTCCATACAACCTGTCCACGAAACTTATAGGCACTTCTCCCACCGTGAATCCCAACGCTCTGGCTTCTCACCATCATCTCCATCTGAAACACATATCCCTTGGACTTTGTCACTTCAATAATCTTGGTGAGCACGTTCTTTTTGTACAACCGGAACGACCCAGTCAAGTCCAGTACACCTGGACGTAAAGTTGTTGCAGCCAAGAAATTGGCACCTCTCAGCACAAGCTTTCTCTTCAAGTCCCACCCGTAAACGCCACCGTTGCCAGCGTACCGCGTTCCCGTGACAATATCGTAGTCTTCGCTTTTTTGTTTGGCAATAAATTCAGGAATGGCATCCGGATGGTGCGAGAAATCAGCATCCATTATAATCACAAAATTTCCAGTTACAAATTGTAATCCATGAACATACGCTGTTCCAAGCCCAAGCTTGCCCGCACGTGCTCTCAATTGTATATGTTCAGCACCAAAAATTTTAATCAATTCTTTGCACACATCTTGGGTTCCATCAGGAGATGCATCATCAACCACAACTACTTCCCAGTCTAGTTTGTTGGCCTCAAACGTCTTGTGGAGCAAGTACACGAGAATGGGAAGGTTTCTGCGCTCGTTGTAAGTGGGGAGAATCACCGAGTATTTGTTTGGCATGATATAGAAGGACACGAAACAGACGCGAGGATATGTGTCTGGTGCACGGGTGCAAACGAGAAGACAGAAACAAGAAATAAGAGAAAAAGACAAGATAAAGGAATAGTAATTCAAGAAAAAAAACGTCAATTTTGTCAAATCGTCAATCTCCTTCTATTAGTCAAGTGTTTCACATTTTCTTTTGTATTCTCGTTTGCATCAATTTTTTCATTTCTTCATTTTCTTCATTTCTTCATTTCTCCTTTCTCCTTTCTCCTTTCTCCTTTTCTCTACACTCCTACAATCTCTCTCTCGTCATATATTCAGGCCCTGCCTATGGGTATCATATCTCATTTCCTGCCAAATTGGTACAAATTCGATCCGATTCGTTGCTGTTTTCGTCCCTGATTTGTCTTTTTGAGCCCCGTCGCTGCAGTGGCACCTGTAAATCTTGACACTACATAGTCCGAAGTTATCAAGAACACAGGCGCAAGCATGAATAAAGCCCCGTTACTCGAAAAAGGCTTGGTCATTGCCCCAGAAGCATCAATCGAAAGTTTTCGCTAAATCCCGATGGATTGCGGGCTTGCTATTACGTAAGAGCGGGGCCCATGAGGTGCAAACTAAAACGACATCTATTAGACTTAGCTATACAAGTCATCCTCTTCTTCAGCACCAAATGCAGCTCCTCCTTCATTAGCGGGTGCTGGAGCACCATTACTCTCTGAGAATCTAAAATTGGCGAATTGTCCGCGTGATGACTGAAGCTGTTGAGCATAAGCTTCGTAACGACGCAATTCAGCATCGGAAACCGACCTCTTGGCGGTCTTCATAGCTTCCTCAAAGTGAGCTCTGGTGATGTAGGGCACGGGGTCTTCTTCTTCTTCCTCTTCGGCTTCTCCCTCAGTCTTGGGCTTGGCCTCGGACATCTCGACATCGTCGCCTTCTGTCTTCACCTTGGATTTTTCCAGGCGTATTTGGGCTTCGATAGAATCTTTAATAGCAAACTTGGCAGCTCTTTGCACAATGTAGGATAAATCAGCACCAGAAAATCCATGGGCTGCCTTGGCAATCAGATTCAAGTCCAATCCAGGCTCCAATGGAGTGTTTCTCAATTGAGCTTGCAAGATAGACAACCGTGCTGGTTCATCAGGTAATGGCACGTAGATCAATTGATCCAATCTTCCCGGTCTGAGTAACGCAGGATCGATCTGATCAGGTCTATTAGTAGCACCAATAACGAACACGTTCTTCTTGGCGTTCATACCATCCATTTCTGTCAACAATTGGTTGACAACTCGGTCGGATGCTCCTCCAGCGTCACCATTGGATCCGCCTCTAGCCTTGGCAATAGAATCCAATTCATCCAAAAACACCACCGTAGGAGCAGCGGCTCTGGCCTTGTCGAAAATGTCACGAATATTCGATTCACTCTCACCATACCACATACTCAACAATTCTGGTCCTTTAACCGATATGAAATTGGCAGACACTTCTGTAGCAACCGCCTTAGCCAACAATGTCTTACCAGTACCGGGAGGTCCAAAGAACAAAACACCCTTGGTAGGTGCCAAGCCAAATTTTTGGTATTGGTCGGGATGAAGAACAGGGTACTCGACCGTCTCCTTCAACTCGTTCTTGATGTTATCCAATCCACCGATGTCGTCCCAAGTGACATTAACGTTCTCGACCACAGTCTCACGCAATGCAGATGGGTTGGAGTTGCTCAATGCAAATCTAAAGTTCTCCATGGTGACTCCCAAGGAGTCCAACACTTCGGCATCGATGGTCTCTTCTTCCAAGTCAATCAAGTCCATCTTCTCTCTAATCTGTTGCATAGCAGCCTCAGAACACAAAGAGGCAATATCAGCACCCACAAAACCGTGAGTTTCCGATGCAATGGCTTCCAAATCAACGTCATCGGCCAATTTCATATTCTTGGTATGGATACGCAAGATCTCCAATCTTCCAGCGGCGTCGGGCACTCCGATGTCAACTTCTCTGTCGAAACGGCCGAAACGTCTCAAAGCGGGATCGATCGAGTTGGGTCTGTTGGTAGCAGCAATGACCACAGTATTGGAACGGGCTTTCATACCATCCATCAATGTCAACAACTGTGACACCACTCTTCTCTCGACCTCACCATTGGTCTTGTCTCTCTTGGGAGCAATTGAGTCGATTTCATCGATGAAAATAATCGAAGGAGCGTTCTTTTCAGCTTCTTCAAACGCCTTTCTCAAATTAGATTCTGACTCTCCAGCCATTTTCGACATGATTTCCGGACCGTTGATCAAGAAGAAGAAGGCACCGGTTTCGTTGGCCACGGCACGCGCCATCACTGTCTTACCGGTACCAGGAGGACCGTACATCAAGATACCCTTAGGTGGCTTGATACCAATCAGCTTGAACAATTGAGGATGACGCAAAGGCAACTCAACCAATTCTCTGATTTGCGCCATCTGCTTCTTACATCCACCAATGTCGTCGTAACCAACATCGTTCAAGTTGTTCTCTTCATCTTCACGGTTGATTGGTTCACCCTCACAATGGATAATGGTATCTTGAGCCACAATGGCAATTTCCTCAGGGTCAACTTCCACCACCTTGAATTCCACCTGTCTCATACCACCACGTACGGTGAACAAATCTCCCTTCCTTACCGGTCTATAAGCCTCCACAAAGTATGGTTTCAAGTACACATCAAACAACGATCCAGTGATTCCCTCCACGGTATCAGAAATGGGTAACACCGAGATCCGGTTGGCGTACTTGATATCAGGACACGGATGAACAGTAATGATATCTCCCAATCTTACTCGTAAGTTGTTTCTCACACATCTATTGATCCGAGCAACTCCATCAGCCATATCGTCATCAGCCAACACAATAAGCACGGTATCTTTCCGCTTTTTACCCTTAACGAGCACGGTGTCTCCACGGAAAAGTTGTAATAATTCCATAGTATTTGAAGACAAGGTAATTACGGAATTATCATCATTTTCAGCATCGTCGACAATCAAAGCATTGTCCTTCTTTTTACGACGAAGGATTGCGGTAGCAGTTCTGTCCTCTTCGGTGGCATCACCAGAGGCGTCCATTAAATGTTTTTTCTCGGGCGCCATTTTCAGTAAAAACTGCCAGCAGTTGCGGTGGTAGCTATCGGTGGCCTTTTTATATGGGAATCGCGGACAAGGGTGGCGACCGGTGGTGATGTCAGCGCTTATGTCAGCGTTGCTGGAAGGTTCGCGTGAAAGGACTGAGAGAGGAATACGGTGCCAAGGAGTGGAAAAGAGGAAGATGTGGAGTAGTGACTTGAAGATTTGCCGATTTGGTGGTGTTGGTGGATTTGGTGATCTTGAAAATTAGGTCAAATTAGGTAAAAAGTCCAGCACATACTTCTTTTGTCGTTTCTTATTTGATTAATTAAATAGTCACTCTGCTTACAGTAAACCTTACTGTTCATTCCTGAATCGACCCTCCTTTTCATCGTAGGCTCCATTAATTGTAGGTTCCAATAATATTCGGAGATAGCTCCTCGTGCATCCAAACACCAGCTACTCAACATCGTTTTCAATTGATTTCCACTACCCCACACACACATGTCTTGTATCTTTTGCAAAATTATCAAGGGCGAGATTCCCTCATTCAAGCTCATAGAAACCAAGTTCACATACTCGTTTCTTGACATCCAGCCTACTGCCGAGGGCCATTGCTTGATTATTCCCAAATTTCACGGAGCTAAATTGCACAATATTCCCGATGAATATCTTGCTGATCTTCTTCCCGTGGTGAAAAAATTGACTACGGCGTTGGACTTGGACACCAACAACACCCCAGAAGGTTCGGGGTACAATATTTTGCAAAACAATGGTCGGATTGCTCACCAGGTGGTGGACCATGTTCACTTTCATTTGATTCCCAAGAAGGACAGTGAGACGGGATTGGGTGTAGGATGGCCAGCGGAGGAGACCGACTTTGCCAAGTTGGAAAAGTTGCACAAGAAGCTCCAGGAAAAGTTGTAGGATTTATAAGAATTGAATCAATGGAATAAAGCTGTAGTGTTGAAGTCGCAGGTCCAGAAAGCATTGAGCCATTAATATAAAGGTCGATAGTTGATTGTGGATTTGGATTGTAGTTGATTCGTGGGTGGTCTGTAAGTATTGTAGTGGAGGTTTGTAGTGATAGTTAAATGTGGTATTGTCATTGAACTGGTTATTTGTAGTCGTTTGTAGTGGAAATTGGTAGATGATTGTAGTGGACTGTAGTGGAAATTTGTAGTTGATTGTAGTTTAATTGTAGTTGATTGTAGTGGATTGTAGTAGCTTGTAGTTGGTTTGTCATTGTATTGTAGTGAAAATTTGTAGTGGAAATTTGTAGTTCATTGTAGTGGATTGTAGTAGTTTGTAGTAGTTTGTAGTGGTAGTTGAAAGTTGATTTTGCAGTAGTTTGTAATTGAATTGAGCTAGGTTGTATTTGGATTGTCATTGGATTGTCATTGGATTGTAGTGGAAATTTGTAGTAGTTCATAGGTGGTTTTGTAGTGGATTGTAGTATTTGTTGCCTCAGTCTTGAACCTTGTGGTTATATCAACCCCCCAAGAAACCCTCCAATGTACCCCACCACATAACTCCCAAAAAAAGTCAATGTCAGGGCTCCAAAAGGAAAGTAACTCACGGTATAATAGATAATTGCCAACATTTCCACCGCCGAAGCCACGATGGTCATGATGGTACTTTTTCGAACCGTGGCAGCATACATGGTCCAAATCACCGATGAAAAGAACACAGTTGTGAACACGATTCTGTCTCGAGACACAAGGTGTTTGGCATAATTATAAGGACCTTGTAAAACTCCAAAACTCACCACAAACAACACCGATCCTAACGACCACAACATGGCAAATTTACGAGGCTTGAGCGCTAATACGGGAAATAGGAAGAAACATGTAACGAAACAGAGCACGGATCCAGCCAAGCAGCATGCGAAACCCACCAATTTTTCAAGTCTTGAGAGTCGAAACCACTGAGGTTCCTCGGTGGTCGTGGCAGTATTATACGATGGAAGTGACAGATAAAGGTCTGAGGTTGTATTTCTGACATAGTCGGTCCATTCTGCAAACGGAGCACGGGCCGGAGGACGGGTATTCCAGCTGGAAAGTTGCTGTCGAAAGGCGTTTTCTGGTTCCATGGATTGAATGTGAATGTGAATGCGAAGTGCGAAATGAAATAAAAGAGTAAGATAAAGTGAGAAAAGAAGTAATAGAATTAATTGAGAGAAAGAGATGAGGTTCAGGTAGCAAACCATACTTTAGAGATTCTATCTTTCAGTATTAATGTAGATTCTAATCATAACTATATTACATAGGTATAATTACGCATTGACTGTCGTCTATGCTTTCACTTGTATCATCGTTCTCTTCTCCTGTCTTCTCTCTTTCTCTGTCTTCCCTTCTTTCTCTTATTTCACTTGTACCTTCTCTCTCTCTCTTTCTCTCTTGTTTCCGTTTACCGATCAACAACCCCCAAGAAAAAATCATCCGGATTGAAGGTATCTTCCTTTGGCTGCGACCCCAGCGCCTCCTGGATCTGCTTTTCCAACTTGGCTCGTGCCTTTTCCTGCTCTTCGAGTACATACTTTAGGTGCAAAAGGTACTCCACCGACTTGTTGAGAATAGTGCTCTTATTGGGCTTCGTCTCTTTCACCTTGATGGTAGAAAGTAACTCGTTGATCTCTCGAGTATTTAGTTGAGAAGTCCCCTTAAACGCCTGCACGGCACAGAGCTGTGGATTGAGCATCGAAGGCGGCACCAACAACCCAAGTTCTTTGATGCGTTCCTTAATCAAATCTCGACGACGTCTTTCGACGGCATTATGAAACTCCCGTCTCCGCTTGAGTTTTTCTTCCCGAGTAAGCTGCTTGCCGCTTTGCACCAGCAGCGGCGACATGGCACTGTTATAGCTATTGTTCTGGCTTTCAGGCACACTTTTGGACTGGGGAATGCGCATGGTGGGTGGAGATTGAAGAAACGATCCATTGAACGGCGGTGATCGCAACGTATCGAGAGAGTTCTCTGCTGGTGAGAGGTACGGAGAAAGGTGGGCACTAGCAGGTCTAGGGGCCGAAGCCATCCCGGCTGAAATGCTTTGACGGTGCGGACTGAATGCCAGTTGGGCAGCGTTTTCGGCTATCAGATTGAGCCGAAATCCCGACGGCTGGTTGTTGGTAGGAGAAAAGTATTGTGGGGTGAGGAAGTTGTCGTTGGTGTCGGGCGAGATCAACTCGTCCAAATTGGCGGTGTTAGCAGGGTTAATATACTGCACTGGTTCGTGGTTGTGGGGAAACCCGAGGGCATCAAGATCGTCCAAAAAAGGATCAGGTGCCAAAGAGCCCGGATTAGAGAAGCCATGGGGATCAAAGCTTGGACTGAGTGTCGGATTCATGCCAAATGAAGATAAATCGTTGGCATTGGCTTGAAAAGCATTGGCATTGGAATAATTTTCGTTGAAATCGATGCTATTATTAGGGTACTTTTCACCCGATCGGCCATTGAATGCATTCCCGTACGTGTCCTGAGCACTATAGTCACCGGTATCACCTAAAAAGTCGTTGTAATTCACCCCATTGTCAAAATTCTCGTGAATATTATTATTCGAATTGGTATTGAAATTTTCAAAATTGTCCTTCCAGTCGTTTTCATAACTTGTATTCAGCGTGCCCTCACGACCGGCTCCCGCAGAGTCCGTGGTGCCCCCTGTACCAATGTCAGATGGGCTATCCTTTAGATAATCCTCCATGTTTGAAATGGCTGGTGGGGAGTTGAAGAGGAAACTCAAGGGATAGCGTGCAGGACACAGAGACATATGCAGGTCCACCAAAAAACGGTACTTGATATCGGAAGCATATGTTCTCTGCGTATTTGCCATGGTCGCCGTAACTGTCTCAACGACGTTTTCGTTCGAGAATATTTTCTTCATGACCTCGACGATATAGTCCAGCTCCGACTCAGTAAATTTGAGTGGTTTATTCACAGACTTCCTGGCATCATCCCTTACACTTGGTAAAAAGGTCATCTTAGTCAATAACTCAAGTTCAATTGCATTATACTTTGCCTCTGCTTCTGGTGCCTCCTTAAATGTATCGCCTCACTTGAGATCACAAATCCGGCTTCCGAAATCATGTAGCGACAAGGATTTACAATTGTGCTAACGAGGGCACGCAAGTATTTGAACCTGCGATACGGCGACCGTGTCAGACGCGATTTTAAAGAAAGCAATTAAGCTATTGGAACGCGTTGATGCCTACTTCATGTTCGGCTTCGTAAGCTTCTTCGTTTGGAACATGCTCCTCATCATGATGCCCAACTAAATCACCTCCTGATCCTTCTGCTCCTCCTTGATCGTTTATAGCATCCAATGGTCCTTGGCTATTGTTCGTTCTCGGATTCTCCGAATTTGTTGTAGTTCTTCGACGATAAGATCTTCTGATTCTTGGCGCCAAACTTACTACTGGATTAGAGATCAGACCAATAAGACAACAAAAGGGACTTACCGCTGATTAAATGTCCAGTCTCTGGTCAGTTTTTTGACTTTCCATACTGGCGTACCAAGATAATAATCTGGTTCTCGATCCAAAATTTCTAGGTTACAAGGTAAAGAACTTGTTGCACGCTTTCACAATGTAAGTGAATACACAGTGACAAGCTTGCAATTTGATCATGTCAAGGTGCTTGCAAATTTGTTATGTTTAAGTGCATTGCTAAATATTCTAAAACGATCGATAGCCACAAGCTAATGAAAACAATACGCTTGTGGGTCGATAGTCAAAATTAGCATGGCACGAAGCTCAAAACAGCTAAATATTTTAAGACAATCGATAGCCACAAGCCAATGAAAACAAATAGCTTGTGGGTCGATAGTCAAAATTAGCATGGCACGAAGCTCAAAACAGCTAAATATTTTAAGACAATCGATAGCCACAAGCCAATGAAAACAAATAGCTTGTGGGTCGATAGTCAGAATTATAATGGCAAGAAGCTCAAAAAAGCTAAATATTCTAGGACGATCGATAGCCACAAGCCAATGAAAACAATAAGCTTGTGGGTCGATAGTCAGAATTCTAATGGCAAGAAGCTCAAAAAAGCTACTACCAACAAAGGGACCATGCTAAAAAAAGTTTGGTTCTCTTCGCAGTATTTGAAGACAGCCGAAACATATGTCGTAAAGCAGAAAGCAGCATAAGAAAAGTTGAGCCAAGACCTTCCTACTCGCCCCTCACGTTTAAAGGCCTCGAATGTGACCCACATCCACAGCAGTGTATATACCCCATAAATGAAAGCAGCTACGATCCAGACAGAATTCGGAATCTCTTTTTTCAAAACATTAGGGCCAAAGGTGAGGAAAAATAGAAAGAATGCAGAAGCCAAAATAACCACTAGAGTCACCACTTTCTTCCATCTGCCCAGACTTTCGGCTCGAGCTTCGGGCGTATTTGTTCCAGTCATTTCTTCCACTGGTGGTGAAATCGGTTGTCTCAGGTTTGACGCAGTAGTTTCTTCCATTTGTTGTCGAGTTACGAAACTTTTAAGAAATGTAACCACTGCTGCCCATCGAGGTCCAGCTATATCTCTTAATCGTTGTAAATCCATTTCTTGTATTTGTGTGAAGTCTGAGTACTAATGCGACAAAAAGTCGTTTGCAACCATGCGGAGGGTTACCCGCCTTTTGCAACCATAGCCCTGCATGCAATTCAGCAGAATATTAAAAGCAGCTTACTTGACGATCACGATAATAACCGATTTCGAAAGCTAGACGTACTTCCCAAGGACCATAGTAGGGTTCTTTCACCTACTCCAGACCAACGTATAATTTTATCGGTCCTTGATTCCGAGCACAGTCTTCTCTTTAGAGGTGAATCTTACTCTGGAAAATCCTTATCAATTGCCATACATTACGTTAAGTCGAGTTCCCAAGTTTGGCCAGATCAGCTCCGGCTACTCCGTGGATAGCGTGATACTAGTACCAACTGACAATCTTGTCAAAAAGTATTTGAAATATTTCCAGTTCCTAACCCAGGGTTGCCCACGGATTGCTGCCCTGACCAGTTGGTTCCTGAAAAAGAGGAATACAAAGTCAGCAGAAGACCGCTCGAGATAAAATTTGTGTACACCGATATGAACTCAGACACTCTTACCAACCGGGGAAGCTTCCAAGACTCCTCCTCAAACATTGGTAACCACTCCAAGTATATTTCATCGTCTTCTCAACGAAGAATCCCAACTCGGTCTTGGACCGGAATGCTATAACCCAATTGCTAGCAGTTGATGGCTCCACCGATATTTTGGAAACGACCGATATAAAACTGCCCGAAAATGTCAGCTTGACACTTGAGGGACCCAAAAAGAAATACCGAAACATACTCAAACTGATCGTCAGTACCGTCCAGAAGCTTCAAATGGATCATTATATGGATAGTCTTCGGCGACGTTTGAAGTCAGTTGAAATTAAAGCAAAAGACCAAGACCTGGGCCCAATTCCACGGGGATTTGACTACACCAAGTGGACTCACGCCAGCAACGTTTCTGCACTTGAGCCAGCAGATTTGGTGAGAGCGGGGAGAGTCTGCGCCCTGGGCAGAACCTGGTCTCAAGCGAGGATCGGGTCCTGACGCTCCACCACCCATTGCAGGCGTGCCTACCTTTACAGCAGGACTTCCCGCCGAGGCTGGTGTGCCGCCTTGAGCACCTCTCTCCAATTGACCCTTCATGTACACAGCAACCTTTTGATACTGTGCAAGCCTTGGATCGAAACTGATTGAATTGGGTGTCAGTGTTCGCAGCTTGTTCGGCTGACAATCCGTTAGCCTTTCTTGTCTCAAGATCATTGATCTGCTTGCTCACCTCGGTTAGCACCGTGTTGATTCTCTTGAGGTTTTCGGCGGAAACAGCAAGCGCCGGGGTAGAGCCTTGTGCACCGGCCGTCGTTCCAGGTTGCGGTGCAGAGGCTGGACCAGCATTTTGACGCTGAGCTGCCAAATTCTGGGGCATGCTCTGAGGAACCGGAGAAGAATCTGCGAGGAACCAGGGTTGCTGGTGCTAAGTCTTGGATTCATGGTGGACCCTTGCGGAGTTTGTTGTGGATTCATTTGGTTTTGCTGTTGTTGACGAGCATTTTGTTGCATTGTCTGGTACTTCTTCAAGATCTGCCTCAAAGACTCAACTTTGGCATAGTGCTTGGCTCGATCTGCCTCATTGGTGGCGGCTTGTGCAAGAGCTGCTTCTTTCTTTAAAGCCTGGACAAATTGGCCGACGTATTTCAGCTGAATAGTAGGGATCTGAGCCTGGGAACGTGTGTGCTGGCCCTGCTGGGGTATCTGCTGGGGCTGGTTGCCCTGGTTGCCCTGATTCATTGGTCCTGGGTTGGATGTAAAGATGGAAAAGAGGAGCGACTTTGAAGAATATTATGTCACAAAATTATTTTCAACTTGCTTCAAGTATTCAAGAGCGAATGGGTGATTTATACTACACTGTAAGAGTGTCAGGTCATAAGCGATATAGTGGATCTTTTGGTATCACATGTATAACTTGGCTCAGTAAAAGCCGCACCTTCGCACGGTTGATTTTGCAACCAAGTAGGAAAGCTATGTTGTTGTTAAAGTCGCCAATTTTGATGTTTCGTGACTACAGCATGTCATAAAGCTTTTAATACGGTGTCGCTTCTATGCTGTGGGGTCGCCTACATCAAATGCAAAACATGCATGAAGAATGACCACCAGGTAGGTCGCGGACTAAAAGGTGCTCTATTTAAGACGAACCGCACGAAAAATATAATTACTAAAGATAAACTTAACTGACAAGCTGCTAATATCATTGGTAATTTAAAGCGAAGAATCTTTGTATTTGCATTACTCTAATTCGCTGTAACCATCGTAAAGCAAATAACAGAACCCACAACACATAAGAAGAGAAAATAAGCTTATAATCACGTTTAATGGTTCCTTCTTTCGAATAGAATCGATTGCTAAACAAAACATTCCTGTTGTACCCAACACACAAACAACTACCAAAAAGTGCAAACCAAAACGGGGATCATTCTCCGCACAAGCTTTGACTACAAAGGTTACCAAACACAAGAGAACACCAATAATCAAAAGTACGAAACGATCTTTCCATAGCTTGACGCAAAAGTTTTTCACATTCTCGGCCATATTTTCTTCAGTAATTTTTTCCTCCATATCAGTGATTTTTTCCATCCATTTTTGATCAAGAAATTATCAAAGGTTCGCTGCGATAAAAGCTAGGTTTTAAGTAGATGCGACTGCCAAGCCTAGAGCGGTGAAAAAAAGTGGTATAGCCGGCCAAATGTACCTGAAAATGAGCGTTCAGCCTGATTCTGCTATCTTTTCCTCTACTTTATACTTTCTGTTTCTTATTCTTTCCGTTTCCTTCATTCTCTGCATTGGTTTATGCCATCCGAAGCTAGCCAGAGTCAATTGAGCTTGACACCACAACCCTATCATACATTTGTAATGTTGATTACCACTTCCTTGATGCGGGTTGAACGTATAGGAACCATAGAATCGCAGTCGAAGTAGAAGAGGTTTGCCTGTGGGTGAGATTCACTTTACACCAGTACACCCAGTATAGATATTTTCGCAATACGGCAGTTATAACGGTGTTGGTGGGACGTTGTTTATAACTGCTATGAAATAGTTGTGCATTATTTTAGGCTCTTTTTCGTTGGTTTGACCAATTGAACTTTTTGAGCTTCCAGGAACTCCACAACAAATTCTCAATAGAGCAATTACACTTCTCTACTATATACAATTCATACGTCCTTTATCATACTCTTACTAAGATAACCCAATCTTCTTTTCTTGTGTTCATGCCTTGGGCTTCGTCCTTATAAAGTGTGTAGGGCAGTCGTATCCTCCTGGGTTCTTTTGCCAAATACTGTTGGTGGTAGTTTTCAGCATCATGCCACACCTTGATGGGCTCAATAATAGTGACGATTTGGTGTCCAGGGTACCATTCCGCTTTGCATTTTTTGCTTGATTTCCCACGCCACTTTGTTATCCTTGTCATCGTGAGTCATAATCGCAGATCTATTTTGGGTTCCCTTGTCAGGACCCTGAGAATTGACGGTGGTAGGATCGTGCATTCTGAAAAAAATGTCCAAAATAGCCTCCAATTGAAGATTCTCAGGCTCATAAGAGAGTTGTACAGCCTCCACAAACTCTGTAGACCCACTGCATATTTTTTCATAATTCACATTGCCGATTGTGGGGATGCCATTGGCATATCCAACCTTGATGTCAATCAATCCTTTTCCACCAAATTGCTTACGGAACACCTTCTCTACCCTACTTTGTCTACTTTGTCTTACGTTTGTTCACCAACTTTTTCTTGACGTTCTTCTTCATCTTGGTTTTGCGCTTTTCCGCCTTGGCAGTCTTGGCAGCTTCTTTCCGTGCCTTTTTCTCATCTTTATCCTCGAATTTTTTTCCCTTGGGTATTTTTGCAGCTCTTTCGTCGTCATAAGAATCGCTATCTTCGTCACTTTCGTCGCTATACTCGCTCTCACTGTCACTGGAATCTTCCTCTTTCTCTGCTTCTCCCAACAAATCGTTCAAAACATTCAATTTTCCCAAAGAAAAATCGTTGAAATCTCGCTCGTCAAGTTGGTTCAACGACCGCACCAAGTAAACTGACCTAAAAATTTCGTCTTCAACCTCCTGGTCGTGGTCTTCGTTCTTAAGAGGAATAGCCTCCAAGTACTTGGTAAGAGACTCGTCACTGTTGTCTCGCAACGTGTTGTCGGTGATATATTGAAAAAGCATTCTTTCCGGATAGACATTGATTTTCTTTTTGAAAAAATCATTGACGTTTTTGATATCCATCCTCAAAAAATCAAGCGCCATAGGATGCTCGGGCTCCACAGACTGTGAAACATCAATAATATAAAGCTTGTTGTCGTGAACAATAGAGTTGTACTCGCTGAGATCGGCGTGAACTAATCGACACTCTTGGTACATTCGTCTCATATAAAAGAGCATTTGATGGTAGTAATGAACAACTTCTTCCTCGTCCGCGAACGGGTGGTCCTTAAGCTTTGGTGAAGGTTGACCCTTACCCTTGGTCAAGTATTGCATCACCAATACATGGGACTTTAATTCGATGGGTTCCGGACATGGAATGCCGTTGAGATAAAGACGTTTGAGGTTCCGAAACTCTTTTTCCGCCCACATTTTCACCATTTTTCGAGGATTGCTCTGGTTCTTTTGGTTGCGAAACCGAAATTCTCCATCAACGTACCTTTCTCTATCTTTAAATACCAAGATTGACGTCTTGTAGATTTTGACTGCATACTCCAAATTCTTTTCTTCATGCTCTCCATGGTACACATTGGCTTCTTTCCCGGTACTGATACAGCCGTTTATCCTGGTAATAATGCCCTTGTTGAATATTTTGCCTAAAAACCGCATGGTTCGAGGATCCAACACTTGCTCCACTGTCGCACGATTGGCTCTATCTTTTGTAGTTTTGGGTCCCTTGATGGATGAGTCGGCTATCTTGGAGCCATACCTGTCTATAATGTCTCCACGGTCCGTCAAAGTTTTGGGAGCCGTGGCTGGTGGATTATGGGTTCCATTATCAAACTCGGTGTCGGAGTCCGAATCAGAATCAGTAGTAGAATCGTCTTCAGAAGTCTTTGCGCTTTCAAAATCATTTCCAGTCATCCTGGGGCCTGTGGGTTCACCCTCAACAGCTTTTTCCCCCTCCAAGTTGCTCAACGGTGCCAAATTGCTACCCATCTCTATAACTACTAGTGGTCGCAAATCAACCTCATCGCAGTGAACCGCCGTGTGCGCACCCGTGCACCCGCGACTGGGATGAGGGTCCGATTTGCACGAGCTGCGAAGTTGTTTGTCATGCGATTATCCCAGCTCAATGGGGCATTGCCTAGAGTAAGTAGCAGCCGGAAACACGTTCGGTACACACAACTAACCCCAGAAATTCCTCTTGACCATTCCCCTCTACATTGGAGTCGAAGTGGTGCTTGGAACTGCAATTTTCAATAAGGCATCGGGAGCGTTCGGAATACTTTCCATCATTACCGGCCACCCTATCAACTTTTGGCAATGGTTATACAATATGTTTGCCTTGGTGGTGCTCCCATTCTATATTCTGGGGCTTTTGAACTTGAATAGCCGGGAAAAGGGCACTCGGAAGACGTCTCTTGTTTGCATTTTATACGTTGTTGACACCATAGTGGGTTATTTGTACACATTATACTTCAACTACTTTTGGTTCAGCCACGAGGACAACAGTCCTACCTCAGACCCGTACGCTGGAGCCACAAAACCAGACGTGGATCCCACCATGGCTGCACAATCTGCCTCGGCAGAAAGGGAACTATTTTTGACCATGGCTATCACTTTAATGGTTGCAATATTCCGCTTGTACACCACGTTGGTGGTGGTATCGTTTACAAGGGCCCTTCTCAAACTGGAGGCCGCAGCTCAACGCTATTCAAATGAACCGGAGGTGGTGCCAATTATGGAACCTGGATGGCGCGGCCGCATTACCCATTTTGTTTACGATTTGGAGATAAGATCCAGAGAATGGCTTCGTTCTGCATTCGTATAAAACTCATCAACGAATAACGATCTCGCGAGCTACGGAGCACTCGACTTTTCCGCACACTTAGCACCTTTCATCTTTCAGATGTTGGTACCGTTCCTGTACATTACAGACCTAATGTAACTCATGTAATTAATATAATTAATGTAATCATTCCAATGGGACAATCTTCCAGTGCTGAATCATTTTCTCATTCCTATTCGCCACAGCAGGTCCATACCTTGCTTAGCTATGCCTGTCAACGTCTTATCACTCCTGTGGAGGCGCAAACGTTGCGCAAGAAGTTGAACTCAACCACCGTAAATGAAAAAGCGCAACTTTCACGGGCTGATTTGGCCCAGTTATTGCTTCTTAACGACCCACCGTCGCTGGTGGTTTACAAATGTTTGCAAAAACTAGGAAAATTTCCGTTTTTTGGAGAAGAAAATGATTCCACCATCACGGCTGACGAATTGATAGTTGCTTCAATGCTCATTTCTGGTCGGTTCAAGAAGCTAAAATTGAACACAGACTACGATAAACTCATATTCAGGGCCTTGGCTACCTCAAAATTGGATGCTGTAACAGAAAAAAGCGAGCAATTGCCAGTTTCCGTCAAGTTTGGTCGTGGCATTGAAAACCCTGAACACCTCCAAATGGCAAGCCGTTTTGTTGACTGGTCCAGCATGCTGGGGTTCGAGTCTGTGGACACAGATGGGTATTTTATTTCTAGGTCGGAAATGGTGCAACTTTTGGCATTATTTTTGGTGATTTATTCTATTCCAAAACGAAAACGGATTTCGATGCAAACGGAATTGCTGCAAAAACTCGATAATGATTGGCGCAGTTTTGAAGCCGCTGGAGAACAACTCACGACATTCATACGCTCTTCTGAAAAAATTTCTTACCAAGATTTTAGCCTGGCGCTAGCACTTTTGGGTCCTTTAGTTCATTATGGATTTGAGTTTCTTGTGGATGTTATGCTTTCGGATACGACTGAGCATTCAGATACGACTGAGACTAAAAAGGGACCGGACCTAGAGGTCACAAAAAGTCATCTTATCAACAGTTCTACAATTGCACTTTTGGCAGCTACATTTGCTGGCCTTGGTGGTAAGCAAGCCGGAATCAGTCTTACTCGCCAAAACTTGGTGAAACTCTACCTAGGATCCGAATCTGGGTTTTCGATCCGTTCTCTTGAACTGAAGGTTTTCAAGTGGCATGCACCGACGATTTTGTTGGTTTCTGGAGAGAGATTGCGCACCACCATTAAGAGATACGAAACATTTGACCTGGAATATCCGCGGTTTTTCAGATCGCTGGAGAGCCCCTTGAAGCCTTGGCAACAACCAAACGACAAAATCACCTATGCGGTTTTGGTTCATGAGCCTTGGAAAGTCTCTAACAAGAAAAATTTCGGCGACACCAATACCACAATCATAGCGCTCGAGCCACGATTGGACGTTTTCAAAGGCATTGCTTCTGAATCCATATATTTCAATACGCTTGGTATGGGGCTTGGATTTGGCAATTCTCAGCCTATCAACAAGAACACTTTGAAGAGATATGCTCCAGGAAGTGTATCACTTACTATTGAAGCAAATTTGGAATTTGCCGTGTTCCGCCACATTTCGTCTCAGGCAGGTTCTGGGATCACCTCGTTTGCTACAGGGGTCCAGCCAGACATTTCTGGCCAGGATTACGAGGACCGTTTTCTCATCACTGATCTCGAAGTATGGGGAGTGGGTTCCAGTAAAGAATTGGAAGAACAGAAAAAACAGTGGGATTGGGAGAAAAAACAAGCCGAGGCACGCCAAAGTGTCAACTTGCGCAGTATGGGAGAAGACAGAGCGTTGCTTGAAATGGTGGGGTTGGTGGGTAACCATGGCTCTGGTGGGTCGGTATGAGTTGTCTGCAGGCCGTTTTCTGGGGTAGCGCGGTAGTGCATTTCAATGTGAAATTTTCGAGATGAGCTCACCACTACGCAATCATGGCATCCGATAAAAAGGAGCAGAAACAGCGGGTAACCTCGGACCTGAGGTTCAAGTCAGTTCATAATGATCCTCGGTTCAAGGCGCCTAGCTTGAAAAACTTCAAAGTCAAAGTTGACGAGAGATTCAGCAAAGATGAGCTCAAGAAATTAAACAAGAAGGGTCGTGGAAAAGGTGCACAAATCGACCGTTATGGCCGTAAGCTCAAGCTGGACGATCACAGCACGTTCGACAAGTTCTATGAGAACGAGAAAAACGAGAAAAACGAGCAAGAAAAAGAAGACAAAGCCAGCGACTCAAGTGACTCCGACTCAGACTCCGACTCAGACTCAAGCCCAGTTGTGGATCGTGCTCGTGGTGAAGGGGTATCTCTGAGCGAATCAGACTCAGATTCCAGCTCGGATTCCGATTCTGACTCCGACGACTCGGAAACCGGTATAGTTTATGACGAAGAAGCTGAAGAGTCCGAAGTGGAATTGGAAGAAGGGAAGCCTGAAGAAGGCGAGCCGTCCGCATCGTTTGCCGTGGTTAACTTGGATTGGGATAATGTCCGTGCTGTGGACTTGATGGTGACATTCCAGTCGTTTGTTCCTAAAGGCGGCTCGATCAAAAGTGTAACCATATACCCATCACAATTTGGTAAAGAGCAGATGCAACGAGAAGAGATTGAGGGACCGTCGAGAGAACTTTTCAAGAGCAAGAAAAAGAAGAAGAAGCATGAATCGGACGAAAGTGACGATGAAGTCGATATGAATAATGTGGAAAGTATGAGGAAAATCACCAAAAAGCTTTACGAAGAAGAAGATGGAACCGAAGACTACGATAGCAAAGCCTTGCGGAGGTACCAGCTTCAAAGGTTGAGGTACTACTATGCTGTTGTACACTGTGATAGTGTTAGCACAGCAGAGAATATCTACAAAAATTGTGACGGAACCGAGTACGAGTCCACCGCTAATATTTTCGATTTGAGGTATATCCCAGACGGGGTGACATTTGAAGATGACGAACCAAAAGACCAATGTGACACATTGCCTACAAACTATAAGCCCAGTGCGGCTTTCGTTACTGATGCATTACAGCATTCTAAAGTCAAGTTGACGTGGGACGAAACCCCCAAGGAAAGACTTGCGGTTTCCTCGAGGCCATTTTCGCAGAAGGAAATCGATGAAATGGATTTCAAGGCATACTTAGCATCGGATAGTGACAGTGAAGATGAAAAAAGTCTGAACAAGTACAAGAATCTTTTGGGAGGAACGTTCGACAAAAGTGACAGTGAAGACGATGTGGATATGGAAATCACATTCACGCCTGGCTTGGACGAGCAAAAACCACCAGAACCAGCCAAGGAAGAAGAGGAAACCACCATCGATGCATACAGGCGGAAGGAGAAAGAGCGTAGAAAGCGAAGAATGGAGAAACTCAAGAAATCTGAAAAGACCGATGAGAACGAAGCTGTGGACGAGGAGCGCTCCAAGGCCGAATTGGAGCTTTTGATGATGGAAGAAGGCGAAAAACAGCCCCAGCACTTCAATATGAAGGAGATTGTCAAGGCAGAAAAGAAGAAGGATAAAAAGAGCCGAGGACAAAAGGAAGAAATTCCTCAAGACAACTTTGAAGCCGACTTGTCGGATCCTCGTTTCAAGGAGGTTTTCGAGGACCACGACTTTGCCATTGATCCAACCAGCTCTGAGTTTAAGGGCACCAACACCATGAAAAAGATTTTGAAGGAGAGATCGAATCGGAAGCAAAATGGAAAGAAGAAGAGAACCAGCGATAAGGAAAGTAAGGGAGAACTCACTTCGCTCGTGGAGAAGATTAAAAGAAGAAAGAAGTAGCCAAATATTAAGAAGATGAAGAGTAGTCAAGATTAGTCAAGATTAGTGTGGTGTAGTGAGTAGTGAATTAGATCTATTCTTTGCAGCCATCGTCCTGCACACACCGCCCTGCATACCTTGTCTGGACACGCGTTCAACTTTTCTTCACTCGATCACTATCATGCAATCAATAGGCGTGTTGGGAGCCATATTTTTTCTTCTAGTGAACGTGAATGCGTTGCACTTCTATTTGAGCACGGGCGAGACTCGTTGTTTTTTCGAGGAGTTGCCTCTGAACACTTTGGTTGTTGGCCGAATCGACGCCTTTGAATACAACCAACAGCTGGGAATGTATTTAAAAAATCCCAATTTGAACGTTGAGTTCACGGTTGACGTAAGTATAATGAGTGAAGAGCGAGGGCACGAGCGATGAGCGATACAATGACAATTCGAATTCGATTTCATTTCGCTCCCTTTTCTCCTTCTTCTTCTTCTTCTTCTTCTTCTTCTTCTCCTTCCTTTCACTAACTCAGGAAACATTCGACAACGACCACAGAGTCGTCACCCAGAGAGCATCCCATACTGGTGACTTCACGTTCACCTCGCTCGATACCGGCGAGCACAAAATCTGTCTCACGCCGGTTTATCGCGACGGTAATTCTGGTCAAAAACACCGGATTTTCTTCGACGTGGCCCAAGGTTCCGCCCACGACTACGTCGACTCCAAGACTACACACAAGGTGGACCTGTTGACGCTCAAGGTGCAACTGTTGAACAGAAAATTGGAGGAGATCCACAACGAACAGGAACAAATGAGATTAAGAGAAACCGTATTCAGAGACCAATCGGAAGCCACCAACTCCCGTGTGGTCAAGTGGACATTTATCCAGTTGTTTGTGTTGATCGGCACTTGCACCTACCAATTGCGCCACTTGAAGTCGTTCTTCGTCAAGCAAAAAATTGTATAAATATACGGTTCTCACCTTGTAATTTCTCCGCGCTCATCTCATCTCTCAGATGGATCTCCACGAACTAGAACGTTTACGGGCAGAAAACGAACAACTCAAGGCCGAATTGGCATCCAAGCAGCACCAAATAAAACAAAATGACATCAAGTCGTACAAAGGGCTTTCTTTCGAAGAACATCGCCGGTATGGTCGTCAGATGATAGTTTCTGAATTTGGCTCATTGACTTCCCAATTGAAATTAAAGCAATGTAAAACCCTTGTAGTGGGTGCTGGAGGGCTCGGGTGTCCCTCGCTAATGTATTTAGTGGGAGCAGGAGTTGGAACCATCGGAATCGTCGATGACGATTTGGTGGACGAAACTAATCTTCACCGCCAAGTTTTGCATTCTACTACTTCTGTGGGCCGTCTCAAATGTGAGTCTGCCAAGAGCTACTTACAGGAACTAAACCCCAACGTGAACATTATCACCTATCCAGTTCGACTTTCAAACAAAAATGCATTTGAAATTTTTGCAGATTTCGACTTGGTGCTCGATTGTACCGATTCCCCAGCCTCCAGATACCTCATCAACGATGTCGCAGTATACTTTAACATTCCAGTCGTCAGCGGGTCTGGCCTCCGTACTGAGGGACAGCTCTCTGTGTTCAACTACGAAAATGGCCCTTGTTATCGCTGTTTTTATCCCGATCCTCCGGCTGCAAATTCTGTGACTTCTTGCTCTGAAGGAGGAGTCTTGGGACCTGTTATAGGGTTGTTGGGGACTGCTATGGCTGTCGAAGCAATCAAGGTAATAACTGGATTTTACCACAACACTTTCAAGCCGTTTCTCACCATGTATAGTGCCTACCCTCAGCAGACGTTCCGAGTATTCAAAATGAGGGGAAAGCAAAAAACTTGCCTTTGCAACCATATCACGAGGCAAGCGATCGAGTCCATTGACTACTCCGAGTTCTGTGGAACTCTTGGGCCCGTCAACTTGTTGTCTCACGACCAAAGAATATCGGTCCATGATTATAACTCAGTCCGAAATTCGGACCATGTTCTACTCGATGTCCGTCCAAAAGAACAGTTTGAAGTGTCGAGCTTCCCTGGTGCTGTCAATATTCCTTGGGATTCAGTCCTTAGCAAAACCACTAACATTGACAAAATTGATCAGCTTCAACTTCCACCCAAAAGTCCCATATACGTTGTTTGCAGATACGGCAATGATTCCCAGTTGGCGACAAAGAAGCTACTTGACATGGGATGGAACAATGTCAAGGATATCAAAGGCGGTGTCTCGAGATGGTACTCTGAAGTTGACCAGAATATTCCCTTTTACTAGCCCTATTTCACAACCAATCTTTCCACTACTAGTAAACCAGAGAGTGTACCAGCGGCATAAGTTGCTCCTCCAAGAATAGTCTCGTTCCATGCCAAAGACGAGAACACGATATCTGTAGGAGTAGCAGCGATTCGAGTGACTTTCTCAGAAGGTACAACGTCAAAGTCTCCATATAGCTTTAAAGTGTCATCCTCCTTCCATAGTTTCCATAGACGCATCGGCACAAGTGTTTTACTTGTGGACTTTGTACCGTTGAGTATTTTTCGACAAACATTGATTACATGGACCTCACCGAACGATGTTCCACATAGTGCAAGTGGATGGCCCACAAACTCAGGTGTATGCAATGCGGTGACAGCTCCATCAACCTTGAGGACTGAACTCAGCTTCTCTTGTGGATGTCGAACAAAGCTGTAACTGATGCTGTCTGTGCTGTCGCAACTGACAAAGATCTTCAAGAATGGATGGGCAACAGGCTTTAAAAAGGAATTGGTGGGAGACGAATCCACTCGGCCATGGACAAAATTTCCGTATTCAAACACAAATCCCAAACTGCCAGTGGTGTTGACGGAAACGAAAAACTTGCCTGGAGTAGGCTCAGCGACGGAGACGGCGGTGATAGCAGTGTCGCTTATGGCTTGCACGTACGAGGGGGTGTTGTAAAGGGAATCGTTCAAGTTGGGAATAATGAACTCGGCCATAGAACCGTCAGAGAACCCTCCGATAATTTTGTCTGGACCCAAATAATCATACGACGTAAAACTGACGGTACCAGATGGTGTTCGGTAATCAAGAAGCTCATAAACCAAGGAAGGGCTTTCAACAACGGCATACTTATCATGTGTAGAAATTTTCAAGAAACGAAGTCTTCCGTCGGCGCATAGTCCTCCCAATATTCGTAGGATAGGATCAGCCAGAAGAAATGGTAAAAACGATAGCTGGTTGACCGCACCAAACTTGGTCATTACATAGACCTTGTCCAAAGTTATTGACGATCCTTCATCCTTTCCATATTTGGATACTAGATACCATTTTGTTGGAAGAAGCGTCCACTTTTGTGTTGAAAATCCCCAATTCTTTATGGCTTATCAAAGCTTCAACGCCCTCAGACGAAGACACCACCGAGACTGCCAAATACAGAGGACCCACGGTTGTGTGTGGTCGGGGTAACCATTTCATAGAAGTTATTTGACCTCCAGTATTAAGTAAGAAACCTTTACGGTCCAATTGGTTCATTGGGATTCCTTCGCCAAATGGAATTTTCACAAGAGTAGACTTATTGTTCCTAGACAATTCGATTTCCAAAGTCTTTTCTGAAACGTGGTTCAGCAATTGCGTTCGTTGTAACGGCTGCAAACGAGTATCGGGCACATCGAGGTTTCTTGGGTCTTTCAAAGGTTTTGCAATAAATTGACTTTGTTGTTGTAGAATGTCCTCGTCTACATAGAAAAGCTTGTCTTGCCATGCCTCTTTGTATGCCAAACATTGGTCGTAGTATGTTTGATCAAAGCCAAAGTTGAGACGAAACCGGTGTTTAAAGGATAGATCTCGACTCTGACGAGAGCCAGGTTCAGCCATACTTGTTCAGTTAGATATTTGGACTGGAAAAAGCACAAGCAGCAGATTTATAATCTTTTATCTGTTAATTTCGGGAAAATAAACAAGCAGTATAAATACACACACTGATTCTTGTTTCGCGATTTTTGACTTTTGTGAATTTTGACATTTGCAATCGCGAATTCCTATCTATGAGCTTATAATACCATTATGGGCGAGTCAGGACCACGCAAGCGCAAGGACGATCCTTTTGACGACTTCTTTGCATTGAGTGCCCCAAGCGGTAAAAAACACAAGAAAAAGAGACCAAGAGAGAAAAAAGTGGAGAATCATGAAGACGAAAAACGAAACGAAAACTCACCAGAAACGATCAATATCGATGTCGATGTCGAAACCAGCCCACCAGCTCCTAATACAAGCTCTCCTGGACCATCACGAGAAAATTCAGATAGCCACAATCAAAAAATGGACAATCGTGACGAAAAACCATTGAATGATATCACTGTTGTTGATGATGCTGTTGATGATATTGCTGTTCAAGACATTGTTGATGAAGAAGACGAGCTCCTAGAGTTCCTCAAAGAAACCTCGGCCTCCCTTGGCCACCACAAAAGCGATACCTATGACTTTTCAGATTCCAATGAACGACGGCGATCATATGTTGTTCGAGTCATTTCAAAATTGGAACCTGAAAATGCTGTAACGGTGGATATTGGAACAAAAGGACTTAAAAAGTTTGACAAAATACACGAGGCAGCTCTAAGAGAACTAAGGAAGAAGCCTGGGTCTCCAATGAAACAACATAATGTGCACACTACTTGTCTCGCTTGGATCGAAGGCAGACAAGAAATCAAACCATTTTTCAAACCCAGCACTTTACGCATCAAACCCCCTTTGGAATTCATAGGTCAGAACCCAGCAAAGATACCCTTGACCCACATCACTTGCTTACTCTACCCAAAGTCTCATAGCTACCTTGATTACCCAGAATTTGAATCCACTTCCTCATGGAAAAAGCTCTCGCAACTTTCATCAGACCTCAGTGCAATGGACGAATTGTCTGTGTTGAGCGCTAACAGTGAGCTGAGCGATGAAGACCCTCTCGGTGACTCAAATCCTGTTGCAAATCCTGTTGCAAATACTCCTAGAGATACTCCAGATTCTCAACCAGACGCTGATTACTTTGAAATAGGACTTAAAGGAAAGGACAATAAGAGGATTAGTGTCCAAGTCTGCTCCACTACAAAGCTCAGGGACTTGTTGGCTCATTACTTGAAAGCAAAAGAGATCGATGTTTCAGCCGCTAGTAGAGCCAAATTATTGTTTGACGACGAAGAGTTGGACCTCAATGGAGTTGTGGGCGATACCGAGCTTGAAGACGAGTACGAGGTCCAAGTGGTGGTGTGAATTCTTTCATGCATTACTCATTATAAAAAGTTGTCGGCAAAATTATACTTAAATTTTGCCCAGCCAGTAAGGCTTTGTTCATATGCATCTTCTTGCTTTTCTTCGGCAGTAGCAAAGTATCTGTCCGTTTCAAAATCCATTTCCTCATACTTGACGAATCTGTCCTTACCCTTGGTTACAAGCCACCAAAAGATAAAAGTGACTGGGAACACTCCCAATTCCAAATAGTTCATGAAAAATGAAGAAACGTCCCATGGAGAAAACGCACCCCATCCCTGGACCAAAATAATGAATGTGACAAATACAAGCACAAACCATGGTCCAACGGGATAAGTCCAATTCTTATAGTTGAGCTGATGGGTTTTGCCTTGCCTTTGTAATCCCCGGCGGAATCTTATACTGGTGATTGCAATCAGCCACCATGCAAGCTGGTTACTTACTCCAATGATAGCCTGTAACCAACTCCACAAAGTACCAGCTCCAATGAACGAGCTTCCAAAGCAAAGACCACCTGCAATCCAAGTGAAAAGTACTCCTACGTAAGGTACTTTGTACCTATTAGTTCTGGTGAAAAATTTTGGAAAATATCCCTGAGTTCCCAAAGTGTATGCCAATCTAGATCCTGCGAAAAGAGCATGATTACCAGCAGAAATAACCGATGTCATTATCACTGCGTTCATAAAAGAGCCACCAGATTTTGCACCCACCATCAGGAAAACGATGGTAAATGGTGAGGTAGTAATGTCTTTATTCGACAAGTTTGGATAATCATAAGGAACATTCATGCCGACGAAAAACACCGTGAAGATATAGAATACCAAGATTCGATAGAACACGGTTCGAACCACCTTGGGCATGGTTTTAATTGGGTTCTTTTGTTCACCAGCAGTGAGAGCAATGGATTCTGTTCCACCGTATGCAAAAGCGGCAGTCACAAAGATTTGAGCAAACCCACGAAACCCATCCACAAATGGTGCGTCCTTGTAGCTCCAATAGCGGAAACCAATATACTCGTGGAGATTATTATGACCGGCATTGACGACAATGCTAATGATGAAAAAAATGATGATGGACAAGACTTTCAAAAGAGCCAACCAATATTCTGCTTCACCATAAAAGCGAACATGAATGATATTCAAAAAGAGCAAGAACACCCAAAAGATCAATGACACCACATAGAAATGAAAGTCTGTCCAATATTTCATCACTAATTGTAACGCAGTGAGATCACTTGCAACAGAACAAGCATCATTGAACCAGTAATTTATCAAGATTGCAAATCCAAAACTGTCACTTCCAAACCTTTTGGCATAAGTGGTGAACGATCCTGACACTGGCATGTAGGTAGCCATTTCTCCAAGCGAAAGCATGGTCAAGTATACCACCAACCCGATTAAAGCATAACATATTAAAAGTGATAATGGACCTCCCGTTGCAAGAGACTTACCAGTTCCCAAGAACAACCCAGTTCCTATGACACCGGCAATGGCAATCATATTAATTTGTCGAGCACTAAGACTACGGTTCAAATCTTCGGTATGAACCTCATGTTCTTGCAGCCAATTTTCCAAGTCAACAGACCTGGCACTATTCTGTATATCGACCAAGCTATTGGACTTGTCTAGAGACATTGAAAATTGTGGAAATTTTCAATATGTGGCGTATTAAATAAAAACGGATTTAAAGTTCATTGCATCTTACAAATGCGTTCTCATCGTGGAACGCCGTGCTCCACAGATTGTACAAGAATCGTGATAAGCACGTGATGATCATTTGAAATACTTATAAATGAAGATCTACGGTCTGTTTGCCCGTGAAAAGTTGGTGGAAGCGTTTCTTGATTGGCACATTTGCTTGTTTCAGACTCACTTGATATGATTGCAAATTTCTGTCATTATGCGGAGTTCGCAGAAGTGACGCATTACGCGGCACTGTCAATGCATCGAAGACGCCGCGCGATGTGGTCGCGAGACTCTCCGCACGGTGCATGGGCCTAAATCCATTGTTCGAATAAGTAACGGGTAATCCTTCCTCCTTAGCGTAGGTGACACTGTTTCTTCTCGCGAATCACAATTGTATTGTATATAATGATCACAGTTAATATCAACAAAACTTTGCGGAAAGACTGTTGTTTTAGTACCTTAGTATTGATACTAACTCCAATAGTTACTAAATCTTTCACTGTCTGAGTATTGGGTAATTACCCCAATGTTACCTTTGTGAATCGTTCAAGGTAGTGATATCTTGCTTAATCCTTTACCTTCAAGGATGTGCAGATCATCTTGAAAAGTTAGAGGAACTTTTCGAAAGAACTAACAATACTCCTCGATCTCTCATTCCTTTAACCTGAGAAACAATTGAAAACTTCCCGAGTCGATCGACATTTCGAACTACCCAATCATAGGAGAGTTCCTAGTTCCACAGGAATATCTCCATGATTTTAATGATGATATATCGGAGTTGAAACCCGAAGAATCATCGCCTTCAATTCTAGTAATCAGATGTTTCGCCTTTTGCGATGCGAAAGTGTTTGGTACTGGTTGCTGTTGCGGTTGAGATGATTGAGCAATCCATCATTGGATATCTCACACTCAATTGCAAATTCAAGTGAATCAATCCCAATTTATGCTAAGTGTACATGACCCGTTTGCAAATTACTATCACCAGACGGGTGTGTACCTTAAATGGTCAAAATCAAACTTTTCAAATCAAGATATCTACTTCAAGCTCAAAAAATCTTTGGTAGGTTGTGGCTCTGAGTAATCAAAAGAAAACTTTTTGTGTTGCAATTGAGTTGTGCTAGGGAGATAAGTTGTCCAGGTCAATATGTATCAATACTTAACAACTCCTTTGAATCAACCAAAGTCTGATACAATTTATTTCCCTTTAGTACTAGTTTCCAGCAGCTCATATTTATAGCTGGAGAGCGGGGTGTCCCTGTTGCATAGATATGCACTCAAGCGGGGTCATTCGTGTTAATTAGTGGTGAGAATGTATCACTATCGATAGACATTTTAAGTACTCTATTATCTGTATTATCACGTTATCACGTGATCGCACTTGCCTGCATCTTTGCCTTAAACTGTACGGCTCCATTTATTCATTATTCATTATTCTCGATGCCAGAGCCATTGGAATACGCCCAGAACTTTGTGGATTTCTTAAATGTATCTCCTACGCCTTACCATGCCGTGGCGTATGCAAAGAAAAAATTGACTGATTCTGGATTTCAAGAATTGAAAGAGAAGGATGCTTGGGATGATAAAGTTGGAAAAAATGGCAAGTATTTTGTCACCAGAAACACATCTTCTTTGATCGCCTTTAGCGTGGGAAACTCATACAGAAATGGAAATGGAGTTGCGATTGTTGGAGCTCATACCGATTCTCCATGTCTTCGGATCAAGCCTATTTCGAAGAAGAATAAGGAAGGTTTTATGCAAATTGGAGTTGAAGTTTATGGCGGAATGTTAGCCCATACTTGGTTTGACCGTGATTTGTCGGTGGCTGGACGTGTATATGTCAAGAGTAATGGCCAATTGGTTCCCAAGTTGGTGAATCTTCATAGGCCGTTATTACGGATTCCAACCTTGGCGATTCATTTCGACCGTCTGGCGAATCAGAAGTTCGAGTTCAATAAAGAGGAGAAATTGGTGCCTATAGCTGGTCAGGTTGCTCACGATAAACATGAACTTGAAAAACCTTCGTCTTGTGCCGACGATCCAGCATTGCAAATGTCCAGCGAACAATTTGAATCTGTTCAGTCGGTGGTCCAGAGACACAACAACACGTTACTTGAGCTAATTGCTAGAGATTTGGACGTAAAAGTCGAGGATATTGAGGATTTTGAATTGATTCTCTACGACTACCAGGACTCGACATTGGGTGGTCTTAATGACGAATTCATATTCTCTGGCCGTCTAGACAACTTGACATCGTGCTACTGTGCCATCCAAGCCATTCTGGAAACCAATTCAAGCGATCATATCCAAATGATTTCGCTTTTCGACCACGAAGAAATTGGATCGGTTTCTGCTCAGGGTGCGGAATCGTCATTTTTACCTGATGTTCTCGAGAGAATTTCTCGTATCGACATCGAAAAGGTGGAATCGTCCTTTGTGCCCTTTCTGCCCCAATTGAGAGCCAATTCGTTCTTGCTTTCGTCAGATATGGCCCACGGTTTTCACCCCAACTATGTCCTGAATTACGACGAAAAGAACAAACCTCAAGTCAATGGTGGCCCAGTGATCAAGATCAATGCCAATCAGAGATATGCAACGAATTCTGCTGGAATCGTCATGTTGAAACAGATCGCCAACAAGGCCAAAGTTCCATTGCAATTGTTTGTGGTACGTAATGATCACCCATGTGGTTCCACCATTGGTCCTGCTCTCTCGGCAAAGTTGGGTATCAGAACCTTGGATTTGGGAAACCCGCAACTTTCAATGCATTCTATTCGAGAGACTGGAGGCTCGTTTGATATCAAGAAATTGGTGGATCTTTTCAAAGGCTTTTTTGAAACTTTTACCCAAGTTTCAGAGCTTACAGTTGTGGACTAGGTGGGAACACATTGTATGGTGACTGACCAACCACATTGCCTGGTGGATAATAGCTGCATACAATATACTTGCCCCAAACGTCTCCGCACTCTTTTAAAGCGCAGCCTAATTGTGAAGTAGTGTTCCAAATTAACGCCGTAAAATGATTATAGACTTTATCACTTCCGTATTTGTAGTCCTTTCCTTCATTGTACCATGCTGAAACTGCTCCAATTGTGCTGTATCCAATCGCTATATTTTCTCCATATGGTCCACCTGAGTGAGCAAGTATTCCTGAGCAGTCATATTGTGAAACAAAATCCGAAGCATATTCGAACAAGCTATTGTTCCAGACCAAATCCTGGGCGAAATGAAGACGACGGTAATAATTGTGTTTGTCAAGTATAGTAATGGGAAAACTGTTTTTATGCACTGAAATTTCAGTGATTTCGATTTTTACAATATTTGCAAAAATTTCCCAAAAAAGAAAGAAAAAAATACAGAATCGCATCGCAAAGCTTGCTGGTACCGGAAACATATATAATGTACCTGAAACAGATTCAAAACATTTTGAATATTTGCACCCATTTTGCAACCAATCCGCAACCATTCGCAACCGATTTGCAACTCCAGAAAGACGATTACATAATCAGATTTTTATAAGCGACATACTCGAAATCAAGTTGCAGCGATGAAGGTTAGTGGTATTTTAGCACTATTAGCAATTTTCAGTTCCTGCTTTTGCTTCGACGCGGTGCCCTTGGTTGTCGCATCACACAAGTTGGTCAAGGGGCTCAAAGATGAACTTTCAGGTAACAATCTCAAACCATACAAGGTTGATGAGGCCACGAATATGATAAAAAAGTTGGTCACTCAGTGTAGTTCTGACGAGTATTTGATCATAAATCAGCCTGGGCTCCGTCTCAACGATATCACTGATATTGAGAAAGAACACTGGCCTCATTTCTACAAGTATTTGACGTTATCGAGTACGGTGGTTGGACTTCCATGGGTCGAAGAACCAATTGATTTGGATTATTTGGAAAAGTATATTTTGAAAACGTGTAAAGCAGAGACGATTAGTGTGGACCATGAGGATGAGCGTGAAGTAAACTACATCGATTCGAAGACTCGAGTGATCAGAATTGAGTTGAGTGAACTTCCGGAAAACTTGGATGAGAGAAGAGACGAAATGAGAAAACATGATTTATTGATAAGACAGATCCTCCGCAAGCTTCCTTCTCCTCACTACACCATAATTTTCACAGCAACCACCACACAAGACTATCATCCATTACCTCGAGCTGCCATTGAACACAGCCCTAAAAGGTTCAATGTATTTGACTCGATCACCAACGATCCACTGAGAAAGGACGAAGTGGAACGAAACGATCGGTTCCATCGACCACCAATGAATAGCCATCGAGGAGTCAATGCTATGCATAAATACGTTGAAAACAGAAAGAAAAACGAGGTACATTTATTCAGTCGCAAAACATGGGAGAACAACGAAAAGTTGATAGCCACGGTTGTGGTTACAGCCACCGCCATTTTCATGCAGAATGTGTATATGACGGTGATGAACAGGGTTCGGGAGAAAAAGATAAAGAACGCATAAACGCATAAAGAACTCATAAGGAGGATTGATCATAAACATGATGAGACTCACCCATAAAGTTCATGTTGAGAGTTCGTCCATAAATTGTCATTACTTTTCATTTTTACGGTGGAGAGGTTGATTAAAGCAATATTCACTTGAAGTATCAAAGGTTTTATACCAAGAATGACATTACCTAGACGGTCTACGGCAATCGATCATATTTTTGAAAGCTCGTTTTTTGGATCTTTCAGAAATATTGTGATACGGATGTCCAGAAATGGGTATAAGATTTATTGCGCCTCTTTGCGCCTTCTTATCGCTGAATAGCCACCAAGTGCTTTAGCGATCGAGGTGAGAAGGATTACGTTAAAGGATTAAAGAGCTTATTAAGTATTGAAGATGAAAGCCAGAGTAACGGAGCCGTGATTCGATTTGAGAAATCATGAATTTTTAGCATTCTAGGGTGCCGTCTAAGGTTCAAGCTGAAGGTACTCTGCGACCTTCAATTTGCACCCACTGTCCATTTGACAAAATCAAAATTTTTAAGAGATTAAGGAGAGATTAAAGGTGACAACAACAAGCAAAACTATATTAGACAACTCTATCAAATCAATTCCTGTTTGTTTCAGTAATTCATCATTTTCAACGCTGCGCGCTTCGCTTCGCTTCACCGCGCTGGCTTCACTCGCGCTCGCTGTTATCGCTGCGTATTACTCAGCAGCAGATGGGCTAATTTGCATAGTTTCCGACGCGGAGCACCGGAATCTCAGCCGCGCTTCACCGACGCAGCAAGACTTGCAGGACAAAGTCAGGCCACAAAGCTGGAAATTTTTTGTAAACTTTCAGCACTGTATCTGTCAACCATTATATAGACAGTATAAACTCTACTTACCGTAAACCCAATTATATTTCATCTTCTTCGTCCTAACAACCAATGCTTCGCCGTTATCCCTTCGGAGGCTGCGAACTCGGCTGTTTGGGCCCTGGTTACATAAGCAAGAATCACCTGATTCGTAACTAGAGTTTTCCCCTCTTGCTTCCGAGTTATAGTCCGGAGAAATTGTATATTAAGTGACAGTGTGGAGTATAATTGGCGGCAGGTGAGTTTTGGTCAATACTAGCATCGAACATTGGAATCAGAATTACTAAGGTGCATACAAAGTTGAATTAAATCTGACAGATATATTTATTGCATTGCTCTGCACAACTTATTCAACTTTTATTCAGGACTAATTTCTTAGTCCAATTTTTCCAACTTATTCCACTTTTCCACTTTCCACTTTCTTCCATGCCAGACTCGCTTCGCTTTAATACTACTCCATCGGGAAGACATGTGGGAAAAAAGCACATCGTTATCGTAGGAGCCGGAATCATCGGCGTTTGCACCGCCTACTATATTGTTCACCATCCCAAATTCGACTCGGAAAAGTACCATATAACCATGATCGAGAGCAAAAGAGTGGCTGGAGGAGCTTCTGGAAAGGCCGGAGGTCTTTTGGCACTTTGGGCATTTCCCCAGCAAATCGTGCCACTTTCGTTTCGTCTCCACGAAGACTTAAGCAACAAATACAATGGAAGTGAAGAGTGGGGGTACCGACGTTTGACCACAGTTTCTTTAGAGGGCGATATCTCACACATAAAAAATGACCCAGGGTCAGATTCCGATTCCGACTCATTTATCAACCCTACAAATCACAGCGATTCCGACCTGCTGAAACCTCCCAAGAAGACTTCGCGGAGCACCAGGAGCTCCAAGTCGAACAATCTCCCTCTGGACCTCAATTGGATCACCTCGTCGTTAATATCGTCATGCTCGTCTCTTGGCGGAACAGATACTACGGCGCAAGTACATCCCTACCAATTCACCAATTTTATCTTGCGAAAGGCTGTAGAAGATGCCAATGGAGCGTTGGAACTAATACTCGGTAAGGTGGACGAAATCCAGTTTTCGTTGGATTCCGGGGCTGCTACCGGAGTCACCTATAAACCTACTAGTGCCAAGGCAAACGAATCGTTTTCTAATAAAGTTGTTGAGCTTGAAGCCGATCTGATCACAATGTGCATTGGTCCATGGACTTCTAAGGTTCTACCAGATTGTCCGATTTCCGGTTTAAGGGCTCATTCCATCACCATAAGTCCATTCAAAGACCAACCGGTATCACCATATGCCATTTTCACTGAATTGAAAACCGGTCCTTCCCTGTACACTTCACCAGAGATTTATGCCCGTAAGGATGAGGTGTATGTGTGTGGAGAAGGAGACTCGGCTGTAGATGTTCCGGAAACCACAGATGATGTGGAAGTGGTCAAATCCAAGTGTGATGAACTTTATGTGCAAGTTGCAAAAATGTCTTCAAACTTGCGAAAGGGCACCATCTTGAAACGTCAAGCATGTTACTTGCCAGTACTTGATATACCATCAAGCAGTGGACCACTTATTGGTCCAACTAATGTCAAGAATTTGTTTCTCTGTTCGGGACATTCTTGCTGGGGCATCAATAATGCACCAGGTTCAGGAAAAATCATGAGTGAGATATTACTCGACGGTGAGGCCAAATCGGCCAAGATTTCAAGCTTGGACCCTTCGTTATACTTTGATGCAAGCGCATTGTTGGACGATGACAAGTCTGCTACAGCCTCGATTGCATCGATATCCTAGTAATACACTCATTTCAAGCTACTTCTTCCAGCTTCTTTTTAATCTTTTCACTTTTTCTTCTTTTCTACATTCGTTACTGAGCGGTTTATTAAGTACATACCTTAGTTTCTCTTGACGAAACGTCTGGCACTTCTTTGCGAAGAGATGGCAACGGTTTGGACAGGAATCTTGAAGCCCAAAGTCTTAACCAAGTCAGCAGACTCGGAGTCGAGTTCCAATTGTCCGTTGGTGTGGGAAAGGTCCAAAGCAGACACTTCTGGGACGTATTGATCTTTTCTTTCTCTCTCCTCTTCTTGCAACTTGAAAGAAATACCTCTAACTGGACCTTGTTGAATACGCTTCATCAAGTGGGTGGTGTATCCGGCAATCTTATTTCTTAATCTCTTGGATTGGATGATGGCAAGTTCACTGGTCAATCTTTTGTTGGTTTCAAAGTCCAAAGTCAACTTTGGGTAGAAACGCTCAATCATCACTTTGGATGCTCTCTTGACGGTTTTAGTTCTAACGCGACCCTGATGTTAGTTTCTGGTTACAAATCGACATAGAAATCCCATCATTTCAGGGTACATACCATTTTGTTGTAAAGTAAGGATTCAGTGGAAAGTTTTTTATTCGAATTTTTTGAAAAGTGCGGGCTGCTCACACGTGAGCTGTGACTGCGAGAAAAAATCTCCTGCACGGCACAAATCGCACAACACAATCTTATTCACCAACACACCAGTTTCCTCGCCATCGCATCCACACACCTTGCATCCTCACACCAGGAACTAAACCACCGCGCACTGAATACACTCACCTTCGCTCCATCCTAAACTATTCCACATTTCATCCCATTTTTATCCTTTTTTCATCAAAACTCTTGCAAATTCCTTCATATTCACACACTGAAACCCACAATCGCCACTGATTCATCCCAAACAAAAATAGAATGTCTTCAAAAGTGCGACTCTACCACTGTGACTCCTGCTCTGCAGATTGCACAAATCGTATCCGAATAAAATGTGTCATCTGTTCAGATTACGACCTCTGTGTGCCTTGCTTCGCATCCGGCTCGGCTACTGGAGACCACAAACCTTGGCACGATTATTGTGTTATTGAACAAAATACATACCCCATTTTTGTCAAAGATTGGGGAGCTGACGAAGAGCTCTTACTTATCCAGGGCTGCGAGACGTTCGGTTTGGGCAACTGGCAGGACATAGCAGACCATATCGGCAACAGATCGCGAGAAGAAGTGGAGGATCACTACAATAAGATATACCTCGAGTCACGTGACTACCCGCTTCCTGATCTCTCCAAGGATTTCAGCAACATTCTGCCGGCCCAGTTTCTTGAGCAGCGCAAGAAGCGACTCGAGGAGCGTCGGTCGCAGCCGTTACCTCCTCCCAAACCAAAGACTGCTTCTTCCGTACCATTATGTCACGAGATTCAGGGCTATATGCCGGGCCGGTTGGAGTTTGATCATGAAGCCGAAAACGACGCCGAAATCTGCGTCAAGGATCTTATATTCGATTCCGACGATCTGGCGGGAGATGTGGAGCTCAAGCTCACGATTTTGGACATTTACAACTCGAGGTTGACCATTCGTGCCGAGAGAAAAAGAGCAATGCTTCTCAATAATTTGTTGGATTACCGTAAAAATATCAGTGCCGACAAACGTAAATCGAAGGAGGAGAAAGAACTTCAAAAACGAATCAACGCATTTATACGGGTGCTCACTCCTGAAGATTTCGAGACGTTTTCCGAGGATATACTCACAGAACTCAAGTGTCGAATACGGATTCAGCAACTTCAAACTTGGCGTCGAAATGGTATAACCACCATTGAAGACGGTAACAAGTTTGAGAAGGACAAGTTGATCCGTGCTGCTCATTATCTGCGCATGGGCAACGGAGCTGGATATAATGGTCGTCACTATAATCCCAGCATGAGTCTGTCGTCGACCCCAGGACCTGGAGTTCGCAAGTCGTATTCATCCTTGAGCTCGCCCCAAGCTGAATACAAACCCAAGATGGGTAATGCTAGGGCACCTTTGGATATATCTCATGCTGCTGACTTTGAGCTTCTTTCCAATGAAGAGAAGCAGTTATGTGCTACACTTCGCATTCTTCCCAAACCCTACTTTGCCATAAAAAATCAATTGATGAAGGAGGCCATCAAGAACAACGGAGTGTTGAAGAAAAAGGATGCTCGCCAGGCGCTCAAAATCGATGTCAACAAGGCCAGCAAAATTTACGAATTCTTTGTTCAAATGGGATGGTGTAGTCAGGGTTGAAGAAGAGCAATCGACAAGAGAAGCAAACAAGAAAAGCAAATGATACAAGAAACAAGACCAAACCAATGCCAAACAAAAGACTTTTCATACATATTGTACTAGGCTACACATACATTCGTTAGATGTACATTCTTTCATTCTTCTTTCTTCATTGTTCACAGTGTGCTCTCGCTCTCTATACACTCCTTCACTAAATTCAACGCGACACGGATCAACTCGTCATGAAGTGCACTTTTCTACTATTAGCCCTTCTTCCCCTTTCCAATTGCCAATGGTTTCCATTGACGACCAAAGAAGAGATCCCGGTCAAGATACAACCTTTTGAAAATGGTCAGGATGTGTATTTGCAATGTATTGCTAGAAATATTGATAACGGTGAGCACAAATTTGATGATCAAAATCGAATTATAACGGTTCCTTTTCCCAAATGTAAGGAAACTGACAAGCCCCTCAGTCTCCACTATGGGTTGGATGAGGATATCAAGTGCACAGTTGGGTTTTCCGATGAATTATTCCACTTATTCCAACTCTATGTCCATGAAGATGCTCCTTTCAGCTGTCGTTTGCCCATGAGTAGCGAGGCAAATTACTTGGAAAAGGGAGGTGCTTATGTCCCGCTTACCTTCAACTTCCGTGGAGAGACCCACGACTCTCATGTGGATCTTGACACTTCTCTCAACGTGGTTATCACGGTTCCATCTGGCAGAAACGAGCTTAAAACTTTCGTGAGTGGAGTAGCATGGTCTTCTGGAACCGATACCCAGAGAGTGACTATAGGAAACCATGTTACGTTGAATTTAGCGGTGAGATGGCTCAAAAATTTGGCTCCAATTGCTGAAGAATCGTACCAGGATCAATTGCCATTTGCCAATGGTTTTTACAAGCTTCCCTCGATGGTGACCAAAGCTACATTGTATACTGACCTTGCAATTGCCGTGGCGGTCACAACCATGGTGCTCGTGGCCATCGGTTATAGGTTCAGAAGGGCAAATCGACTCCGGGACCCTGAGTTGATGGTGGATACAAAAAACGATTAATATATACACTAGGTACTACACTTTGCAATAATGGCACTGAGCAACGACTGGAGGTGTGCGGGATGCTGGGGGTTCATGAAACGGTCGTTCAAGTGGTCGACGTACTTTTTTGTGAGGGAGGTGTTTCCGCGAGACTTGTAAGCTAAAAACTTGTTGACAGAAAGCTGAAGCGATTCTGCAAAATCGCTGGCGGTGGGCTCAGTGGTCCGCAAGGGCAACGTGATGTCGATGAACATGGTTTGAAGGTCATCGGGGTACTTTTGTTGGAGATACTGTATGACATGCGAATAGAGGTAATCACGATTGAGGTCGGAGAATTGGTCGAAAAGTTGCAAATATTTTCTCAACTGCAAACATGGTCTTTTCTCTTCTCTTGTCCTCACTCAAGTGTTCTCCACGTTGGGATTCAACGGCCAAATCAAACACCGTCAATGCTACATCTCCTCTGAGTGCTGGGTTGGTTTCTGGGTTTCCCAACATATTGATATCTGCTTCCGGAAGCAGGTTGAGCAGCTCCTTCATATCTGCTTCTGGGAGCTGGATAACATCGTCTCCGTCCTCGTCAGCGTTCAAAGCTTGCTTTAACTTAGTTTCTTCCTTGTCCATTTCTTCCTTTTGCAGCTTCTCGGTGATCAACCCCAACACCTTCCGTCTTGCCAACAACCGTGATATATATGTGAGCTCAAACTGGGTGTACAGGTACCACAACTCGAATGCATCTGGGTTCAAACGAAGACCTCTTTGAAATAAACTCCGGGCACCTTTAGCATTGGCATTGGTTTCGAATTCGTATTTGGCAGCAGACAACCACGCATCAACATTACGAGGCTGCAATTGTAGAAGACGAGAATACACCTTGTAAACCACCTTGATTGCTCCGTTCAGCTTGGCGCTTTTTAGATAGCGACTCCAAACGTCCATGTCTCTAGGAAACTTTCTAGTAGCTCGTTCATAGATGAAAAGAACCCTACGAATTCCGGCCCAGTCCGAAATACTGGGCTTTGTGTCTATAGATCCTGACTTGCTGAGTCGAGAAAATCTCTTTTTCCGCAACTTTTCCAAGTTGGTTTCGAATTCAGCGTACTTTAAGAAGTCTCTGGGCTTGGTGCCTCGGCCCTGAATTCGGTGTTCGAAGTCAGTTCTGCGTCTCATGATCATGGTGATCTCATTCTTGGCAAAGAGTTTCTTTCTTTGCAAGTCCTCGAGCTCGGGAACACTCTGCTCGAGATAGTACCGGATTTTTTCAGCCATATCGAAATAGTCAAGAGTTGGAAATTTCGAGCGATGAGATGGTGTGCATATAGTAAGGAGACGAGTGTAGAAGTAGCACCAAAAAAGAAGAGAGTTGACGATACTACGAGGTATAAGAAGCCAATGTGAGGTCAATTGCACGAAAGCAGAAACGAAAAATTGAGAAATTCTAGTAAATTAATATTTGTTACCGATTCATTTTTTGGTGTGCTCATTAGGTCGCAGCGCGAACCGAACCCGCGCCCACAAAGAGCGATGGACAAAGAGATAACCACAAATAACTTTCGATCTATACCAAAGACAAATCAATTGTTGAAAAAAAAAAGGACAAATGCTCTAGGAGGGGTTTGAACCCACGACCGTCGCGTTCCTCACACGACCGTGACTTTGGTATAACCATTGTCGTCATACGGCTATAAGCACGAAGCGCTAACCTCTGCGCCACTAGAGCACCTGCTGGCAAAAGTGAGCAAATTAAAAGATATAAGCTGAGAACAAAATGTGCAATAATGTGCACAGTAATTGCAACCAGTGATATCGATTGAAGATAATGTTAGATTTACAAGTGATTCAATTGTCATCCCATTCAGTTACAATTCGAGAATTTAGAAAATTTCTCTTCTAAACCCATTTCTCAATGGCACGCCATTCCTCGGCCCTCTCCGCCCCACGTTTGATGGCCTATAATTGCTCCAAAAATCACCGCCAACATGTACCAGCCGTTATATGTCATAAACACAAGCATAAGCATGAAAGAATAGCCTACTTGGATACCATACAAGACTGAATGCTTCCATTTGTTTGATGGAACAGGACGCAAAGGTCCATTTATGGCAGCAGTATTATCCTTGCCGATTGTTTTTAACCACTCATATCCCATAGAAACCAAAACGATAGCTATGAGCGAGAAAATAAAGCTCAATGGAGACCGAACATGCCACCATTTAAACACTACACATGAGTTGTGCCAATCCCAAGTGAAAAGCATCTATGGTTAATTATTTGCCATGTTGTATCACATCAAAGTACCTACGTTCATTGAGCACATATCCATGCTGTCATGGGGAGAATGGTCCATGATTGTAAGGTTGTTGCGCACTTTAATTTACAGATTTGGCACAATATGAGAATCTGGCATGTGCATACAGGATGCATCGTTTTTTGATTGCAGGATGCATTGCGTGATCGCGTAGGATGAAAATTATCGACCAGGAAGAACGAGAAGCCCATAGTACATATATAGCCCTTCAGGGCCTCAAGGGTGGTTTTTATGGGTTGTTGTTTTCCGGGGTTGGGTTTTTACTAGTGAAAACCACCATGCCGCAACGTTTTGCAACCTTCAATCATAGCATCAAAAGCTGCATGTTTGTCATGCCCTCGATCTCCATTGCCGCATACTGGGCCGACCAGGGTTCTGTAGAGTTTGACAAGAAGATGTACAAGTCTCCGGAGCTGAAGGAACTTATGCTTTCTGAATTTAGAGAGTGGAAAAATAGTGGCATAGTGAGCAAGGTTCAGCAATTTGCAAGAAATTTATAGAGTAGAAATGTATATAGAGAAGAGTAGAAATGTATATAGACGAAGGTAGGCGAACGTATAGACGAATGTACATAGACGAATGTAGCACGATTAATGGAATGAACTTATACAAATAAGATTCTCGTTCTCATTTCTCACATCGCGAAAATTCATCTTATGGCACCAAAGAAAAAGAAGGAACTAGTAGATGAACGGTTTCAAGCGGTCGTTTTGACCGATTCTTTTGAGACCCGGTTCATGCCCCTCACCGCGGTCAAACCCAGGTGTCTTTTACCGCTAGCAAATGTTCCGTTGATCGAATATACACTAGAGTTCTTGGCCAAGGCCGGAGTCAATGAAGTGTTTTTGATGTGTTCTTCACACGCCGAGCAGGTGCAGCAATACATTGAGCAGTCCAAATGGTGCAGCATCAATTCTCCGTTCAAAATTATACCAATAATGCTGTTGGAGTCCCGTTCTGTTGGAGATGCCATGCGAGACTTGGACAATCGAGGGGTGATTTCCGGCGACTTTTTATTGGTTTCGGGAGACGTGGTTACCAATATCGACTTTTCTCGGGCCATGGAAATGCATAGAAGGCACCGGGAAAACGATAGTAACCATATTCTGACAATGGTTCTTTCCAGTGCCTCGGCTGCGCACCGAGCTCGATCCGACTTGGATCCTGCCACGTTTATTCTTGATGCTAAAACTAACCGCTGTGTGTACTACCAGGCTATCCCAGGCGCCAACAAGAAGGCTAGCATCAAGATCGATCCCGAACTCATGGACGATATTGATGAATTGGTGGTTCGCAACGACTTGATCGATTGCCATGTCGACATCTGTTCACCTTTGGTTCCACAGCTTTTCCAGGACAATTTCGACTACCAGCTGCTCCGTACGGACTTTGTTCGTGGAGTTTTGAACTCGGATATTGCTAAAAAGTCGCTTTATGCTTATATCACCGACGAATACGCTGCTCGAGTCGTTAGCTGGGCTACCTATAAAGGTATTTCCCAAGATGTTTTGGAGCGGTGGAGCTACCCATTAGTTCCCGACGCCAATCTTCTCGAAGATACAGAGTACACCTACGAGTCCAACCATATTTATAAAGATCGTCAAGTGGTATTGGCTCGTCTGAGCCATCTTGAAACCTGCACTTGTGTAGGGTTTGGAACCAAAGTTGGAGATAAAACCACCATTGGCAACTCCATAGTAGGCGCCAGGTGTACCATAGGCTCCAATGTTCGTCTACACAATTCTTATGTGTGGGAAGGTGCCGAAATTGGAGATAATAGTGAAATCGAAGGGTCCATTGTAGCAGCAGGAGCCAAAATTGCCCATAATGTCAAGGTCAATGTGGGGTGTGTGATCGGCTACGGAGTGGTTATTGAAGAGGGAAGAACTATACCACCATATACGAGGCTCGTTGACCGGGAAGTTTCCAAACCTTCGAATGGATTTGACGATTCTCCACAAGTCACTGTAGTAGATAGTGATCTTGTTGGTTTGCATGGCCATGGCTACGTCTACGAGTCGGACCAGGACAGCGGCAGCGACTCGCTAGTTCACGATATGAACGAGCTTGATGTTTCTGATTCTTCTGTGGCTTCGATTAGCGCCAGTCGCAAGCGCAAAGCAAAAGCTCGTAGATTATCGCTGACTTCCGCCGTCAGCACCGACTTTGTTTCCGAGGACGAAGAGGAGCTTTTCGCCCGCGAGGCAATCGACACCATCAAGAGGTCAATGGAGAATAATCACGACATTGATACAACTTTACTTGAGATCAACTCATTGAGAATGTCGATGAATGTCAGCTACCATGAAGTTCGCCGAGCTACCGTGAGTGCACTCATCACCAGAATCGTCCATTTTATCACTACCGACACCTTGGCTCCCAAGCAAGCCACGGAAAAGACCTTTGGTAAGTGGGGACCATTGTTCAAAAGACAGGTCTTTGACGCAGACGACCAAGTTGATCTTTTGCAATTGGTGCAACAGCAATGCGCCATGATCGACCCGGCATACAACCAGACGGTGCTCTTCGTGGCACTGTCCTGGCTATACAACGAAGATTTTGTAGAAGAGGACCAAATTTACAAATGGTGGGAACTGCCGCAATCGAGTGCGACGGCCGAGTTGGTCCAGGTTCGCCAGCTTACGAAAAAATGGGTCGAGTGGTTGAGGGAAGCAGAAGAGGAGAGTGACTAGGAGGGAGAAGAGAAAAACGGAAAAGAGAAATGGAAAGAAAAAGTTATTCATATCTGGTGCTATACGACGCTGGTAATGAAGTGTACTGCAGACAAGACAACCATCTCGCTTACGGAGCCAATAGACATAAGCGTAAAACAAGGTTAAACAAGTACGTAATAAAGAACTAAACTAAACCGAGCCACAGAACCGTCTACTATTCTCTCCTTTCTTCCACTCTTTTCTTTCCACGCCTTTCCTTTCTTTTTTCCTCTCATCATGCCACTATCGGCCGCGGCTCCTGCACCGTGTATACGATGGCACCACGAATATATATTTTGAGATTTTGCAGCTGTCGCAATATTCATGTTTGACGTTATTGTAGTGGGTGCGGGTGTCGTAGGACCTGCCATAGCAACCGCCATGGCCCGCCAGGGTCGCAAGGTGCTTATAGTGGAACGAGACTGGACTAAACCTGACCGAATAGTTGGAGAACTCATGCAACCCGCCGGGATTCAAGCGCTTCGAGAACTTGGAATGGCGCGTGCCATCAACAAAATCGAGGCTATAGACGTGGTGGGATACTATATCAAGTTTTTGGACAACGAGATTCTTTTGGACTACCCTACAAAACACGACGCGATGTCAGCAAGACCAGATACTCCTGTTCCTGATTGTGTTAACCATCAAAATGACGAGATTACGAGTGATTCTACATTGGACGCGACAGCGTGGCACAAGGATAACCGAGTTCGAGGCGTTTCGTTTCACCATGGCGATTTTATCCAAAATTTGCGTAGCATCACCAAGGCTGAAACGAACGTGACCGCAGTAGAAGGAACGGTGGTAGACTTGATAGATGAAGATGGTGCTGTCACGGGAGTGGTTGTGAAATCAGGCAAAAAAAATCGAACTTATAGGGCAAAACTCACCATATGTTGTGATGGAATCTACTCTCGTTTCCGCAAAAGATTATACGACACAGCTCCCCTGGTTGGGTCGTATTTCGTAGGACTCAATCTTGTGGATGCCGAGCTTCCAGCGAAAAACAGAGGCCACGTTATTCTCGGGTCCCATGCTCCCATCTTGGTGTACCAGATTCTGCCCCACGACACCCGGATTTTGTGTCTGTATAGGTCCAGAAAACCACCATCGCAAGCCAACGGTGAGCTTTTAGGGTACCTTCAAAATGAGGTGCTTCCTGCGCTTCCTGAACCCATACGGCCGTCTTTCAAGAAGGCATTGACAACTGGCAAGTTCCGGTCCATGCCCAACCAGTACCTCTCAGCCACGCGCCAGGGTCGTCATAAGGGCTTGGTTTTGCTTGGAGATGCCGCCAACATGAGACATCCTTTGACTGGCGGAGGTATGACAGTAGGACTCAATGATGCCGCGCTCTTTGCACGGCTTGTTCACCCCAACAATGTTCCTGATTTAGACGACCATCGTGCCGTGGCAGCAGCATTGTCCAAGTTTCACAACCAAAGAAAAGGCTTGGATGCCGTCATCAATACTTTGTCGATCGCACTCTACACGCTTTTCGCAGCCGATAGCCGCCCGCTCCAGATTCTTCAACTCGGATGCTTCAAGTACTTCCAGCTCGGGGGAGCCTGTGTCAGCGAGCCCATAGGGTTGCTCTCGGGTGTGCTCCCACAACCATTGCTCTTGTTTCGGCATTTTTTCACGGTGGCTTTTTACGCCGTGTACTGGAACTTTCTTGATCGGGGCTTAGTCGGGGCGCCACTTGCACTTTACGAGGCGGTGGCTACGATTTTTACTGCGGTGATGGTGTTTCTGCCATACTTGTGGAAAGAATTGGTTTAACCAAGAAAGTTATGCTGGACTATTTAGACTATACAGACGGGAGTGCACACACGCCTGGAATTCAATGAGATTGCGGAGACAAACGTAGACGACCAAAAAAAAAACAAAAGCAAAAGGCCACAAAAACAAAACCTACAAAAGGACTTGAAAGAACTTGTAACAACTCACAAAACAACAGTCTCCATGCCCTCTGAAACCTTCCCCTTGATGGGAAATAACGAGTCGCCAGCGGTTTCCTTTCGCAACCGGGTCATGACCACGTTCAAATTGACGCTCAAATCTCTGCCGGTCAACTATCTCTTGGTGTTTGTTCCGTTGGGCTTGCTCGCCGGGATACTAGACTGGGGCTCGTCAGCCATTTTCTGGCTCAATTTTTTTGCCATTGTGCCATTGGCTTCGTTGCTCGCATTTGCGACGGAAGAGTTGGCGGAATTTACCGGCGAAACCATTGGTGGGTTGTTGAATGCCACTTTGGGAAACGCCGTCGAGCTCATTGTGTCGATTATTGCCCTCAAAGAGGGCCAGATTCGTATTGTCCAGGCGCTGATGCTTGGGTCTATTCTCTCCAACTTGCTCTTGGTTTTGGGATGCTGCTTTATTGCTGGCGGAATCACCCGGGTTCAACAGATCTTCAACCAGACCGTGGCCCAGACCATGCTGCTGTTGATGGCATTGGCTACCGCTGGACTTTTGATTCCTGCTGCTTTCCACGCTACGCTTCCTCCACCAAAACCAGGCAACGAATTTCCAGCTCCAGGCAGTTCCGATGAGCTTATTCTTTCGTTGTCTCGCGGAGTGTCCATCATCTTGTTGTTGTTGTACATTCTCTATTTGGTGTTCCAATTGCGTACCCACAAGTCGCTTTTTGAAGAGCAAGCCCAAGAGGCCGACGACGGTATTATCGCTACTTCTTTACCAGGCGAGTCTTCTGGCGACAAAACTGAACCTGAACGCCTCACTCTCACTGGAGCGTTGGTTGTGCTTCTTACGTGCACGGTGATCGTGTCGGTTTGTGCTGATTACTTGGTGGGTTCCATCGACAACATTGTGGAGACTTCTGGATTGTCCAAGACATTTATTGGTCTTATTGTCATTCCCATCGTGGGAAATGCTGCTGAACACGTTACTGCCATCGTGGTGGCCATGAAGGATAAGATGGACTTGGCCATTGGTGTGGCTGTAGGCTCGTCGTTGCAAATTGCAATCTTTGTGACTCCATTCATGGTTTTGATTGGATGGGCCATCGATGTTCCTATGTCTCTTTACTTTTCTACGTTTGAAACTGCAATTCTTTTCGTTTCGGTATTCATCTCCAATTTGGTGATTCTCGATGGTGAACTGAACTGGCTTGAGGGTGCTATGTTGTTGAGTACGTACTTGATTGTGGCATTGGCGTTCTTCTACTACCCCGACACGGTGATTACCTAGAAACCCTAGGTTCTAGTGTGGTGACCGACTACAAGTCTCATTGGCTTCCTCTGATCCTACTGCTATATAAAATAATATCTATCTTCTTACACATTGACTATCCTTCTCGTAATCTCTGCACTCGAAGCCGAACCCTTCCCTGCAGAACCATGCACGTTTTCCACCGCGTCTGCGCGAACCTGCACCATCTACCCCTGGCAGGGGTGCGCCTTGCGGTTGTCCCGGAGACCGATAAGCACACAATAGCATCAATATCGACGCAAACAAAACCAAAATCCTCAATTATTAAACCACAAATCCCAACAACCTCCAATTCCACCCACACCGTTTTTGGCCCAACGCCAGCCCATATTCGCGCACACGCACTGCCATCTTCCAATCCGCGGTCCTATTGTCGCGACGCGTCACCGTGCAAACCTCTTCGCGCGTCTGCAGCTTCACTACCCAATCTGGTAATTCTTTTGCAGCGACGCCCACAATTTAAAAACGGTGGTTTCGTCCTAAAAATTTTGACATCGCTGGCATAATATGGCACAGTCGAAAGTACTTCTGATTTTCGCAAGACAGCCGGTGTCGCCGGAAATGGTCAACTACTTGGTGGCCACCACTAATTCTATCATCCAAGTAAAACCACAACCTCGAAAATTTTCCACCATTTCTACCGACGATTTGTTGGTGGCTCCAGCGGTGAAAACGGTGTCTCTCGGCCACTTTATTCGTCGCCTCATCAGGTACTCCAACGTTCAGACCCCCACACTTATGGCGACATGTGTTTATTTGACAAAAGTTAGAAATTTACTTCCTGCCAATGCCGTAGGAATGGAAACCACTCGGCACCGGATTTTTTTGGCAGCGTTGATTTTGAGTGCCAAATCACTTAATGACTCGTCACCGTTGAACAAACACTGGACAAAATACACTGACGGACTTTTAACTAATGACGAGGTCAATATGGCCGAAAGAGAATTATTGGGGTTGTTAAAATGGGACATTAATATCAAACAACACGAATTGGACGTTGCACTTGAGCCGTTCTTACACACTATCAAAACCTCGTTGGCGGCTCACCTGGACCAGGTTTCAGCACAAAAAGTCAACTACTATCGTTTGTCCAACACATACCGCACATCATCTCCCATTTCATCAAGATCATCTTCCACATCTTCCATTGCTTCTCATTCCTCCAGCTTGTCATTAAACGAGGGTCCAGCATCAAACTATAGTTTGCAAAGCCTCGTGCAAGAAGAAGCCGAAATCAAGGGCCACATTTACCGGCCACCTTTGGCAAACAAGTCCACCAATACCCTCAATGTTCCACCAAGAAAAGATGTGTATGGAATGGCAATGGTATAAGGAATGAACCATAATGTTCAACATATGAAAAGGAAATTCGATGCTCATTGACATTTTAGTCTTTTGTCATAAACAGCCCAAGAGACCCTGGAGGTCATTTAGTTCTAGTATTTATTAATAAAGGTAGGTTGGTTTCAGTATAATAAGGTAGGTTTCAGTATTTATAATAAAGGTAGGTTTCAGTATTAATAAGGTTGGTTTCAGTATAATAAGGTAGGTTTGGTTTCAATATTAATAAGGTGGGTTTGGTTTCAATATTAATAAGGTAGTTTGGTTTCAGTATTTATTAATAAGGCTTGGTTTGTATTTATTGAGGTAGGTTTGTTTCATCAATGGCCGTGAGGATCCTCTTTAGGAGCATCCGGGGTCACTGTGATCATGGTATCTATCCGCAAAATTGCTATGCATGCCTCCAACGCCGACTTTAACGATTTGATTTTGGAAACGGTGGGTTCGAGTACTCCATGAGAAACTTCGTTAATGATCTTTCCCTCGATCAAATTCAATCCGTAATTCTTGTAGTTTTTCTTCTTGGTGTCTGTAGGCAATGCTGATTGCGATGCTGCATGGTATGTACGTAATTTCGAAACCAAATCTGACGAGTCTTTAGCAGCATTCACTGCCAACGTCTTGGGTATCACAAGCAATGCCAGGGCAAACTCGGCTATCGATAATTGTTCCCGCGAACCAACCGTAGTTGCAAAATTTTCCAAGTATATGTTAAGCGCAGCCTCGACGGCTCCTCCTCCAGGTACGACATTGCCGCTCTCAAGAGTCCGTTTGACCACCGACAACGAGTCGTGAAGACTTCTTTCCATCTCGTCCAACGAGTAGTCGTTGGGACCACGGAGAATAATCGATGCGGAAGAATGCTGACGGGTTCCTTTCACGAGAATACACTCGTCGTCAGAAATACGAACCTGAGACACCTCATCGGCAGAACCAAGGTACGACGATTCGAACGTCTCATCACCGTCGAGATTGGCTAAACTGGACACCAATGTTGCGCCGGTGGCTCTGGCAATTCTTCTGAGATCTTCCTTCTTACAACGGCGAACCGCCATGGCTCCACATTCGACAAACTCCTTGAGACAAAGATCGTCGATTCCCTTGGTTGTCAACACCACATTGGCACCAGCAGCCAAAATTTTCTTAATTTTGTCAATGATAATTCCATATTCCCGCTGGCGGATTTCCTCCAATTTATCAGGATCTTCAATATTTATTTGCACCCCCATGGCCATCTTGGCCTTGTGAAGATTAATATCCAAGCACGCGATCTTGGCGTTCTGCACAGTCTTGACCATGGCTTGCGAAGCCACTGTACAATTCAAGGCGTAACCATCCACAAGCATCGACTCGACCGATGACTTTCCATGGGCTTTTAAAATGTTCACCGCCTTTACCGGGTACTTTGTTTCACCGCGAGAGTTGGTGGTCTTGACCGCAAGCATGGCATTGACCGCCATATTCGCAAAAAAGTCAGAATCAGATCCAATAATCTTGGAACTCATCGACGTCTTGGCAATGTTCACCATGGTCTCCTTTCCCAAACTATCCACCGGCAACGAAAGCACCTCATTTATGTACCGAACCGCTTCCCGAAGCGCCAACCGGTACCCCGTAATGATTGTGGTTGGATGAATATTGTTTCTTACTAATTCGTTGGCTCTTTTCAACAATTCACTAGCAATGATCACCACAGAAGTAGTACCATCTCCCACCTCACGGTCCTGCTGCTGAGCCAATTCCACCAAGATTTTACCGGCGGGGTGCTGGACGTCCAACAACGTCAAAATAGTCGCTCCATCATTAGTAACCGTCACATCTCCAATATCGTCAACCAACATTTTATCAAGACCTACAGGGCCCAACAGCGATTTCACAACATTTGCCACAGATTGTACAGCCAACACATTCTGGTTGCGGATATCGTCTCCCGAAACCTTTTCGCCGCCCAAGAAAAGGGTATCTGATCTCGCTGCAGAAAACATGGTTGGTAGAGGTGTCGATCGATGAGATTTTTGCCAACCGCGGTCACGTGTAGGACTTCCAACTTCTTTCCTGAATCACTGCGAGTAACTGAAATCACTTTGTGCGCACCCGTGCACCAGGGGCCAGCCACCGTAAACAAACACTGCGCGCGGTGAGAGGTCTCCTTACCACAAATGTTACGCTTTCCCCTGTTAGTTCCTGCGATACGCCACTTTTCGGTGTCCTCCTTTGCCCCTATTGGTGCTAGCACTCGGCTCTTGAAAATTGCCTCGCAAAATGCTCTGGTTGCTGCCGAAAAGGAAAAACTCAAAAAACTCCGAACCAAACTTTCCAAAGAAAAAAAGACGTTTGCTGAACTTAAAAAGAAGCTTGCCGCCGAAACAAAGTTAGAGAAGCAGCGCAAGAAGAAGCTTGCCGAAAAAGAGAAGGCATTGAGTCAATCCCAGAGATCTAAGGCTGCTAAGGAAAGGGAGCAAGCCAAGAAAGAAGAACTTAAACACAAGAAACTCGTAGAAAAGGCCACCAAACCTTATCGTCGTATTACTGCGTTCAACATGTATGTCAAGGAGAGAACATCCGGGTCTGGACCTGTTTCGCTTGCTGACGTTTCTCGCGAATGGAAGCAATTGGACCAAAGTACCCACGACCAGTACCAGGATAAGGCTGATGAATTCAACGAAAAAATGCTTAGTATCTACACCCCCAAGCCCAAGGCACCCGCCTCGGCTTACGCCAGCTTTGTCAAGGAAAATTACGTTAACGATGGCCGTGATTTTGCCGACATAAACCGTTCTTTGGCCCAGCAATGGAAGAACTTGTCTGCTGAAGAACGTGCTTCTTATGAGCCTTCGACCGCAGATAAGGAGAGGTTTAGTTCCGAGATCCAACAGTGGACCGAGAACAGAATCAAATTGTACAAGGAGTCGAAGAATTGAAAAGTTTCGTTCTATAAGTGTCTTAATATGTATAATGTACAGCTACCCCTTTTGCTGGTATATCTTTTCACCTAACCCACGGAGAACCCTCTCCAACTGCTCGGGCAATATTGGTTTCGAAATGAAATCCACCATTCCAACTTCAAGCGACCGTTGCTTGTCTTCTCCAGCAACATTAGCGGTCAATGCTACGATATACGGAAGATGAGTATCTTGTCCTCGAGCTCGAAATTCCTCACGAAGCTCTAATGTCGCAGCAAGTCCATCCTTTTTGGGCATCTGGATGTCCATCAATACCACTTGGTAGGGCCCTTTATCTTCAAATGCACTTATACATTTTGCCAAAGCTTCCTCTCCATCTTTGGCAGAATCAGCATGATAACCCAACTTTTTCAAATGTTGAAGAGCTACCTTGATATTGATGATATTATCTTCAGCCAACAAAATTCGAAGCGGGTACTCATCTGCCAACAACTTTTCGTCGCTCATTGAAAGATCTGAAAGTGCCTTTACTACTTGACCTCGAGGTTCTGGCTCAGTAATCGCTTTGACTATCTTGACCACTTTGGCCCGCTGGAACGGCCACATCATGACTGCTATAGTGCCTCTGTCCACTTCTAGTGGTAAAGCTTTACCAAAATGTCCAATCAAAACGATATTGCATTTCAACTTTCGAAGATTTTCTTTGGTCTTTAACGTATCGAAGAAGATTTGATCCACGAAAACAATCAGGTAGGTATTGAACGGACGTCTAATATTTTCAAAGTCCATGGCTAGATCCACCAGTAAGCCAAGAAACTCAAGTGTCTCTTGCAACGCAAGCAGGCCCAAACGGTGATTATCAAGAATCAACGCTTTATTGTTGATGCCTCTTTTCGCTGCTATTTCATCGGAGACTAGTATTTCAGGCTCTTTGAACTCGTGCACTTGGGCTTTGACATTAAGGAAAAATTTGGTTCCCATACCCTCGACACTGCTAAAAGTTAATGTTCCTCCCATCAAATCAGCTAATTTCTTTGAAATAGCAAGTCCCAATCCTGAACCACCAAAACTTCTGCGTGAAGAAGCATCCACTTGCGAGAATGCTCCAAAGACCTTGTTCTGGCTTTTTTTGGGGATTCCAACTCCTGTGTCTTCCACACAAATTTCAAACTCATATCTGCTTTCATTGATCTGGTTGGATACCAAAGTCACGATGATATGGCCCTTGGAAGTGAACTTTACTGCGTTTCCCAAAAGATTAATGACAATTTGTCGAAACCGGGTCACATCACCAATGACTGTATCGATCAGTGGACACTTGTTGAAGAAGGCAAGGTCCAAATCGTTGACAGAAGCCAGCTCGCCGATGATCTGAATGGCGCTTTCAATACAATCGTTCAAAGAAAATGGAGCATTTTCAAGCGTGAAGGAACCATGCTCTAGTTTGGAAAACGCAAGAATCCCGTCGATGATGTTCAACGTTAGCATGGCTGAAGTCTTGATGGTTTCAACATACTCCTTCTGAGTATTGTTAAGCTCGGTGTCGAGCAAGAACAACGAACATGAAAGAAGCGAGTTAAACGGAGTACGAATCTCATGCGACATGTTGGCAAGAAAGCTAGCCTTTTCTGCGGTAGCATTCTCAGCAGCCCGTTTGGCAAGGGCCATTCGATCATAGAGACTTGCCTTAGCTAGCGACACTGCTGCTTGTGAACAAAGTAGCGTGAGAAGATCCTTGGACTCGCTACTGAAATAAGTTGAGGAATTACCAACTTCTGTTTTTTCCAAGTACACAGCACCAAACACACCCTCGTCGTTCTTGAGCGGAATGCAGATGACTGAATCACTTCTGTTGGATTTGTAGTATTCGTCTTGGCCAAAATTGTTGTTAAAGAATATCCTGTCCTCGTCCTTATTAACGACCTTACCGTTGTACAACACATACACAAGCAAGGAAAATGGACACAAGTCAGTTCGTGAGCTGAGGGGCTCGTTATCCAACGAAATGATACTGTTCGACGACCCGATTGCCTTAATGCAGGCGTCACCTTGACTATTGAGCACCACGGCCCCAAAATCGACTTTGGAATAAAAGACCGTAGTTTCCAATAACTTTGTAACGATGTCGTCTTGTGAGGTGGATTCGGAAATCATAAGGCAGGCTTTGACGGTCTCTCTTAACTCTACCGAATCATTGGAGATTCTGGAAACCGCCTTTTCCTGGGGATCATGGTTTGCTTTGGAGATGCTTTTCGATCTCGGTAGTTGAGAAGTGAACATTCTGTTCAAAACCCGACTCAACGGCTTGGACGAGTGGCCCTGTGGTTCCTCAATTGACTCAACTCCAGCCCAATTATACTTCTTGATGTACAGCCCCAAACGTAGTTCCACCGCTTCTACTAGCAAATCAACATCCAAGCTCTTGAATGCGACAAGTGCTGCTCCTGCAAAAGTAGAAGTTCGCTTGGCACTTGTACTAGTTTTCATAAGCCATAAAGCGCAGAGATAGGTACCCCAGGCGACATCATACCAATTATTGCTTCGTTTAGACACTTCAATAGCATCCTCAAAAGAGTCAAGAATCTCGAGCGACGAATAATTGGACAGATTGGCTTCTTGCATTGCCTTGAGTATGAGATATTTTCCCTCAAAAGTTGAAGGTGAAAACTGAGCAAAAAGTTGCACTCTTCCGACAATCTCGTTTAGCATATCTCTTTGGATACTACTGTCGATTCCTTGCGCATCCTGACAAAGCGCAATACCGGCTATAAAATAGAATTCAACGTGAAGCAAAGTTAACGGTATTTGAGGCATGTAATCCTCCATCATTTCGACAACGATACGAACCAGCTCCTCAACCCTGTTTTTCACTGTTAAATAATAAAGCTTGCATGTCTTGCTGACGAATAAAATATCAGGATTAGGCTCAAATTGAGCAGTTTGTTTTTCGAAATCTTCAAGCAGGAAACCTCCTTGCATCATCTTCAAACCATTGAAAAGAAGCTGGTTCCAATCTGACTTGTCTTCAATAGCAAATCTATTATTGGTCCAACTGGGAAAAACAGCATTGAAAGGTACTCCACTGAGCAACAAAAGGTGGATTTTCGCAGCATTTGTGCTACTGGCCAACTTGATGTTTTTCAGCCGAGAATAAACCAGAAGTGAAGAACTGAACGTTTCGTAATACTTGAGCACGTCGGCCAACGGTTCAAAGTAAACTGCCAACGAATTGACGAACAACTCGTAAACGGTTTGAACATACACAATGGAATTCTTTTCGTTTTTGTCGGCCCAATAAAGAGCAAGCTTGCTGTATTCAAGAGCCTTGATGAACCCGGATTCAGTATACTCTCTTGCAAACTTGTTGGCCAAATACAAAAGCGGAATTGCACAGAAAGGACTGATACCAAATTTGAGCATCATATCAACCGAATATAGCACCAAACAGTCACGAAGCTTGTAGTTGTTAGTCGAGAATGTAAATGGTAAAATCTCCGAAATGAGCTCATAAATCAAAAGCACCTTTTTATCTTGGGCAAGCTCGAGATTCTTCATGGCTCTGATTTCCAGCGCTGACAGAGGTATCTGGCCATTGAACCTGTCATTCCTCTCGTCTTCTGATAATGTAGCGTCTGGCTCTATATCAATACCCAAATAATTGAGACTCTCGACCGCAACATTGACACCTTCTTTGCGTCGGCCAAGTTTGATCAAACTTCGAACTTTAAAAATCACAAACCGAGTCTTGTCAAGGCCATACTTTGCTTCGGACTCATCAATAATTCTTAAGCAATCATTATAGTTATTCAAATAGTATTGGATCTGACACATTGTCATGTTGTTACGCAATTTGTGCTTCACATTCAGTTCACGAATAAAGTGGTCGGCAACTTGGAAATAAATAAGAGACGAACTCAAGTTGTAGGTTGACATCGCAAGTCTGCCAGCTTTCACCAACACCTTGAAATATGTCAGGCAATCATCACGGCGCACAATTTTCCATGATTTTGCAAAATGGCTTGCCATGGTCAAATAGGAAGAGATGCTGTAGTTTGTTTCTTTCCGAATTTTTTTGTAGTAGCGTAAACCGCAAAGTCGATGATATTCTTGAAGTTCATTCGTCAGAACAAGACTGCTTATTATTGCCGATAAGATAGAATCATGGTCAAACTTATACACTGCTTCACTTGCCAAATTCCATATTTCTGAGTCGGTTAATTCCACGGGAAAATCGCTATCGGCCATCAAGTGAAAAGGAAGTTTGTAAAATGGTCCCCCAGGTGATACTATTCCAGTCTCTACACACAAGTTGACGGTTTCGTAGACTTCTTTGATTCCAAGATTCGCAACGATCATAAGTTCTGATAGACGAAAGAAGTGACCCTCTGTGGTGATGGCTGCAAATTTCATAAGTGACATGGCTTCAGGAGTCAATGCTGTCGAGAGGTAATTGGCTATAATATCGTCTTGATTGATAGGAATGTTAAACTTCGAATAATCAAAGTCCCATCTCCTGCTGTAAAGATTAGTTCGATATTTTATCTTGCCCTCCATGAATGCTGTTTTGAGGACGTATTTCGTTAAAAGCACATTTCCCTTGAGGTGGTGATACAAAAACAGAGATAAAGAATCCACTTTCTCGTCTTTGAGTATGTCCTTCGAGATGCTGGAGACCTGTTCGCCATACATTGAAGACAAACTCGTGGTTTCGTCTTTGGCAAACGATGCCACCTCATCGCCAGAGTTGTATGGCGAATCCATCACCAACGACGATTGAAGAAAATAGGAAAATGAGTCTCTAGAGATCTCTCTCAATTGAAATTCGAACACCTTGGCACCTGAAATCTTGAACAAATCCACGAGTGTGTCCTCAGATGCTTCAAAATCAGTATCATATGTCTTCTCAGTATCTGAATCCATGGTTGCGATGATTTTCAAGTACCCTGGAGAACCGCTAGTTATATTTTGAGTTTGGACGAATTTGACCGTTTCTGCAAGCAAGCTTATCTCTCCTGGTGAACACCATTGAATATCGTCCAAAAACATCGTGAGGCCCTCCATACTAATTAGCGACAAAAACGCTTTCACGATATAACGATACTTGAGCTCGAGGCTGAAATTGTGGTAATCAGCATCACGAATTGGTTTCAACTTCAGAGACGAGTCGTCTGAGTCATCCAAGGGCTCATCGGAAGTCACATCTTTGGGGTTTAATGAATCCTTTCTGCGATGAAGAGTCGCATACTTGGGCCCTAATAAGTGCTTAAGACCCGGAACAAGATAAAAAAGAACCCCAAGATCTAGTGGAATCTCTGTAACAATCAAGTCTCTCCATTTATCGATATCTTGTTTTGACGACTTGAGTATTTGTTTCACGATCGAAGAAATTGCTGAAATAAAGACAGTGTACACTGAAATGTTTGCATCGGATTTGCTGAATTTCCAGCTGCAGTGAAAGTTGGTCTTGGCAATTGAAGCCGTACGCAAGTCACCAAGAAGAACAGATTTGCCGTAGCCTGAACGACCAGAAATCAAAACCACATTTTCTCCTTCGGTAAGACGATCAGTGGTGGTGAATATTTTTCGGTATTCTTCGTTTCTTCCGTACACTGCTTCACAAAGCAAAAAGACAGGAGGCATGGGCATAGGTTCTTTTGGTTCCTCTTTGATCAAAAACCGGCTGATGTGCTCATTTTGTTTGACATAGTTGATGAATGTCTCGCCGCCTTTATCTTTGATCTCATCGACGTAATCGTTTCTAACTTGGATAAGTTCTTCGAGCAATATTCCAGAGTCAGTTGGTCGCTTGGAGTCTTCCTTTTCCAATAAATTCATAATGAGCTTACTTAGATGGGAATTTATCCACGAAGGTGCCAATAATTCCGGCGTCAATGGTTTTTGGAAAAGATGCATTCTGATCAATGTAGCGGCATCTTGCGCCTGAAAAGGAAGAACCCCAACGATAAGTTCGTATAATATAACTCCAAGAGCATAAAAGTCAGATTTGTAGCTGACTCGCTTGTTCATGTCTCCCGTAGCTTCTGGGGAAAGATATGGCAAGATTGCCATCAAGTTGGTCAGGTTCCGCTTTCTGTGTCCATTAGTGCAGTCTTCTGGTTGAACACTAAAAGAAAAGTCCCAGCTTGAGATTTCGACTCTTCCGTTGTCACATTTGAAGATATTTTTCGACGTGAGTCCATTATGTACTATTCCAAGCTCATGGACTGTTTTGAGAGTCTTGACCACATTTATAATGTCCCCAAGAACCTCCACCACTTTGAGAGGCAGCTGTGGACTCTGTCTCACTTTATTGGAAATTTCTTCAAATCTTCCTGAGCCCAACAGTCGCACATTGGTGGTGGTGCTGGCTCCTACGGATATGGATGAACGACCGCTGTAGGAATTCGCAAGCACTCCCAAGGTGGGATCGAACAGAGTATCGCTTCCGCTGCTGCTGTTACTGTGATACTCAAATAGCGACAGATAATTCTTGTCTCGATAAATTAGAGCCATTCGTCTCGGTCCGCCGCCCTGTTTTCCTGAAGTCGCCATATTGATCACGCCAATTGGATACAAGATTCCAGTCAAATTCAATGGTAAGGTTGCGGGTTGAGCCAAATAACGTTCAGCATTCTTGTCGCCCAAAGGTGGGCGGCTATGAGGCTTGAGAAAGTCATTTTCCACCATGTCATTGTTCCAAAGACGGTGCTGAGCCGGTGGGTTTCGGCCAGAGAGAATGTACCACTCGTTAAGAGTTCGGACCATGGAGTTGCTGTCTTCTATTAGGGGAGAAATTCGGATGAGAACCGGGGCATTAGTGTCTATTTCAACAGCACGATAAAGAAGCGTGGTTCGTTCCACGTCGGCTTCAAATTGCGATATAAGGGTGTATCCGTCGACGGAGTCGGACTCCAAGAGCTGATGGTCGTCGCTGGTGGATTCGGGGACTCGTTGTTGGGCATTATTGAGGTTTTCGTTCAAGTAATTGTTCTGATTTTTCACGTAATCTACGTTGTTGATGTACGACTTGAAAGCTTGAACCTCTTGGGCCGAGCTAGTGGACGAGTTAGACTGGGTTCCTGTCACAAACAGTCTCATATTGCTGCTTGCTCCGGTGGCAATATCGGTGGATTGGCTCGGGGCGTCTGCATCAAAATCCACACTTCTGGCATTTCTACGAAAACTTCCAGTGGATGAGTTGACATCCGAGCGGTCCGTGGAAGCCTCAGCCGAGAACTTATTGCGGTCTGGGCTTCCCACCAAATCATGAAGCGTGGAAGCGTACCCATCTGATTCTTCAGTGAGACCCTGTCGCAGATCAGAGGCGCAACTTTGGGACAAATTCATGGCTCTCACAATGTGCGAAGATGTCCAGGAGTATAATATGGGGACGGGCAGTGGTGTGGAATCGACTCGAAACGCTAATAGTCAACGGTGCCAAACTTAAAGAAGGTAAAATTGTGTCTCAGATGTCAACCGCTTCAGCCGCAACGGGCGTCGCGAGGTTGCTGCAGCTATATGCACGGCAATCAGCGAAGAGAAGAGAGGCTGAAGTGATTGAGATGGAGATGGTGATTGAGATGGTGAGTGGTTGAGAGGGTGAGATGGTTTGTTTAGTGATGGTGATATGGCGATACACTCATGGATTAGCTCGTCAAGAGCTCTATGGATTATAAGATGGTACATTTCTTGGACTTTTTGATCACAGGCGGCTCCAATGCCGCCACGATCGCCTCGTCAAACACACTCTTCAACCCGCGCTGGGTCAATGCTGAACATTCCAAATATTTGACCGCTCTCAATTCCTTGGCAAGTTTGTCTCCCATTTCATGAGTGATGGGTGACAACTTTTGTCTTTGTAGTCTTTGCAAAATCACTTCATCGTTACGCAAATCGGTCTGTGTGCCCACTATGAGACATGGCACTCCGGGACAGTGGTGATGCACCTCGGGAAACCATTTTTCCTTGACGTTTTCAAATGAGGCGGGTGCGATCACAGAGAAGCAAACCAAGAACACATCAGTAGAAGGGTACGACAACGGCCTCAACCGGTCATAATCCTCCTGTCCCGCGGTATCAAACAACCCCAAGGTAAATGGCTCGTCACCAATCATTACCGTCACCGCGTAATTATCGAAAACCGTAGGCACGTAATCGGCAGGGAATTTGGAAGTTGTGTACGAGATCAACAAACAGGTTTTACCCACGGCACCATCACCGACCACCACGCACTTTATCGTTTGCATTTTGTTATGGATTGGGTATAGCGAACTGAATCAGGAAACCAAACGCCCCTAAATTGTAGATTTGAAGAAGAAAAATAAACCAGGTTTTATGGATATTGGACAAGCTTAGGGGAATGTATTGGACCTAGGTAGAGGTTTAGTTGAGAAAGATCCAAAGAAACTGAAATGCAAATTGAATTTCCAAAATGAATCCCTTTGTTGTTTCAACCAAAATGGTGCAAAATGTTTGAGTTTTTCGAGACAAATATTAGCCCGCGCACGCAGGCGCCTCTGCATGTGGTGTCTGGCTCGCACTACACTACCACCAAATAAAATTCATATATTCGTAGGCATATATTATGTACTAGTAGGAAGCTCCCCGATATTCATAAAGCTCTGGTCGTCGTCGACGTTCGCTACGTCGCTTGGAAGGTTTTCTGGGTCAACAAGACGAGTCGCCAAGTTTCCATCGAAATTGCGAATTTCTTCGTCAAGTTCATTGTCTACAATGGCCGGTCCTCCACCCAAAAAATCAAGCATCATGTGCATGCCTCCAGCACCCCCAGCGTATTCCTCCACGTCCACGGGGAGCACCTCAGCCACTCCTTCCAAAAACCACACCTTGTCTTTCATTTCCATGGTGAACGATCGTAAGAGTTTGTAGTACAGTCTCATGATTCTCATGGCCTTGATATCGCCTGCCATTAAGAGTGCCAAGAATGTCTTGTCGAGGAGTGCCGGGAACGCAAATATTCGAAGAATAAAGTCAGATTTGTATCGTTCTTTGTGGAGTTTGTTGAGGTAAGCGAGGGTGATGAGATATGGTGAATCGATAGCAATGGGGAACAAGTCGGCGATATCCGAGTCGTGGCATTCGAGGTCCGAGTAGTAGTCCTCCGAGCGTGACTTGAGGTTAACTTTATGGTTCATTATATCTCCCAAATCTCCCAAGTCGACGAATATATATTTGTAGAATCGCAGCGCTTCGGTGAGCGGCCATACCGCCGTCAAGATGGTGGCAGCGCCTTTAACATGGAAGATCCACGCCGAAGCAGGAAGAGATTTGGGTGATGTTGCCAGTGGGAGCGACGCATTGGCGAGTGAGTCCATGATTAGAATCAACGCCAGAGCCACCAAAGCGTCGGTATTATCGGAATTGATATCCAACACTGCTTCTCGAAGAAGCCGTAATGCTTCACCACGATGGCAGGTAACGCACTGGTCGAGACCCTTTTCGGTGCGCAGCAAGTGTGTAGCACTAAATGCTAGAATAGAGTGCATTAGAAACGGATATTGGAACGCCAACATGGGAATATCGTAGCTCCAGATATTGGTATCGGAAATGCCGGCGCCAGTGATGGTGCTCGACACCTGCGAAGTGTAGTGGAACATCAACCGAAGGTCCATCATGTTGAGAACGGCAGCGTCGGTCCCCAATGGGTCTGGCATCCGGCTGTTGTTCACGTTGGGAGAAATTCCTGGTGCGGGCCGCGAATGGTGGTCCAGTTTTGGTGGCAGGTTTGTTTGGAGCATCAGCCCAAGATTCGAGAGATCAATGGGAAGATTAGCCAACGTAGCCAAGTTGGAAAGACTAGCAAGACTGCCGAGATCGGCTCCCTTTCCGCTGATATTGTTGACAAGATGGCTGAGATTGATATTATTGAGATTTCCAGCATTGAGAAGACTGGCGAGATCCGGCGTACCGCTCGATCCCAGGGCCGCTGCTGCCGCTACCGATGCCTCAGACACAGACGCTGGTCCGGGAGCACCCTTGGGGCTCGGCGTGGCCGCTGGAGTTGAGCCAGGGGTGGCCTGCTGTTGTGGCTGCGACGAGTGTTGACGCTTGGGGTCTGGTTCTTGATCGTCTGGCAAAGTGTATCCACAAACCAACTTCATGTTGGTGCACTTGACACATTGGGGTCGAGTTTCGTCACATTTGACCCTTCTTCTCTTGCAAGTCAGACAACCATTTCTCAGTTTCAGGTGATACTTTCGCTTGCCTGTAGACGTTTTTGAATGCAGCGACTTTGGCGGCAGAAATGTCATTCTGGTTGTAGTTGTTGTTGTTGTGGATGGTGGTGGTATTGAACGATTGTCTCCACAGTTGAAGGTGGATGAATTATAGTTAAACGTTGTCGTTTAATCGTATAGTTATTTTTCTCACGTGAACCGCTGCGGTCGAGGGTGTGTCCCTCCAGTGCACCAGCTTTTGGGTGTATCGCCCAACCACAGGTCTCCAATAGTAATTATGTCGACCCGTCCCTTATGGTACCGGTGGGCTCGTGTGGGGTTCTATGGTGGTGCTATCATTGCCACAGGAGTGGTGCTTTTCAAGTATACAACCCCCACTGATGAACAGTTAATTGCGAGTTTCTCACCAGAAGTGCGAGCCGAGTACGAGAAGAGCCGAGAATTAAGACAAAAAGAGCAGCAAGCGCTTATGGAAATCGTCAAGAAAACGTCGGCGCTGAACGACCCGATCTGGAAAACCGGCAGCATCAAGTCTCCGTTTGAAAAAGATGGTCGTTATGTCGACCCAAAGTTGGTGGATCCGCAGGCTTTGCTTCGTGAATCTGCCGCAGAACAGCAACGCATTGAGACCGAAGAAGCGAACCGGAAAATGGAGGAAACCGAGCGGCTTTTGAACGAGAAGAGAAAGAAGTGGTGGAGCTGGAAATGAGTCATTTTCATGATGTCATGAAATGACATCGTGAAATCGAGACATTGACATTCGTTGAATCACATTGAATTGAGTTTGAATGAATGATTGACCTCTTCTTATGTCCTTCCCCACCCGTTGGTCCCGCTCCATCCAAACAGCTCCGCATTGATTCCCAGAAACCACGTTTGGCGGCTCAGTTTCTGGCTGTTGGCCTCGTCCACCGCCGCCACTATACGGTTGATATTGGTGTCTATAACCATGCCCCCTTGTACAATTTCCTCTAGCACCGTCTGTAGCACCTGCCAGCCAAATATAAGATCCAATTCACACACATTTGTAAAACATTTATCCAAACATTCTACAAACACTTGGATCAAGTCCAAGATTCCCAATTCTGATTCTTGGTCGTCAACAATAAATACAAAGTATAACGTTGCATAATGACGGTAGATCACCTTGATGTCTTCAACGTCCTCTAAAAGCTTGGGAGGTGTGATAAAGGAGCATTCTTCAGAAGTTCGAACCGATATAAGTTGATGTACTTGTTGAAGAAGAAGCCGCTGGGTTTGAATATCGACAGAAGTATAAAACTTCATAAGCCGAGGAAGTCCCTCGTTGTTGACTGTGTTAGTGTGGGCGAGAATAGCAAATCAGGATTCACATACATATCAAAACCGAATGGATCATGGCGTATTGATGAAGTGTTGCCGAAGTGTCTCACTTGCTGGCACTGGGTGTAAAGATGTCTTGCGCGCCCGGCTACAAAATCATGCGGGAAATGTATTTATCATTAAGTCATTTATGTCACTTATATCATTTCTTTCAATGAATAACATATCCTCAGAACTAGTCAGATCCGTGTGATCGCAGTAGGTACCGTCTTGCTCAATTAGAGATTTATTCGATTTTTTACTACCGGTAAAATCGGTAATCCATATCGCACAATCCATACTAGTCCCATACTAGCCCCTTCATACTACCCCTTTACTATCCAATCTGGTTCCTATTGTGTTATCGGAAAGAATTGTAGCTTGAAACTGTGCAAATTAGGCTCGCATGAAGAATTGAGACGGCTGCAAATTTCGCAGCCAAATACCATTCCACCATTTCGAACAAACACAACAATTCGCCAAGAGTAGTGACTAAGAAAGAAACTCAGAACTACCAGAAACGAACCACAACTTGAAAATACACAATTCTAAAAAAATCAATTCATTGCCGCGGGTATGGAAAATGAGAACACAAGAAACGACAAAACATCAAGGTTCAAACCACGTTCTGTATTCACCAGTGCCATGAGAAACCATCTAATATCGCTTGTAATATCTCCATCTTATCTCCATCTTACTTTTGTTATGCTATCTTTCCTGTCCTGCATATGCCCACTATGACAAACACTTTCCTCTATTCTGCTCTATCTGTTCCTCATGTCTGCCCAATTGGATAAAGAGTACCCCACGTTCCGCCACTTGTTTGAAGTGCCCACTCTCAAGTCCTTGAACATTTCCTCAGACACAAATGAGTCCATCTATCTATGCGGAAACTCTTTGGGACTCATGCCCAAATCGACCCGAAAAGCCATAAACGATGAATTGGATACTTGGGCCCAGCAAGGAGTTGAGGGTCACTTTTCCCACCCTGAACGAACACCCTGGGTTGACATAGATTTGCCTTTGCTTCCTCTAATGGCACCTATAGTTGGCGCAAAAGAGTCGGAAGTTGCAGTCATGGGTTCTCTTACCAGTAACTTGAATGCAATGTTGATGTCATTTTATAAGCCCAAGGGTAAACGGACGAAAATCTTGTTTGAAAAACATGCCTTTCCCTCGGATTACTATGCTTTTTTGAATATTGTTCAGCTTTTTGGCTACGATGAATCGCACTTGATTCAAGTTGCAGTACAAGACGGTGCCACTTATTTACGTACAGAAGACATTATTTTCGAGATAGAAAACAACGCAGAAGAACTTGCGTTGGTGTGTTTTCCCGGAATCCAGTACTATACTGGTCAGTTTTTCGATATAAAATCCATCACTAAAGCAGCTCAAGATCATGGCATTTGTGTGGGGTGGGATTTGGCTCATGCTGTGGGTAATGTTCCCTTAAATCTCCACGACTGGAACGTTGATTTTGCTGTTTGGTGCTCGTACAAGTACCTCAATTCAGGACCTGGTGCCATGGCAGGTATTTTCGTCCACCAGCGACACACTGAGAACAACTCCAAAACCAGTTATAATCCACGTTTGGCAGGTTGGTGGGGGAACAATGCGCAAGAACGATTTCAGATGAAAGAGGAGTTCAATCCAATCAACTCGGCGCTTTCTTATCGCCAGTCGAATCCCAGTGTTATCGATACAGTGGCTGTCAAAGCTTCTTTAAAAGTGTTCCAAGAGGCCAATGGAATCCAGTTTCTTCGAGAAAAAAGCATCAAAATGACTCAATTTCTTCAAGACTTGTTGACTCAATCGCAATACTACATTAACCAGAACGAAAAGCCAACCAAACTTGGGTTCCAGATTCTTACACCATTGGATCCAAATCAAAGAGGATGTCAATTATCGCTTCTTTTCCATCCTCATTATGATGAAAAATCCAAAAATATTATGGAACAGGTCAACAAGTACCTCCACAACCGAGGAATAGTATGTGATGAACGACGCCCAGATGTAATAAGAGTGGCTCCAACACCGCTCTACAACACATTTGCAGAAATTGAATATGCCGTAAAACTGCTCAACGAAGCATTAAACCAGATAGAGAACTAGAATAGATATGAAGAGAAGAATCTTGTAGCCTATTTCGACAATAATATATTTTCTACACTTACAAGAAGTGAGCAGCTTGGAAGTCCTTACCGGCGTAAATAGCCTTGTCACCCAACTCCTCTTCGATTCTGAGAATTTGGTTCAACTTGGCCAATCTCTCGGAACGGGCTGGAGCACCGGTCTTGATTTGACCCGATCTCAAACCGACAGACAAATCAGCAATGAAAGTGTCTTCGGTCTCACCAGATCTGTGAGAGACCATGACACCCCATTTGGCACCGTAGGAGTCGTTGGCGGCTCTGATGGACTCGGAAAGAGAACCAATTTGGTTCACCTTCAACAACAAAGCGTTGGCGGCCTTCTTCTCGATGGCAGTAGCGATTCTGAGAGGGTTGGTAACGGTCAAATCGTCACCAACAATTTGGATCTTGTCGGAAACCTTGGCGAAGAAGTGCACCCAAGCGTCCCAATCATCCTCAGCAAAGGGGTCCTCAATGGACACAATTGGGTATTCGTTGATCAATTCCTCGTACAAAGAGGCCAATTGTTCACCGGACAACCACTTGGACTTGTCGGAGTCTGGGTTCTTAAAGTCCAAGTCGTACTTACCATCCTTGTAGAATTCGGAAGAAGCCACGTCCAAAGCAATTCCAACCTTACCCTTGTAACCAGCCTTGTCAATGGCATCGACAATCAAGTCCAAGGCTTCTCTTGGCGAGCCAATGTTAGGAGCAACACCACCTTCGTCACCAACGTTTCCGGCGGAAGTACCGTACTTCTTTTTGGTCAATGACTTCAAGGTGTGGTAAACCTCGGAACCGATTCTGAGACCTTCGGAGAAAGAAGGAGCACCGGTTGGCACAATCATAAACTCCTGGAAAGCCAATGCACCACCGGCGTGCGAACCACCATTGAGCACATTTTGGAAAGGAACTGGCAACACAAATTTGTCGGATTTAGCACCGGAAATGTCAGCCAAGTGTTGGTAAAGAGGAACACCCTTCTCGGCAGCTCCAGCCTTAGCAGCAGCAAGAGAAACTCCAAGAATGGCGTTAGCACCCAATTTGGATTTGTTAGGAGTTCCATCCAACGAGTTGAGGAAATCGTCGACGGACTGTTGGTTGGTGAGGTCCAAGTTGGCCTTGATGAGAGCAGGGGCAATGATGTCATTGACGTTGGAAACAGCCTTGGTGACACCTTTTCCAAGCCATTTGGATTTGTCACCGTCTCTCAATTCAAGAGCTTCATGGATACCAGTGGAAGCACCAGATGGTACAATTGATCTGAATAAGCCCTTGTCAGTAGTCAAGTCAACTTCCACAGTTGGGTTTCCTCTGGAGTCGTAAACGTAACGAGAATGAATTTGCTTAACGGCCATTTTTAGTCGATGTCGCGAACGCCCGCGGTGGTTGCTTATATAGTGCGCGCATCCTGTGGACCGATGTGATCCGGGTGGGACAAGGCAGCCCGGGGCGGTGGTGCAGGACGAACGGAAGTGCAGGAGAAAAACAGAGAGGCGACAAGAAAGCAACACCACAGTGACTGCAACTGGTGATGTAAAATCACTTCCAATCAAGATTGTTAGGTGATAGTTGATTGTGTCTCGTGATACAGTAGAAATCTTGCGATGTAATCAATGGCTCTGATAGGTGTGGCTAATATTGATGGTGTGGCTGGGGTGAGAAATGTAGGTAAGAGTAACAAGCAGAAAGCAGAAATTACCAGAATGTGACAGAATTGACATAGTGACAAAATGTGACAGCAGCGACATAGTAACTTTGTGACATGAATAATGCTGATTACAATGGTAGTATTTCTCCTTTAGTACTTCAATGACTCTCTTCGATCGTGTCTCGAATCGCAGAGGAATGAAATTACAAGTGACGAGGGTACAATTGCCCTTTGTTCTCTTATAAACCGAAATAATAATTCGGCGTTTGGACTGAAGGTTATTGATATACGGTACTCCAATTTCCATAGACTACGAAAGATAGAAGAATAACTCTTCAAACTTCAGCCAATTGCATAATCGCTCCACTCTCTCATTTGATCATCCGCTATATTGTCTGTGTCAGCTTGATTCGCAGCCATAGTATTGCCCTTAAATAATCGCACACATATTCGCACCCAGATTCGCACACATATCGCACATATCGCACAATAATCGCATTTACCTGCACTCTACAAATTTCAACACAAGTCTTATGTCCAAAGAAGTAGACGACTATGCTGCTGCCAAAAACAAGCTCACACAGCTCATACTAAAGAAACAAGCCCTAGAGGCATCGCTTAACCAGTTAGAAGAGTCTATCTATGAAAAAGAGTCGGATTACTTCAATGAGAGTGTTCATGGAAATATTGTCAAAGGATTTGAAAACTTTACAAAATCGTCATCGAGCTCTAATAAAAAGAGAATGGTATACAGCGAGGACGACCATATATTCAGCCTTTCTTCGGGAACTTATGTCAAGACGTTGATGAGAAATATGGGCACCAACCCCAAAGAGGATTATTATGATTACGAAGATTGCGTAGAGCCGGCAGGATATCCGCCACAAAACACCTCAGAGCCGGCTTCGGTGAACCTGACGCCGGGCCGGAAACGGAAAGCACGAACGTATGATGATTAGATGAAGTAGGGATAGGATGACAGATCTGAAAAATTAATGTACATTAAGAAGAAAATATTCAAATTGAGAGAAAATGTACTAGTAATCACCCTTTGAGCTTTTTTTCTCCTCCCAGAGTCTGTCATGGTAATTTACTGTACTTCCTTCTCCTCTTCTTTCGTTCTACTCTACTTTCGTTCTTCTCCATTATCTATAACTGTTTTCCATCTACATTTTCTTTTCTTTCCGTCTTCTATTTACATTACTTCTTGTAGTTATACACCCACGGCTTGTCGGCAGGATAATCCGTTGGAACTCTCATTTCGAGTGGAAACCGCTTTTGTTCAACTCTGTTGGCCCATTGATAATGCTTCGGACTGATGGCCTTCAACTCGTCCATCGCCTCCTGTATGCTATTATACTGCTTCTGGAGCTGTTCGTGTTGCCTCTGCTGCTTTTTACGCTGGTATAACGTCCAGGCATTCATAATTGTCTTGTGCTTGATCAAATCTTCATCACATAACTTGAGCAAACGAGGTTGTTTTCGAGAAGCGGAAAGTGCTGAAAGTTGGTTGACCACCTTCTGGGTGGAAGGAGATACCGGGCCCGTCCTTTTTCCCCGTACAAATACCGCGACTGGGTTGAACGGCTTCATCTAGGATAATGGTCGAGATGAAAAATCAGCACTGCGCAGATGCAGGCACACCGGTGTTGGTGGTGCACCGGTGCAATTCCCCACAAAGACAATTCATTGCTGCATCCTGAAACTGCCAATGAACGAAAAAATCAAGAATATTATGGGCAAAAAAGACAACGAAAGCAGTCAGGTGCCTCTGGAAGACCCTCCTCCATACAGTGAAGGCGCCAATTATGGTCCAAATGTCCCAAATGCTGAGTTTCTACCTCCACACGAACACCATGGCTCCAATGAATATCCTGATGAAAAGAAGTCGGGTGCCTTTGAAGGCCCTCTGAGCTCCAACAACTCGTACCAGGGCCCCGGCTACGATCCAATGCAGGACCCCAATGTCATCAAAGTCAAGCCAAATATGGTCAATATCAGCCAGGCAAGACCAGAGCATTTGAACCCATCATACCCAGAATTCCAGGCCCGTGAAAACGAACGATGGAAACAGGGAAACACACCAATTCCTCGCGAGTATTACAAGCACGGAGCACCGCTCGCACCTGGTCATCAAGGATCGAGTAAAACTGGTGGAGGAGCGTTTCCTGGATCTCTGGGCGCTAGCTATAACAACGCTGCTAGGCGATAATTGGGGAATCTTATAAATGGAGAAATCTCTTATATAGGAATATAAGCTTTTTCAGTCTCCATTAATTGAGCAAGTTGTCTCCGTTGTATGTCCATCCACCAAACTGCTTCTGTACACTTTCACTCAAAAAGTCATCCACCACGGAATCTTGTGGTTTTTCGTTGGTAAAGTCTTGGTCAAAGTTCGAAGTGTCCAACAAATTGTCAACGTTTGGCTTGAATGGTGGAAGATAACTTTTGGACAAAAGCTTATTCCAATCAATGTCCTTGAAGAAGCGGTGTCCGCGGATCTGTGAAGCATCGTTGAGTCTATTGGCAGGGTCTTTTTGCAACAACAGGATCAATAAGTCCTGGGCATCTGTCTTTTCAAGAAACGATGGGAACTTGAGAGGATTTTTGAGAATATTTTGGTACATGGTAGGAATGTCCTCGTCGTAAAATGGAGGAAGGCCAGTAAGCATTTCGTACAATAATGTACCAAGCGTCCACCAGTCAACACTCCGAGTGTAACCTTGATTTAAGAGCAATTCTGGGGCCAAATACTCTGGGGTTCCACAAAATGTGTTTGTCTTGTCGTTGTCTGCCATGTTGAGTTTACACAACCCAAAGTCACACAATGCAATGTGTCCTTGGTAATCCAACAAGATGTTTTCCGGTTTCAAATCACGGTAAATCACATTCATTTCATGTAAGCTTTCAAGCGCAGTAAGAAGTTCAGCCACATAAAATCTCAGTCTGTTCATCGAAAATCTACCTTCCCGTTGAAGATGCCAAAAGAGTTCTCCTCCATTGATAAAACTCAAAACGAGGTAGAGCTTTTCGGGACTCTGGAACGAAAACTTGAGCGGCACAATAAATGGATTCAGGATCCGCGCAAGGACGGTTCGTTCAGCAAGGGTATGGGTGACTTCCATTCGGGAAATAATGTGCTGTTTTCTAAGCGTTTTCAACGCATATATTTGCTTGGTATCTTTCTTGACCACCTGCATAACTTTTCCAAACGATCCCTTTCCAATCACTTTTAAAAGATCGAAATCTGAAATGGAAAGATGCGGCTTCAAGATGGGTTTGAAGTCTATCGACATGGCAAGCTCGCCAATTCCCGACTTGTCGGTGAGATAGTTGACAAAAGAAACGTTCTCATGGTTGAGAAGTCGAGTCGGCTTGGAACTGAGCGTCAATGGAAGTTTTATGGTTCCAATTAAAAGATCTCCAGCATCCTTGGCACCTTTGGAATTGGTTCCTTCCTCGCCATTATCAGCATTATCTGACCTGCGGCCCGTGAATAAGTTGTCTGGAGCAGTTTCCTCTATCAACATGGCCGGTAACCGGATAAACATGTTGATATTAAGCACCGCTCTCGCCTGTTTGGTCACATCAAAGCTGACCACCTGGTTCCAAGTGGCATTGCTGACGGTACCTCTTTGTGGCTCAAGCACCAAAACGTTGTTGTCGAACTCTACAGTGGTATACAACAATGATTTGACCAAGTCATTGTTCGGTATGGCAATTATTGACGGCAAAAAATTACCTGCCACTTCACCAGACAAATGTTCCTCTACTGTAGCCGGCAGATCCAGAAGCGATGCCAAGTTTTTCATGAGTTGCACCGACGTGGCCTCGTGGTTAGAATTGGAAGCTAATGTTTGGAGAATTCTCTTGTTGTTGTTGATTCTTATGGGAAGTTGAAGATCACGAGACGAGTACAATTTCACCGTCAACAACCCGGGATTTGATGCTCCTTCGGAACCTTGGGGGGAATCGTCTTTTTCAGAAGAACTGGTTTGCAGCGAAGGTTTTGGAGTGGATGTAGAACTGGAATTGTCACCATCTATTTTAGTCTTTGAAAGTTGGTCGGTAACATTTTCTACGGAAAGTGTTTTCCGAGACTCCATGGAAGTTCTCGGTGACTCCTTGCCACTGGGAGAGGTGGATTTTTCGGAGGAACCGAATTTGAATTTATTTTTGAACTTGAGCATGAGTGTTCGTTAGGAGAAGACAAGAAATTTGTGTGGGGAGCGCACACCTTACACCTGTGCACCCAGTCCAGCAGATAAGAATAGAGAAAGAGAAAGCGACTGCGAGAGAGAAAGTGAGACTGCGAAAAAAACGAATCTTCGCTTTCCTACAGATTGAATATAGAGCCACATGTAGATCGAGCGGCTGAGCCACAAACACAATTAGTTTGAACAATTGGCTAGAAAATTACTAAAAAAGGGTAGAATAATTCCTATAATAATTTCTAGAGGAATTTACTTCTAAAATCCAAAAGGTTACCATCTTCTCTTTACACTGTTTAAGAACGTTCTCCCTCCCTTCGTTGTCCTCACTCCCAAATCTTATCCGCTCCGCCTGCGCGAATCGCACCTGCCACGCCCTCACCGCGTTTGTTTGTTTGCGTTACCTAAGCAGCCAAACGCGAATGGCGTTACGGTGAAAAAACAGGGATCTAACAACACCACTGGTGGTACAGTTATCGACATTCATTCATTTTAGGTCATTTTTATCACATTCGCTCATTTCCATTGCAATAATACGTTGCTCAACATCCTAAACCTACGTCTACGTGTCTCCATCTATCTTGGAACATTGATTTTCGTCTGCCCTTCATTTTCTTAATCATCCTTTTGTCCCAATACTCAGCTTGATTCCACCAAAACCAACTAATATTCCTTCATTATGTCCCACTCCCGTACCCCGTCGTCCGACTACTCGTCGGTTCCGGTGGATAGGGTAGTACAGTCGGTTACAAATGCCACAAAGAGACTCTCCCAGATTTCCACCAACACAAATCTGTCAGCAAAGAAACGCAAAAACCAAAACAGAATTGGTCCCTGGAAGTTGGGTCGTACCTTGGGCCGTGGGCTGACCGGTCGTGTTCGTCTCGCTAAGAATATTGACACTGGGAAGCTTGCTGCTGTGAAAATTGTACCCAAGTCCAACTTCAAGAAACTTGAAAACCCAAAGTATCGCCGCCTGGCGTCCCCTGATGGGAAAGACCACTTGCCGTACGGCATTGAGCGAGAAATCATCATCATGAAGCTCATTGCTCACCCGAACATCATGGGGTTGTACGATGTGTGGGAAAATAAGAATGACTTGTACTTGATTCTCGAGTATATCGAAGGCGGTGAGTTGTTCGACTACTTGATCAAGCGCGGGAAGCTTCAGGAATTTGAAGCAGTGAGCTACTTCAAGCAAATCATCCACGGAATTGGCTACTTGCACCAGCTCAATATCTGTCATCGTGATTTGAAGCCGGAGAATCTCTTGTTGGATTTCAATAAGAACATCAAAATCGCTGATTTTGGAATGGCGGCATTGGAAATCAAGGAAAAACTCTTGGAAACTTCCTGCGGATCTCCTCACTATGCCTCTCCCGAAATTGTTGCCGGTAAAAACTACCATGGTGCCCCCTCCGATATATGGTCCTGTGGTATCATTCTCTTCGCACTTCTTACCGGACACCTTCCCTTTGATGATGAGAATATCCGCAAGCTTTTGCTCAAAGTGCAGAATGGAAAATTCTTGATGCCGCCAGACTTGTCTCTGGAAGCCAAAGATTTAATCACCAAAATGCTCCAGGTAAACCCAGCCGATCGTGTTACCATCGACGAAATCTTGCTGCACCCGCTTCTCAAGAAATATCCAGAGCCATTAACGTCATCCACTTCTTACTTTGATCTCAAGAATGTCACCTTCCAGCCGATTGAACTGTCCAAAAAGATCGACCGCGAGATCCTCAAAAACTTGTCGGTGCTCTTCCATAATTGCGATGAACAGACAATAATCAAGAAGCTTTTGTCTCCTGCAAAATGTTCGGAAAAGGTGTTTTACTACCTCTTGATGAAGTATAGAAACGAGCACAATGCTCCGCAAAACTACGAGGAAGATACCGATATGACGGCCAGCGAGTCAAAGAATTCATTCCCACGTTCCACCAGCATTGTACGGATCACAACCACCGATCCTTCTACCGGATCCAAGTATACCACCACCACCGTCCAGAAGATTCCCCCATCAAATTCTATTCATTCGAGCAAATCACGGAAGAATGTTTTGGGTAACATAACAAATACCCACACAAACTCCCCTAAGAATAAGAGCTTTACCGCATCCACGTCGTTTACAAAAAAGAAGCATGCAATGTCAACTCGCTCCTCGTCAAGATCACTCAAGACCAAGTCCAAGTCCCTGCTCAAACGTAAACCAACTGGCTTGCTAGCTTTAGAGAACGTTGAAAATGAAGAGGTCAAAAGTAAGGTAACGGGAACTTTTGGAAGCAGCTCATTGATGAACTTTGAGAAGGAATGCCAGGACGTTTTTGAGAAACCCGTGCCTCAACGTCGTACTTCGAAAAACCTTTCTCCAATTGAAAAGCATGAGCGTGAACTAGCAATGAGAGTCCACAAGCAAAACGAAGAGCGTGAACACCGGTACCTTCTTGAAGCGCAGGCGAAAGCCAAAGCAGAAGTTGCCAAGTTGAATGCCGCAAAAGCAGCAGCAGCCCGTGCTGAGGCCAACGAAGTTGAAAGATTAAATTTGGAAAGAGCCAAAAGAGCAGAAAAGCAAGCTGCTGTAAACAAATTGAGTGAACCAAAGACCGCAAAACTGGCAAGAGATGGCACCGTTCAGAAAGCAGATCGCCGTTCTGTAACCGAACCAATCCATACCTCTTCCCTCGACCCTCGTACCAAAAACATAAACTCGTTATTGAGAGCAAAGTCTTTGGCGTCACCATCTTCATACTCATCGCTTCGCAAAGGATCCATTAATCAAAATACCACAAAAGTTTTGCAGCAGTTGGGAGTTGACTTGAATCCCGGCAAGATCAATGAGTCTGTGAAGACATCCAGCTCTCGTCACCTTTCCGCGTACTTACAAGACGCCAAGGTTACCCAAGCAGATAGAATCAGTCTAGGCGATTTCAACGAAATTGAAAAGGAAAACGTTGGTCCTTTACCAACCATTCTGCGTTCTGGATCCCAAAAGTCCGTCAAGTCAGAGAGGTCTCAACGCTCTTCCGCGTCCCAATGGTCGACAGATACCAAGTCTCGCAAGCCACTCTCTATGCCATACAAGTCTCTTCTTGGTGGAATTGATGAGACAGGTAAAACCCTCCCATCGATGTCGCCTCCAAGGGAACCACTTCTGCGAAAGTTAGCTGATACAACAATGAGAACTCTTGACTCGAGAAGAACGGGCCTCATTCCTAATCCTCGGTTTTCCAGGTTTTCTTTCAATGGTCTTCTTGGAAACTTGAATCCTTCCACTATATCCGTCAACGAATTTCCATCGGCTCCAAGTCAAACCATAATTTCAAATTCGCTTCTGAGAGGAAACACCGTTGTCAAGTCTCCTCGTACTTCTGAGTTGATCCATGATAAGACATTGCCTTCTCTTCCTACGGGCATGTTGAAGAAATCGTCAACCAATCTCTTGGGTCTAGGAATTGACCTTAAAAGTAATAATTCCCGTCATAACAGCATAGCTGAGAAGTCAAGGTCACGTCAAATGTCGCAACATCATAGCAGACAAGCGTCCAGTGGCTCTTATGAACAAAATCATTCTCAATTTGTATCTGTTCACTTGGGAGATACGGTGGTCGAAGAGACACATATTCACTCCGACGAAGATAGTCAAAACACTATTCTTGGAGACGAAAGTCAACCTAGTTTCACCGAGGAAAAGGGAGGAATGGAAACTGATATTTCAAACTTTGACATCATCAGTAGTCGAACGGCCGAAATAGGAGCACTGAACAAGTCTCGTCCAAGTTTGATCGATAATCTGCTCGATGTTTCGAGGCACGAAGATGCTGATTCAGACAAGACCACTATAAAGTCCTTGTATAAGGATTATGAACGTATTTATGGTGACGAAAGAAGTATTAGTCACCATGCAACAAAGAAAACCGTTGACCAAGACGAATACTCCCGCCGCAAATCGTCTCTGAACTATGACGTGCTTGACAAGTCCGGTGCTAGCTACAGTCGATCAGCGACGTTGAATGAGTTGGAGGTAGAGGCAGCTGAACAAGAAGCTAATGATGGGTTTGAGCACGACGGATATGAACCAACTATTGACGACCAAGCAGCTACCGGCTTCGGACAAGACAATGAATATGAGCAGGCTGCTAATGACTTGCAAGAAGAGAGAGCACCAACGCGAGCTTCTACTCAAGTTTTTAGCACCTTGGACAGATTGGTGGACGACAAAGAGAAAGCTAGCTTGAAAGAAAGAGAACCTGAACAGAACATTGATGAATCTGGAGCAGCCAAAGATGTTGGAAGATACTCGACCATCATAAGGCGAATGAGCTTGAAACCCAAGAGAGAGGCTCCCAAACCACCACTGGCGTCTGACATTGAAAGTAAGGGCCACCATCGACTTCCTAGGTTTTCTGTTCAATCCAAGATCTACACTTCAGATGACAATGGGCCTAAAGCTGAGTCAAAGGGTTGGTTCCGCAAGTTGATCGATTCTATTGGATCCAGGAACAAACCTGCGAAATCGACAATCAAGAATACTGCGCAGTATAACAAAAAGATCCAAATACTTGACTCCAAGCTCAGTGCGTCGGAATTGATGAGAGTAATCCGGAACACATTGGAGATGAAGCGCATTGAAGGGTCGGTTTCGAAGGTTAATATTGACGAAGAATTTGGGCTTATCAACGGTACAATTCCTGCCAAATTCACTGGAGGACGCAAATTGAAATTCCGGATCGAAATCATGGATTTGGTCAACGCATCGTCGCTACACGTGGAGAACCTCCGAGGACCTACAAGATCGTTCAAAAACTTGGTGAATATCATCAAGTTTATTGTGGAGCAAGAAGAACAGGCGTACGACCGCCAGAACGGGTACGAGTTTTCGGGCAACAGAGTGAGCACCGCCAAGGTGAACTGATGTATATTAATAAATGTAAACCTTAGTGTCCTGCAGGGCCGATAACGAGATGTCTGGTCCTGTATCTATATTCTCATTAATTCACTCCACAACACTTTGGTCTGTGAACTTGTGCTGTGTTGCCATACATTCACCATGAGTGGCATTGTGAGAGCTCTAGGGTGGGATCAGGATGAGCGGCAGCGGTTCATAGCAATTCCTCCTCTCGGGGACGAAGTGATTTTGTATGAGACGTCTGACGATCCCGAAAACCTCACTCGGGTCACAGCTCATTCAGGCTTTGAAAACATCCAGTGTTCCGCCTATGCCCGGAACGACGTGGGAAAGACTGCCGTGGGCCAGATAAATGGGGTGGTATGCATATTTGACCTCTGTGAGCCAAAACCATCGATTATACGATTGAAGCCAAAACAAAGCAGACAGTGTAATTCGCTCTCTTTCAATATTAATGGACTATTGGCCACTGGATTTGATAAGGGACGTCAAGATAACAGTCTCCAGATCTGGGATGTCAACAAGAGTGACCTGAACGAGAAAGAATATAGGCCTCTACACACATACGTTCCTAACGAAGCGATACTTTCCACGGTATTTTTCCTGGATTCAGATTCAAGTCTTATTTCGGGAAGTTATAAGTTTCTCCGTCAATTCGACCTCCGAAATGACCAGCCGTCGTTCCAAATAGCCACCAAGTGCACATTAGGATTAACTCCGGATCTTCTTCAACCTCATTACTTTCTGCTGTACGGAGACGATGGTCTGGTTGCCGTGTGGGATCGAAGAAGACTCACTTCCCATGGCATGAAACACAAGTCATTGCTGACAACCATGGTGTCTGAGCTGCCGGTGCTTCAGTTTCCAAAGCTTTTGTCGGATGGTTCCAGAAAAACCCTGCCGTGTTTGAGATACTCACCTGTTCGAAGTGGTGAATTTTCACTGGTATTTTCTGGCAATCTCATCCGTCGCTGGCATACGGGAGTGGCTCCACAGTCAAAGGACACCGCTACCCAGGCCAGAAGATTGAGTAGTGGTACCAGAAGCTCTGTGCTGAATCTTAAACACCAAGCTGCCCAATTATACAAGCCCAATATGGATTCGCTATTTGTGTCTTTTGTGCTCGATGTCAAGACCGATTACGAGAGAGTTATTCTGTTTGACTACTCTCCACATCACGATTTACCTTCGAGTATCTATTTTGCTTGTATGAGACAGCTGGGATCGGTTTTTCGAATGCTGTCTCGCGAGTGCATCGATAGCTTATCGTTCAACCTGTACAACGAAATAACTATGGCAGGGTCAGAAGGACTGGCTACACAGTTCTATGAGCCCGTGGTCCAAGTCAAGCCAGGGAAAAGAAAGAAACACAGCACTTTTGACCCGCCCAGCAACATTCATGGAACCCGTCAAATTTCGGCATCTGAGTCTGATCTTGATTCAGAGTCGGACTCGGAGGCAACTTCTGAGGACGAAACGGAGTGGGAACCTACCCAGCAAGGCACAAGTATGGGGTCTGTGCTCTCCATTAATGAGATCTTAGACTTTGATATCTGCTCGTTAATCCGCAAAAGAGCCATTGCAGGCTACGGTCTTGATCCAGAAACCAACGTTGATGTTCTCGCGACACTTGGTGGAATTGATAAGCAGCATTTTCTTCGCAATACTTGGCGATGGCTTACTCTTGCTCAAAAGTCTCTCACTAAAGGTACCATGTTGTCTCAGGGACTAGATCTTGGGTATCAGGGAGTACTTGGAATCTGGAATGGAGCCCAGGATCTTCGTGGACAACGGAGGTACGCTGGGGAAGTTGACGAAACTGTATTTGCGCTGGCCGTGAAAGCTATAGTTGCCGGTAAAGGCAAGAAAACCAGTGGGATTTCCATTGCTAGCAACTCGGAAAAAAGAGTTCAAAGAAAACTCTGCTTAATTATTTCGGGATGGTACCTTGCGGACGATGAACTCGACGACAAGCTCGACGATTTAGTAGAACTTGGACAGTACGAAAAGGCAGCAGGATGGGCAGTTTTCCACGGAAAGGTAAATCGAGCCGTTGAAATATTGGCATCTTCAAAGAAGGAACGTCTTCGACTAGTTTCAGCTGCTGTGGCTGGGTACTTGGCGTACAAGGATATCAATGTGAACAGCCCATGGAAAGACCAGTGTCGACGTATGGCACTGGAAATGGATAATCCGTACTTGCGAGCCATCTTTGCGTTTGTAGCAGACAGCGACTGGAGCGATGTGTTGGATGAAAACTCGTTACCTTTGAGAGAAACGATTGGGAGTTGCACTTCGGTATCTTTCAGACAAAGATCTCACGATATATCTCAATCGAATTGCCGATTATGTTGTTGCTCGTGGAGAGCTTGAAGGGTTAATCTTGACTGGGCTTACTCCTCGAGGCATAGAGTTGCTTCAGATGTATGTCAATCGAACCAATGATGTTCAAACTGCTGCCTTGATCAGTCTGTTTGCCGTGCCACGATATTTCGTCGATATTCGAGCCGACCATTGGCTTGACTGTTATCGCAGTTTACTTAACAGCTGGGGCATGTATAGCACGAGAGCACGGTTTGATGTGGGTAGAACCAGACTTTCAAAGTCGCAAGATAATAAGGTTCTAGTTGCAGCAGCCCCAAAACAGGTTTACTTGCAGTGTCTCAAATGCAACAAAAACATAGGACTGGTGGGCACAGGGGCAGAAATGGGCAAAAGTAAAGACGCTGCTCTTATACATTTTAACCAGCGACGCCGTGGAGATGATAATGTTTGTCCTCATTGTCGATCGCCTCTTCCTCGTTGTGCTGTGTGTCTTTTGACGTTGGGAACTCCGGTTCCGGTTGACTTATCACAAAAGCCCAATGATAGCGACATAAGGTCCAGAAACCAGGCCCGGTTCAGAGACTGGTTCAGTTTCTGTATGAGTTGCAACCATGGAGCACATGCCGTGCATGCTGAGGAATGGTTTTCCAAGCACTATGTTTGTCCTGTTCCTGATTGCAGTTGCCGATGCAACAGCAAGTGAAAAAATTAATACAGAACCTTGGATAATTATTGAGAACTGTAGTTTTTGCAACTCTTTTTTGCAACTTTTTTGACTCTTTAGGCAATTACGCCGACGCACAGCTCTAGTTGTTCCGGCCTGCAGCTCGGCCAGGTCCTGATTTGGAAACCCAAACACCGTGCCCTGCACGGCGAACCGAGTGAACGACACAATTTAATTGTTGTTACTATTAGTGTTTCCCAATTCTGTGGCAACCAATATCCCATTTTAACGGCAAATTGACCCATTTTGAGTGCTCCTTTGAGTAGATCGACGCGTATTAATTCAAAAAGTTTCCATTTTGGACCTCTGAGGTCATTTTCGTCAATTAAAATATTGCACCATGTCCAAAGAATCGGTGTTAAACGACATTAGAGGGAAGATTGATCGTGAGCGGAAGCTCATTCAGGGGTTTCAGACCCTCAAGAAAACAACTCAGAACGCTGAGGTCATCCAGAGATGTAACAATCAAATTAGAGAGACCCAGTCCAACATTGATTACCTTCAAGAAACGTTGGCAAAGATGAGTTTGGGTGATACGGGTGATGGCAGTGATGTGGCTAGTCATAGATCCCCACCGTCGTATTCTCGGTTTGATCTCATAAAATATGATTGTCCTTCTTTGGGACACCGCATTTCCTATATGATGCAACAGTTACAATTTAAGCTTCAGGTTGAAAATCAATACCGTGCAGCCAACGAAAAATTGTCACGGCTCTATCTAATGGACGGCGACAAGCTGAGTAGCAGTGCAGCCGAAGGCGGTCGCATTGAGAGTGATCAGCGTATAATGTTGTTGAACAAATCTCTCAAAAAGTATCAAGATATGCATATCGATGTCGACGAGGTCACCAGAGACATGCAAGTGATCCTGACTCCCAAGTATGCCCGTAAGCCATTGCTGGGTAAGCTCACGGTAGTGGTCACTTGTGTACGTGATATCGACCACATTGCCCTGCCAATGTTCTCTAAGCGCCTGGAGTCGTATGTGACAATCAAGGTAGACGACGTTGAGCTGGCACGTACGCGGCCATCAAGATCGGGCAAATGGAATGAGGAGTTCAGAATCGACGTAGATAAGGGAAATGAGGTGGAGTTTGCAGTATACGATAAGGCTGGAAGTCAAGCGGTGCCCGTTGCATTTGCGTGGGCTTTATTGAGTGATATTACCGAGGAATTGAGAAAACGTAAGGTTGAAATGGGTTCAGCTGGATGGGTTTCTGGAAATGACTTCACTCCAAGTTCAGGGTCTGTTCCTAGTTCTTCCGGCACCGGCAGTGTTGGCAGCAATAATGCTGCTTTCAATCAAACGGGCCCCACTGTTGGGTCCGGACAAAGCGGTGCTCTTTCCACGAGTCTGGTAGGCGGCAGTAGCCCTTCGAGTGACAAACCAATTCAAATCTCAGCATGGATAAATCTTGAGCCCACCGGCCAAATTCTCCTCACATTCTCATTCGACAAATCAAACAGAACTAATAAGCAGTTTATGGGAGGGCTCGGCCGTCATGGTGCTATCCGTCAAAAGAAGGAAGAAGTGTTTGAGCAACACGGCCACAGGTTTGTGCAAAAACAGTTTTATAACATTATGTGCTGTGCACTTTGTGGTGAATTTCTTCGTTATACTGGCTTTCAATGTCAAGACTGTCGGTTCTTGTGCCACAAAAAATGTTATCAGAAGGTTGTTACCAAGTGTATCTCCATCTCTTCTGCTGATGTTGATCCTGATGAGGCTAAGCTCAATCATCGTATTCCTCATCGCTTTGAACCTACTCTCAATCGTGGTACCAAATGGTGTTGTCACTGTGGTTACATCTTACCATGGGGACGAAAGAATGTGCGGAAATGTACCGAGTGTGGAGTCATGTGTCACGCTAACTGTACGCACTTGGTGCCTGATTTCTGTGGAATGTCTATGGAGATGGCTAACAAAATTTTGACCACTATCAAGTCCACCAAACCTCGTCCTAAGCAGCCAGCTACAAAAGACTACCCTAAACTTCCTAAGCAAGACGGGGCATCGTCCATCACCAAGGTTCCATCGATTCCTTCGATGGAATCAGAAAGCCGTGAAAAGTTGCCAACCCAATCATCTAACGCTTATCAAGCACCAGTGGATGCCCCTAACCAACGTCCAGTTGCAAGGCGGCCACCACCACCTGTCCCTGTTGAAGATCGAGGTGATAGTGACAGTTACAGCTCCGGGCTGCAACAACCAGATTTCACCTATGACATTTCCCAGTCTGATTTGCAACCCGAACCAAAGGACGATTTCACCAACTTTGACTACGGTAATGAGAAGAGCAGTGTTTTACAACAAGGTGCTCCAAGTATCCAGGAAACGTATAATACTCGCGGAGAACAGCAAGCTGTTATCAACAGAGCTGCGGATAACAAGCACTACCAACCAGAAGACGGTAGAGACGTTCATGCACACATTTCACCGGAAACTCGCTCACCAATGAAGACGAAGAAACGTCGCAGAAAAATCGGGCTTGACGACTTTCAATTTCTCGCTGTTTTAGGTAAGGGTAACTTTGGTAAGGTTATGCTTGCTGAGTCGAGACAGACCCAGACATTGTGTGCTATCAAAGTTCTCAAGAAAGATTTTATTGTGGAAAACGATGAAGCTGAAAGTGTTAAATCCGAAAAGAGAGTGTTTTTGACTGCCAATAAGGCAATGCATCCATTCTTGTTGAATTTGCATTGTTGTTTCCAAACGGAAAATAGAATCTATTTCGTTATGGAGTACATTTCAGGTGGAGATTTGATGTGGCATATTCAAAAGTCTAGGTTCTCCGCAAAGCGGGCCAAGTTTTATGCTTGTGAGGTGTTATTGGCACTAAAGTACTTTCACGAGAATGGAATCGTTTACCGTGATATCAAACTTGATAACATTTTGCTTACCACTAAGGGCCACATTAAAATTGGTGATTATGGTCTTTGTAAAGAAAACATGTGGCAAGGCAATACTACTGCCACCTTCTGTGGAACGCCAGAATTCATGGCTCCTGAAATCATTTCCGGGAAGCAATACGACCGGGCAGTCGATTGGTGGGCACTTGGTGTTTTGCTCTTTCAAATGTTGCTTTGTCAATCACCATTCAAAGGTGACGATGAAGACGAAATTTTCAATGCTATCGAGCACGATGACGTGCGATACCCTATTAATATGCCACGGCAAACGGTGCTTGTTTTACAAGCATTATTAACGAAAGACCCATTGTCTCGTTTGGGAAGTGGACCTCGAGACGCTGAGGAAATTATGGACCATCCATACTTTTCGGATGTGAATTTCGATGACATTCTCAACTTGCGGGTGCAACCTCCATACATTCCTGAAATCACTTCCGAGCACGACTACTCCAATTTCGACAAGGAGTTCACGTCGGAAACTCCTAGATTGACGCCGGTAGACACAGTGTTGACGTCAGAAATGCAGGAACAGTTTCGGGGATTTTCTCACATCTCCGATGATGCTGCAATATAATAGTTACAATGGTAATTTGCTACGTCCTGGTGGTGTAGAATGTATCTATAATAATATGCTAGATTGTTATCATTACTCGTAATCACATGACGATGCAGCAGTGGTTTTGGTGAAGTGAATCCGGTTCTTTTTTCATACTTCGCAGGTGGTTCCTTTCGACTGTTTGAGGTGTGCTGGAGCCTGATTTCATTTCGGTCCTCCCTTCCGAATTTGTTTCGGATTTTGTCTCGGACTTCGCATCGGCTTTCGCCGCGGACTCCACTTCGAAAGTCATATAGGAATTCAAATCCAGATCGGACTTCGGCTCGGACTTCGGTTCAGACTTCAGACTGTTCTGCAATGCAACCTCCACAATTGGGTCCAATGCCTCGTTGACATTAATTGAAAGTTTGGAACTGCACTCCTGGAAGCTGACTGCTTTCATGTGTTCGCTTAATCGTTGTCCTTCTTCGTATGCTACTTGGCGGTCTGCACTCAAGTCTGACTTTAGGCCAATTAAGGCACAAGGTGGTAATGTCTTCATAACTCCCAAGTTTCGTTCAAAATCATCTGAAACTTTCAAAAATGAATCTCTATCATCAATTGAATATGCAAAAACCAAAGTGGCAGCGTTCTTTATTTGTTCTTTTCTTGAAGTACTGTAGGCATCCACATTTGCATTTGTATCCAAGATTGAGATTATTTTACTCACACCTTGTGAGGTGGCTTGTTTTTGGTAAAGATCTTCCACAGAGCTTTCTATGTTCTCCAAAAATATACCCTTAGTATAATGGAGTATTAGTGAGCTTTTCCCTATGCCAGGCCCTCCAAGAACACAAACGTCACATTCATAGCTCAGTCTCGTCATTAAAGAAAATTGTGTTTTTTTGCGATTGCGATGGTTTTATCTTGGTTTGAAACGTTGCGCCGTTTTCTGTCAATACAAAATGCGCTTTTCATGCATGCGGCAGCCAACGGTTGCTTGGTTTCGAAATGGAATCTGGAAGTATGCATGGAACCGCCTCATGCATAGTGGACCTCAAGCTCTAAGCTCTACACAGTCAATATCGTGGGTGTTAGATAGATTTACTTCTCTGAAGTAGTAGACTGATTACAACCGGCAAAAGTTACCGCATTTTTTTTCCCGATGAGTATAATTTATGCATGTCTCAGCTGATGTCCGAGTTTCTGTCCGTATAATTTTGCGTGATAATCGTGTATTGTTCCACTCTTGGCATCGGTTGCTAACTCTAGTTGCGGAATAGAAACTTCGTAAAATATTCATAATTTACGAAAAATGCATTTCTTGCAATTTGTGAGATTTGAGATTAAGTTGAGCATTAACTAAAATACTACAAGTATCATAATTTCTTGGACTATTCGTCGTCTTCTGAATCCAAGTACTGCGAGTAATCGTCCACCGATGCAAACACTGGCAAGCTGCTCAATTTGGTCTTTTTGGTCTTCTTCTCTCCAGACTCTTCCCGGCTCCGTTTCTTAGGTACAGGTGCTGGTTCATCGTCGGAGAGCTCGTCTTCCAAATTGAGCCCAAACATGTCGGGACCGTCTAAATCAGACTTGGATCCTTCTTCGTCTTCAATTTCTTCAATTTCTTCATTTTCCTCAATCTCTTCATTTTCTTCATCAACCTCGGCATCGCTGCCGAGGTCGCTGCCGTCGTAGTCCAGGAAGTCTGCCTCGTCAAACGAGAGACCATCGTCAGAACCCTCTTCGACTTCAGGTCTCGAATTGACCAATGCCTGCCAAATTTCGTCATCGTTCTCGTCGTCTTCATCGAAATCTGCCTTCTTGGTCTCGGCTTTCTCCCTCAATTTGTTCTGTTTGCTCGTAAAGTACTCGAAAAAGAACTTTTCATCGGGACGAATATCTTCAACTTTTTTGGAAAGCCAGTTCTCGGTGTTGGCTGGAAGAGTACCTCCCGACAAGTTGGAAGCCTTAACAAGCAACGAGCCAGTTTGTGCTCCTCCAAGTGGCTGCATGATGGAACTTCCTCTGGATGTGGCTTTCTCTTTGGCATTTTTGTAAACGAATCTGTCCAAGAAATGCGCCAAAGTATAGAGACCCAAGTCGGGTTTGGGTTGTTCTTCTCCACTTAGTAAAGAAGAAGCGTAGACAGAAACTGTAGGATGATAATGGGAGACAAAGTTGCCTATTTCCCATAACGACGAATTCTGGGCATTGGCATATTTTGGATCTCGCTTCTTACCATCATATTCTTCCTTCAGCTCATTCAGCTCGTTTTCAGGATCAGGTCTAGATGCTGGGTCGATAGTCAAGTCTCTAATTTCTGGCAGAGTCTTGGACAACTGAGATAACAAAAAGATCATTCCTGCTATGGCTCCCACATTTATCCAATGAGCACTGATTTGGAGCATTCTTTTTGCAAATGCCATTACTCTTGCTTTATCACTGTCATCTTTGAGTGCTTTGAACAAAAGATTCAAGTAGATTCCTTGCTTAGAAGACAGCGCTAGACGAGGGTCTAACAAAGATTCGTATAAAGTTCTGTAGAAACGACTCAGGTCCAACTTTTGACTGGTGATGATATGGTGGATCAACATCAAGGCCTGAACCGAGGTGTTGAAGTTTGTGGAGTGAGTGATTTTGAATAAAGTATCCAAGTGCAACTCATAGACGGAAGAAGGAAGCTCCGAGAACGGGAATGCTCTATTCAATCCCGTCAAGAGTGCCGAGAAGAGTCTAGTATTTTTTTCTTCAACAACTTCTGCTTCGGATTTCTCGTTGGGTTTCACCGACTTTCCACCTTTCTTTCCCTTTTTAAAGTTCTTTCTAGGGTTTTTGCGGCCCTTCTCGGACTTGCCAATAAACTTGTCTTCTTTTTTCTCTCCATTAAACTCATCAGACAGCTTGAGGATTTTCTCGAACAAGGTAAAGTATGTTTTCACGAGAGAGTTTGCAAGGTCAATTTCCTTTCTTGTGAGAATCGTTTGGTTAAGGGTCAAGATTGAATAGTAAATCGCATGGTACTCGACATTGGGACGAAGCATCAAGTCGATCACAGCATCGGTAATGATTTTCTTCATTGCTGGATGGGCCTGTTCGAGCTGAAGAATCTGGTATGAAGTCTTGGCAGAAACCTTGTTGTCGGTATCTCCCAATTTGTTCACTCCCAACCTCAAAAGATTGGCTTCTTGCTCCGGCTTGGCTTTGAGTAGATCAAAGATATGGCTGATGACATTCATGCGAACATGGACAATGGGATCATGCGAAAGATGCTCGAGAATAGTAATGAACTGGAAATATTGGGTTTTCAAGTAGTCTTCGTAGTACCACACCGCAAGCTGGACATCTGAACAATCTCTGCGAAGAGGCTGCTTGGCAAAGGAAACAAGTTTTCTATCTGGAAGAAGACCATTGAGAAGCAAATCTTTGAGTGCATTGATCGACTGAAGTGCAGCATTTCTTGATTTTTTACCACAATAAGAAACCAAAGTATCCATAGCCTTCATATTATGCATGGGAGATTCCTGAACCAACAACGTGAGAGCGGAAACTTTATCGTTAAGAGTACCGTCCGACAAGATTTGTGCCAAAAACTTTCTCTGCGAATCTCTCGATGCAAATTCAGCAAGGTATGTTTGAGCGTCTTTTTCAATGGCGGCTTTTGCACGGTCAAGGGCTCTTTCTCTACCAAAACGGTCGAGTTTTTCTGACTCTCTGATGGGTTCAACTGGAGTATTGTACCAGTCCGGTCTGTTGGGAATTGCAAGATTTGCCGACAGAACCGAGCTCAAGTCTGTGATTTTGTCAGATTTTTTTGGCTCTTGGGATTCTTTTTTGGGTTCCTTATCTTCTTTGGACTCCTTGTCTTTTTTGTCCTTCTTAGATTCCTTGTCTTTTTTGTCCTTTTTAGATTCCTTGTCCTTTTTGTCCTTCTTAGATTCCTTGTTTTTTTTGTCCTTCTTAGATTCCTTGTCCTCTTTGGATTTGTCTTTGGATTCCGTATCCTTCTTAGATTCCTTTACCGTTTCAACTTCCCCTTTCGCTTCCTCCTCCAGCTCTGACTCAGCATCGGCAACTAAAGCAGGAGCATCGAGTCCTATTTCTTTCATGTAGCTATTGAGATCGGTGGAAAATTTCAAGTCGACGTTTCCCTCGGCTTCAAACTCTTGCTCGCTGACATCGGCGTCGTCCACGTCGCCTATCAACGCCAAATCATCCTCGGTGGCTCCCAAAGCTATGGCTTCTTGACGCAACACCTCATCTACAGGGGCATTTTTTTCTTGTTTCTTGTCCTTTTTTGAGTCTGATTTTTTGGATTTGGTGCTCTTGCTACTCACATTTGCACCGCTGAGCTTACTGGAGATTTTATCTCGAAGCGAAGCCAAATTGAGTTTGTCCATCGATGCAACAAGAGGAAGCTCATCGCCCTCATCGAGAAAAAACTGGGTGTCTGCAGGAACAAACTGGGGAAGCAGCGACTTTGAAGATGTGAAAACTACACTACATAGTAGCATTTTGCAACTGCAGGCAAAATCGCCAGCAAAATCGCCATCGTTTCCTAAAGACATCTATATATCTAGTTTGATGATGATCAATTTAATAAGTTGACTTGAAACGATTCATACCTGCAATTCAGGATCAGAGACGCTTATTCATCTCGGTTGACCGCGAGCTTTCGTTGTCCGAACTGCCTTTTGTGTCAACTTCAGAGTATGAATCATGGTCAAAGTGTAACGTGAGTTTCGTTACAAGACCAGCAAAAAAGTACAGTATCTCAATTCTTACAGTCTTGATTTTTAAGAACAGAAGACAATAGAATTCAAGTACACCCACTAAGGTCCGGACTTTCTTCCAGCTTCAGCTCCAACAATCTTGGCGGTAAAAAAATCACCCCATGTTGACTAAATTCGACACAAAAGTGCGATGCTCTTTGCCGATTAGCTGCCATATAGATGGCTAGAAAAGTAGATGAATTGAGACAAATGGCTTTCCAATGTTCACAGTTCCCCACTCCAATACCAATTGAGTCACATTAATCATTTTCGAGAGTAGTAGACTCGAAATAAATGGTCAGAGTTGGTATCAAAATACTACCACAAACACCAAAAGTCATAGACTCAGCTGCGAGAAATAAGACTAAAAAAATCGCATTTGTACAATCCACTGACCAAGTAGACTCTTGCTGGACATTAATTGTAAAAAAGAAGTGATCCTGAGTCAACCGATATCGAAGTCTTCATCTTTCTGGTAATATTACTGGCTGATATACCTTAGTATAACAATTGATTAGCTCTCATCGACTACATATGTAGAATTAAGGATGCTCAAATACCCTTCTTCTTGAGTATAGATTATTGGGGGGAAGTTCGCGAACTGATTTCGCGAACTCGCGCCACTTTCTAATCACTGGTTTCTGTTGATGTCGGCGGTCGACAGCAAGCCGCGCGAGGAACGTGACTACAAGGAATTCTACCCGGATCTCGACCAAGAAGCCCAGCTTCCGTTTTTCGAAACCACTCGCATCTCTCCGATTTAATTCCGGCTCCCCGGCCCCACGAACTTAATGCACCTTCATTTCGAGTATTACCCTCGGAACATCATACCGGTAAATTTGGCCGGGTGCTACAGCTGCTCGGATTTGATGACCACCGGGCCCACCCAGGCATCGCGAACGAATTTGCGGCCGTTCACCATCCCTAAAGACGTGAAAATAGAGGATGTTATCAACCTTAAAAAACGCCAGGTGGAATACGACCATGACGAACAGGACGAATTGTGGCTCGAGGAGAAAAATCATGGCAAAATAGCAATTATCAGTCCGGAATTGTTCGAAATCTTGATCACCCAGTTGGAAAATGATTGGGATCAGCTTGAATTAGCAATGTCAACAGTTTCCGGAGGTGAAGAAAAGGCAGAATTGACCCTCCGCAACAATACTGAAAAGTATGGAGACGATGATGGTATTGTACAGGGATCAGTGTACGATCAAAGATGCGCCGTGTGCAACGACAGCGATTGCACCAATTCCAATGCCATTGTTTTTTGTGATGGATGCGATATTGCCGCTCACCAGGAATGCTACGGGGTAGCTTTCATCCCTGAGGGGGAGTGGCTCTGTCGGAAATGCATGCTTAGTCGAAACCATCCGGTTGACTGTGTTTTTTGTCCATCGAAAACCGGTGCATTTAAACAGCTTGATAATTCACTTTGGAGCCATGTTGTGTGCGCCTTGTGGATTCCCGAGGTATACTTTGCCAATCCCATCTACATGGAACCCATCGAGGGAATCGCCTTCATACCGAAAAACCGGTGGAAATTAACTTGCTATATTTGCAAGCAAAAAGTCGGTGCATGTATCCAGTGTGGGAACAAAAATTGTTTCCAGGCCTACCACGTCACTTGTGCCAAACGGGCGGGTCTCCATATGGAACTCTTGTACGGAGTTCAAGGCGGAATTCAAAATAAATCGTCACTAATTTCATATTGCGACCGTCATGGTCAAGTCGATGCTTTGGTTGTGCGAGCCGGAATTGAAAAAACTCGCCGCTATTACCGGGATATGAAAGTTCTTCGCGCCCACAACGCACAAGCTGCGAAAACCCAGCAGGCTGCTAACCGGATGAATCTATTCCGGTGGAAAACCGACGGTGGAACACCGATAGCTCCGCAGCTGTTCGCCGACCGAGTATACAAAACGATCATGGAGCTTCGAGGGGCCTCCTCGGACCGCGGACCATTACGAGGGTTGGGTTTCGAAGCATCGGCGGCTCAAATCGAGTCGGAAATTCGCAGTTTTAGTCATGATATCTGCAAATACTGGTGCCTTAAACGAGAACATAAAAAGGGAGCTCCTCTTATCCGCAAGAATAACAATCTTATGCTGACGCTGTCCATCATCTATGGGTCTAATTCGCCCGAGGAAGTCGGTGACAAGTTGGAATTTGCAGCCGTTCTTTTACAAGATCTCGATCGGGTGATCCAACTTCTGAGTTTGACGGTAGATCGCCAAGAAACTGCCGAGAAAATTTCTGAAGTCAACCTTGAGGTTCGTGGTGGAGTGGCGTTCCCTATTCAGGCCATCCTAACCGAGGTTTTGGCCCGAGCATCATCGGCCGGAAAGACTGCCGTCACCACCGAAATTGAAAATCGAAATAAAAACTACAAATACGAAACGGTCGATTCGTTCTGGACCGATATTCACGAGCGCAAACCACAGCTCTACAAGAGTCGCGCTGGCCGGAAGTGGTACAATCTGATTTACGAGCAACTCGACCGGCTTCGTGGTGCAGAAACCAGCGTCAAAAATGAACTTTCTCGCGGCAGAATCCAACTTCCGTTCGCGAGATTCGACCACGGCGAGTACGTGCTCCGGCCGGATATGGGGCTCATGGACGAATTGAGCGACGTGGAGGAAATGGACGTGGAGGAAGAGAAGAAGCTACGGGAGTTTTTGCAGTGACAGAAACGAAAGATCGGACGCAGGGGTCGCCCTCGGAATTTAACCTGGGAGCCCCCGGAAATTATGGCCCGCAAATCTATCTGCACTCCCAAACGCCCTCGGAACTCCCACCGCGCGGTGATTCGTGTTGGAATGTTTTGCTTGTCTATAAAACCTCCCGCGTTTGTTCCTTGTCCAACCGACCTTATTCATTCCTTAACACTCTTATGTTCTCGCGGTCATGTTCGGAACTCCTAATTCTACTCCCGTGAGAAACAAACTTCCGGTCATTGTCGATATCGGTATTGATACCGACGGTAAACAACAATATCAGGTCCATGAATCGCTCCGGACGGTCCGCAAGGACATGCCGCAGTCGTCCGGGTTTGTTACCCAAGAAAAAACCCCGGTACGAAACGATTTAGCCCCGGTTTCTCCTCCAACTTCACGCAAAAAAATCAAGTTGGAAGCTTCCCCAGCTCCCGAGCGTTCCACCGGCTTAGAAGAGTCTCCAGTAGATTCCGACTCGATTTGGCCCGAGGACCTCGAAAAAGCGTTCGAAGATGTCCTTGCAATTATTCCCAAAAATGGCCTCAGCAAGATCAAAATCAGCGGCCGAGCATGCGGACGTAACGAGCTCATCTCCGACTACATATACACGAAAACCGGCCGTTTGCGCACTCGGAAGCAGGTCTCCAGTCACATTCAGGTCATCAAGAATTTGGGTCAGAAACCACATATTATTGCTCTTATTAACGACGGTCCGCAGTTTGAAAACGAAGAAGAAAGACAACTCCATGCCAAGCGTTTTGAGGAATTGTTCACGAAAATCAATATGGACAAATCTTTGGGGCTTCGTCTGGTACCCAAATTGGCTCTGAAAATCTCCCATAAAGAACTGTCCGATGAAGTTGTTGAACCATCGGTGGTGGTGGAGAACTTTTTCATGTCCGTTTACAACTCTTCGTCGGCATGTCCCATCATTCTTTCTCTTCAAACAGCAGCACAGGAAATCAAAACCCTTCAATTGCGACCCGGAAGCAACACTTTGCGGTTTCCTAGTCTCCTGTACTTTGGTGGATCTTCCATTCCTGTGATCCACAACATGGTCCGTATTCATTTTCCTCAATTGTCGCAAAATTACAGCTTTGAAACCGGCTTGCGCACAAACTTCTGTGTCAGTGTCAAGGAAGATACCATCAGAAACTACGCCAACTATACCTGTATCTACTCGTATGGTGCCCCAATTGTGCGTTACATCGACCCCATCTTTGACTTGAATGATAATAAGCCGTTTTTGATCAAGTTCTGGAAAGTCCTTCTTCCTCGTTTGGCTGTCGATGCTACCCAGTCGGTATCCAGGGCTCTTCGCGGCATCACTGTAGAGCAAATCATCTACGAAACCAACCATACAAACACCCCGACAGCAATTCCAAAACAGTCAGTTCGCACTGTTCTCTTGTGGGAATTCACAAAAGTCGACGACCTCAAAGACGCCATCACAACCACCTCCAGGCTCAGTATGGTAGACTCGGTACCGCTGCACGCTGCCATTGAACCTCAAGCTGTAACATTGCCTCCACAAACACAAATTTATCCTCCACCAACCTACCTGACGGCTGCAACTACTATGGTTCCCACACCATGGGGAACCCACGAAGACATAGCCGCTGCGTACCACTGTGGCGTCGAAGAGCACCCCATGTACATGCACGAATTTAGTTGAGGTGTTCGCTTCATTCGTCTAAATCAATAAATCACTGCTATACCTCTCTCGATTGTAATCCTGCACACACCCGATGGTTCGCGAGTCAATTCAATGATATTTGCTACTTATTGCCCAGTACTACTAATGGATTCTAAAACTATAGGCATTTTGGGGGGTGGCCAGTTGGGCAGGATGATTGTGGAGGCCGCCAGTAGGCTCAATATCAAGACTGTGGTCTTGGATGCTCCTAACTCTCCCGCAAAACAGATAAATGCTGGCGAGCACGTTGACGGTTCGTTTAACAATGTCGATGATATTGCCAGATTGGCCAAAAAATGTGACGTTTTGACGGTGGAGATCGAGCATGTCGATGCTGATGCTCTTGAGCTGGTCAGAAAGTCCATGAATGTGGAAATTTATCCACTTCCAGAAACGATCAAGTTGATCAAGGACAAGTATTTGCAGAAGGAACATCTTATTAGCCATGGAATCAAGGTTGCTGACCTGGTGGCGGTGTCTGAAAACTCCGAGAGTGCATTGGCTGAAATTGGTGCCAAATTCGGGTATCCTTTCATGTTGAAATCAAGAACAGATGCCTACGATGGACGAGGAAATTTCGTGGTCAAAAGCCCTGAATTCCACGCTGAAGCGTTGGAGTTTCTCAGCAATCGTCCTTTGTATGCTGAAAAGTGGTGCAGGTTTGCCAAAGAGTTGGCGGTGATGGTGGTGAGGACAATCGATGGTGAGGTCCATGCCTATCCAACGGTTGAAACCGTCCATAAAGATAACATTTGCCATGTGGTATATGCTCCAGCGCGAGTACTGGACACAGTGCGTTCGCATGCCCAGATTCTTGCCAATAGCGCCGTGAAAACGTTTCCTGGCTGTGGTATTTTTGGCGTGGAAATGTTTCTTCTTCCCGATAACGAGCTCTTGGTCAACGAAATAGCGCCCAGACCCCACAATTCGGGTCATTATACCATCGACGCCTGTGTGACGTCGCAATTCGAGGCCCATGTTCGTGCTGTGGTTGGTTTGCCCATGCCTCGAAATGTCACCAGTTTCTCCACCACCAATACTGCAGCCATAATGGTGAATGTTTTGGGAGATGATGTTCCCAACAAGGAGTTAGAGGCTTGTAGCAGAGCTTTGGAGACTCCTCATGCATCGGTGTACTTGTATGGAAAGACTACACGACCAAAGAGAAAATTGGGTCACATTAACATTGTCACTTCCAGTATGGCAGATGCCGAAGAGAGACTCAGATACATAATGGAAGGCCGTGCTCCAATTCTGTCTATCCAGGAAGCAAAAGAAGCTCCTTTGGTGGGTGTAATTATGGGTTCTGACTCCGACTTGAAAGCCATGTCTGTGGGTGCAGATATTCTCAAAAAGTTTGGAGTTCCATTTGAACTCACCATCGTCAGTGCCCATCGCACGCCTCATAGAATGATCGAGTATGCCACCAAGGCTGCTGAGCGTGGAATTAAGGTGATTATAGCCGGTGCTGGAGGAGCCGCACATTTACCAGGAATGGTCGCAGCCTTAACACCACTTCCAGTAATTGGTGTTCCTATCAAGGGTTCGACCCTCGACGGTGTGGATTCGCTACACTCGATAGTACAAATGCCTCGTGGTATTCCGGTTGCTACGGTTGCTATTAATAACTCTACCAATGCGGCCCTTTTGGCGGTACGTATTCTTGGAGCCGCCGACCCCAAATGGCTCACGGAAATGACCAACTATATGAACTCCATGGAGGAGGAGGTGCTTGCCAAGGTGGAGCGCCTCGAGACCACGGGATACGATAAGTACTGAATTGAATAATAGTAGTGAAACTGGTAAGATATTGGTAAGACCTTATACCTGGTGCACTGGGTGCACCAGAGACTAAAATTTCGTAACGTTCTTCTTCTTTTTCAACTGGCGCTGCTTGTACTGCAGTTTGCGCGAGTCTCTCCAACCAGAGGTGCTTATCTTTTCCAATTTTGGTTCCAATTTTAATTTATCGGTTTCATTTTTATCTGATTTTTCAGTTTGGGTTTCAGTCTTTTCCTTGAGTTTTGCAGCCAAACGCTCATTCCTTGCATCCACGTGCTTGGCAAACTCCCCTTTCCGCTTGACGGACTTGGCCCGCAACTTGGACTTGGATCTGAGACTCTTAGCCATGGCGATGAGATAAAAGGATGCGATGCCCCACCGATAAACCGATGCCACCCGCACACCATACTGCATACACTGCCTAACACACACACGTGACCGTGGACAGGGCCGCGCCCTGTTGTGCCGCAGACGACCGGTGACAAATTTTTCTTTACTCAGGGAGGTTCTCTTGTGCGCTACTTTTTGAACATCAATAATGTAAGTGAATTTCCAATGAATATGTTTGGGGCTACGTACTAACATCCAGGGCTAATCTTAGAACTCAGAAAAGACTTGCTGCCAGTGTTGTGGGTGTTGGTAAGAGAAAGATTTGGATGGATCCAAATGAGACCAACGAAATTGCCAACGCCAACTCACGTCAAGCCATCAGAAAATTATACAGAAATGGTACTATTGTGAAGAAGCCTAATGTGATCCACTCCAGATCCAGAGCTAGAGCTTTGGCTGAATCCAAGAGAGCTGGTAGACACACCGGTTACGGTAAGAGAAAGGGTACCAAGGATGCCCGTATGTCTTCTCAAGTTGTGTGGATGAGAAGATTGAGAGTGTTGAGAAGATTGTTGGCCAAGTACAGAGATGCTGGTAAGATTGACAAGCACTTGTACCACACCTTGTACAAGTCTGCCAAGGGTAACACTTTCAAGCACAAGAGATCATTAGTCGAGCACATCATCACCGCCAAGGCTGAGGCTTTGCGTGAGAAGGCTTTGAAGGACGAGGCCGAGGCCAGAAGAGTCAGAAACAGAGCTGCTCGTGAGAGAAGACAACAGAGAGTTGCTGAGAAGAGAGAGGCTTTCTTGAACCAGGCTTAGTTTATCAGTCTAGTAATATCATGTACTGAGAGGAGATGTAGAAAAAATAGAGGGATTAGTGGAACTTGAAGGTTTTCTGGTGCTTGCTATTGATTTTTCGCGGCCTTTTTAATCAATACTGACGGATTAGGCGCAGGAAAATAGAGATGCGAATCCAAAAGCGGAAGAAGAGAGCTTAGCATTACTCATAATTTCTCATAATTCTGAACTGCTCACTGACACTACACGATCAATTGACTCATTACACTCAATTACTATATGTTCAATTGACCACTCAATTACAATAGTCTAGTTATAACTTTCTCACTTTCTTATATTTCTCTCTACTTTCTCTCTTCTTTCTTTCTTCTCATAACCTCTTTCCTGGCACCAAACTGAAAATGATCGTAAATATCGCCGTCAATAACAACACCAAAAACATCACCCATGCGCTTCTTTTGACGAGCAACCGACGTATAAAGTTTTCACGGATTCGTATAAAGTAACTTTGCTTGCTGCTAAACGATTCCGATAATCCAAACCACACCAAAATTGGGTCAATTAAATAAACCAGCAGCACCAAACAGTAGAAACCAATCAAGAACGGTACCAAAACTACCGGCCTTAAGGATTTACGGTAGTTCAAGAAGATGAATATGAACCCCACCCAGAACCCAATGAGTAGCATGAAGAACCCTAGAATTACTCTTGTGATAAATGAGGTGTTGACGTTCCGAATGGCCATGTAGTTGAGGAAGCGAGGAAGATGCTCGCTTTCAATGCGATTGAAGACGTATGCTTTTACCTCGTTGAAAATGTCAGGGTCGTCTCTGCCTTCCACCTCAATGGCACGTATAATCTTTTGGTTGAGCGATGGGGGTAAATTAAGGTTCTTTTCAGAGTCCTCAACAAAGTACTTGAGTAGGAGAGAGTGGGTAGACTCTTTAAGGTTGTCTCTGGTGATAAAAGAATTTGTTTCAGATCCGCCTGGCGAATGTTTGATAAGGCGTTCCAACAACAGCGGATTGATCGACGAGATTCGTTGTGGTTGCTCGAGTGGAACGTAGCGAGGTTTCAGGCCAAAAGTGTCTCTGTGGTTGATTTCTTGAGCTTCTACAATCGAGTCGCTGAAACTAACATCGTCCAACAATTTGGAATTGGACGAAATTCGTTTCTGATGGTTGGGATTTTTACCATACTCGTAGAAACTGGGTTGCAGCGGCGTGGGTGGAGTCAAGTCATGAAGACTTCTGTTGGCATAATTAGACGGTTTTTCCTTTTCACTGTATGCGTTACTGGTTCTTACGCCGGATTCTGAACCGCCTTCCTCCCGATTATACTGGTTGATCAAGTCCTGGAGTTTTGGATCGAGATTGTCGATGTTGATATCGCCTCGTAAAAATTGAGAGAGTCTGTTGGAATCATTATCTTCCAATATATGGTCGTTGATGATGAGGTCAAGAAGTATCGATGACGAAAGCGATTTGTGCTTTGATTTTTCCAGGATGGGGATGGAGTTTCTTTGATCTGGGTACGAATGACGGACAATGCTATCACGAAGTCCCTTAACGTAGTGTTTACAGAGATTGAGATGGTTGACTAAATCGAACCAAAAGTCGAGATAATCCACTTTATACTCCACATCTCGCATGAAAAGGTAAAACGTGAAAAGGTCCACTGGAGTCTTTGTACGATTGGCAAGAATTTCTCCAAGAGTTGGAAGTCGGTTTAATGAAATTGCCTGGTTGGTGCCATTGAGGGTGTTGATGTTGGCTAGGTAGTGAGAGTTTGGATTGTCAGTCTGGTATTTTTCCGACGGCATGATAAATGGGGAAAGTTAGCGAAAATGAAGGAAACGGTCAAAAAACGATGTCAAAATTAAAAATGAAGGACAAAAATTGGCGAAAGGAGGAAACGATGGCGAAGAAAAACGACGAATTATTAAATGATTATCGACGATTTTTTATGTGTGTGGACTCAGGGCGTATTAGCGTCCACTCTGTACCGATTGGAGCTACGCACAGACCTTGAAAACTTGGATCAGCGGCAGGATGAATCAGGAAGTTTGATATTTGTTTTCGCATTCGTCTCGCCCTGCAGACAATAAAGGGGCCTGCAGACAGCACGCAAGTTCTCAAGTGGAATTTTGGTATTTACTTTTTTTTGGCAAGTGTGCATCCGAAACTGCACACAGGCTTAATGACGGATGGGGAAAGTCATTACCGAGCGGTGCACCGGTGGCCGCGGCAAGCCGTCCTATGCCGAGTGTGGCTTGTTAACGGTGGAGGAGAAAGGTGAACTATGATTGATTCGGGGAGCACGATAACAAGATATTTTTCGTCGCTGATGGGGTCAATGGCTGCAAAAAATAAGGTTGGGCTAAAGTATTGAACTCAAGCAGACCACCTTTAAGCAATCAGCACTCCCCACTTCCGATTTGTCTTTCATTTTATTTCTCTCCAATGATGTCATGCACCCTTCTGCACCCTTTTGCATCTCTGCGCTGTCTGCACCGAGCTCCGCTGGTGCTGCACCGGGTTCCGCAGGTCCAAACCTTGTTTCGTTATCTGTCCCAAATGCTATTTTGGGCCGGGAGTACTGGTGTCTGGATGGCATGCATGACGTATCATTTGACGGGGCCGTGCGAAATGACAGATAGATAAGGAGACAAGCCAATGAAGTATTTGGAGATCCAAAGATTGCCAGAACACCAAACTGCGGCTCCACCTTAATAACAGTATGTAGAGCCTCTGTGCCAAATCTGGAGCCCAGATTGCCGACTTTACCCAAAAATTGTGGCACGCCAGTTTTCCCAATCCGGCGGTTTCGGCGCGGGATGAAAAATGCCGTGCGACTCGGCTGCGGGGGACGTGCCGGTGAGGCGCACCTCGCTATCTTCTATGCGTGTGATTGGCGGAAAACGGAAAGTGACCTTGATATATATTCTGCATGAGGCTGCCAAGGGATTTACGTCAACTTCAACTTAATTTAAGGACACAACAAACGAACTTTAACAAGACTAAACTACTTGACAATAACAGTTCACTACTGAATACAGTCTTCACTACAACAACAGTCCACTACTGAGTCTCACTAAATGTTATCATGTTCCTAATAGGCCTCTACGATTCGCCCTCCAAATCCGTCGTCGATCTGTCGTCAGGGGTGTTTCTGGCGTTGCACAAACTTGTGTACATGTCCAGAACCCTCTTTCCTCCACTCGGTTCCATCAAGTTCCTCAACCTCAACAACCGGTTTTCCGGTCCCGTCAACTGTGCTGCCGACGACCTCGAACTAACCTTTGGTAATGACCAGATCGAGTTCACCTCCGCGGCGTTCCGAAGACCTTCGGGAGTTCCTGGCGCCGCGCAATTACCGGTGAAAAACAGCCATTCTTTCGATGCCCTGCTCCAGCTCCACGACCATTTTGGCTACTTGGGCAAACTGTGGCACCCCACCGTACCAAATGGCGCAAACCCGAACGGCGCAAATGCAAACGCAAACAGCGCCACCACGACCGGTGTTAACCACGCCTCGGTCGGCTTCGGCTTGAACCGGTTTGGCTACGATGTCGAGACGTTTGACCCGCCTATGGCCGGCTACTTTGACGACTTTGCTCCCCACCACTCGGAAACCGTTGACGACTCGGTGTACGGGTCGTCGGCCGAAAGCTATGTGAGTCCACTTGACGACGAATTTTTTCGCCGGGTAGGCTCATCGCCCGAATCCTACGATAGTGTTACCGGGTCGTTTTCTGCCCCGGTGGACCGCAAGAGAAAGTACCAGGAACTGCCCCAGTCGTCGGTGCTGATGTCGGTACCCTCGTTCGACGAGGTGGACGTTTTGTTCAACCAAATTCTTGTTAAGAACCAACCGGAAATGGCTTATGTTCCGCAAAAAATCAACCAACCAAACCACAGAACCCAAACAGAAGGCTCTGCCAAACGTACCAAGAAGGTCAAACACGAGGACCAAGCCATGTACCAATGTGAGCATTGTGATGCCTCATTCAAGGTCAAAGGTTATTTGACAAGACATACAAAAAAGCATAATGTAGCCAAAGCATTTGTATGTCCCTTCTACCAAGACCACCCTGCCGACGACAGCGGAGTCAAATGCCACCCGAACGGCGGATTTTCCCGCAGAGACACTTTCAAGACCCATCTTAAAGCCATTCATTTCATCTATCCTCCCGGAACAAAGTCGCTGGAACGACGCACACGTGGTGGTCGTTGTGCTGGATGTTTCCAACAGTTTTCGGATAATAAGGAGTGGCTCAAGGACCATGTTGAAGCAGGCAAGTGTAAGGCTGCCATCAACCAGATTGAAGTTACGGTGAAGAAAGAATGGGTGGATTAACGCTGGCGTGATTCATTTCTTGTATAATTAATTGAGGTACTGCAGTGCAGCAGTACCGAGTAGTAGTACCAGTAATTCAGTTTACTAGCAAGTAGGTTCATTGTCTCATTTCGCAGCCATTTCGCAACTTCAGCTTTTTCGTGATTTCGCAGCTCCCTGCTTCGCAGGTCGCTGGTCGCTGGTCGCGCTCAGTAATTTTCAGTCCGCGCGCATACCTCGCCGTCTCAACCAGCTTTTTCCTCATCCTTACCATGTCTCTCGATAAGTCTCTCGACGATATAATCTCGTCTTCTAGAAAGTCCATCAAGTCCAGAAGAGCCACTAGGGTTGGAAAGGTGGCCAAAACTGGTAAAAGTGTCGGTTCGGCTTCCAAAAAACCAATCGTCTCTTTCAAGAAATCCACCCCTGTTCCAAAAACCGCCCTGGTGGATTTGAGTTACGCCACCAAGGTGGTTGTTTCCGGTTTACCCAAGGATATTCGCGCCGATGCGATCAAGGTATGTGCTTGAGCACGAGACGTTAGCGTCTGTACTCGACGAAGAGGATAATCGAAAGAAGCAGAGCAGCTGTCAAAACAGGAGTATCAGAATAACCGTATCAGAAAGCAGTATCAGAACAATAGTGTCGGAGCCACAAAGTGTACTCAACAGCAGTTCAGAACACCAGTTTCAGAACACAGTGTGCATCGGATCCTTTGTATGACTTTCATGGTCTGCTATGACGATGTGTGTGAATAACTTTGTGTGAGATTCGGTTCTGATACTCAGAATCAGATTAGAAGAGGACCAGCAAGTGCCAGGAGTGGAATTAGTGACAGCAATCAAGGTTAGAGCTCGAGTTCCGTGGCTTCTATTGGCTTAACTATGATGAATTCATCAGTCCTTGTTACCGACACTATTCACGTTGCTTGTGGTACTTTGTGGTAATTGCTACTTGGCTTGTTACTTGTGTGTGTTACTTGTCTGTGTTACTTGTTACTTGGTACTTGTCCTTCTAACTTTGTCACTGCGACTGGTACTTGCCGTACTTCTCACTCTTCACTTCTCGCTTCACTCAAAACGGCCAGTCCCACTCGATCATCCTGCTAGCTGGCTAGCACTTCGTCACCAAGAGTACATTCTTTCCACTATTTCTTACTAACCCAGGATTTTTTCCAGTCGCAAGTCGGAGGTGTCGGCAACATTGCTTTGAGTTACAACGAACGTGGTCAATTCAAGGGCATTGCCACTGTTATCTTCAAAAACAACAACTCGGCTTCCTTGGCTGTTGAGAAGTATAATGGTGCCCCCATCGACGGAGGCTCGTCCAAATTGAAACTCGAGTTGATCATTGACCCCACCAAAAAGCCATTGACGTCGAGAATTGCGCCCAATACGGTGGCCCAGCCGGTTGCCAAGTCTAAGGCTCAGGCACTCAAGGCTAGAGTGCAAGCCGCTAAGGCCAGACAAGGTGTCAAGACCAAGAACGACACCAAAAAGAAGGCCGATAAGCCCAAAAAGGCACAAAAGCCCAAGAAGGTCAAAAAGACCGTTGAGGAATTGGACAGGGAAATGCTGGAGTATTTCAACAATTAAGTACACTCTGAGATTTTGTAGCAGAAATCAACTTTGTAGCACCTACTAAATTTGTAGCCGTTTCGCAGCCATCGCAGCCGTTCGCGGAGAAATTAGCGATGAAATTAGCGATATTCAACAGATTCACAACCAGCATTTCGCGCACTGAAACGCACACTTTCTTTATGCCCAACATCGAATATTTGCTTACTGCCGAGTTCCATGTGGATAAGGGCCCCACCTTGGTGTACCAGCACCCCAGCCCGCTTCCTGGAATTGACAACTTGGCATTTTTACCAGAATTAATGCTTCCTGATCAAATTCACAAACGGCTGGAAGATTATACTCTATTTTTACTCCACAGAAATACATCCACAGGAGAGTTCCAGTACCTCAATGACCGTGCCGTGTGTGAGCCAGAGCCGTACTACCTCTATACCATCGTCAACAATGTTAGTGATGACCAGACTCGAAGAGGTTCTATCATCAAGTCGATTTCCATCATCACCAAACTCACGTTTTTCAAGAATTTCAAACCATTGCTCATGATATGCTTGGATATCTACTTCAAAACCAACAACTACAAGTGTCTAGCGGACCTCTACAATGCCGTTAACATCAAAAACTTCACACTCGTTTCTAACAAGTCAATGTCTCTCATCAAACGCTTGCTTATAACCTCCATTTTGGACCTTCCTATCAACGACAAGATATACTCAGATGAAGCGTTTCGAAATCGTCTTCTCGGGACCCGCGAGGCAATCAATGACGACTTGTTCATTCGCAAAGATTTGAGCTACAATTCCATTGTCAAATTCAATGCCATGAATATCCCCATTAGAGTGCCCATGGTGGAACTTCCTGACACCATAGGAGACTATCTCAACCCCACCAACCTCAACTTTAAGCCCAACTTGATCCACTTGCTCACGGCTCGCTTGGTGACCGAATTGTACAACAACGAACTCACCATCTACGGCCTTCAAACACCGCCAATTATTGTCTTGATCAACGCACTTTTGACGGGAAAAAGAGTGATTTTCTTGAGCTACGAGAACTCTTCGGGCTACATTATTGACTCGATTCTCCTAGCGTTGAAACTCATTACTGGTGGAGGAATTTTGACTGGCTTTTTCAGCAATTACAATATATTTCCCATGATCGATGTTTCCAAAATTGACCTCTTGGAAAAGTGTGATTCGTATCTTGCCGGCACAATTAACCCGTTTTTCAAGAACAACGACAAGCTTTGGGACGTCTTGTATGATTTGGATGCAAATGAGTTTCATTTATCAACCCAAACGTCGTCTGCTTCCGGTGAGTCGCAGCTCAAAAACTCGATCATTTCTGAAGACGCCAAGTTTCTTTCCAATCTCCAGTTGTCATTGTTCAATTATAACGACGATTTGACAACTATACAATTGATCTTTCGTCGCCATATTAATGAAATAATCAGAATAATGTTGCTGCTGAAAAATTTCAACACCAGCATGCTTCCTACCAACAAAGAATTGATATTACTCATGGATGGTATTGGTTACTGCTGGGGAAGCGACGCCAATAAACTCGTGGAGCTTTCTTGTTATCAAGTGGTTCTGGCAAAGTTCCAAACACTTTTGTACGAGGGAGTTTTCGAGTACACCTTACTTCTTCCCAACCTTGCCAATGAATTGAACTTGATGATAGACCTTCAGTACCATCTTCAAAGCATCAATGTGCTCTCAGACCGCAAAAATGAGAGAGAAGTATGGTTTAATCTTCTCAAATTTTTAATTTCTGGCAAATCACTCGAGGTATTTCTTCTCATCACCTACTTGATTCCTCCCAGCTCTTCCACCAGCTTACAGTCGTCTTCGATGCACGGAGGTAGTCTCACCATTTTTGACAAAAACAAAGGCATTGAGATCTTGTTGATCAACTTGTTCAATAGTGACGATCAAGTCAAGTCGAACATCCTCATGATTCTCCAGGAATTGCAGGACAACCATTTGTGTGGGTGGTGTCTCGACAAGTTTCTCAAGGGTAATTTGATCTACGAGATAGCGCTCCGCGAGTTGCAGGAAAAGTAAAAGAAAGGGAAGAAGTCACGACAATCAAAAGTAAAGGATATCGAAGGTACTGCGGGCAGTTTTTCATTCAGGTTCATCATCTATTTACATGCTACTTTTTTCCCTCAAATAAACTGGAAAGGGTGAAACTGAAGCGGTCGCCCGGCTTGCGACTCGCATAAGCATTACCAGCACCTACGTATTTGGACTCTCGTTGGTACTCCAGATTCTCAGCAGTGGGAAATCCCGGTTTCAACGGAGCAGCCCGGAATTCGTTTTCGGAAGAGTCAATTCGAGCATCTGTTTCATTCCGGTGACGTTGGTCCTTATAGTGAGCGATGTGTTTCTTGCCGACCACAAAAATCCCTACGGCAACCGACGAAAAAAGAGCAAGCTTGGTGAGCAAACCACGGCGAGTTTCCATGATGAGAAGCGCTAAATGGAGTATTCAGAACTGTATTCAGGACTGCTCAGGACTGTATCCAGTGGACTGCCTATTGGTGCTGATTGTCACACCCGTGCACCCGCTACAGCCGCGGTCCCCCGCATTTATTTCATGTGAACAGATTCTCTACAAACATGTCAGACGTGGAAGAGATTGCTCATGCTATAGCTGGTGCTGGAGGCGGTGCCCTCTCGATGATTGTGACTTATCCGTTGGTTACGTTGTCTACTTTGGCACAAACGACAAAAAAGTCAAAACTGGACAAGGAAATCGATTTAAAAAAACCGGTTGAAACCAAAGAATGGCATTGCCGAGTTGTCCAGAGACTTCAAAAACTGTCCACTTTGGAAGCAGCGCGCAAGATCCACCGTGAAAAGGGCATTTTGGGGTTCTATTCTGGGTTGGAGAGTGCCTTGTACGGTATAACCCTCACCAATTTTATCTATTATTACTTCTACGAACTCACTTCCAACGTGTTTTTAAGGGCCAATGCCTCCACGGCGCGCCGGGGAAAGGGGCTCTCGACGTTCCAGTCGATTATCACCGGAGCAATAGCCGGTGCCGTTACTTGTGTGGGGTCCAATCCGTTCTGGGTAGCCAATACCAGAATGATGACAGCTAAGAAACACGACAACGAACACGGCGAAGACCACGCCACCAGCTCGACGTTCCGCACGCTCTTGAACATCATCGAGACCGACGGGCCTGCCACTTTGTTTGCGGGAGTGCTTCCTGCGTTGGTGTTGGTGATCAACCCCATCATTCAATACACGATTTTTGAGCAGGTGAAAAACGTTATTATTGCCAATGGAGGCAAGGCTGCGTTCACGTCGATCAAGGCGTTCTTCATTGGTGCTTTTGGCAAGTTGATAGCCACGGCTTTGACGTATCCTTACATCACGCTCAAGTCGCGGATGCACATCAAGAAGAAGAAACTTTCGGAAAAATTGGATGAATCGCCAGCGGAAATCAAGTTGTCGATGATTCAGGAAATCCGCAAGATTGTGCGCGAGGAAGGACTTGATGGGTTGTACGGTGGGTTGACGGTGAAATTGTTGCAGTCGATATCCACTGCGGCATTCCTTTTCTATTTCAAAGAGGAATTGTTAACCGGCTCGGTTAAACTTGTAGAGATCTTGCGGATGGTGAAAGCCAGAAAGCAGGGTGCATAAATTATTATTTACTATAAAGACCCTCGTGGGAAACCCCGTGAAAAATATCACCTCGTGGAAAATGTCAAAAATGTCACCTCGTGGGATTTGTGCGAACTTGAACTGAAATATAAAAGACGGCAAACTCATCAATTCTCCACAATATCCACCAAAAATGATCAGTGTGTTTCGCCCCGTTTCCGATGCCGCTGCCTCCGTCTATACCCTGAACTACACCACAGAAAGCCTTACTAGAGATGTAGATGTGAAACCTATTCATTCGCACAATGACTACTGGAGACACCGTCCATTATTTGATGCATTGAGCTTTGGTTGTGCCAGTGTTGAAGCCGATGTGTGGATTTTTGACAAGAACTACACCGTGGTACCGGAAACAGAAACCACCTCCACAAAAGAATTTGGTGATAATGAAGTCTACGTTGGTCACAATCAGCTTTATTTGCAACCTAATAACACTCTCTGGAGTCTTTATTTGGGACCTATTTACAGTTTTTTGAACTCGGTGAACCCAGCATTTCGCTACAATGACGGTTCGAACCAGCTGGCTCTTCTTGGAGACACAACCACAAAGCATGGTTTATTCTACAACTCGCCGGAGGTGCCATTGCACATTTTATTCGATGTCAAAACAGAAGCCAATTCCACCTATGCCGCTTTGAAATCACAGATCCAACCTTTTATCGATGCGCAGTACCTCACCCACTACGATACAACTCAAAAAAAATGGATTCCTGGTCCATTGACCATCACCATCTCTGGTAACCAGGCCACCGAATTGGTCAAAGAAGAAACTGTTCGCTACATGTTTCTCGATAGCCCGCTTGTCAACATGAAGTCCAACGCCAGCACGGAGTCTTTGCAAGAATACAGCCAATTGGCGGTAATTGCAAGCGCTTCTCTTGAGCAATTGCTCGGCAAAAATTTGTATGCTCTGGTAGCTACCCAAGAATTGGGCGACCAGGCTAAAACCACCCTCAAAAATTACTTTGACACAGCTCACAAGTTAGGTCTCAAGACCAGAATATGGGGAGGAAACACCTGGCCCATCCATATTAGAAATGCCCAGATGAGCACCTTGTGGGAACTCGGATGCGACTTGGTCAACGCCGACGATCTTGAGTACGCCGCCAAGCAGTTCTAACTGCAAACTGAAGCAGTTCTAACTCAGCCCCTGTTCACAAAATGGTCTTCATCGTCTCGTAGGCATAAAAAATCAAGGCATTCGCCGGCGCTGCCCTGATCAAGGTTATGCCGAGTCCATGGTACAAGTTGCGGATTCCTCCGGGAGCCGCCAAGAGCCTTGCAGCCGTGTTGACAATGCTTCCGTGGCTGACTTGAATATTGGACTTGATTGTGTCGACTGGAAACATCGAAAGATTAAAGGTGATGCCTGCCAAAGCACCGCTGAATAAATAGTGTTTAGTTGTCAATGGAGAATTTTCCCCAAACTTTTGGAGACAGTACTCGTAGGTGGTGAACCATATGGCCGTACCTCCTATTTCTCGAATCATAGTGCTCAAAAGTCCACTCCATAATCCCAAAACTCCATCGCTGCGAATGATGGTTCTGATAACTTTTCCATACTGAGTAGCCACCAGGTGTCCTCCCATAACGTTCTCAACCTGTAATCTACACTTGACAAGCTCTACTGGTGTCAAAACAAACGCCGCCATGAACCCAGAGAACCCTCCACATCCACTTTTCACCGCCAAAGAAACCTCATCGCATTTCTTGTTCTCTTTAAATTTCGCCAATGCCCATTGATAAGACAGAAAAAGCACTGCTGTTTCTAAACAAGCGCCCACCAACGGCGCTTTTAAACCTTTGTAGAAACCATTGACTATCCCTTCCTGGGTATAAGTTTCCTTTATTGCTTGAATCGTGGAGGACGAGCGGAAATGAGCAGACGACTGTAGTCGAACTTTGATGGTATCGAAGGGGTACTCGACCAATTTACCACACATTCCAGCCACGGAGCCGTAGGTGATTTCCCTGGCTGTGTCGGACATAAAAAGGGAGGGAGTGAAATCGAAAGTGAAATAAGTGAAAAATGAGAAAATGCAGAATAGAGGATAATTTTTCTTAGCTGGTTTTTGTTCGTTTTTCTTTCTTCCGTCTACATTTGGTACATTATGTTAAGATACACTATAATCTATCTCAATGGGATGAATCTGGCAGAAGCGTTACCGGCTCTACCGTGTCTGACTGGAGTGTAGGTGATGGAGAATTCACCCAAGTAGTGGCCAACCATCTCTGGTTTGATCTCAACGGTGTTGAAAACCTTACCGTTGTACACACCAACAACAGATCCGATCATTTCTGGCACAACAATCATGTTTCTCAAGTGGGTCTTGACGACAGCAGGCTTCTCATTTGGCTCGGTAGCCAACTTGGCGGCTCTCAATTTGTTGATCAAACCCATAGGCTTGGATCCCAATCCTCTGGAGAATCTTCTTCTAACTCTGGCACCGCACAACTTGGTGAATTCTTCGGTTGGCATTTCCAACAAATCCTTGAGGTCGACACCTCTGAAGGAGAAGGTCTTGAAGACTCTTTTTCTCTGAGCTGGGGTTAGTGTGGGTTCAGGAGAACGGCCTCGCCATCCTAAAGGTGTTTTCACGGGTCAAACCCAAGTTATACATACTGGTTTCAGCAGCCATATTACGATGTCTTTCAGTACTGAAAAAATTCAACAGTTGAATCCGCGAAAAATGAGTAGCCGGTCACGAGGGCTGTGACCGCAAAGCAGCGTGGCACGTGCTCCGCGCGTGCAATCCAAACTGTCATTTTATCTGCAGGTCTGGTGAGCGCGACTGCAGCTCTCGTTGAACAAATTTTTCAGATACTTGTCAAAGGATAGTCCGCTCTTTGCTTAAACTGATTATTCTACAAAAAAAATGAAGTATTTGGCTGCATACTTGTTGTTGGTTGAGGGTGGTAACACTTCTCCTTCCGCTTCCGATATCACTTCCTTGTTGGAGACCGTTGGTGCCGAGGTTGATGAATCTAGAATCTCTGCCTTGTTGAGTGCTTTGGAAGGTAAGACCGTTGCTGAGTTGATTGCCGAGGGTAACACCAAGTTGGCTTCCGTTCCTACTGGTGGTGCTGCTGCCTCTGGAGCTGCTGGATCTTCTTCTGCTGCCGCTGGTGGAGAAGAGGCTGCTGCTGAAGAGAAGGCCGAGGAAGAAAAGGAGGAGTCTGACGATGACATGGGTTTCGGATTGTTCGATTAATCGTGTAATATAGATCCGCATTGTTAGGAAGAGTGTAGAGCGTAGGGTGAGAAGAGAAGAGTGAAAAGTGAAGAGTTGCAAAATTGAAGACTGATATGATGGGGACGATGAGATACGGAGATTGAGATGTGGCTAGTGTATCGTTCTATGTTTGTTCTTGTCGAGAAATGTTCAATTGAACTCTCTAACAGCTTTCTCTGAAGCTACTTTTCTTTTACTCTCTACTCACCTCATGCTAAATTATATTGTTACAGATTCTAGCCATTACTCTCACCTCTCTTTTTTCTAACGAGCATAGTTCGTGAGCCAAAGTGAACTGCCTCCTAATCCAGCACCTCTAAAGAACTCTCTCATGGCATCACGTTGCCCAGCCTTGGGCCATGCCACCCAATTGTTGTTGTCGTAAACCATTACGTCGCACATACTAGTGCTATCGGTCCATCTCTTGTTCTTTCTCGAACTCTTGGCAATAGCATTGATTTCAAAATCCGTCAAAGTTCCCGCTTCTCCACTCACAGGTCCTGCTTTTCCAGGACCGCTTCCTTCACATCCTATGGCAGTACACGAAGTCGATTTCAACGTATATGTGTGGCCGTAATTAGCCAACCCTCCATAGGTTTTCCACATCTTTACGCCGGCCTTGTCAAGCATCTCCAACGACTGAACAACTTGATCTTTGTCTGTATGGCAAAAAAGGGTATTTTGGGTAGCTCCTGGGTAGTCATAAGTCATAAAGATGAAGTAGTTCACATAGTCTTGCATGGCTTTGACCGGGAAATTACTCAAGTAGTAATACGTATTGGGAAGTGCTACCGATAACGTTTTCCCAGATGGAAGCTTGGACTTGATGCTCTTGACAAGCTCCAAGTAATTTTGTCCATTGTTGAGATCATCGCTGGGGATTCCAGGTATATCCTGAGCACCGGGGTATTCCCAGTCTAAATCAATGCCATCCAAGTTGTACTTTGTCATAAAATTAACAAGGTTTGTAGCGAGCTTATCTCTGTTGGCAACTTGTACACCGTTGCGGAATATCTGGTAAGTTGATGGAGAAGTGCTGAAATCCCAACCTCCAAATGAAGCAACCTTTTTCGTCTTTTTCAACGATAAAAACTTGCTAATCTTGAATTTGGAATCATCGATGGTCATATCACTCTTGATAGGCACAAACGCATAGTGTATAGCAGTATAGCTACCGTCGTCCAAGGTTGTTGGATCAAGGGCCATTCCACCACTCACGTCGAGCCAGTATCCAATATTTTTGAACGTAGAAGCCGGGTTGGTATGGATCTTTCCGTAGCCACAGTTGGAGATACAACCAGCAGTTCCAGGTGCTCCTGTGGGAGAATCGGTTTTGTCGCAATACTGCGATGTGGTTCCACAGTATCCATATTGACTACAGCATGCGTTCAATGGACACTCAGTGTTGAAGAATGCACCTGGGGCTTGCGGTCCACAAACGGCATCTTTATTCACTGGAGGCCGTGGAGGAGTTCCGTCACTCACACACACCTTATCACCAGCCCAAGGATGGCCATTATTGCAACCATTCCAATTGAAAGTGTTCTTGTTCCACGCATAGAGATTGTCCAATGTTTTGATGTTGGTGAACTTTTCAAGCAAAAACCCACAAGTTTCACCTGCAGCTATCGTGTGAGCATAGCACGAACCATCAGCATTCTTCTTGGCGTTAACCGTCTTTACACGCTTTTCCAAGTGAATAGTCTGGGCCTGAGTACAGGCACATAGCACAGCTAGGACGAAGAGGAGCCACCGCATGAAGAAAAACAGCAAATAGTCCAGCTTTTAAGGTTTCGGATTTTGAAGGTGCCGTATACTCATGCTGCATGAGTGTGCGTCGTAGGTCATGTATGATGAAAAAACGTTTTCGCGCAGTTTTTCGACCAGGGTTGAGTTATCATACTATGGTGTCGTAGCTGGTGACATGCAAGAGCTCTAGAATTATTTTAGAAGGACTCATCTCAGATCTAAGCCTTGATCTTTGATTCTCATCCCCGTGAATGCTCGTACTTTTCATGCGCGAAACGCGAAATCCGAGCCGCAGACGTCAACAGTATATCGATCGCGTGCTGTGAAACGAAACCCATGCTAAATTGGGCGTGAGGCGGCTGCGTGCAGCAAATGTATGGGCCCGTTGCCAATTGGAATGTGGAGTCAATTTCAGTTCTAGTTTTGGTGGGTACTCAAATAATGTAGTCTCAATTCTGAAGTTCGCACTCTGATGTCAAATCCTTTGAGTACCAACTCATCAAGCTTAACTTTCAGTTCACAACTCTCAATCAAAATCAGTTGAAAGCTTCAACTCCAAGTTCGTTTCAAATCTAATTTTAGATCAAACTCGATTCGAATACTCAAAATAATCAAGTCTAATTTCAGCTCCAGTTCTCACTTCAGACTCAAATTGTGCACTCAACTCTCAATTTTCGGCTTTCATCCTCATTTTCAGGTCTCAACCCAATGTGTCGCAGCTGCCACTGTCAATCTCGATCACAATATCAATTTTAGCTTTCAACTGTTAGCTCAATCTCATCTTGATCCCGCTCAAGTCTCACTCTTCATTTCCTTCACCAACGCTTGAAACCTCTCGACCTCCCTCTCTAGATCTCCAGCATTCTCCTGTGCCTCTTGGTTTCCCAACGTGCCGAGCAATTGCTTCAAGTAGTCCCGTTTGTGGTACGCATGTACAAATCGCTCATTCAATTGCACCATGCGTTGCCGTACCAGTTCGTAGCGATCTAGTAGCTCTTCGTCCATATTCTCATCTTGCAAGTACCGCAGCTCCGGGAGCTCATCTACAAGTCTTTTGAACTCGGCAAGACGCCGGTCCAGCGAAAGAGCCGTCTCCAACTCAGGTAAAATTAAGGGTTGAATGGTAGATTGTGCTTGTAAAAGCTTCTCTGTAGCTTCAATTGCCTTGGTCTGTTCATACTTGACCACCTGCTGTGCTATCTGACTTGTTGCCTGTGTCAGAAACATGTTTCTGTGGTGTCTTTTCAAACGAACATTCACCTGACGAAGTATCTGTTGAAATTGTTGCTTTGTAAGTTCGTCCTGGCCATCAAGAATGGAGCTTATTTTGTCGTCTATTTCCAACCCGCGCTCGAGCTGTTTGCAGTTGAATTCTAGGAACTTTTTGGTGTAATTGTAGGCCATAATACGCGAGAAATGGGAAGATTGAAAATAGGAAAAAAGACAGCTAACCAAAAGACCGTATCTGATGAAGAGAGTGTATGAAAAGACCTTGACGAGTGGCGCAACTGATTTCCGAAATATGTGAATCAATAGTCCAAAAGTAACACCCCGACTGTTTTCAATTTCTCTGCGATAAGATATTTGATAAACAATTTCGCGACTTTTATTTCAAACCGTTATAGACTACTTCTTCCTATTCCTGTGCCCATTTGCCACCAAGCCGTTTTTGAACCGGATTTTCGATCCCCTTAGTTTACACCAGACTACAAGTACCCAGAAAATCATCCTCACCTCCTTAATCGTCCTTTCCATCATTTTTTGATGTCGTCTCCAATCAGAGATCCCGATGAAGTACGGCGGTCGGCTCGTATTGCGTCCACCCAGATCCTCGTGGCTTCCGTCCTTGGGTCCATGGCGTTCCTAGCCTTCTGTGCTTTGCGGGTCAGGTACCCCAAAATCTACGTGGCAAATTTCAACCATTTAAATCGAAGTCATCACAGTCTTTCCAGACGTCATCTTCCTAGTCTTCCAGCAAAATCTCTCTTTGGATGGATTTCAGTGGTGTTTCGGGTCACAGAAGCTCAGGTGCTCGAACACGCCGGGTTAGATGCTGTGGTATTTTTGTCATTTTTCAAAATGTGCATCAAACTTTTGGCAGTGTGTGTTCTGTTTTCTCTCTGTATCATTTCGCCCATTCGCTACCGTTATACTGGGTATATCGACGGACCCGATGACCACAAGAAGAAGCAGAGTATCCACGTCTACGTGTTGTGGACATATACTCTTTTCACCTACGTTTTCACGTTGGTAGCAACCTACTTTCTTTTCAACCATACCCTCCATGTCATTACTATGCGCCAGAATTACTTGGGAAAGCAAGATTCGATTGCCGATCGAACTGTCAAGCTCTCGGGAATCCCTGCCACGTTGCGAGACGAGCTGGAATTGAAGAAACATTTCCATACCTTGGGAATGGGCGAAATCGATTCCATCGTAGTGGTACGAGAATGGAACAACTTGAACGGTCTTTTCAAGTTGCGCCGACGCATTTTGTCCAGATTGGAGTCCTACTGGGTAGAATACCTCCGTGCAAATGGTTACAGCACTTCAGACGTTAACAACTTTCGCCCGAGCGTGGGGGCCCTGTACAATATGGAAAACGGAGTGGAGTCGTATCGTGATGTTCCAGATACCCAAAGCTCGATAAACTCGCCAACCTCGGATTCCCGCTCGGTTTCGCCTCAGTCCGTCCATGGATCTGTCATAGACCGCATCGTTGAAGCTTCTGGACTGTCACCGTTTGACGATCTTGATCATCGTCCAAAAACCCGCACCGGTTTCTTGGGAATTTTTGGACCGAAAACGGATGCTATTGACCACTACACCCAGCAGCTTCTGGTCATCGACAAGGAGATATCTCGGGCTCGAACTCGCGAGCACCCAGGATCTTCAACGGCTTTTATTACCATGAAATCTGTGGCACAAGCTCAGATGGTAGCACAGGCGGTTTTGGATCCAAAAGTGAACCACCTTATAACCAACCTCGCGCCAGCTCCTCATGACATTATTTGGGACAATCTTTGCTTGACTCGCAAAGAAAGAAACGCTCGTATTTTCTTTGTGACTTTGAGCATCACATTGCTCAGTATTGTGTTAGTGAAGCCAGTCACCGACCTCACCAAAATTTTGAGTATTAGTTACATTTCCAATGCTTGGCCGTCGCTTGGTGCTTTCTTAGATGCACACCGGTGGGCAGAAACGTTGATAACTGGTCTTTTGCCCACATATCTTTTCACCATCATGAATATGGTAATTCCTTATTTTTACATTTGGATTACGTCCAAGCAAGGATACACTTCCCACAGTGACGAAGAGCTCTCGGTCATATCCAAGAACTTTTTTTACATCTTTGTAAACTTGTTCTTGGTGTTCACAATGGCAGGAACCGCCTCGTTGAGTGATGGAAAGATAGCCAATCATTTGGCACAATCGGTTCAGAAACTATCATTATTCTATGTTGATTTGATCATCTTACAAGGTTTGGGTATCTTTCCTTACAAACTTCTCTTGATGGGTAACTTATTGCGGTTTTCTTTCCGGTCTTTATTCTGGTGCAAAACTCCTCGAGACTTGCTAAAATTATACCAGCCTCCAGTCTTCAATTTTGGACTTCAGTTACCCCAGCCGATTTTAATATTGATAGTGACGATTGTGTACTCTGTCATGTCCACCAAGATCCTTTCGGCTGGCCTTCTTTACTTCTTGATTGGTTACTTTGTCTACAAGTACCAATTGCTCTACGCCTGTGTTCATCCACCTCATTCCACAGGAAAAGTTTGGCCCTTGATTTTCAGACGGTTTATTCTCGGGCTCTTGATATTTCAGTTGACCATGGTGGGCACTTTTGCGTTGCAGAAAGCATACTATTGTGCAACATGCTTGGCTCCGTTACCGCTCGTCACCATGGCATGCTTATGGAACTACCAACAGAACTATATTTCATTATCATTATTTATTGCTCTTCGCTCGATTGAAAACGGCCACACCGAGACTGAAGATGCCGAGACGGTGGTAGGAACCACCAAGTATGCCACCGTTGACGAGCAGCGTGAATTCAACACCACATACGAGTATCCTCGTCTTATAGATAATCTTGATGGGCCATTGATTGCCGTTGATAGAAACGAGATGCTTTTGATCAACTCCGATGGGATCTTGGAGCGCAAGCCGCAAATCCATGTTTCTGAATGGGACTAGAAAAGTTTGGGGATCATGGCTCGAAGCTGGGTGTCGACGATATGAGTAATGGAGTACTCTGATAGATAGCTGACAACCGTGGCAGTGAAAAGTGTTGACACTACGAGTCTTATGCCTGTAGTTGTACAGGAAATGAGAAGCACTCTCCATCGGGGTGCTTGGACAGTCATAGTTATAGCTTCAAAAGACGTAATAAATGCAATAATGTTAATGATGAAAAGCGACTGAGTTGAGGCATCGTATGGCCATATGAGCATGAGAATGGGAAACAATTTGATGGAGCTGGATACGAGAATGACCATAAGGAGAACAGCAGAAGAATATCCTCGTTGGAATTCTTTTGGTATATTGATGTATGGAGCATTCGATCCCCAATTGGTGCCGATCTGACAGAGAAGAAGTGTCAAGAAGCTCTGGATGCCTGTCTCACATAACAGTCTTACGATAAAGAACAAGTATTGAACATAAACTGCCTGGGACAACACCGTTTGCATGGCTGGGGTATGAGTTGGTTTTCGTTCTTCGTGAGCCCAAACCAAATAAACATCAAATAATATAAAAACCATGAAAAGTCTGAATACCAGGTTGTATTTGCGTGTTCTGGGGCCATTGAGGTTTGCAAGAAGCTGTTCTTCTGTCAAATTGAATGCCAAATGGCGATAAGCCTGCGGCTTCAAGAGCAAGATATCGATGAAAAGAAGGACTCTATCGTACTCAATGTACTTGTCAGCAACATTATGGCATACGGGACACACGGTGAGTGTGATGTGTGAGCTCTTATACTCGGAATATAGCCGTTTTATCTGAGTATTTCCACACTCCACGCATATCATAGTGAAAAGTTTCAGCCGCGAACTGATAGTTGGTGAGAATACGGACAGGACTAAGTATACATGCACAAAATAATATATATGGTCGCTAGGCAATTGGAGGTGCCATGTCCGGCACCCTTCCCAATTCGAACCTCTCAGCCTTAAAAGCCGCGATAACAGATTCGTCGACTTGCAAATTATCGTAGTCTATATTGAGTTTGGGCTGGTGAGAAAATCCATTTGGCTTTCCAAAAGCTGAATTTGATGAGGATGAAGTTGCACCAAAGGGACTGGCCTGAGCTCCTGTGGATGCAAAAGGGCTTTGAGCAGAGGAACCTCCAAATCCTTGATTTCCAAATCCACTGGCTGGAGCTCCGAATCCACTCGCAGAGCCAAATCCTCCATTCGATCCAGAAGCAGACTGACCCGAGCCAAAGACATTTGATGATCCTGAACCAACACCAGAAGCTCCATTTGATGTTCCGGAACCAGAATTTCCTGAGCCAAAACCCGATGAGCCGAACCCCCCGGCTGTGCTGGTAGCGTTTGTGGCAGAAGCATTGCCAAAAGGTGAAGCATTTTGTTTGGCTGTGCCGAAAGGTGACGATCCAAATCCACTTTGACCGAACCCACTTTGACCAAATCCACTCTGAGAACCTTGAGAACCGCTTTGACCAAATCCACTTTGTGAACCTTGAGTACCTTGAGAACCACTTTGTGAACCACTGTTTCCAAATCCACTCTGTCCAAATCCACTGCTTCCGAACCCACTCTGTCCGAACCCGTTTTGTCCGCTCGAACCCGTGGGCTTTCCGAATCCTGAACTACCGAACGCTCCACTTTGGGCTGGAGCACCGAATGCTGATGATGAGCCATTTCCAAAAGTGCTTGAAGATGGCGATGCAGTGGTGGTTGACTGGCCAAATGATTGTGCTGGAGTGCTTTTTCCCAAGCCAGCGCTTCCAAATCCGCTCAGACCAAATGCGGAAGAGGTGGTAGAGGTTCCGAATCCCAGGGTTCCAAAGGCTCCAGAAGGTTTCGTTGCACCAAAACCCTGGTTGCCGAATGCACTGGTGGTTCCGGTTTGAGAGATTCCAGCTGACCCAAACCCGCTCGAACCAAATGCTGAGTTTGTGTTTTTGGCGGTTCCAAATCCAGAAGAACCAAATCCTGAACTTGCAGTTTGGGACGACTGAAAGGGGTTGGAAACAGCTCCAAACGCTCCGCTTCCATTGCTGCCACCGCCAAATCCTGTATTTGTGTTTTGCATGTTTTGTATTGTGTCTTCCACAGCAAATGGAATGAATGGTTTTTGCATTTTTGACGGGTCTTCCGTATATCGCTGTAGGTAACGAGCAGCAATTCTCTCCTGCCCTCGGATATGGTTGAAGCATCGCCTCATATCTTCTTCTCGTGCTCGAATCTGGGCTTCAAATTCGGGCACCTTGTTCGTTGCTTGGGCTTCGAGAAACTGTAGTCGTTGTTCTTCGAATGACAAATCTCGTCCACTTATCAACAGGTAGCAGTCTTCTCCCACGCCGTAGGACGAAAGTAACGGTTGTGCTTTGATTTGACGAACATTTTTGATGTCGGAAATGATTTCGGATTCGATGAAGTTGAGGTTGTCCGGTGAAGTAAAGTCTCTGCGATTGGATCTGGTATTATTTTTTGGATTCACATGTGCAAATTTACAGCTGCTGCCTCTTTTGCAGTTGCCGCTGGCATAAAACTTGCACACGGGCCGATTGGACATGGAGATATTTCCCGAAGTCTTGACATCTCAAGTAAATGAAAAAACATCCAGTGCACCACGTAAACCGAGTGGGTGCAAAATTACTGGTTCATTACACGTCTGCAAGCCTGTACGATCACCTGGCTGTTCTGTGTGGACTGTGAGTATGCCTGTTTGTACAAATGGACAATCGCATCGAGAACACTTTGCTTGGAAGCTGTTCCATTGACCACCTGCTGAAGACTGGTTTCCAATTGCTTTCTTAAAAACGGCTTAGAAAGCGATATGTTGTCGAGTTCAATGGCATCGAAACCTTGAATTAAACCCATTCCAAACTCCGAAGGAAGAATGTACTCGGTGCTACCTTGTTTTACCTTGACAACGTAACCACGGTTGATGATCTTGTCGATATGATCTGCAATAGTTGCATCGGTTCCAATTCCATTGGCGTCCATTAGAGCGATTAATTCTGACTCTGTCATGTACTTTGGAGGAGACGTCTTTCCCTCTTGTAACTGAGAAGAAGTAAGCTTGACTCTGTCACCTTGTTGAAAGTTGGGAAGCTCTACCGTCGACAGCCACTTTTTATAGACATAAATGTCCAAATAGTTGCGTTCAATCACTGCAAGACCACTCGCAGAAAACTTCTCTGCTCCCCATTGAACAATGGCCTTTGTCTGGTTTCCACGAGCGTCATCTGAGCAACAAGCAAGAAACCGTCGTACGACGTATTCGTAGATTTTCTTCTCATCAGCCGAATCCAATGCAGATAGCGCAACATATTTCACTGGGTGAATAGGAGGATGTGCTTTATCGTCGTGGTTTCCTGCTCTTGGCTGTCTGAATTTGCCTTGAAGTAGCTCGGAAGCATAGTTTCCCCATTGAGAGTCCTGGGATTGAGTCTGGATAACCGAACGTAGGTCCATAGTAGCAGGAAATTTGTCGGTTTCAGTTCTTGGGTACGACAAAAACCCTTTATTGTACAATTTTTCGGCAGCATCAAGTGCTCTTTTGGCACTCATCTTGAAGAACGACGAGCAGTCTTTCTGAAGCTCAACGGTGGTGAGCGGTAACGGTCGCCAATTGCTGGTGGGTTTTGTAGTTATGCTGGTCACCGTAGCTTCTTTGTGCTGGAGGCATGCTTGGTAGGCGAGGAAAACGTATAAATGGTCAAATACATGGCCGGTTGTCCAAGTAAATGGGGCGATTTTATCGTCTTTCTTCACTCGTATGGAAATGTGCCAAAATGGCTCCAGGATGAAATTCTTGACCCTGGTGTATCTATCAACCACGAACCCCAACGTGGGAAACTGACAGGTTCCATACGAGACAACCTGACCTTTTTCAAGGGGAATTGCTCCGCTTCTTTTGAGAAGGTCAGAAAGGAAACGAGTAAAGCCAGCGCCTACTCGTAGGTCGATTTCCATACGACACCCTACAGCAGCCACGGCATTGAGGTCCAATTTGACTGGGTTCCGTGCAGCGTGAAGAACATGGGACCTTTCCAAGTGGGAGAATTGCGACCGCCAGATCTCGTCGACCCGGAGTCTGGGGTTGCCCAGCTGAGCAGCCTGGAATATTTCATGGCCTATGAACTCGCCCTCCCGATCACAGTCTGTCCAGATCATGAGATTTGAAGCATTGCGGGCCTCATTGGCAATGTTTTTGTAGACATCTTTCTTCGAAACAACTTCAATAATTGGAGCGCTAAAGAGCTTTCCAGGGACACATTTATTCCACGAATAAGCAGGGGGAAAGTCTATGTTTGTGATATGGCCGAGAACTGAGGTCATAGTCACGTCACAACGGCCTGTTGTAGGAAATTCAAACGTAAAATCGTAGTTTTTAACGTATCTGTTGGCAGAGTTGCGTACTCTTACCAGACCACCCGAAAGTATTTGGGACACTTCTTTTGCTATTGACGGCTTTTCTGCCACACATAGTATCTTCATGGAGCGGCAGGATAGGTTTGGGAAGTCAATGGACACGCTTTAGGATTTTGTGGATGTAGTTTAGTCTGTTTGAAGGTGTGGAATACAATTAAGAAATTATTTATTCTCTTAAAATATTTTTGTGGTTCTTCTTTCTTCTATGTCAAGTATTGGTATTGTGGACCTACACAACCTCCTCTCTTCAATACTAATCTTCAATTTTAATCTTCACTATTTTTATCTTCACTATTTTTATCTTTAGTATTTCTAATCTTCGAATCAATGTATCGCGTTACTCTTAAATTCGCGATCTCATCTCATCTTTCGAATCTCCACAATTCTCCTCATCTCTCAAAAATGGGTGATCTGGACGACTATGGGATTCCGGGGCTCGTCCAGTGGCTCTCGTCGCCTCCGGCTCCATTCTCAGCGGCTCCGAATGTAACACATATTTCTTCAAAAGTGAATGTTCTTTCAAACGAAACTTCGGGCCGTGGTGTCTATGCTACTCAGAATGTTTCAGCAAAGGAAACTCTCGTTCGTATTCCCCATTCGTTTCTCATGAACACCAATACCATAATCAAACACATTTCTCGGTTCAATGGCAAAGAATCAGTTCCGGATTTGGGCTATTCGGTGCTGCTTCCAAGTGAGTATACCACCGATCAATGGACGGAATTGTACGCAAAAATACCGATTTCTAAATGGCTCCAGTTGACTGCGTTCCAGCGCACGGCGCTCTACATCTGTCTCGAGAAAAAGAGGAAAGAAAACTCGTTTTGGTGTGCTTTTATTTCTTCTCTTCCCAAGCTCGAAGAACTTGATTTTGCACCTATTGTATGGGAAGTCGAGTCAGAGTTGACCGGCTCTAAAGCAGCAGATTTTTTTGAGCTACTCCCTAGAAGCTCTAGGAACCACGCTAAGAAGGTTCTGGTGCGATTTAACGAAGACTACACTGCCGTTAGTGAATTTTTAACGGCTGCGAAAAGTGAACCCTTGAACAAAATGGAATTTTTATGGGCTTGGATGTGTATTAATTCCCGTTGTTTGTACATGTCGTTCCCCTCCAGCAAGGCAGAAGCCGATAATTTCACGTTGGCTCCGTACGTTGATTTTTTGAATCACGACTGTGATGAAAAATGTGCTATAAAAATCGACAGTAGAGGGTTCCTGGTGATCTCGTGTGTTGACCACGCCGCTGGACAGGAACTCTTGTTCAGCTATGGGCCTCATTCCAACGAGTTCTTGCTCTGCGAATATGCATTTACCATGGAAACCAACAAATGGAACAATTTGGACGTTTCTCACCATATTGAAGGAATCATGAACGATGCCCAAAAATCGTTTCTTCGTGAACAAGGATACTATGGAGATTATACCATATCCGAGACCGGAGGAATCTCTTTTCGAACTCAGGTCGCTTTGGCCACAATCCAGGAACGAGAACCCGCACAATCGAGGCGTCTCAATCTGCTCATACAAGGGTATAATGACGGAGAAAGTTACAAGTCTGTGTCGAAAAGTCTTATTCGCCGGATCTTGAACGAGGTAGTGGCTGAGTGTGGAACGATGTCTGCTAGACTTGAGTCTAGTAAAAATGGCCGGATTTTGCAAATTCAACGTCTCTATTCTGATATGGAACATATTGCAACGGTGACCCTTGATGGCTTAGAAGAATGGTAATTCATGCCACTAACGATGCTGCTCTCTGGTCGAGTCCACGCTCAATAGCAAGCTTGCTTTTCACCATGTTGACTAGCATGAGGTTGGCGGGAGTATTTATACCATGCTGTTTTCCCACCCGCACAAGAAAGCCATTTATCCAGTCTATTTCGGTGGTGTTCAAGTTGCGAATGTCCTCTCTCATGGAGGAGCTGTTAGCCGCCGTGAGCTCAAACATACGGACGACGTGGGCAAGCATGCGTTCTGTGTCCAAAGAAGCAGCCGCTTGTGGGTTTTCATTGAGCACCTTATATTCGGCAAGAAAAACTGCTCTTGCTTCGTTCACAATCTGCTTGAGGATGGGCAATAGGTGTGTGCTAAGAAGCAAGTCGCCATTGAAGCAGTCGTAGATGGCCAGAAGAGGATTTATACAAGCATTGGCAATGAGCTTGTCGATCTGAGCAAGTAGAAAGTCCGAGTAATTCACATGAGAAGCATTCAACTCGGGAGTAGACACAATGGCATCTACTAGAGGGTTCAGTGGAATCGTTGTAGTAGTATGTTGAGTAATTTCCGGCTGTTCAGCTATCACAAGTGAACCATTGACCGTGTGTTGAACCACATTTTGTGACGATTTATATGCTCCATGTGTCGATATGGCCTGGAAAATTTGCGGACGGTTCCCCGAGGGCCAGAATTTTCTTGTCAAGTACTCAGGCATGCCCATTCCGTTTTGCAAAAGTAACAAGTTTGTGCTGGAAGAAATATTTTTGAGATACGGCTCAAGAGCAGTTTCAGTAGCATGGGTTTTTGTGGCTACTATGAGATTTTCTATGTGCGCAGGGTTACCGTCCTTCCGCATAGGAGGCATACCACCCGCTGCAAGCTGGGCACGAACAATTCCGTCTTTTTTGACCACAGAAATTTCCGAGTTGTGTCTGACAAAATTGTCCAATCGAGCTTGTGTTTTCATAAGAAGTACCATTGACAATTCCGGGTGAGCCAAGGACATATAGTGGGCCACTAGGGAGCCCATAGAACCGGCACCAAGCACATATACCTTCATATCTGCTGAAAACAAATTTCAATGTCTGCGACCTCATCGATTCAGCTTGATTCAAATGCCTTAAAAGTGGGTGTACGGATGTGAAGTCGCGATAAATTAACGGTTCAGCTGGAGAAGTAGATATGCTTATTGTAGGTTTAACCGGTGGAATTGCCACTGGAAAGTCCACGGTTTCGTGTGAGCTCAACCTGGTGCATGGTATACCTGTTGTAGATGCCGATTTGCTTGCCAGGGAGGTTGTAAGGCCTGGAACTGGAGGATACAGAGCGATCTTGAGGCACTTTTCTGATGTTGAAGATTTGGTGGCTGACAATGGAGAGCTTAATCGAGCAGCTTTGGGTCGCAGTGTGTTTGGCAACAAGGAGAGGCTCGCCGTTTTGAACTCAATCGTTCATCCAGCAGTCAGAAAAGCAATCTTTTGGAGACTTTTCAAGGCATATATTTCTGGAAAATCCATGGTTGTTCTTGATGTTCCCCTCCTTTTCGAAGCAGGATTGTACCAGATTTGCGGCAAGACGGTCACTGTGAGCTGTAGTGAAGAGGTGCAAATTAAACGACTTCTTAGTCGAAATCCAGAGTTGTCTGAGCAAGACGCTGCGAATCGAATTGCTAGCCAAATGTCCAACCAGGAACGTAATTACCGAGCCGACGTGGTAATTGACAATAGTGGAGAGTTGGATGAACTCAAGAAGGCCGTGGCTTCCGTTGTAAGGGAAATAAGACCTCTGACCATGATGTCAGTGTTGGACTTGATTCCACCAATCGGTCTCTTGTCTGCCATCTACACCTACATGGTACGGTTTGCTGGAGATTACTATAAACGAAAGCGATAAATGCTAAGCTCTCCAGTATTGTGCCAAACTGTGCAACCGGTCAATAACAACTGGCAAGAAGGCATTAACGCTATCATTGATCAAGTTTTGGAAATGAAGAATGGCCTCCTCTTCGCTCATATCCAAGCAAAACTTCTCTTGAACCTTTTCGACTGCCCGCAGTGGATCGATACGAATGTCGGGAATATTCGCATCCAACATCAACTGAAACAAATTCAAGATCAAATTGCTACTTTTCCTCAAAGTAGTATAGGTGATGAAACAGTAATTCTGAAAGATGTGAAAGTTTTCATGCTCTCGACCTCCCATACCCTCGATGACCTGGATCGGAAGCTTCATCAACGGTGGGAACGGCTTGGGGTCTCTGCCTAGAATGTAACCAAAGTCGGCGTGCCAGAATTTTCCATTTGGCGAAAGAAGAAGATTGTCTAAATGTCTATCTCCAACTCCCAAAAGGTAGGTTATGACACAGTATCCAGCGCAAGACCGCACATAGTTATCCATTACCAGTGCCGGCACTCCCATGTCGGACGTTACCGCATGAACACTGCTACCTGGAAGCGGACGAGCAGTTGTCGCATCTGCCTGTGCTGCCCGCAAATAATGAAGAATGCCATTTTCTGGACCACCAACCGCCAAAACAGAATCAAGGGTTTGGTTAGGAACAAACTGAATCAACCCTGCTATGGGGCTTGTGGCCAAAATCTTGTATGGTGTCAAACGTAGGTCAAGATTTTCATTTTTTAAAAGCTGGTCCATAAGGTTCATGATCTGGATCACTAGTTGATCTTGACGCAAATCGTCACCAATTTTGAACATGAGCAGGTACTTGCCGTGCTTATAATTCTTTCCGAAGATTTGTGAGGAAGATGTCGAGTTTTCATGGTAATTGGTGATTGTTTTAAACGTCAATTTGAGAGGAGCAAGCGAACTTTTAAAGACTGAAGACTCCTCAGGATAGCATCCACAGATAACCACGGAAGGGTCCAAGGGAAGCGGAAATGGATGCAGAAACTTTTTGAGCTCGTTTGATGGTTCCGACAAGTAGTCTCGAAGAAATTGAGCTTTTTTTGCAGTGGCTTCATTTCTTTTGAAAGTTGATCTTAGAAGCTCCACCAAGTTAGTTAGTTTTTTGATGAACCAAATCTGTCTTTTGAGATTACTGTATCCGCGAGTCTTCTTGACCTGTGAGTACTTTTTAAGGTTATCGATATACCTGTTGAGTACTATGGTGTAGATATTAGTTCGGTTCTCGTCGCTTCTTCTTCCTAGTTGGTCTTCATGCTCAACTTTGACGAACCAGTAGAAAAAGTTTCCCAAAGTTTCATTCTCGACTGCCCTCTCGATTAAGAACGTTGCAAGCGGTGAGGAGCCCAAGTCTGTGGTTTGAAAGTCGTCCAGATCGAATGATTTCAAAGGATCTTTTTCGACTAGCTCGTACTTCAAGGCCTGAACCAATTGCAAAAGGTAAAGCAACAACTCATCTGCGCTTGCCAAACGAAGTCTGCTCACAGCAAATCGACGCAAAAAAGTGGTATACTTGAAAATTTTGGCAGAAAGATCGCTATGCTTGTCGTCTGTATCAGATACCGTAGCACCCAAAGCAAGAGGATTGAACTGGTTGCTGAGCAATTCCAAGGCATCTCCCACGTCGATATCGTTGACGGACCAGTAATTGGGTACGAATTCGTTGAAGGTTTGGTCTAGTTCCAGTTCATTTGACCAGTTCACTGCTTTCAAAAACTTGATTAAAAACAGCTTTCTGCTCCTGGAAGACTTTGTGCCTTGGGTCTGGTCTTGGCTGGTGATATTGTTCTTGGAATAGTAGTATCGGAACTTCCACACGAGCATTTTTTCCATTTCTGTCATTTCGATATTGGATGGTTTTTGAAGTATACGCAACAATTCGTCGCGGATTTCTGGAGACGGCTTGAGGTCTTTGTCCAAGATGGTGTTGTTGATGTTTCTTTCCAATTTTTGGTACTTTTGTTCGATTGGGTCTGGGATGCTAAAGTCGGAATCTATGGTGAGTGCTTCGAGCTGAAAGTCGGGGTCGTAGATCTTCATGCCATTTGCAGATTCGGGGATGGATATGTCGATGGAATTGATGGTGACGTTGGTGGAATCGGGAGGAAGAGACGGCTGAAACCGGCGAGCTTCGGATGCAGCCGACGGAACATCATAGGTTATATCTGAGTACACTATGGGCAAATCGAAGCGAGGAAGCTCAATGTAGAGGTTGAACAACACATCTGCGTCGGTTTCAAGCTTTTGCGTGTTGTTTTGCATCGCCATGAGCGCCGGACCCACCATCTTGTCGAGCCAAGGAACCAGCTTATAGTCGCCATTTTCGTACTTTATAAGGTTACTCTCCGAAGAAGACAACTCACAGCAGCCTTCAAAACTACCGGGCAAACCCCTAGCACGAATAGCTACTTTTTGAGTTCCTTTGTTGAGTGTGCACTCGGAGGTGTTGAACATAGGCAAAGTTCCTACGCCCACCAACGACGGCGATGTGTCACAAATCTCATATATGGCGAGCACGATGTAGGCGGACAATGATAGCTGGTTAAAGTAGATTGGAAGTTGGAGCCACTGGTTCCATAGCCGTCGATTGGCGGTGAACGGTTGGTATGAGGTTTGAACAGGATTTGAAATGGGGTTGTTTTCTTGGTATATCTGGACTTGAACATAGAATTCGGAAGTGGCGTTGACGTTGGATAGTTTGCGAAACACTGACGGCTCGGAGTATTTTTCTGACAGAGTAGCGAGACGAACTTGTTTTGGGCCATTTTGAAGATAGCATATTTTCACCGAGACAGGAACGGTAAGGTCCTTTGAGAGGCCGAAGGTGGCAGTTCCGACGGAGTTGAGCGCCATGTACTCTAGAAAAGCGTTTTTTGGAGTAAAAAATGGTGGGAATTGAGGGTTGTTGGAGGTTAAGTTGAGATTATCTTGGATTTAGTGATATTTGAATTTCGCACCCAAAGGCTCTGAGTGCAGGCTATATTGGTTCAAGTTGCAAAATTGTGAAATATGCCAAAATATGATAATATTATGTTCTCTATATGTAGATCTATATGTAGTAGCTGATCCCTTCTATTATTAGCTAGTCTTTCCTTCTGTTCTGACCAAACCACACAAACTTGCTGTCTTCATCCTCGGAGCCGGAGCCGGAACTGCCATCTTCCGACGACAACGATTCGTCCGAGTTGTCGTTGAATTGGTAGAACATCAGCTGTTTTGGCGACTTGTTCAACGACAGAATAAGCTTTATGGAGTCTCTGCTCGAGCGGAACGGAGGCTTTTCCGGTTTGGTGCCTCTTCCGGTTTTGTCGACTTTTTCAGATTTTTCTTCGTTTTTATCACTTGATCTTTCTCCGTTTCTGTCGCTGGTCTGGTCGCCGAACTGGAGCGAGAACCGCTGGTCTTCTGGAATTTTGTACTTTCCAAGAGACGAAAGCTTGGACTCGTTGCTGGTTGCGGCTCGCTTGTAATTCAAGCTTTTGGCCCGGTTCAAGAGCGGGTTTGGTGGCTGGAAAACCACGTTGTCGTCTTCATGGTTCTCAGTTTCCTCTTCGGACCCTTCGTCTATGGGCAGTCCTGAATCTATCGACGCAGAAGAGTCGTTTTGTTTGGTAACCACCAGAGGAAAATACGAGTCCTTTGAGTGGTAGGAAAAACCCACCGGATTGGAGATGGACCGTTTTCGGTTGGTTGTGATACTGGAGATGTATTTGGGAAGGTCAACCGACAGCAGTTCCGTGGACGACGAGTCCCTGTGGGACAGAAGGCCAGCCAAATTCACCTGTGAATTGACCTTGGAGTTAAGTCTGTGAATCGGAATATCAGAAGTGGTGGAGTACCGCAACTTCATCGGCTTGTAGATGTCTTCGTTGCTTTTGAGTTTGCTGAGATCAATCACCGAATTGTTGCGAGTAGGCTCACTACTGGGAGATATCTCGGGAGACACCGGTTTACTAGGATGGTTCAGAAGACTGAAATCTTTTCGAAACGCTTCGGAATTGATGGTCTTCAACTTGAAGTCTGCCTTCACTTGGTAAAGCTTGGCAGTGTTGGGCAGCCAGTCTCGAGCAGCGGGACAAATTGGATTATAATTTCGTATTGGCGCCAGAGTATTTGCCGACAGCGACCGAGATGCAATTTTGAACGAGGCCCGCGGCTGGTCCATGGGCTTGGGCACATCGAGATTCATATTGAGGTTATCTCTTTCGTTGCGCTTTATGAAGTTTGTCTTGTAGTAGACCACATCTGTTTCGAGGTTGAGGGTAGGATCAATATCCTCTTTTTTGAGAAGTTCAAGAGCATCCTCAAAGAGACGCCAAGTGTAGAGAGTGGGGTCGTAGGGATCTTCTGGCGAGTCCAGCTTGGAACTGGAAACTTTGAAAATTGGGCCGTCCACAGACTCTTCCGACTCTTCAGTGGATTGTCTTGAATCGTCGTTTTTGAGCACCCTTCGGGCTCCGTTGAGTTTTGCCTCGGGGATCTCGTCAAAGATAGGATGGTTCATGAAGTAGGACATGAAATTGTTCACAGGGTACCCATGGGTGATCACAAAGATGACGTCTTGGTTGCGAATATAATTTGCCTTGTCGTATGTTGCGAGCAATTTTTGAAAGTAGTCTTTGCAGCGAGACTGGTAGTCGGCGTAGCTGAGATCGGGCCCATTATAGGGTCCCAAGGTGTTTGTGGGGCGGAAATTAGAGAGATTCAGCTTGTTCTTTAGGCTCTTGCAATTTGGAGTGTACATCAGATAAGCCTCATTGGAGTCGAGAAACGGTGGTTTGTTCTTCATTTTGTCGTGGACCCACTCGGAGAGGGCAAAGTCTCCCAAAAGCTGGAATCTAAGCTTTATTTGTGGAAATTCCGCCGGTAATCTTGTCTTCAATTCCGAAACGAGTAAGTCGGCAGTTTGGCAGCACCGAAGATACGGCAGAAAATGAACAAAGATGTTCTTCCGCATCGGCCCAGCTCCTTCTCCACTACTTTCCGACGAAAAAGCATTGGTAACTTCGACAAATCTTTGTGCAATATTTTGCACTTGTTCTATGGCCGTAGAAGCTAGCGGAGGATCGTAGCTTTGGTAGTCTGAAGATAGGGGATAAGCACCCGAGTCTTTGGGAGCGTGGTCAATGCGCTGGGCATGTCGAAGAAAGTAAAGTTCCATGGTTTTATATGAATCTTTTTGGGGAGGTGGAAAATGACGATGACGTCAGATGATTAGTGGTGGCGGATACAGTCAAGATTTCGAGTCCCGAACTTGTGTACGAAGAGATGGGGGCTCTAGGATGTGCCACGTTCTTTGTTTTGAAACTTCCGTTGAAAAACAACAACCACTTCTGAAAACGTAGCGTCTATAAAAAAACACCAGATCTTCAATTTGACGTTGCGGCTCGCACCGGTATTGAGATCCGAGGGTGGAGTATCGGTAGTGGGGCAGGTTGCAAAATGTGCAGTTGTCCAGATTCGGGCCCCAGCTTTTCAAAATGTTTTGTGAGTGTTAGTAAAAAACCCCTGGTCTAACAGGCTCGCTCAAAAGTGGCACCGCTCAAACACTGACCCGACATTGTTCATATGTGAATATGATGTCATCGTCCTGCAGGCAGCACGCGCGCACCACCTCTGCCGTTCGTGGCTCGATGATGTAAGTATTGACATAAATTGACCGTGATGAATATCGGGCCTGACGAATGGCTGGCGGGCGTCGGGACCATTTTCCATACGACTGCGGCCACTGTTTTCCGGGCGTCTTTTCTCGGGGCTTCAATAGCACTTTTTGCCCCGATATCGGCGTTGGTGACTGATTCACTGTCGTCCACTTTTTCAATTTCCGCCGTTTTGGGCCTTTTTTTGGCTCCTTTAGTATACAGCTGTACTGTGTACGTCTTGGGGATCACCCTGGTATACGGGTTGGGCTGGAATAGGTCGTTAATCCGGGTTTTGATTGGCATTTTTTTGGGCACGCTAGGGTGCGCGATGCTTCCGGTGACGAAAGCGGCAATATTATTTGTGTCTATGACCATTGACGGGCTCAATTGGTTTGCGGTGGCGGTTTCCGTGCACGAGGTTGTATTTGGGGCCGTGGACTGGCGTTTGGGTGTGGTTTCTTATGCATTGATTGCAACCTCAAGTTTGGTTTTACAAGACCAAATCAGCTTGGGCGGCACAAAAATGGTGCTGGAGGCTGGAAAGCAACAGAGCTATGTGCTAACAGGAATCTGTGGCGTTTGCGGTGTTATTTCGTGGTTTTTTGGAGCTCTGGTAGTGAAAATAACCACATGGTCTGTTTTTACCCTGGTGGTAACTTCTGTCGTGGCGTCTCGAAATGGTCGATGGTGTGCCACAAGATTGGAAGTCTCGCTTACAATCATTGCCGCTATGTTAGGGCAAATTTTGGCGGGTTGGTGGCTGAAAAAAGACCCAAATTTGCTGTTTTTCACTATTGTTTGTGGTCTCATTTTTCCAGCTACAACAATGCCGGGTCAACCGTGGGCCACCGAGTCGAAATTGGAGCTCTTGCGCCAATTGCTGACCCACGACGATACTAGAGCCATTTTTCGGTTTCTTTTACTCAACTCGGCGTTCATGTTTGTGCAGCTCATTTACTCGTTTCGGTCAAAATCGCTTGGTCTCCTCTCCGATTCGCTCCATATGGCTCTTGACTGTGCTTCGCTTGCTCTTGGGCTTCTTGCTGGTATTTTTCTGAAAGCGCCCATCGATTCGAACGGAAAATATCCATTTGGACTTAAGAATTTTGAAACTTTGGCAGGTTTTGCAAATGGAACTTTACTCGTTGGGATTTCGGGGAGCATCGTGTTTGAGGCTTTGGGCAGGTTGCTGAACCCTGTACTGCTTCAAAAGACTACCGAATTGATCCTAGTGTCAGCCATGGGACTTGGGGTGAACTTGGTGGGAATTTTTGCATTTCATGGACATGGACATAGTCATGGACATAGCCATGGACACAGTCACGGATACGAACACAGTCATGACGAACACGTTCATGAAAAGCTCGAATACGAAAAAGAGAACCATGATCATTACGATCAAAATTGCAGTCACAGTCACAGTCACTCCCAAAAAGCAGATAACGATAACATGCAAGGGATCTTTCTCCACATTCTCGCTGACACTTTGGGCTCTGTTGGAGTGGTGGTTTCGACAATTCTTACAAAATTACTGGGATGGAACGGGTTCGATCCAATGGCCTCGATAGTTATAGCAGTGCTCATTTTTTTGTCTGCTATTCCATTGTTGAAATCTACAGCTTCGTCTTTGTTGCTTCTGCTTTCAACCTCCAACGAGGAAAAGGTTCGTTTGGTTCTCAATGATATTTTGGAAATTAAAGGTGTAAAGTCATTTACCACACCTCGATTCTGGCCATCTAGTGGAACGTCAAATTTGAACGGATACCTTCATGTGCAAGTTTACCGGGGAGAAAACACCGCTTATATCAAGAGACTGTGTTCCCAGCTTTTTACCCAGAGAAACATCGAGGTCATGATCCAAGTGGAGAATGATTATGACGACTGTTGGTGTCGGAGTTGATGTGGTATTTATTGCATTCTATTTTCTACAATCTAATAACTCTACAGATTTTCTACAAGTTTTCTACAAATTGACTGCTTTTTTATTACTTTCGATTTTTACTTAATCTTTTCCTTGCTTTCTTCAGCTTCCATCGCTTCGCAACCATCGCTTCGCATCGGCTGCTTCGCAATCCTGCACACACATGATTAGTGAGATCTCATCGCACACCAACTACAACTACTATTATGTCCCGTGTTGGCGTCTTGGCTCTTGGGCCTGCCGGGGCTGGAAAATCCACCTTCTGCAACTCCATAATAGCACACATGCAGACAATTGGCCGTAGAGCTCACATAGTTAATCTTGATCCGGCCGCGGAACCCACAAACTACGAATTCACCATCGACATCAGAGACCTTATTTCGCTCCAGGATGTCATGGAAGAGCTCGACTTGGGTCCCAACGGTGCGTTGATCTACTGCTTTGAATATTTGATGGAAAATCTTGACTGGCTAGATGAGGAGATTGGAGACTATAATGACGAATATCTCATCTTTGACTGTCCCGGTCAAATCGAATTATATACCCATGTTCCGGCCATGCCGACGATCGTACGGCATTTACAACAACTGCTTGGGTTCAATCTTTGCGCCACATATTTGGTGGAAGCACCATTTGTGGTGGAACATGCCAAATTCTTCTCGGCCGCATTGAGTGCGATGTCAGCGATGATCCTTCTAGAGCTTCCACATATAAATATTCTTCTGAAAACCGATCTTATCAAGGACGACGTGACACGGCGTCAACTCAAAAGGTTTTTAAACCCAGATCCCTTGCTTCTTCTGCTGAAAAAAGTTGACCTTGAGAGCGAATCGAACCCGCGATTTGTGCGACTCAATCGAGCGATTGCAAATTTAGTGGACGATTTTGGCATGGTACAATTTCTTCCTTTAGACTGTACCAAGGAAAGTGATTCCGTAGCTACGATCTTGAGCTACATTGACGATGTTACGCAGTGGAGCGAGGGCCAAGAACCCAAGGAACCAGTGGATGTGGAAGAAGTGGGGGAAGACGACATTTAGTGGGGGGGGGGGACCCCACCCCACATAAGGCAATCCCGCTAATATCAGCCAAGGTTTCAAGATCTACGACGTAACATTATGCGCAATAGATTGCTACTGCAGGCGAGGCGAGAGATGGAAAAAGTTTTTTTTTTTTTCGGGACGAACGCATGCAGACGCATGCATGGAAGCTCAGAAAATATGTCTATTTCCGATATGAAACGGTGTGTAGGCTTCCAGACTAAACTGTAATATACGTGACTTCTTTTTCTACGGCTATTCGCGGACTTTCGTTAGCGGGGTTTCATGCACCCTGCTGTATACTATGGCGTGATCAAGTATGTGCAGCGACTGATCCAATGCATGGCGCCGCCCTCGATTCGATGAAGCTGCATTGAAGCGGAGTGGAGCAGCGGAGCGCTCCAAACACCAGAAAGATGAACAAGAAGTGCATCCAGTGCACCAAGACACCTCATCCTGCTCTATAGCTTCTTGGTGCACTGGTGTATTGGCATTGAGATCTCAACAATCCGCAATTTTCTCATCGGTAATGGTGCAAGTAAGCGAAGTCAAGGACACGCAGGTGACGCGCGAGAGCCGGACTGCAGCCCACACGCATATCAAGGGCCTCGGATTGGACGAAAATGGCATTGCAAAGAAAATCGAGGGTGGATTCGTCGGCCAGAACGACGCCAGAGAAGCATGCGGAATTATAGTCAATCTTATAAAATCCAAGAAAATGGCAGGAAAAGCCATTTTACTTGCTGGAGCTCCAGGAACAGGAAAAACCGCGTTGGCGTTGGCTATTTCTCAGGAATTGGGACCAAAAGTTCCATTTTGTCCTATAGTGGGTTCTGAGGTTTATTCTGCCGAAGTCAAGAAAACCGCCACTTTGATGGAAAATTTCCGTCGAGCCATTGGACTTCGAATCAAAGAAACAAAGGAGGTTTACGAGGGAGAAGTCATCGAATTGACCCCGGAAGAAGCCGAGAACCCATTGGGAGGTTACGGTAAAACCATCAGTCATGTAATTGTGGGGTTAAAGACGGCCAAAGGTACGAAAAATTTGCGTCTTGATCCCAGTATTTACGAAAGTATCCAAAAAGAACGCGTGGCGGTGGGAGACGTGATTTATGTCGAAGCCAATACCGGGGCTGTCAAAAGAGTGGGTCGTCTGGACGCTTATGCTACCGAATTCGATTTGGAAGCCGAGGAATACGTTCCGCTTCCCAAGGGTGAAGTGCACAAAAAGAAGGAAATCGTCCAAGATGTCACGCTCCACGACCTCGACGTGGCCAATGCTAGGCCCCAGGGTGGCCAGGACTTGTTGTCGATGATGGGACAGCTTTTGAAGCCGAAAAAAACCGAAATCACCGAAAAGTTGCGGACGGAAGTCAACCGCGTGGTGTCGAAATACATCGACCAGGGCATCGCCGAGCTCATTCCGGGGGTATTGTTCATCGACGAGGTTCACATGCTCGACATCGAGTGCTTCACCTACCTTAATCGAGCCCTCGAAAGTGCCATTGCTCCCATTGTAGTTCTCGCTCTGAACCGAGGATTGACCGCGGTCCGCGGAGCCGACGACGACCGCAAGGCTCCCCACGGGTGTCCACCCGACTTGATCGACCGGTTGTTGATCGTAAGAACCATCTCATATAACACCGACGAAATTCGCACCATCATCGCCAAAAGGGCTCAGTTGGAAAATGTGGTGGTGTCCCAGGACGGATTGTCCAAATTGGCACAGAGAGGCAGCGAGACGTCGTTGCGGTACGCGCTCCAGCTTCTTGCTCCTGCTGGAGTGTTGGCTTCGGCGGCGGGAAGAAGTGAGGTGACGGCAGTCGATATCGATGAATGCGAAACGTTGTTTTTCGACTCGAAAAAACTGCTCAATGTGTTGGAAGAGACCAGTGGTTACTTGTAGACTAGACATAGAGAAAGAAGTATTGTATTAACCAAGACGTCCTAAATCCCCACACTCCTGCAAAAACTCGGTGGCCGTCATGACATCGGTGCTACCGTATGTGACTCGCCGCACAGGCTTATTGGGCATATGGCACCATTCTTGAAGATTTTGGTACTCGAGGTAGCTGCCTCCACCCACCACGAAAACCTGGGCTTCCAGGTAAGTTTGACGCTTGGGCGGCTTCGAGTGTCCTCCACGCAGTTTGGGGTCTAAATAGAGGTAGTCGTCGGTGACTTGAACCAGCGCTGTAGAAGCACTGTTTGGGTCCATGATTGCCTCGACAATGTTGGTGATGGGAAGCTGGGTTTTAGCAGGCAAAAACTTTTTGAGCCCAGAAGCTAAGGAACTAAGTCCTTCGGTGAGTCGGCCGTCTGCAAGCCCATAAAGTTTGGAAGACAATCCGTTGAAAAGAGCTGAGTTGTTCTTGGATACATCCACGGACGACGACCTCTGACCACTATTCTCTGTTAATGTGGAGATATTGGATAACTTCATCCGCTGTTTAAGACCCTTCACATATTCGAGCGCCGCAAGATCGATGGTGGGATACTTTTCCTTGAGAATCAGTTGAACGTTAGCAACGAACGAGTCTGGAAGATCCAACGTAAGCACAAGAATCAAGAACGTACGCAATTTGTCGGTGGAGTTGTCGCGCTTGGCGTCTGTGTTCATCAACTCGAGAAACTGGTTCTGAATTTTTGGATCGTGGCAATTTTGCTCAATCTCGAAAAACTTATCAAGCGATTTGGCTTCAAGTTCCTTCAAAAGCGTCGCCAACACATCCATGTGCATATCGAGAGTGGCCTTTCGTGCGGTCAATTCCGGCAATGCATCCACCGCTTGTTGGATATGCAGGGTATCTGTTGAGTTTGGATCGATATCGCTGAACGATGTGATTCCTGTCTTGTTGGTGAGGTCCTGGGCATCCTTCTTATAGGCATTGAGCTCTATATCGGCATTTTCAACCACATCGGGAAACGGAAGAGCCGAGTTTTTAGACCAAAAGAAATCTTTTGGGTCGATATCGTAATTTTTCACGGTTTCCTTGTCATCGGCAAACTTAACGAGACGAATGGTGTTCCTTTTGAGCTCAAACACATCGCTCACCATACACTGGTAGATCCAAGAATGCGACAACATTGCCGAGAGGTCGATTGAACGGTCCAAAATCACCAAGACTGGCCGTTGTTGGACCAGTTGGTTGATCAAATTACGAGTATTACTCAAATAATCTCTGAGTTTGAGGTCCAATTGGGTGGCAACAAGTTCGGCAGCACCATTACGAGGACATCTAATGATGGGAACCGAGGCGGTGGCAATGATGGTGGAAAGGATTCCGTCGGCGATTTTTCCCGCGAGTGAATGAATATCGTCCTCTTTTGTAGCTGGATTGTTGAAAGTTGAAAAAACACGAGGAACGTCCAACAGGAACAAATTAGGTTCTGTGACTATGAAATCGAGATATTGATCATATACTTGTTTAATCTTTGATGCTTTCCCTGTAAGGCTCACTTTCTTTGCAAAATCCTCGAGTAATTCACGATTAATGGAAAAAGTGAAATTGATGTAAAACTTGTCATATTTTTCTGCTGCGAGATCGTCAATAATCACTCGAATATTTTCTACCGTGGGTTCCACGAAATATATAACCGGCACATCTGGAAGCGGCAGTCTCCGAGAATTGATGACCGTATGCACGGTGATGCCGCACCGGAGAAGGTCGTTGACGCGTAGCACGGAGGATAACACTGCTTGGGACTTGGAGTCTAGAACCAACACTTTCCAGATGATTTCCTCTTTCTTTGATGCGAGGGTAAGGTCGGCGTCGCCTTCCTTGTTAAGGTGGAGCATGCGCTCGAGGATGGCTGAGTTAGTGGTGTTGATGCAATATATGATGCAAAGGACTTACCAATCTGTCGGTCACGCAAGCTGCGGTCTTCAAGCACGGACATGGGGTATGGTTGTGTGTGGGTTGCGTGTGAAGTTGTGGGTTGTGCGTGTGCGTGTGCCTGCGTTGCTCGTTGGTGTGTGGGGGCAATTAAGTTTCCTGCATTTAGTTAAAATAAGCTATACATCTACCTGGTCTTGTGCTCGATAATTCCACGAAGCACCTTGATTTTGCCATAGATTTCGTGATTGATGGTCTTTTCGTCTTCCTTTTGGTCTTTAGGTCGGTTCTTGTATTCGGTCCCAGGTTTGGGCCAAACGCACAGGAGTCCCAAGCGGCTGCATTCAGCACATCGAGGACGCGTTTCACAGCATCTCTTCTTTCGCAGCCGGCAGGTGAGGCATCCCATGCGTGACCGTTTCACCACCGGTCTACTTGAAGATCCACTCGAAGAAACCGAACTGGAGGTGGAGGTAGATTCGGACGAGCGCCGCTTGATGCGCGGCGGCGGCCGGGGATGTTCTCGAGCATTTGAATTGTAATGCGCTTGTGCAGCAACTCGGTCCCATTGACCCAATTGAGGTTGACCATAGTCGCCAACCATATTGTAAGTGGTGGAAGTGGAAGGTTGTGTGGTAAACACCGAACTTTGCAGTGCATAATAACCATCACCGGCTGCCGGCTGATGCATCGGAGATGTCGTGCTGTCGCATGCCGGCGCCTGGCCGGCTATGTCGGTGCCGTAAAACGTAGAATACACATTGGGAATGGGAGCTGCAGTCAGTGGAAAAAGACTGGGCTCCCCATTGTTGACCACCGGCACCCGGTCGTCGGTGGACGTGGACGTGGACGTGGCCGCCGCTGCTGCTGCTGCAAGCATTGCAGCATCTGGCTCCAACGGTTGTCGCAGGTGGTGGTACGCATTAGAATTCTGCGACCATTGATTCGGACTCATGGATGTCGGGAGTGCAAGCTCCAGCCATCGATGAAGAGGAGGAGTGGTGGTTCGTAACACGATGAGATGGCCCGGCACCGGGTGGAGGGGTAGAATTGGTTTAAGCTTTGACGACCCTAACCAAAATCAAAAATAACGAGTTGACACACACCTGGGGTATCAGACACTCGGATATGTGCGACAGAACTCCTTAATATATATTATTCACTGCAGGTTGCAACGATTTAAACATCAGCGATATCTCATGTTTAAATAAACTTGACATGCGGCAGGATTTTTTTTTTTTTAGGGGTTCGAGACGTACAGGGTCTAGTTAGAGGGGAAGTTTGGCGCAAAAACTCGCAGCGAGTCGCAGGTAGACCTGTATAACTTTGGGGAGGAAGACAGTTTTTGGTAATTGCGCCTAGCAGTAACGAGACCTAAGGGTTGATACCCCCCGTAGGATTCAGGTCGGTACTGTGCATTCACGCGCATCCCGGTGAGGCGCATGCATATTTATGCATGCATAATTCAAAAATTGAAAAAAAAAACATTTCAAAAATTATTAAGATGCGGAACCGCGCAAATAGGTTGTGAGCCTCATGTCGCAGAAAAATCTATGAATAAATCCCACGCGGCTTCGCCTATTTCGGAACTCCAATGTAACATTTTATCTTGATGTATTCAAACGTTTTCATATGCATTCGATGCATGGTTACCACAAACAATCAGCCGATCGCCCTAATTTTTTCATTATGGGTCCTCAACCTGCACGACCTTACAGCCGCGACGCATAGGCTCTGAGATAGTGTCGCCTGTAGTGACGCTAATAACGCACATTCCTGCCCGGGACCCACACGTCACTCCAGTGTCCTGAATAGAGGGGTCCATTCATGCGGCTGAATAACAAGGTTTGAGATCGTGCAAAGATTAACATTGGTACAGGATCGCGATCAAAGTAAATAAGCCTTAAATATATATTAATAGAGTTTGAGCTATAAGATAAGATCAGTAAGTTAACTATATATTGAGTTGAGGTTATAGTGGTTACTTCATGATTTCATCTTGGCGAGTCATGAAGAAGGCGAAAAAAAAAGAAACATTCATCTACCCCAACTTACTCCGTTCTGCAATCTGGGCGCAGTGTTCCACTTCCAAATACGGGTTACCGCCGAGGTGGAATTTTGTTCTGTGAAAAATTGTTGATAATTCAACAATTAATTTAACGTTGATAATTCCGAAAAGACCTCCGTAAGTCCGGACAGATGAACCCGTTTAAACTTACCAAATTACCGTGTTCACTAAAAATTTATGCTAATCATTTGTCACCATCATAGCATATGTATGCATGATTTTTTTCCTGTATGGTTGCGATGTACAGAGTCTCCGTGCCGCATCCCCAGCTGCACGTGAAAAGGCTCGTATGACACGCGAATCAATGCAAAACCCTTACATTGTAGTATTGTTATGGCATTAGGAAAACGGTGTCTACTTTTAACAAGTTTTGATTCGCCTAAATATTTTGTTAAGCAGTGAAGGAAAGAACTAGCGGCCCCACTCCTTTGCCGTACTATTTTTATCTCTCGGTAGCGAAAAGGGCGCTTTCTCAAAGGTGCAGCAATTCGTCAACGGTTAATCGCGCCGCATGGGGGGCTCACCCCGGGGTTTATCTGCAGTCGGTTGGGTCAATCCGCATTTGAGGTACAGCGTAATCTGAGGACCCTCCCAAAACCAAAATTTTCTGCACCGCGGTTGCCACAATGCCTATTGTGTATTTACTATTTTTGTTCCCCTATGGTGTGCCTTCCCAACTAGGAAAGTTTATACTCAATTTAACCTTCTATGCATGGACGCTGCGCCCCTAATAAAAAATGAAAAATTGAATAGAATATGTGCATTATGCAGGCTCATGCATGACATACTAAAGTTTGTGCATACCCGTAAAACTAACGTGCGATAAACTTTGCAACCATGTTCAACCTGAATTGACAGGTGCTAATGCCGCTCTGCAGTTAACTCCCCAGTGATGACCAGCATTAGTAGCACCGATCCAAGTTGACAATAGGTTTTGTTATTCGTACTATTATGTTGGCTTGTATCAAAAATATCTAAGACATGCGAGATTACCGGCTTTCATCAAGAATATTTGGAGCCCCAGAATTCTTAGTGGTTCAGGCATGGGTTCCGAATCGGTAAAAATAAATGGCGATAGTGCACCTGAAATGCACGCATCTTCCCACATTTTTGCTATTAGCTCCATATGCATTACACTCAACATCAACTTACACCGCCACCACCTGCTTATCCCTTAGTTTGTAGGTTGCAGCTGACTCTTGCCCGCCTTGAGCAATTCATCACAAAGAAGAAGATTTGAAGATATTCCCACTGCAGCCAGAATGGCATTTCTTACAACTCGATAAGAATCCCATACTCCTTCCACTGCAGGATCCATAGGTTCTCCCAGTGCCAAGTCCACCCCCACAACCCGGCCATCCTCAACGTCGTCTTGACACGTGGAAACCGTTTCGAGTGAGTCTAGACCGGCGTTGGTTGCAAGTGTCTTGGGAATCACCAAAAGCCCCTCTGCGAATGCTTGAATTCCGGTCTTTGTTCTTCCCTTATTGAGTCCAGATTCACGCAAAAGATAGTGGTGGCATCCCAAAAAGAATGCTCCGGCTCCGGGAATAACTGCTTGATCTTTGAGTACGTTGGCTACTGAACGGAGCCCATCACGGACCGCATCTTTGGTTTGCTGGACCAGATGGCTATTGGGTCCTTTGATGAGAATCGTAGCACTCTTGGCCTTTTGCCGAGTTCCCTTGTTGAGAACATAGGTGAATTTATCCTCTCCCAAAGAATTTTCGTAGACGGTTCCGGAAAATCCTAATACTTCGGGAGACAAATCGTCCACCGAATTCTGGGCCTCTCCACCGCAAATGAGCTGGAGCCGTTCCATGTTTCTTCTCTTGGCACGACGGAGTGCGAGAATGCCGTTTTTGGCCAAAACATCCAATGACATGGGATCAATGCCCTTTTGGTTGATGATGACAAATCCACGATCAGAACCAAGTTCCACCACCTGGTTCTTAAGATCGATGATTTTCCGCAACTTTTCGTCAACAAATCTCCGTTCCAGAGCCACTAACTTTTCCCGCTGTTCTGCACTAGAATAGTAAAATCCCAGGTTCACCTCTGTCTTTTCGTACTCCAACAGCACATTGAGAATCAAGATGTATGCGTTCTCCACCACCTTGGGCATGTCCGGATGACGAGCACCATGATCCAACACCAATCCATGAACCAATTCGGTGTCTTTTCCAACTCCATGCTGCATGGTCATGATTTCAATCATGTGTAAGTCGATCTGAGGCGGCCCAGATTTCGCTCCAGCTTGTTCTTTAGCTCCTTCAGACACCGTGAGTACAGCGTCCGTAACTATAGGTGTCAAAACCTCCGCCAAATCGGCAGAAACTTTGGTGGAAAGCGACGTTTTCGCAACTTGAAGAAGAAACTCTCGGTCAAAACTGGTCTTTTCTGTCTTGAATTGATCCAAGTACTTCAATGCTCCCTCACGAGCAGTTTCAAACCCATCTACAATCACCTGCGGATGCACACCTTCACTTATAAACCTCTCGGCTTGCTTCAAGAGCTCACCCACAAGTAAAATCACACTCGTAGTTCCATCTCCCGTAATTTCGTCTTGTGCCGTGGCCGCACGTGCGATCATCACCGCCGTAGGATGCTGAATTTGCATTTCACTAAGTAATACTTTGCCATCTTTGGTCAACTTTAAATTTCCCGATCCATCTACCAAAAGCTTAAGTGTGCCTTTTGGACCCAAATTCGACGCCAAAACTTGCTGCAAGCCTTGCGCGGCCGCAATGTTTACCTGGAGTGCCTGCTGGCGCCTGATCAGTTCTGCTTTGGGGTTTATGAGCTGTAGCGATGAAGACATAGTGGTGGAGATTGATGAAAAATCGCTAAGTGCGGGTGGGTTACCCGGCCGCGAGCGAGTAGAGAGTTCAATTTTAGGCGAAAAAAAAACTAGGGTACTATCCAGACATTACGGACGCTATAAAAAAACCTCTATTTCCTACCATTAGCTCTCTTTTAAAACTTTTTCCATAAAAAAGGTCAACTCGTTATTGCTTCTTTATTGCACCCAGACACCAGACACCACCATCAAAAAGTCCCGTGCACCATCAACCCAATATGCTGTTGCAAACTATTTTTGGTGAAGCCAAAACCTTCCTTGACAACCTCCACAATGAGCGAGAAGAGGTTATCCGGATCTGCAGAGACATCAACTCACATTCAAAAAAGCTTATCTTTTCGGTACATCGAGCCTCGGCACATTCTCCAAATCGGGCCGTGGTAGAAAATCACCTAAAAATATTGGCAGAAAAACTTGCCACATTGTACTATGGCTATGCCCAAAATGAGTCTTATTACTCCTACAAAGGTACCGTATCCAATTGCATCGAAGAATTGATCGAGGCGTTACTTTTTGCCTACTATTTAGCCCATCGCACTCTTTTGCTGTTTGAGAATTTACAGTATATTGTGGTATTTCTCATCCAAAGTTATAATTACGAGACCAAGCAAGCCAACGAAGAGCCATTAGCAAATTGCATTGATTTGCTCCTTTTCCAGCCGGAAAAAACACCGCAAATTGATCCCCAAAATCGGCTGCAATTCGCGCATATGTCCAACTCGGTATTTTTGCCGGGCGATTATTTTATGGGTATTTTCGACTTTACGGGCGAATTGATGAGATACACCATAACCGAAATGGCGCAAAGAGACGCCTCGTCGGTGGGAATAAGCCCCGACGTGCTCGGAAATTTGCAATTTTTACGCCTGCTATATTCTCATGTCACCTTGCTTGTGTCGAAATATCCCCACCTAAATGTTTCACGAGGCACATTCACCACAGATAAGAAACAGACAGCCACGTTGAGAAAAAAATTGGAGGTTTTTCGCCAATCTGTAGAAAAAGTCGAGAGTGCAATTTGTGGTGCTGCGATCAACGGAAACGAGCCCACAATGGCTAGTGTTGAAGAGTTATGAGTTTAACATATATTATGGACTATGTTATGGCATACTATGGCATATTAGGCTGAAAAGATATGCCCGTGAGGATTAACATCTTTCGTGATCTATATCCTGGGAATGGGTCCTCCTGGTGAATTTTCCAATCTCGCAGACAAAACTTCCACTCCATCTTCCGTCACAAGAAGCATATGTTCAAACTGGGCCGAGCACTTACCATCTTGTGTTACCGAGGTCCAATTATCTGGCCAAAGTGTGTCTTTGTGAGTTCCCAAATTGATCATAGGTTCTATGGTGAACACCATACCTGGCTTGGCGACTCCCACCGCCTTGTTTTTGGCATAATGAGGAATATTGGGCTGGCAATGGAAGAGCTGGTTGACTCCATGACCACAATAAGTTCTTAACACAGAACAATTGTTCTTGTTAGCATGCTCTTCTATGACGGTACCCAAGTCGCGGAACAAAAGCCCAGGCTTGACCTGCTCAATGGCCTTGTCCAAGCATTCTCGGGTGGTTTCCACCAATCTCACGAGATCTGGGTTGGATTTGGCCTTGTCGCCCACATAGTAGGTTTCGTTCAAGTCGGCGTGGAATCCCAAATAGTACAAAGACACATCCAAATTGATGATGTCACCATCTTTCAAGACGGTCTGGTCGGGTATGCCGTGACAGACAACCTCGTTGATGGAGGTGCAGAAAGATTTGGGGAAATTGTAGTAATTGAGAGGTGATGGATATGCGTTTCTTTTCACAGTTTCCTTGTGAACAATGGCATCGAGCTCATCGGTGGTTATGCCAGGTCTGACGTGTGCTGCTACCGCATCCAAGATTTCACGGCCCATTCTTCCAACTTTTCTTGCTTTTTCGATTTCCTTGGCACTCAAAATAGTGATTTTTCCAATCCGGTCATTCTTGATTTCTCCGAGCGGTCTTCCTTTTTGCGCGTGATCAGGCAACTTGATATGCTTGGGAATGGGTCTACGTGGTGATAACGGATATGCTGGGCGCAATTCGCCGGTAAAGTTGTAACTTGGAAACGGATTATATGGAGTTTTTCCGTCCTCCGGTTTATGCACAAATTTATGAGTTCCCCAAGAAGCACGGAAACATGTCTGGTCACAGAACACGCTTTCTATGCCATCTTTAAGACAGACGGGACACTTGAGTGCCGAGTCTGTTTCTTTGCCACAAGTGGGAGATGTACAAATAGCCATTGTGGTTCGATAGAAAAGATGCGAAATCTAAAAAGTTTTCGTGGTGTCTGGATGTATACATCGCACTCGAGGCATTCATTATGACATCGGCATCCACCGAAGGGCACCGAAAGCACCGATGAAGCAGTGTCCAATTGAGCATGAAGCGAGATGTGAATTGCGCTCTGGCAAAAGTCATTGGCTTGAATTTTTCAATCCTATATGAATTTTTTCTTTTTTTTTTGAGGAACTAAAAGCTATAAGAAACCTGCGGCGATACAAACATTTCTGTCAGTTCATTTTACTAATGAACTGCTTCTTGGCAGACGAATGCGGAATGTTAATCCGTTATTTTATCCCCCACGTCGGCTCAATGTACTACCCCACACTGGTTCTGCATACGGCCGTTGACATGCGTCCGAGACGCAAGTTTGGCACATTTTCACAACCGCCAATTTGCAGCAACAATCCAAGATCTCACACAGAGAACCATATCGCATAGCCTTTTTCTCCGAGCATCGAAGCTGTTCCACTTCTCGAAATCTGCTTAAGCTCGGAATTTCGTCTGCCAATTTACGAGTTGATCCTCCACATTTCGCAACAATAGGTTATGAATTCTCCACCCGGAAAAAATACCTTCTTGGTCATTTTTCGACTCAGATGAGCACTAAATGCACGGTGTCATAACCCCTGCTTTTGCGGGCAGCGGAAGAAATGGCCCTGATTCGTAATCAGTGGGGTATTTTCCGATACCTCTCGGAAGTCTTTACCGAACCCTCTCCTATAAAAGGGCAACCAGAAGGTTCAATTTCCACAATGATCTCCACAGCTGTTCTTGCGAGTCTTCTTGCTGTGGTTCAGGCTCTTCCAGCTAGTGACATGCTGGTGGAAGTAAGTCCCAGATATGCTTATTCGCAGTTTACATTTCCTCCAAATGCTGCTCCAACTTATGCCAAAGGTCTCCCAAAACCCTCCACTGTTACAAATTATGGTCCTCATTACACTGAAGTTTCACATTTACTTGGGGATTTGAAGACAACTACCTGGGGTAACTGGAACCCTAATGCTACCGCTACTGCTACTGACAAAGACGATCCATATGGCCAGTACGCTTGGAGTCAATTGTGGGAAAATGTTGCACTCAAAAACTTTACCAGCACGGGGATCTACTCTACTACTGTGGACCCTACTCCTGTTCCTTCAGAATCACTTGTGCTTCCTCCACCGGATGTTTTCAGTTTTGACGATAATTTGAAATTTCCACTGGATTTTGTCTTTGGAGTTGCTGGTTCTGCAGCGCAAATAGAAGGTGCAATTGCAATGGAAGGAAGATCTCCAACCATCATGGAGGTTCTTGTTCGTGATAGTCGTCCTAAAGACTATGTTACAAACGAAAACTATTATTTGTACAAGCAGGATTTACTTCGTTTGGCACAAATGGGTGTGAAAACTTATTCGTTCTCCATTCCTTGGACAAGAATTCTTCCTTTCGTGACGCCAGGAACCCCAGTGAACAAGCAAGGCATAGATCATTACGATGATCTCATCAATTACTGTTTGGAGTTGGGCATCCAGCCCATGGTTACCCTCACCCATTTTGATTCTCCAGTTCAATTTTTGGGTGGAAAAGTGCCTCTTGCTACCGACTACCCTCTTAATTTCTATGCTGGGTATGCGAACGATACCTTTGTGGAAGCTTTCGTCAACTATGGAAAAATCGTCATGTCTCACTTTGCTGATCGAGTAGGTCTTTTCGTCACCTTCAACGAACCATATTTGTATGCTGGATACCCATTAGGAGTCAAGAACGTGGTTACGGCTCACGCTGCATTGTATGACTTTTACCATAATGAACTTAAAGGATGTGGAAAGGTTGGTATAAAATTTAATGACAATTTTGGAGTTCCTAAAAATGCCACAGATCCACAAGATGTTGCTGCCGCCAATAGATTCCAGGATTTCCAGCTTGGCAGTTTTGCCAATCCTTTGTTCCTTGGCCAGGACTACCCAGAAGCATGGAAAAGCACTTTTTCTAACGAGACGGAAATTTTCTTCTCTGCTGAGGAACTCAAAAATGTCAGTAAGAAAGTGGATTTCCTTGGCATTGACCCATATACTTATACGGTAGTTACTCCTCCAGAGGAAGGAATTGCTGCTTGTCAGGCAAACACCAGCCATTCTCTCTGGCCACTTTGTGTGAATGAAACTCAGACGAGAGAAGATGGGTGGAAAATGGGGTACCGTTCGGAATCTTACGTTTATACCACTCCAGTGGAATTTCGCCAGTACCTCAATTATCTTTGGAACACTTTCAAGGCACCAGTATTTGTCACTGAATATGGATTCCCCGAGTGGAAAGAGACCGAGAAGGAACTAGGAGATCAGTTGTTTGACCAAGCCAGATCTATCTACTACAGGCTGTATTTGGATGCTATGTTGAAAGCTATTCATGAAGATAAAGTGGAGGTCATGGGTTCATTGGCGTGGTCGTTCCAGGACAACTGGGAGTTTGGCAGTGCAGACCAATTGTTTGGAATGCAAGTCGTCAATACCACCACTCAAGAACGGTTCTTCAAGAAAAGTTTCTTTGATTATGTGAAATTTTACCAAGACAGAATTTAAGAAGTTACTGGTTCAATGCTTCGGGTCCAAACGACATGGGCAAGAGCTCGGCCATAGTCAATGTCTTATGACCTTCAGTACCAAACATGTGTACCGGCATGTCAGACGAAAACTCGCGAATGAATTGGCGACAAATTCCGCATGGAGACAACGGTGTCTTGGTATCTCCGGCCACAGCAATGGCTTTAAACGACTTGTGGCCGTCCATCTGGGTTAGTCAACTAAATATGAAAAAAAAAATAAGACAAGGTGAATTTCATAAACTCACCCTCTTTGATTTTACTTACCACTGCTCTCGTAATAGCCACTCTCTCGGCGCAAATGGCGGCTCCGTAAGATGCATTTTCAACATTTGCACCCATGTATATTTTGTTGTCGGACGTCAAAAGAGCACAGCCAACGCTGGTGTTAGTTGCAATTGCACTCTAGGAAGTATCTGGGATCGTTATACGTACCGAAACTTGGAATATGGACAGTAGGCAAGGGACTGAGCTGGGTTAGTTTTAGTTTATTGGAGTAGTTGAAAGTCTTTTTGATCTTGTACAGCCACTCAAGCGTTATTCTTCATATACACTATACATACCCTCCTTGCTGAGCTTACGAAGCTCATCGAATCTTTCGTATCTCTCAGTTTCGTGGTCCTCTGCCATGATCGTCTTTGGAGCCTCAGTGAATCTCCGCGAGATAAGTGGCGGCCCCAGAGTTACTGGCGGTGCCCAGAAGTACCGATGTGCGCGCGGTGGCACCGATCTCAACTTGAAGGTAACGGCAAACCACGAACAACACTCTGGAATTGCAATCTCGACACACACGATTCCGGAAGCCCCACAGATCACCACATATACTCCTCCGGGCCCATAGATTACAGTGTACCAATTATAAGCATCCAATCGAATTGTGTGCTGACTTTTTTCATATCGCCACGCAAGTACCATGTCCACCCTCGAAGAATTAGAACAGCAAGACGACATTGTTGACCAGGAAATCCTTTCGTCTTCCACCCTGGACATCATCAACAGAACCAAGCTTTTAGACAATGATATCAAGGTGATGAGGTCGGAAACACAGCGACTCACCCACGAAAAGTCGGTGATGGTCGAACGTATCAAGGACAAACAAGAGAAAATCAACAACAACAAGCAGCTCCCGTACCTTGTGGGTAATGTGGTGGAGTTGCTCAACTTGGATGTCGACAAAGAAGCTGTGGAACAGGGTGCTAATGTGGACGAAGACGCCGCAAGGGCTGGAAAATCGGCAGTAATCAAAACTTCTACCCGTCAAACCATCTTTCTTCCACTCATTGGCTTGGTTGATCCAGAAACCTTGAAGCCCAACGATCTTATTGGCGTAAACAAAGATTCGTATCTCATTCTTGACACATTACCTTCAGAATACGACTCGCGAGTAAAAGCCATGGAAGTTGACGAAAAGCCCACAGAAGACTATTCCGATATTGGTGGGTTGGATAAGCAGATTGAAGAATTGATCGAGGCGGTGGTTTTGCCGATGAAGCAGTCTGACAAGTTCAAGAATTTGGGAATAAAACCACCAAAGGGTGCATTAATGTACGGACCCCCTGGTACCGGAAAGACATTGTTGGCTCGTGCCTGTGCTGCACAGTCAGGTGCAACTTTCCTCAAGTTGGCCGCTCCTCAATTGGTGCAGATGTTCATAGGAGACGGTGCCAAGTTGGTGCGAGATGCGTTTGCATTAGCTAAGGAAAAGGCTCCCACAATCATATTTATCGATGAATTGGATGCCATTGGTACCAAGCGTTTCGATTCCGACAAGAGTGGAGACAGGGAAGTGCAGCGGACTATGTTGGAGCTTTTGAACCAGTTGGATGGATTTGGAAGTGATGACCGTGTCAAGGTTTTGGCCGCTACCAACCGTGTGGACACCTTGGATCCAGCGTTGTTGCGTTCTGGACGTTTGGACAGAAAAATTGAATTTCCCTTACCGCTGGAAGAAGCCAGAGAGTCTGTGTTGAAGATCCATGCTCGTAAATTAAATTGTGACAACGATTCTGTTAATTGGAGGGAATTGGCTCGTAGTACCGATGAATTCAATGGTGCTCAATTGAAAGCAGTTACTGTGGAAGCAGGAATGATTGCCTTGAGAAATGGTAAATCGGTCATCAAGCACGAAGATTTCGTCGAGGCTATCGGAGAGGTGCAAGCACGCAAATCCAAGAGCGTGAACTTTTACGCATGAGTAGTAATAGGGCAAAGCAGAATTTGAGCAAGAACTTACTTTCAACTACGGTGTTATCACAAGAGCTTTTATAGGTGATTCATGATCCAATAGATGAATATTAGCTACCCATTAACGGAAATATTTCAAGAACATTTCAATCAAGCATCTCAATCAAAACATAACGTTCTCTCGATTTTTGTTCCTATAAATTTACTTTTCTTTATGTTTCTTTGTACAAACTGCCTTTCATCTCTTGATTCATTCAATATCAAATGATTTCTACATTCTCTCGTAAAATTTCATTGATTCTCTCATTCAATTCTATATCCTCGTTTTCTCTCTTTTCCTCTTTTCCTTACTTTCTAGCACGCTTCAATTCCTCTCGCAACTGCTGAGAAAACTGGTCCTGAACGTCGTCGTCGTCCCAATCTTCTTCCCATAAACTAGCACCTTGAGCCTTATTAGAGGCTTCTGTCGACCACTTTGTGTCTTCAGGAAAGTCCTCAAACTCGTCGTCTTCTTCTAACGTCTTGAAAACGTGCTCTTCCTTGGGTTCACTCATGTGGCAATAACCTCAACCGACTCTCCAAAATCGCACTTATCCAGATCTGCACCCGTGCACCCGCACAATATATAATTCTTCGCATCGAATTTTTCAAATCAACCATGAAAGAGGTGGTGGTGGATATTGCACCCAAGAAGATTGCCGGGCTCGAATTCGGGGTATTATCGTCCAAGGATATCCTCGCGCAGTCCGAGGTCGAGGTTCTGACTCGAGATCTTTATGATTTGGAGCGTGGGCGCTCTGCAAAGGAGGGTGGAGCGTTAGACACAAAGATGGGAATCTCGTCTAACGCTCTGGAATGTTCAACTTGTCATGGAAACTTGGCCTCGTGTCACGGTCATTTTGGGCCACATTCGCTTGGCGCTTCCTGTGTTTCATGTGGGGTATTTTCGGGCAGTAATTCTGGTTCTTCAGTGCATTTGCAAGCTGTGTTCCGCCGTGCTATTAGACGAAGAAACCAAAAGAAAGTTCCTCAATGATCTTCGGAGACCAGGAATCGACAACTTGCGCCGGATGAAAACCCTCAAAAAAGTGGTGGATCAATGTAAGAAGCAACGACGCTGTTTGCGATGCTACCATATAAACGGAGTGGTCAAAAAAGCCGCTAGTGGATCCGGTCCAGCGGCTTTGAAAATCGTCCACGACACGTTCCGGTGGGTTGGAAAGAAGTCTGCTCCCGAAAAGGATGCCTGGGACCAGGAATTTGATGAAGTTTTTGCCCGTAATCCTGAGGTTGAAAAATTCGCTAAAAGGGTCCACGACGACCTCAATCCTCTCAAAGTGCTCAATTTGTTCAAGCAGATTACCCCTCAAGATTGTGAACTTTTTGGAATTGACGCTTCTCGTGGAGGAAGACCGGAAATGTACATCTGGCGGTACTTGCCAGCTCCTCCTGTTTGCATTCGTCCCTCGGTGATGATGGATGCCCAGCTGAACGAAGACGATATTACCGTGAAACTCACAGAAATTGTGTGGACGAGCTCTCTTATCAAGGCGGGCATAGAGAAGGGTATTTCTATCAATAATCTCATGGAACAGTGGGATTATCTTCAGCTCTCGGTGGCCATGTACATCAATTCCGATGCCGCAAATCCAGCATTACTTCCTAGTATGAGTGGAGGTGCCAAGTCCGCAAAGCCCATTCGTGGTTTCTGCCAGCGTCTCAAGGGAAAACAAGGTCGGTTCCGTGGTAACTTGTCAGGTAAAAGAGTCGATTTTTCAGCCAGAACCGTCATCTCGCCCGATCCAAATCTTCGTATTGACGAGGTAGCAGTTCCAGATCGGGTTGCAAAAGTGTTGACCTACCCGGAAAAGTGTACTCGCTACAACAGAAAGAAGTTGCAACAGCTCATCCTCAACGGACCAGATGTCCACCCTGGTGCCAACTATGTGATGAAGCAAAACGAAGCTGCCAAGCGTAATTTGCGTTTTGGTGACAAGGTCAAGTTGGCTAAGAATTTGCATGTGGGCGATGTTGTGGAGCGTCATATCGAGGACGGTGACGTTGTTTTGTTCAACAGACAACCCTCTTTGCATAGATTATCCATCTTATCGCATTATGCCAAGATTCGGCCATGGAGAACTTTCAGACTCAATGAATGTGTTTGTACCCCATATAACGCCGATTTCGATGGTGACGAGATGAACTTGCATGTTCCGCAAACAGAGGAAGCGAGAGCTGAAGCCATTAACTTGATGGGAGTGAAAAATAATCTCTTGACTCCGAAATCTGGAGAACCTATTATCGCTGCCACGCAAGATTTCATAACTGGATCTTATCTCATTTCACACAAAGATTCATTCTACGATCGTGCAACGTTTATACAGCTTCTCAGCATGATGTCTGATGCCGATCTCCAATTCGATCTCCCCCCACCAACGATTTTCAAGCCGGTAATGCTTTGGACAGGAAAACAGGTTTTCTCGCTTTTGATGAAACCCAATAAAAACTCCAACGTTATCGTTAATTTGGATGCTAAAAACAAAGCTTTCACTCCTCCCGCTCCTGGATACCCCAATGAAATGTCCCCTAATGATGGCTATGTCATTATTCGTGGCTCGCAAGTTCTCAGTGGTGTCATGGACAAGCTGACACTAGGCGATGGTAAAAAGCACTCTGTATTTTACACGATTTTGCGAGATTTCGGACCCGATGCTGCTGCTGAAGCAATGAACAGAATGGCTAAACTCTGTGCTCGATACCTTGGAAACCGTGGTTTTTCCATTGGTATTAATGATGTTACTCCGGGAACGGATTTGAAGCGTAAGAAAGAACTCATGGTTGAGCAGGCGTATCTCAAGTGTGACGAGCTCATCGACTTGTACAACAGAGGAAAGCTTGAGACTCAACCGGGTTGTAACGAAGAGCAAACTTTGGAAGCCAAGATTGGAGGATTGTTGTCCAAAGTTCGTGAACAAGTTGGTGAAGTTTGCATCAATGAACTTGACTCCGCCAATGCTCCGTTGATTATGGCTACCTGTGGATCCAAGGGTTCGACATTAAACGTCTCGCAAATGGTGGCTGTTGTAGGACAGCAGATTATTTCAGGTAATCGTGTTCCCGATGGATTCCAAGACAGATCGTTACCACACTTTACCAAAAATTCCAAAACTCCGCAATCCAAAGGTTTCGTCAGAAACTCGTTCTTTTCTGGTCTTTCTCCTCCTGAGTTCCTATTCCACGCCATTTCAGGAAGAGAAGGGTTGGTGGATACCGCAGTTAAAACCGCCGAGACCGGTTATATGTCGCGGAGATTGATGAAGTCCTTAGAGGATCTTTCCGCCCAGTACGACAATACAGTGAGAAACTCCTCAAATGGTATTGTTCAATTCACCTATGGAGGTGACGGTTTGGATCCTTTCGACATGGAGGGAGACGCTCGTCCTGTGAATTTTGCAAGACAGTGGTCGCATGCCTACAATGTGACTTACGATGTCAATGACTTGGGTTTGTTACCCTACAAGATATTGCAAGCTACCGATGATGTTCTTGCTCCTTTGGAGGCCAAGTTGATTCGATATGATAATCTCGGTCAGCCGGTTACAGAGGGTGAAGCTGATAGTGAAGAGTTCATTGATCAGAATGATGCTGAACGAGCATTTTACAAATCTATACGAGAGTTTGTTCTGGAGAAAGCTTCACAACTTGCTGAAATAAGACAAAGCAAGAACCTTAAATCGGGATGGAGCCGCCCTGCCTCCAAAGATGATCCTGTCCAGCTCAATGCCGTGAACCAGTTGTCCAAGATTTCCTTGAAAGCGATCAACAAGTTCCTCGACCAGTGTATATACAAGTACTCCAGAGCCAAAGTTGAACCCGGAACTGCTGTCGGGGCTATTGGAGCTCAGTCTATTGGTGAGCCCGGTACTCAGATGACGTTAAAGACTTTCCATTTTGCCGGTGTTGCTTCTATGAATGTCACACTTGGTGTGCCCAGAATCAAGGAAATTATCAACGCTTCGAAGGTGATTTCAACTCCTATTATCAATGGAGTTTTGGTCAACGACGATGATGAAATTGCTGCCAGAGTGGTGAAGGGAAGAATAGAAAAGACTTTGTTAGAAGATGTGGCATTTTTCATCGAAGATGTCTACAAGGACAACTTGGCGTATCTCTCGGTCAAGATTGATCTCGATACTATCGAGAAGCTTCAGTTGGAATTGACCATAGAGTCTATTGCTCATGCCATAGTTACGGCTCCCAAGCTCAAGATTGTGGCTAGTGATGTTTCGATTGCAGGCAGAGATAGAATCAACGTTTTGGTGACGTTGAGAGAAACCAAAGCAGATTTGTTGAAGAACATGGCCGATGATTATAGAGCATCTGACTCCACGAATTCACTCTTTTTCCGCATGCAGCAGCTCAAACGAGCCTTACCATCTGTGTGCATTAAAGGCTTGCCAGAGATATCCAGAGCAGTTATCAACATCAAAGACAACGGCAAGAAGGAATTGTTGGTTGAAGGATACGGATTGAAGCAGGTGATGAGCACCGATGGTATTATAGGCACCAAAACCACCACCAACCATGTTCTTGAAGTTTTCGAGGTTTTGGGAATCGAGGCAGCTCGGGCTTCTATCATTGGAGAAATTGACTATACCATGAGTAAGCACGGTATGAGCGTCGATCCCAGACACATCCAGCTTCTTGGAGACGTCATGTCGTACAAGGGAGAAGTGTTGGGTATCACCAGATTTGGATTGAGTAAAATGAGAGACTCTGTATTGCAATTGGCTTCGTTTGAAAAAACCACCGATCACTTATTTGATGCTGCTTTCTACATGAAGAAAGACCAGATCGAAGGTGTTTCCGAGTGTATCATTTTGGGACAAACCATGAGCATTGGTACTGGTGCTTTCCAACTTGTAAAATCTTCACCATACGAACCAAAAGTACTCGAGCAGAAACCCACCTTGTTCGAGTCCGTATGCCTGCCCATTGCAGCATGTTAGCAAACCATATACATATTACGATTATAGACGACTAATTTCCTGTAGATCTCGTCGCTTAGTGGTTTTATGTCCACTTTCCCAAGAAGCTCATGAGCACCATTCCGCCCACCAATCCTATTAACGCAATGATTATCTTGATAACTCCTGCTTCAGCCAAAGTCCCGTACAACCAGTCGTGAGCCAACATTTCAATGATACCAACCCACAATAAGACACCAGCTGAAAGTGCATCCAACGTACCGATGGCTATAACTGTGCTAGGATCGTTTCCGTTGAAATAGTTCAAAGCTCCAATTCCAATTGCCATACCAAGAGGAGTAGTAATTGCAAATCCTAGACCCATTATAATTTTGATCCAGACAGAGACATTTCGTAACTCGGCAATTCTGGAACCCAAGGCAACACCCTCAAAAGCTTGGTGGAAAAGAATCACAATGAACAA